GGCTTTGTTCTCACCCAACAGGCTGGGACCGATGCGTGGAGCAATGCGTGTGCAGTGCCAACGCTGTGTTGGATTCAGCCACATCTCTCATGACTGTGCCATGGGTCGACGAATGGGGCCACCTGTTTCCTTCGGGTGTCAGCGACCGGATTACATGGACGCACAGTGTTCGGGAAACCAGTGGCAGTAGGTGCTACCCCAGCGAGCACCTACGACAGTGCGCACCAAACAGCGACCACAGCCGGCTGCAAAGACTCGCACATAAAACACATTTTAGAAGAATTCAGTAAAATCTTCAACACCACTTCGGGCTGCAAAACCTTAGCAGAGCATCGAATAGACACGGGAGACAACCCACCTGTTCGATGCAAGCTGTGAACAGTGAATGTCAAGAAGCAAGCCATCATGGACAACTACATTCACGATCTGCTCGCACAGAACCTCAGCCGCCCTAGCCAAAGTCAGCATGCCAGTGCTTCATTCCTGGTCGGAAAGAAGTTTGGTGGCAACCGCATGGCTGTGGATTACCACCAGCTGAATGCACGCACGAAGGTGCCAGTCTACCAATGCCCAGGACTGATTGGTTGCTGACATAGCTGGGACGAGCCAAGTGGTTCTCAAGTTGTGACCTTTCATGTTTTCTTTTTTCATATCCCTGTTCAAGAGCAGGATATCCCCAAAACAGCGTTCATTTGCCATCGGGGAATCTTCGAGTTCATGAGAATGCCTTTTGGAGTTGCCGGAGGTCCTGCCACATTCCAGACACTGATGGATAGACTACTGGAGGGAATCAATCACCAGTTTGCCATGGCGTTTCTCGATGATGTCCTGGTGTACTCGGAGACCCTGGAGGATCATCTCGAGCATGTTCGGGAGGTGTTGAAGCGGATAAGTTCAGCACAGCTGACCATCAACCCAGAGAAGGTGCACGTCTGCTGTCAATACCGAAAGTTCCTTGGCCATGAAATATCGCCATGGCAGTGTAGGCCGGACAAAGAGAAGTGCGTGCGGTGCTGGACTATCCTCAACCAACAACACTCAAAGAGCTGCAGGCATTTCTGGGACTAGCCGGCTATTACAGAGGGTTCATACCTCAGTTTTCCATCGCTGCGTGTCCACTTAAAGAACTCCTTAAGAAAAAGTGGTGGGAGCTGCAGCAAGAGGAAGACTTTAGAGCACTTAAGCAGTCCCTGGCCCACGATGTCGTTGTAAACCTGCCGGACCTCAGCAGACCATTTGTGGTGGAAACGAACGCCAGTGGAGCCGACATCGCAGCGGTGCTTCTGCAGGCAGCCGAGAACGATGCTCCACTGTGACCAATTAGCATCATTAGCAGGGTCTTCACTGAGACAGAGCAGTGCTATACAGTGCAAGAATGGGAGTGTCTGGCTGTGGTGTGGGCAGTGAACAAGTTCCGACCATACCTTGAGTTCAGAGTGTTTGAGACCCAGTGCGATCACTCTTCACTGTTCTGGATGTTCACCACAGACCAGACCTCACCACACGTAAAGCATTAAGTTTCGTGGCAAGGTTTAAACCTCAGGATCAAGCAAGGCGGGGTCTTGTAAATGTGCCAGCCGAAGCTTTGAGCAGAGCTTCCCTTCAGCACCAGAAAGTTCAAGGCCCGAGTCTACACAAGACACTGTTCCCTATGGCTCCAGAGCCCAGCCTACAAATCAGCATTGAGGCAGCTGCTGTAGCGTCTGAAGTGGACGACACTGTTGTCTTGAATGATGCAGGGCTCCTCGCCTACGAACAAGAGCAGGACCCCATACTGTCAAACCTACGAACTTTGATGAAGGGAGGGAAGCTTTCGCCCACTGACAGTGATCAACCTTTGATCAAAGACCTGGCGGAGAAGACCGAGATGGAAGAGAGTGGGTTGCTTGTACAGCACCGTGGGGACAGGAAAGTACCCTGGCTACTAAAACATCTCCTCAACTTGGTCCTGCGACTGTCACATGACCACCCAATTAGCGGCCACTTCGGCTTTTTTTAAGACCCTCAAACACATTCTCAGAATTTCGTGTGGTGGGGTATGCGCTCGGACATATCCCAAGTATGTGCGATGCTGCCAGGTTTGTCAGTGCACCAAAGCCCATCGCCAGAAGCCAGAAGGGCTGATGAACAGCAAATGGGCCACTGCCCCCATGAAACAGCCTCAACATGGACATAACTGGGCCCTTGCCTATGACACCTCGACGCCACAAGTACCTTTTCCTGGTGATTAACAAGTTCAAGTTCGTTTAACTCTTCCCATTACAGGCAGCAACCAGCAAGAGTGTGGTGGACTGCATGATCCAGGTTTTTTGCAGGCATGGCACACCTGTCTCCATTTCGAGTGACAATAGGAAGCCCTTTGCAAGCAGGTTGTGGAAGGGCCTCCTTGAACACTGGGGCATACAAGACTTACACACAGTTCCGTACCACCCTGCCGGGCAAATGGTTGAGCGCCACAATGGCACTATCAAACAGTGCCTTAGCGCGCTAATAACATGTGGACCATTAAATGCGCTTTTATTTCAAAATAATCACTTTCTTAGCATAAAAGTAGTGCTGCAAGGTTTCTGAATCACTATTTCAACAATCAACGTCGACCTAATCATCATCAGCCTGACTACATCCACTGCAGGACAAAGGCCTCTCCCATGTTCCGCCAGTCAACTCGGTCCTGTGCTTGCTGCTGCCAATTTATACCGCAAACTTCTTAATCTGATCTGCCCACCTAACCTTCTGTCTCCCCCTAACCCGCTTGCTTTCTCTGGGAATCTAGTTAATTACACTTAATGACCAGCGCTTATCCTGTCTATGCACTACATGCCCGGCCCATGTCCATTTTCTCTTCTTGATTTCAACTATGATATCCTTAACCCCCGTTTGTTCCCTAATCCACTCTGCTCTCTTCTTGTCTCTTAAGGTTACACCTACCATTTTTTTTTTCCATTACTCGCTGCGTCGTCCTCAATTTAAGCTGAACCCTCTTTGTAAGTCTCCAGGTTTCTGCTCCGTGGCTAAGTACTGGCAAGATACAGTTGTTATATACCTTCCCCTTGAAGCATAGAGGCAATCTACCTGTCATAATTTGCGGGTGCTAGCCAAATGTGGTCCACCGCATTCTTATTCTTCTAGTTACTTCAATCTCGTGGTTCGGCTCCGCGGTTATTACCTGCTCAAAGTAGACATAGTTATTTACAACTTGAAGTGGACTATTACCTATATCGAAGCGCTGCTCTCTTCCGAGGTTGTTGTAGATTACTTTCGTTTTCTGCAGATTAAATTTAAGACCCACCTTTCTTCTCTCCTTGTCTAACTCTGTAATCAAGAGTTGCTATTCGTCCCCAGAGTTACTCAGCAATGCAATGTCATCGGCGAAGCGCATGTTACTAAGGTACTCTTCATTAACTCTTTTCCCTAACTGTTCCCATTCTAGGCCTCTGAAAACATCCTGTAAGCACGTGGTAAATAGTATTAGGGAGATTGTATCTCCCTGCCTTACACCCTTCTTGATTGGTATTCTGTTGCTTTTTTTATGAAACAATATGGTAGCAGTTGATCTCCTGTAGATTTCTTCCAGGATGTTTATATATACTTCATCGACGCCCTGATTCCGCAGTGTCTGCGTGACTGCTGAGGACTGCTGTCGACCTAATATTTGCCTTTAGTTGTTATAGTGAAGCAGCAATTACAATTAAGAAATTTGTTTATTAAGAGTCTACTGTACTAAGATGTCTATAGAGTAGGATTAAAGAATTAAATGATGATAATGATGGGCTGGATACCAGAAAAATCATACTTTGGAAAACAAATACATTTATCACCAAATAAACAGGGCTTTACTGTAAAAAAACTCAAAAAAAAACTGAAAAATGGATTTCCTACAGTGCAGTCCACTTATAACGATATCGAGAAAACCTAAAAATATGATCGTTATAACCAGTGATCGTTATATCTGGACTGCCGCCAAAAAATCGTCGCCGGACGTACCTTTTGTAGCTCCAGGCTTCATTTCGCTATTTTCACCAATTAATAAATATTGTAGATAGTAGGATGTCAAAAACAAGACTTTATTTCTTACTCCGAAGAACGCATCACGGGTTCGGCACGCCGAAGTAGTCCGCAATCTGCAGTTGCTTCCGCGGAAGCTTCAGCTTCACAACCGCGGTGCGCATAGCTACCAGCTGCTGCGAAAACTCGTATTTTTTTACGAGGGCGCTCACTTTAAAACCGCGTCGCGAATCCTGCAAAATATTCGACTTTGTCTCAAGCGACACGGCCTTACGCTTCGTCGGCGCCATAGAGGGTTGTCTCTGCTCCGCTCCGCTCTAGACGTTGCTCGCGCAATCGCTGAGGAAGAGAGACTGACCGACGGCGGGGTGGGAGCAGTGGGAGGAAGAAAGCACAGCCAGAGGTACACAGCCGGAATGCCAACGAGGCCCCGCCCCGATGCCGCCACGGCGCTTTGCTTTTCGCATTTTTTTTTTTAAATTCTCTCAGCCTCTCCGTGGTCGACGCGCGGCGAGGCGCAAAACGTGACACAGCTGGCGCCATCTGTAGCGCGTCGCGCCAACTCGCGATGCTCTCCTCGGCTTTTTGAACGGCCGGGACGCGCTGCCGGCGCTGTGCTGCAGTAGCGGCAGATACGTACTCGCCTACGCTAACTTTTCGTCTTGTCTCGGCATAGTTCGTTTCAGAGGAACTTATCAATCTAAATGTTACGATTATTCTGAATGAAACACGCCGTCCACGGCAAACTTTTCATCGTTGTATCCGATATGCAATGGATAACATATCGTTATATATGGTTTTTTTCCCCATAGCCCCAATGCATAAAATGAGACTGTTAAGTCGACCCATCGTTATAACCGATCTATCATTATATGTGGTATCGTTATAAGTGTACTGCACTGTATCACACTGTGCTAACTGCGTGTGAATTGACTACACGAGAATTCGGTTTTAATTGATCTCTTGCAATTGTCACACAATGTCCGTTTGCTCACCTGAAGTGGGCCCCTGGGAAGTGCTCGAGAAGTGCACGAACGGGGGGCAGGGGCACCCGCTCACTGAAGGACTCGACCTCACGGCCGAAGAGTCGGTATATGATGCACCACACCGTGTCCAGCGACATACCACAGTCGAGAAACACGGCACCCATGAGGCTCTCAAAAAGGTCGCCCAGCGCCTTTGGCACCTCGACCTCCTCGGGCTCCAGGCACTCCTCCTCGTGGTAATAGAATCGCTGTGATAATCATAATAATATCTGGGGTCTTACATCCCAAAGATACGATGTGATTATGAGAGATGGTGTAGCGGAAATTTCAACCATCTGGCGTTCCTTAATGTGCCCTGAAGCGCACAGTACACGGGCCTTCAGCATTTCAACTCCATCGAAATGCGACAGCCGCGGCTGGGATCAAACCTGCGACCTACAGGTTAGCAGCCGAGCACCGTAACCAATGTTCCACCGCAACGCAGAACCACAAAGTAAGTGCGACCGTATTTTCGGCTTTGAAGATGTCTACGTCATCTACACTGAAGCTATAACAAGACGAAGCTGTGCTTAAAATCGCTGCACATACAGAACCACGCCAATAAACCTCGATAGGACCACAGGAACGTTTCCGAGGGTATACAAGCATGGCCTTCGAACACCGGTAGAATTGACAACACAAACATCTATTGTGATAGTGGACAGAATAACACACACCGCTTAAGAATGCTATTCCCAGTGCCTTTCAGAAAAGAATACATGGCCCTTGAAACACGGGTTCAATTTTTAACAAACCTTGAACAAATCTCACTCGGCGACTGCGTAAGTGATCAGTGTGACAGCATCACAACTAGGCGAAAAAGTGTGAGAGATAAAACGGAGTAAGGGGTGCATGTGCGTTGAGTGTGGGCGGAAAAATGAAATGGCACGAGCATCAAATGAATACAGGAGTGGGGAGAAAATGGTACGAGAAGAGGATTGGAGAATAAAGGGTGTGCAGGGAACGTGGTTGCAGATTGTTAAGGGGGCAGACTGGTCTTTTGGACAAAAAAGTGACAAAAAAATTCATTTTTTAAAATTGACATATTTGGTTTCTGCAAGTACTTTTTTTATCTCTCTGCAAATTTTCATGCACCAGGAAGTAGTATTTTTTTGTCATGTCATTCTAACTGTCCAGATCCTTGGTGCTGTTAACATGCAAAACCAGCAAAAAAAATGGGGAACTGACTTTGAGGCTTCTTTATAATTTGCCAGCACCTGTGTCTAAAGCTCTATTACCAATTTATGAGCGCCTTTATGAGGATTGCAGAACATGTGCACCATGATTGTTGCTTTTTTAAGAAACTGTGTGTTTTCAGTTTTTTCTATTTTTCTCAAGAAAGTAAATTTGAGACTACCGTAATTACTCGAATCTAACGCGCACCTTTTTTCCGGTTAAGCGAGTTCATAAATCGCATGCGCGTTAGAATCGAGTACGAACAAAAAAATTACGGTCAATCTATTGCCATCGGCAAATCCAAAATGGCCGCCCCCTATGTGCGTCGGCATGGCGCGTCGGCCATTTCTGCCTATGTGTTTCCCATGTGCGGCACTTCGTACATGTGCTGAGGAGTTCGTCATCTAGTAGTGCATTAGCATCGACAGTGTGGAAGGGCCGACTCCAAAAACTTGAGTGCACCATGATGCCGCTTTTAAAAGAAAAGTCATCGCGTGTGCAGAAACGGACGGAAATCGGGCTGCATCGCGGTTGTTCGGAGTTCCCGAAACGTGCGTGCGGGACCGGCGGAAACAAAAGCAGAAGATTGTCGACAGCAAAGCTTCACGCAAAGGCTTCAGTGGACTACAGCAGGGTCGGTTTCCGCAAATTAAAGAGCTGCTCGGCGAGTATGTGCTTGAGCAGCGAGCGGCATAGCGGCCCGTGACGACAGAACTGCTCCAAGTGCGGGCTATGGAATTAGTCTTAGAAAAAGGTCTAATGCGGAGCCAGTTTAAAGCGAGCAGGTGCTGGCTAACTAACTTTATGAAGAGGAAAGGCTTTTCCCTCTGAAGGGGAACATGCATATGCGAAAAGTTTTGCGGACGAGTACGATGAAAAGCTTCACAGTTTTCAGAGGTTCGACCTAAACTTGCGGCGCAACAACGGCTACCTGCTTGGGCAAATCGGGAATGCCGATCAGACGCCTCTTTACTTCGACATGCCTGGCACCACAACCGTCGAGAAGAAGGGGGCGAAGCAAGTTCGCGTGCTGACATCGGTCCACGGTAAAACTACAGTGACGGCAATGCTCTGTTACACGTCAGATGGGCACAAGCTTCGCCCGCACCTCATATTTAAATAGAAGACGCTCCCGAAAGGAGTCGTTTTTTCGAGTGGTGTGATCGTGCGGGCCAGCGAGAAAAATGGGTGCGCGTTGCAATCGGTGTCTTACGTTTTTTTTTTTCCGCGGTGGAAATCGGGTGCGCGTTACAATCGAGGGCGCGATAGAATCGAGTAAATACGGTATTCAATTTTGAGGCCTCAATATCTCTGCAGCTAGGGCAGGTACAACAATAATTCTCTTTGCAGTGGAAACCTGCATGTGTGTAGAATGCAAGTATGGGAGCAGAATTCAAAGCAAATGCCTTTTTAATTAATCACTAATCAAAACTGTAACACAATTACAACTGCTTTTGAAAATGAATAGTTCATTTTGCTGTAAAATAACCAATAAAGGCCTAAAAACAAAAAAAATCTTCTATGCTTTCACTTTATAGTCATTGGTCTATGTTGGCATATCCTAAATATCACTTTTAATTAAGCACTTTTTACTATGGCAACCATAAACAACAGAGGGTGAACTTAAATTATCTCAGGAACAAGGTGAGTACCGTATTTTTCGGTGTATAAGTCGCGGTTTTTTTCTAAATTTTTCGTGGGTGCGTCTTATACAACAATGCGACTTATATACATTCAAAATCGAGTTGGATGCCACGGCTTGGGTGGCGCTGTTTACGTCAAGCGGGCATCAAAATGGCATCTACGGCGCTTCACCGCCTTCTGCGATGCACAGAAACCACATTTAAAAAGAAAGTAAGATTAACGGTAAATTAACACCCTAAAGATAACGCAGCTATGTAGTTTTGCACAAAAAAAATAATCAGTGGGGTGAAAATGTGGAGGTGTTTTTTAAATTATAAATTATGGAAAGCAAGTTTGGATTTCAGAGCCACTTCCTTTACCATCACTTCCATCCGCCATAACGTCTTCATTGCACTCGGTGTGTCGCTGTTGCTGCGCGCGTCTCGTGTGTTGTGTTGTGCGTCGTAGCATAGAGCCGGTAGCGCCGTAGAACCTCGCGAACCATGGCGCCGCTTGGAAAGCAAAGTCGGCGAAGCTATCCATGACGGAAAAATAATCCGTGACTGGTGCAAGGCCCACAGCGTCTTCCGGACGATGATGTCGACAAAGAAGGCCAACCGCGGCTAGAAGGCGCACTGGCCGGACCTCGAGCGTAGCCTGCGCACGTGGGTACTGCAACAACGAGCTGAAGGAAGAGGGCTGTCAACAGTGCAGCTGCGCCTGAAGGCGAAGGCTCTGGCAGTGGAGAGCAATGTTACGGGATTCAATAATGGTCCGTCGTGGTGTTTCCGCTTTATGCGAAGGAATCAGCTGGTTATGAGAGCCCGGACGACAGTGTGCCAGAAGCTGCCGGACGACAGTGTGCCAGAAGCTGCCCGACGACTTTCAGGCGCAACTGGACAACTTCAGCTCATTCGTGAGGGAGGAAGTTGCGAAGAAGAATGTCAGCGCGAGCCACATCGTTAACATGGATGAAGTGCCGCTGACATTCGACATCCCGCTTGGGAGAAGCATCGCCGAAAAAGGCCAGAAAACTGTCACGGTGAGGACAACAGGCCACGAGAAGTCCCACTTCACCGTTGTGCTCGCCTGCTGCACGGCACAAAGCTGCCTCCCATGCTAATATTTAAGCGGAAAACCTTGCCGAAGGATAATTTCCCTCCTACAGTGGTGATTCAGGCGAACACAAAAGGTTGGATGGACGAGGGAATGATGAGTGTGTGGCTTGACCGCTGTTTTTCCCGTCGACCAGACGGATTCTTCCACGTGAAGCCAGGAATGCTGGTAATGGACAGTATGCGGGCACATATCACCGATATTGTCAAGAAAAATATCAGTTCAAAGAACTGTATGCCAGTGATTATTCCCGGCGGCATGACGAAGATGCTTCAGCCGCTTCACATTTCTGTCAACCGCAGCTTCAAGGCAGTTCTGCGACGTTCGTGGGAAACATGGATGTTGGAGGGAGAACACAGCTTCACAAAAACGGGGCGCATGAGACGTGCAGAGTTCGGCGAAGTGGCGAAATGAGTGAGTGATGCTTGGGAGTCAATTTCTGCGAAGACCATTGTGGTGGGCTTTCGCAAGGCCGGTTTGATCCCCTGCGCGGCCGATGGCGACGTTGACCAAGTCCGATTCGAGCGAGTCGGAAGACGACAGTGATATGCCAGCAGTACTGCAACCAGAAGTAGCTGAATTGTTCGTGAGCGACTCGGAGGAAGACGACTTCGATGGCTTTGAATAAACGTCACCAAGCTATCGGAATAATAAAGGCACTTCTGAAAGTATTGTTTTTATGTGTGTTTAAAAGCGCTCGCACGCGTGACTGCCGATAGCTAGAAACGTGCAAAAGCGTTGGCCGTCGCAAGCATGCATTTTTGCAATGCATTGTCACGACAAGATACTTAAATGTCGGTGGTCGGATGAGCAAGTGCGTCTTCTACACCGGTGCGACTTATGCATCGGTGCGACTTATATACATTTTTTTTCGGAAAAACTGCTATTTTGAGGGGAGTGCGACTTATACAAGGGTGCGACTTATAAACCGGAAAATGCGGTAACAGAAAAACTAATTAAATATTTGAAATCAGCAGAAAAAACTGCATAACCCTGTGCAGTTTGATCAAGATCACTGAAGAAATAAACAAAAAATGTCTAGGACCAGTCTGCCTCCTTAAGTATATCGTCAAGCCTAACAAGAGAAAATGCAGTTTTTTGTCACTGCTCGTTACACAATGCACTTGGAGTGTTCTAGCGGAACCCCAATTATACGAATTTCAGAGGACCACGCAATACTGTCACATAATCCGAGCGTTGAATAATCGAATAATCCCTTAAAAAGCGGGTGCAGACCACCTGATTAAGCCCACGGCACGACCTTGGGCCTCTGCAAGGAAGGTTGATGTATTTGAAATCTGCACATATTCACATGAGGTTAGGAAGTCGTATCAAGATCAATCAAGGTTTCTTTCTAAAATTTTTAAAATGCAGTGTCACTTCTTAAAAACAAAGGTCCGCAGCTTCGCATTTTACATTTATGCCGTTTTCGCATCACAGAAGCTCGCGAACGAAATCGCCGTCTGGCGATCTACACATCGCTTGTTTCCATGCATTGCCTGACCTGATGAGAGGTACAGTCGAACCTCGATATATCGAACGACGCGGTGATCACGAAATAGTTCGATATATCCAGAATTCGATATAAAAAAAATCACGAAAAAAATGCATCAACAGCTTGCTGAAAACAACCAACGAACCGTTCAAGCGTGGTGCAGTAAATACTCACTTGAAGATTCAAACATAGTATTTATTGTGTTGGTTTAAAATATTAAAAAAGAGTAGCCTGCTTTTTGTTGGCCATGGCGTGTTTGACGACTGCGTCCTCAATATAGTCCAGGCAATCTATAAGTGATAGGCCGGTGCCTTCTATCGCGCCGCAGTGGCGGCGCACAAGGGCCAAGGCAGCTACGACCTCAGCTGATGTCAGGAGCGGGGCACCATCAGCACTTGCGGGATCCACCTCGGCAGAGGTGGATCCTGCAGAGGTGGATACATTTGGATCCGGCAGAGGTGGATACATTTGGCTTCGGCGACAATCTCCACATCCGTGAGCTCCGCCGTTCGGAGTTAGGCCTGTCACAGCGCGCGACAGGCCTAACTCCGAACGCACGAACACTGCGAGCACAACGACCGATGCTTGCCGATGCTACGGGGGAGGAGCTTGCAACAAGTGCGCAGTGTGCCATTGACACCATAGAGACTGCAACGACTGCAAGCTGCAAGGCTGCGGCATGAGTCCAGGTGTAAAGTGCGCACATGGCGCGCCCATGCTGGCTCGCCTGACTGCTTTCCCTTTCCCGGCGGCAGCGCGGACCGCGTCCGAGACAGTTGTCTGCGTCCTTTCCCTCCTATACTTTCCTCCTCAATCTTTACCTCCCACTCCCCCTTCCCCCGCGCGAAGACGTGTCGGTGCCTTCGTATTGAAAGACGATAACAGCTCCGCGCTTTTCTCTTCTCTTTCCTCATTTAAAAACCTCTACCGCAAGGCTGCGGCGTGCATACGCTGCTACGTTAAAGTGGCGCTCTCGGCGCAATCGATGTGTGTAGCATTCGTAAACGCCCTCCACTCTACCGCTACTTTCGAGAGTTGCGGGAAAGCTCGCCGCCTGTCAATGGAGCGCGGGTGGTTTGGGGTGGCCGAGTTCGATATATCCATTATATGTCAAACTTTGTTCGAAATAAAAAATCAATAATGCATGCGATTTCCCGCGTGATATAGGAACCGTTCGATATAGGCAATAATTCGATATATCCGTGTTCGATATATTCAGGTTTGACTGTATTTTACATTGTACTGTTCTGTATCAATCATTCAGTTTTCGATGCGAAGCGTCTTATGCCAAAGGCTGTGTATCTCAGTCCTGCGGCGTGTCCCCTCCCCCTCTGTCTTTTCTTACGCTCCCCCTCTTTCTCATTTCCCAATACCAATGCAGGCAGCATCTGCTAGCGAGTTTTTTTTTTTTTTATTGAAAAAAAAACAGGGGCCGCTCACGCTGCACAACTGTTCACTGGCCACTTGTATATATACGCACTGAATTTTGACCTCCAAGGTAGTGCCGGTGGGAGATATCTCCTGTTTGTTGCTGAACAATAAAAAATCGGAGTGTGTGAGTTAACTAAAGCGGACTGAAGGTGTCTGTGCCCAACCAGAGTCTTCTGTCTCTCATTGCCGATTAGTAGTGATAGGCGTGTTCCGGTAGCAAACACCGGCTTATCGCTGCGTGCTTCGCGCCTCTCCAGGTTTCTCTCCTCCACAATGCTGCCATGAGTGCCAGCATGAACACCGTCGATTGTGTAAGTGTTAGGGCCCACTGCTTTGCATCTACAAATGGTTCCCTTTAGCAGGAGATGGTTTTTTTTTTTACCATGTTTTGGACCTGGTCTACAAATGACACCAACGAGAATAATGATGGGCAAATCAGAGTTCGCCACCCACCTGGAGCACCTTCCAGTAAGTGGGGTTGTCCTGGACCTCGTCCCTGTGGGCGTTCAGGTCCAGTATTTCGGTCATGGTGTCCTCGTCCGAAGAGCCGGACTCCTCCTCACTGGAGCCCTCCTGGTGCTGAACGAAGCGCGCCACGGCATTAAAGAGCCCCGGGTTGCAGTGAAGCAGGCACCGGTGCAGGCCGTGGCGCACGACTAGCGCTGCGAAGAAGGTGTTGTTGACCAGGGATGAGCGCAGGTCTGTCAGCTGGCCCGGGTTGAACTTGCGCGGGCCCTCGTAGAGGTACCGCGTCACCAAGTAGTCGATGACCGCGTCACCCAAGAACTCCAGCCGCTGGTAGCAGTCCGTCAGACTGCGTGCGTTAGAAAGGGAACAATGTTCTCCAGTTCTCGCCACCAGTCCGACAGTAATTAATTCTAAGTACCCAATGATAATAAGAAATCCTCACTCCTTAGTTCCACAGCACCCAGTCCTATTAAAATTGAGTACAAGGGAGAAATGAGTGAGAACTCTTTACCGGATAAATATATCAGAGTTTTTGCTCCTTAGTTTCACAGTACCCAATTGGGTAGCTTGGTTTTGGAGATCTTTTGACATTAAAGGGCACTAAATCAAACAACAATTTACATCTGAAAGCTCAATGCATGACAACACCTAAAACGATAATATTATCAACAACGGTGCCCTACTTACAGAGAAATTAAGGTAAATGCACAAGAACACAAGCACACAAGCGCCGCAGTAGGACATTTTCAATATGATCCTGATGACATCAGACGGACCGCCTACAATTAATCACTAGTAATCTATCTAACAGCACCAAATAAATAACCTTCCGTGCATCAAGAAACGCAATAAAATGCTGCTTGTTCGTTTCTGTTTGATTCATGAAAAAAGAACCGCCGGACATTACTATGGGGAATCGCGCGAGTGGTTCAAAAATTCAGTATATGTGTGGTTACACAGGACAGGTGGTGCCATTTAGCGGGGCGCAGTTGAAACAAGAGACTCTGCGATCTCGGAGCCAATGGAGGGAAATTGATCAATGGCCATTGTTGCTGCTGCGGCTCTCGTTGATTTCGGTCTGCTGCTACTAGTGCAGTAAAGCCGGGCAACGTGCATGGCAACAGTGATGTGAGTTGGATGGGCGGTCCGCTTCTTGAGGCGGGTAATTTGAAGTGCGTTAACCCAATTTGGACCATTAGAATGCGATTTTATTTCAAAATACGCCCTACTTGGCACAAAAGTAACACTACGAGGTTTCTGGAGTGCCATTTCAACAGTAAACGTCGACTTAATAGTTGACCTTAGTGTCCCTTCAAGTTTGAAGAGTTTGAACCTTGGTGTAATGTAGGATGCTCAGAGAGCTGAATACTTGCCGTGGTCACTTAACAGTTATAACTTTGATCTGCTATCTATTTTACAAGCGGGTTCAGGCCTTACAGAGAGTTAGTACAAACTGAAGGGGTAAAACTAGGTCGAAACAACAATGCTGGTACTACACTACTATATAGTCATTGTTTCCTTTGCCAATATTTACAGATCAACTAAAATTAGAGCTATGCAGCTCTAATGAAAACATAAATATATCAAGCAAGGGCATTTTCATGCTTTACCAATGTGTGGACAGCGTTTAGTGTTTACTTAAAACATTTGTAGGAAGCATTCAAAAGTATTTACTGCACGCAGTACTCGCGAAACGGGAAGGAATGCCTGCAGTCGCCTTTGTTCGATGGCATCGCCATATCCACTGGAGTTGAGAGATTGAGGCTGATTGCACGTCTTGTGAGCCACGATGCGTTGCTGTCTGCACTTTCGGCCAAGATATACATACAGCCGCAATTCACGAAACCTCACTTTCGTCAAGTGCGATAAAATTTAAGTACTACTCTCAAGTATAGCAGGCATCACAGGGGCTGGCAAGCGTTCACAAGGCAGCGTAATGGCGGCGTCCTCGTGGTCAGGGATTCTAATTCGAGGGCGCTACAAGACGCTTTTCTTCGGGTGTCAAAATTATCTCTACGAGTCCTCAGCCACGGCGCCTCCTAACCCTGCTTGCTGATAATGTCCCACTGTGGGTACCAACTTGTTAAGGGGGGACATGGGTCTTTAAAATTTTTTTTCTGTTTTTGGCTCAATCTTGACCAAACCTCACCATCTTGGACAGTTTTTCATGCTGATTTCAAATATGCAATTGTTTCTGAAATAGCTTCAGTGGATAAAAAGATATTAACATAAAAAGATATTAATTTAATTAATTATGCACTTCATTGGGGGCTTTTTGGCAACTTAATCAGGCCAGATTCAGAAAATAAATGCATAGCCCCAATGCTGAGGGCTTTCTGTATGGGGTGATGCTATCTTTATTAATTTTTAGGCATTATATAGATAAGAAAACAGACCAGCACTTACAATGGATATTCTGTTCAATTTTCGCTCATTACTATCCATAATTGTAATTAACAGTATGTTTCTAGAGTAATCAAAATAGCATCACCCCATAGGTAATGTTATTACAAATAAAATGATACCAAGTTTGTCATTCTCAAACAACAGTAACATATAAGAAAAACCCCTAAGGTTTAGTGTGGTGCACAAAAACATCGAACTGAGAAAAACGCATTTAAAGTTTCTAATAACTGTAACTTTTGCTAAAGTGAAGCTAGAGCAATAAAAATGGCACCGTTGTATAGCTCTACATTATGTGAGTATGGCTGTACCAAATGTGTCAATGCACCTACCCAAAATATTTGCCACAGCTCATTTAAAAACTGTGTACTGGCCGTTGAATCAGTATAAGGAACCCAGTCTACCACTTTGTGGCTGTTCTAGTGCACTGAAAACCAAAGGAAGACACATGTTATATATAAAAACATCGCCCTTTTATACATAAAACACTATTTCAAGTAAAACACACATTTTTGTCCCAGACATCCTTACAATTCTACAGCATGCAAGGGCTGTATGCAGTGTCTCTTGCAGGCTTATGTCGCTTTGCAAGTGTTGCCTTTGTTGAACTGCTCTGCAGGTGCTCCCTCCGCGATTTGTGAAGCCTGGTTTTATTCTTTTCAAGGCTACGACGCATGAAGAGATTTCCTGCACTGTAGCCTAGCTTCTCAGCAATTGCTTCATTGCTCTTCGTGGCCCCTTGATTAAAGCGGCTGATGGCTTCAGCCACTGCTCTTTCTACGCTGCGCAGTGAGGCATGGGTCGTCGTCTGAATGTGCTGCCTCCGCAATAACAGGCATTTCCAACAGCCCGTTGTCGTCAGAATGCGCTGCCTCGGCCATCTCCGGCGTTCTCGGCGGCGCGCAGGCCGCTCCCTTCTGCCGCGCATTCCACGCTCGCTTCTGTTTCCTGCCGAAAGCTTGACGAGTGTTCTTCTTCAGGCGAGCTCCCCAAGCCATGCCAGCGAAATGCAGAAAGACGTATACGTCGGCGACGTCGGTACATGAGCGGGTAGCAGACGAGATAACACGCACGAGAGCAGGCACCGACAGAGCAAAACCAAACAAAAAAAAAGAGCGAGCAACCGTGGCCGCGCGGCCGCGCCGCCGCGCCAGCCAATGGTAAGCGCGAGACGGGGGGGCTCGCCGGCGCGTGCGCGCTCTAGCCAATCAGCAATTTGGCAGACGGCTTCGCAAAACGGGGGAGGGCAGTCATTGTGTTGGAGCTATGCCATTTTGAGAGCCCACAAAACGCGCACAAAGGAACCAGCTTCAAAACAAGCTCAAGATGGCGCCGATCCGCCGGCTGCTTCGCTGGCGGCGCGCGCGGGAAGTTCGAACAAATTTTCTGTTTTGCGGGTTGTTTTGCGACTCCCGTGATGGTTTGAAAATATATTTTAACCTATTTTTATATCGAATTTAGCATTAATAATTTGAGGAGAGGTGCTTATAGGTTCAAAGATTCGAAAAATGCGTTTTTCTCAAAATCGATTTTTTGGCTATTTTTTACTTTTCTAAGACTCGCGTCCCCCCTTAAACAGTAATTTTCCCCCCCCCAAATTTCACGATTTAGACTACAAATACACGAAAATTTTTAAAGCCTAGACATCGAGATCGTGGTAACATAATCAATAATGCTTAACTTTATGTGCCAAAAGCAAAATATTATTACGAGGTGCACCATACTAGAGGGCTATGACCATCTAGTCATAACCTACTGACATCAAGCAGAAGATAGGTCTCCAGCATTTCGCCTCCATCAAAGTTCTGCAATGGCCGAGATCGAACTCGTGACTTTCAGGTGGGCAGCTGAGCATCATAACTACGCTCAAACCTGTTCATAACAAATTGCATCTTACAAAGTTTGTCACATCTAAAAATTCGTTATAAAAGTACATTTCTAACACTATATCTATTGCAAGGGTATTCCTCAGTTACTTCGTTATAACAGATGTTTCGTTATATTGAGGTTTGAGTGCATTGCAACATCGATGCGGACATTTGCAGAAACGTAGGTTACCGGTTTTTGTAGTACGAGGCGTGCGTGCAGGCCTGCAGCAGGAAGGACCGGTCGCGGAAGGTGTAGCCAAGAGTCTTCTCCACCAGGCAGAGGGTCGAGTGCCACGGACTGCTCGGGTTTGCGAGGTGGCCCTCTGGGTCGTCTGTGTAGCGAAGCAGCGACGTCCGTGGCACTGGGAAACCCAGGAACGCCGGCGCTGCGGTGCGTTTGGCGTCGTCGTTACCTTGCGCGTCCAAGTCGCACTGCTCCAGCTTCAGGCCCATCCACTTCATCACCTGCACCCAAGAGTGCAGCCTTGAGAGGACGCTAACGTGAAATGCTAATTCATCATTACTGGAGAGCAAAAGAGAAAGCACTCATGACGGAGTCACTTAAAACCACCATAAAATATCCCCTTGCCCCCTAGCAGAGGAAGAGGTGCTAGAAATAAACAATGCCCACTTGTGCTTCCAATAAAATTCCTCGTAGCGTACGCACGCATTCGCAGTTTTCATGCACCACCATCAGGCGCACAAAAGCAGGTAATGAATGAGTGAAAATGGCAGTAGAAGAGGGCAATGCTTGCCTGGTCATTGGCACATATTTTGAACCTCGAAAAAATGGGAAGGGGGTGCTTGCTAGGAATGTTATGGTAAAGCTTGCACACGTCAATACATAAAAATATAACTCAAAACACACACGCTGCCCCTTATAGAAACAGAGTCTAAGAAAGAACACAAGGCATTAAATCTTGCGTGGCAGTTCTAGTGAGATACTATGCAGTGGCCTCGAAAAAACAAAAGATACTTCTTTATAAATTAGTGCGAGTGTCGGCTGACTTGCATACCAATGACCTTCTCTTCTTGTATGATAGGCTTCACAAATTTCTCTCGCAATCTTGTCCAAATGACTGAACAAAACAGCCATGCATGTGAACTTACACTCAGACCTCGATTTAATGAACCCAAATATATCGAATTATCGGTTATAGCATGGTAAGTTAGGACTAGTTATGTCACAGGTAGTGTTAGGAATACATATATATCACAAATGCTGGATATAACAAAGTATTTTCATGGCAGGCATGACTTTGTTATGCTAGTAACGTTTATTTATTTATTTGTTTTATTGCGATAGAAATTATATGGACACTCTCGGCTGGATTTTGCTGCCAGCATCGGCGTCACTCACTGTATATGAATACGTATCAATACATACGAAAATGCAAGAAAAGAAACCCAGAAAAATACTGGTGCGCGGAATCGAACTTAGGTCCGCTCAATCGTGAGTGTGAGCCGTTAACCACTGAGCCCATTACCAGCAAGATTGCACGACGAGTGCGCATCGCCACATCGTGCCGCAGCGCGCGCTCTTACACGTGTACTTGGTTTGCTTAAAGGAGGAGAGTGACGCTCCCTCACGCGTTCTCATCTCGCGGTGGGGAAGAGGGGAGGATCGTATGTCTTGGCTGCTCTTGGACTTTACCTGGAACGATTCTGTTGTAGTTACCGGGTGCATAAAGGTCACGGCAATCATTAAAGCCTCCGTTTGCAAAAAGCACATGCTTTTCAGACACAGTGAAGTAACAACTGAGATGCTTATTCGTGTACATCTGTACCTGTGAGTACGTTTTGTGCATCATTTGTGCGTGAGAAACGCAGGGCAGGTTTCGATCTGCTTTCTATTCTGCGCGTGACCTTCCAATTTGTTGCTATCGCATTCATTGCTTTGCCTTTCCGGCAAAGCTGTGACTTTTTATTTATTTGTTTGTTTATTTGGTCAGACATACTGCGGACCAGCATTTTGGTCCCAGCAGGAGGGGCAAAAGAAACATCAAGTGATTCGTAACAGAAAAAAATAAAAAAGCATGAATTTGTTGTAAAAAAATGTATCTATATGCTAACAGAGGTCACTTGTCTGTGAAAAAGCAACAAGACTTATAACCCATTTGAACACTAAACACTAAAGAGAACTTTCCAGTGATGTAGCAAAATGATCAGTCGAAAAAATCTTCTGAGGCAGAAAATTCCAGATATTAACTGTTCTGGAAAAATAACTATTTGTAAGCATTAGTTCGTGCAAATATGGGTACCAAACATCGGTCATTTCAACAGCGGGTTTTCCTAAGAGTGGCTGGTTGGACGCAACAAGGTACACCTATGGCAACTTTCCCCGACATCATTTTGTATAAAAATGTTAAACGAGTCATTCCAAGAGAGGAATTTTGTATAATTTCATTATTGTGCTAGGTGAGTCGAGTTCTTGATAGTTTAAAATAAATCTAACTGCCTTTCGTATTTTTTCAAGAAGCATAAAATTTTTTCTAGTAAAAGAGTCCCATATGATTGCAGCATACTCTACTTTAGACAGAACCAAAGTTTTATAAGGCAAAAGTTTTATGCTAGAAGGAGCACCTTTCAACTTCCTTTTTAAGCACAACGCCTGCATTCTTGATAATTTTGATGTGGGAAAAAATTTTCTTTGATGTTTACTGCCCATTCGAGAATGATCACAATGAGTCCAAAGACCCCAAGCTGTGAAGGCCTGTGGCTGCCAAAAAAGTGAATGCGCGTACTCGACTTACCTTGAGGGCGCCGATGGGACCGGTCACGAGAAGGTACGCGCCAATTATGGCCTCCACCGAATCGGCGACACTCTTGTCGGACAGCTGCGACAACTGGCGGATCGGAACGGCACCGGACGTGTTGCGAGGCGGAGGCACAAACCCCGGCTTGCTAGATTCAGTTTTGTAGCGCTGCGCATAAGAAAAACATAATTTACCCCAACAATGGAAATGGATAATGAGATCAAAACATTACAAAAACTTCCCAGGCAAATTCTATGTTGCATTATGATTTCGCATTCGCTACCTTCGAATTATCGGAAGTGCCGCCCACTAAAACGTGGTACAAGTAAAACGACAAGGTCCTACCTATTACCATTCTGGGTATGTTCGAAGAGTTATACGAGCTGGTCGTGTTTCAGCTACAACACCAGCAGTAGAGATACTTCCCACTGGAGGCTGCTGAGTGTGCAAGGGTCTTACTACTGAGGGCAAGTAGACTCATGTCCGAACTATTGTCTAATACAGTTTAAGAAGTCCAAAGAGGCCCCACAACAGACAGATGAAACTTAGCAGCCGAACGCCTCTGTGACTAAAACAAATAGTGCTGCTCGTGCACTTGGCAATGTTTTCCGAAGGCTGGTTCAGCAACTGTCCGGCTTACAGTGTCACCCTGGAGTGCGCTAACATTGGAGTGGGTATTTTGGGCATCCGCCATTGAGCAGGAAATGCAACGGACTTCTCAAAAGATAGTTGACAAGAGTATGGATGTTATGGACTGTTATGGACTTCGAAAGTTATGGACTTCCCAGTGATGAATCAGGATCAGTTATGGACTTCTGAAGCTTCATCCAACTATAGAGTAACCTGGCTACCACCATAAGTGTTTTGCCCTGGGATACCAAGAAGTTTGAAACACCTGGAAGCACTGATCGATGTAGGATATGTACAGAACTAGAAGGACTTCAATTAGGCTTGTACAAATACTTGAATGCTTCGAATATTTGAACGAATATTACAGTATTGAAATTTGCTCCAACTTGAATTTACAGTATCAGGAAATTTGGAGTTTAATGAACAAATAAACACAAATATGTGTGCATGTAGCAATCCTGTCACTACAGTAGAGGGGTGCTAAGCCGTGAAAACACCTATCGCCCTAAAAAATTCACACTGCCTTGAATCCCCACCTTAGATATAAATGAACATATGACCCTCATATCGATTCGCAATTTCTTAAGTTAGAAAGCTTATTATACTAGCATATATGCTCCTAGTATGCTAAATTTTAAAACACAATGTACTTTACATATTATGATTTGCATTCTACCAAAAGTCATATACTGCCATTCAAAGTTGTTTCCACATCCTTTGAACCAAAAGCGATGGCATTTGCACAGGTCCCATTTCATTTTCTCAGAAATTATTCTGCATGTTAAATGGGTCATGAAAAATATGCTCATTTTCTATATAATATGCAATAAAAGCCGTTCGAAGTCCGTTTGAAATTGTTTGACGAAATCACTATTCACTTTGAATTCACTTCAACTCTAAAACTTACGACAGTCGAACCCCTTTATAAGAGGTACTGATGTAACAAACAAATGGGCAACTCAGACCTCTATATAATGAAACTGGATAAAGGGAAATACTGGTTATAACAACGTAAATGAAGAATAGTCTTGCAATAGATATAGTGTTGAGAATGAACTTTGTAACAAATTTTCGGATATAACAAACTTATTTTAATGCAAAATACAACTTTGTTATAATGAGGTTTGAGTGCATACGAGATGCCAGTGCACCCACAATGAAATAAGGGTTGGCAAGAAAATGCATACTTAGTAGTCTGCTTATAATAGAGATCTCATATGAAGAACAGGAATCGCTTCCCAGTGCAGGCATTAAGGGGGGAGGCTACCTTCGAAGGGCAACTTTTTGTTTGTTGAGATATCTTAATGAAATTTTCAGGGTACACTAATAGCAAAGCCATTTGAATAACCACAAAGTTTCATGCAGTTATGTTCACTGGTTCCCAAGTTACAGCCATTTATCAGGGTAGTCCACATGGGTCCCTTAGTCAGGGTATGGAGAATTTGAAAAATGTGCTAGCACTGTGAAATTCACTATGATTCCTGGATAGGTGCTTTAGGGCAAGACAGAGCCCTTTTTTTAAATTTCCTTGCCAAAAAATGTTAGCTGAGCACTGAATTTAGTGTTCACAATTTGGCTCTCATCAATGAAGTTTTAGTTAATTATTACAAATTACAGACACAATAAATTGAATAAGCGTGCTTGTCTTGCCCTGGGCAATTTATTAAGGTGCATAATAAAAAAAACCTGATAGAAATCAGACCAGCAGTTCCAGAGAGATCACCTGACTAAGCAGCCTCACTGGCAAAAAAAGTCATTCTGAGAAAATTGACTTCGAAAGTTTCAAACATTTATTATGGTCTAAAATGACCCTGCAGAGTAGCTAGATGTGTCCTTAGGCTCTCTTTTTCTTTGCCGCTTTTCCTGCTTCTCATTCATCCGTTTCTGAGCCTTTCTCAGACGCAGAGAGTCTTTCTCTGCAGCTCGTTGAATGGTTAGGTGGCCAGGTGCGAGTCCCACTGATGACGACAACTCTTGGGTGGCCCTGTAGCAGCCGGCATTATACCGCAAAACTGCGTCATGCAGTGCTGTCTCGACAGCAATCAATGATGCATGTTGCTCCTTGGGCATCAAGGACCATAGGACAGAATGAAATGGCTCCGATGCATTTTGCGTCTTTGCTCCCAGGTAGCGTTGCAGTAGAGAAGCCTGCGAAAGGCGCTGGTAGACTGGCAGCAGCGCTTCTGCAACGTAGCCCGGAAGATTGTATTAGTGCTTTGGAGGTGGCACGCCATTCCCCTTGCAGGCATTATGACGGCACCACGAGTCTGCACCTTCCGGGCACAAGTCATGGTGAGGATCCTCGTCAGTTGAGGTGACGTGATAATATGACGCCATCACTGCACGCTGCATTGCAGCCACATTGTTTGAATTGTTCCGCAGTGCCCAGCCATAATAGTCTGTGAGTTTATCAATAAGGGCTTTTGTCAATCTGCCCTTCCCTCCCAGAGCCTGTTCGCTTTTCTGCACAAGATTACGTAGGGCTGTGCCCATCCTCTTCCGGACATGGTTCAAGCATTCTTCTTTCACAATAGGGACTAGCCCATAAACATTGTCTTGTTGAAGGGCAGAGAATGTGGCGCTGTCCCCATCAGATACAATGGTTGTATACCGGAGGTTATGCTTGGACAGTGAACGTGAGAACAGAGTTACAGCTGCTTCAACCTCCATGCTCCCAGACTTGGCATCAGTGTTTTTTTGGCACACATGGTGCTTCAACCAGCTTGCATAGCCCTCGTCTTCAGGCTTCGGTCCTACCTGGCAGCCGAGACACTGATTCGATAAAACTACAGCATCCAAGATGAGGCCTGTGTGATACTCGATGATTGCACCAACTCCAATGTGAGATGTATGTCCGCGCTTATGCCACGTGCCATCATAGTTCACTGTAATGTCCTTGCAGAAAGATGGGTCCATCTCCTTGTACACCTTTTTCACAGCAGAAGCCGATTCTTTATAGAATTTATCCAGGGTCTGTTGCTGTGGTTCTCTGTTGCTTCAGGTGCCTCTGGAAAGTTCTGTGGTGCAGGCCACGGTGGGAAACATTCATAGTTGCCCAAAAGTCGTTGAGGGCTGTCTGTCCCTTCCCTATTTGTTTCATGGCCGTAATGGCTCTTATATTCACGTCGAAGGCCCTTGACTCGTTCTGACGAGCAGAGCTCCACGAACTTGAAACTATTCCACAATGTGGACATACCACCTCAAGCTTCGTGGCAAGTCCAAGCTGGGTGCCTCCTTGAACTTTCATCCCGGTCGCGAGGCAGCGCGGGCACGGGGTCTTGGACAGCATGTCGCTAAGGGCATCCCCTTGCACGAGGAAATATCTCTCGCCTTCGGTCGTAGCGGTGGCAGCTTCGGGTTCAGGCATCATCGCTTGAAACTTCCTCTCGATCGCTGGCATAGCGCCAAGCTTTCGTTGCACAGCAGCACATTCTCTCTCCGCCGTCGCCAACTCCTCGCACGTCCGAAAACGTGTTTGGATGTGCACAGTCGACGACGCGGTCTCACTGTTCGGGGCCGGAATCAATGCGGTTGGCGAGCGCGACACACCAGGCGCACTTGAGCACGAAACACCAGCCTCACTCGTCACGACGGATCCTTGTGCCGATGGTGTAGAAGTCTCGTCGCTAGAAGCGTCGACGCAATCGTCTTGAAAAGATGAAGCGGAAGCATCGGTGCAACTGTCGCCACGCGTGGGCGTGCAGGTGAGCTTCGCCATGCGTACGAGCTTCAGCTGACGCTTTCTTGAACCGAACGCGTGCCGAGTCTTGAACTTCGAAATGCCCATCGTGACCGTCAGCGCAACAATCCGCGTCCCGTGAACACGGCGGAAGATCGTCTCGTAAAGACGGTAGAAGATCGTCTCGTGAAGACGGTAGAAGATCGTCTCGTGAAGACGGTGAAAGATAGAGGAGCACGTGTGACGACCGATCGGAATGATAGCAAACGGGGCACACAAAGAACGCCGGCATTGCAAGCGCCGGTGCAGACGACGAGCCGGCGCATGCCGGAGAAGCAGCTACGTCCTCGCGCGCAGCAGCCAATAGGAGCCGCGCGTTCCCCCATTCCCTCGAGAGGCGCGCGTTTTGTCTAATCGCGGCTTCGCATCCAGGCAGCGGGACATTCGAAAGCGTCCGCGAGCCCCCCAATCGTGAGCGACTCCCGCCTCGAACCGCCACCGCCACTGCCGCGGGTGGCGAAAAAAAAAAGGCAAGAATTCACGAGCAAAACAACATCAAGATGGCGGCGATCGGCCGAGCAGTTGGGAAATGGCGAGCGCGCGAAATTGGGGTATTTTTGGCGCTCGCTCGCCGCTTGCCGGCTGCCGCGGCATGTTATAAAATTTATTTGACGTACTTTCGCGATGAATTAGACATTGATATTTACAGTAGAGGCAGTTTATGAGTCATACTGCCCGAGTATGTGGTTTTCAAAAAATCGACTTTTTCGCGATTTTTAGGTTTTCAAAGGGTGCGTCGCCCCTTAAGGGCTTCCACTGTATTTGTACAAACCTGACTCAAATGCTTTGAAGAGACCCTAAAACAGGTGCTAAAGCGAAACATCAAATCATTCTTTGACTAATAAATGGTTCTCTGAGAACAATATCATTTTTAATCTCAACGTCACATGTTCATAATCAGAAGAAACATTAAGGTCAAAGCGTCTCATTTTTGAGTTTGTGCCAATGTCTTGAATTCAGAAAGTCATTGTGATGTCATGAGGTTCACCCCCGTATTCACAAACTCTCCTCGACTCGACTTTCACCCTTCACTTGACAGAGTTGCACACTGCACTGCTGCTCAGCTGAAAATGACGCTGCGCTACTCAAGAATAGCAGCAAATTATCACCGATATGCAGTGACTTTCCCTGCCTAGAAATGGCGCTCCCATCAGCTTTCTCAAATGAAGGTGGAGCATTGAGTGAGGGGGCGTTCTAGAATACAGGGGTCAGTTTCTCTCTAGAGTTTGGACACACTCGCTTGAATTTTACACAGACCTTCAATGTTGGGCAGCACACATCAAAGAACTACAAGTGATCGAAATGTTCCGAAGCCCTCCTCTACACCATCTCACACACTTCCCTTAGAAAACAAGAGTTATTATCCATTTACAACGGCTAAAAATTATGCACACACTAAGAGAGTCCACCTAAGTAACATCGGGAAACCGCTGCTATATCTCAGTTGGTAAAGCATCGGACATGTTGTTACTCAAAGGTCGCAGGTTCGGGTCTTTCCAGCAGCAAGTCATCTTTGTGTCCACTTTTTTTTCAAATTTACATTTCGGTTGACATCCTCTATATTTTCCTTGGCCTCCTTGTCTATTAGTTTGCATTAATACTGTGTCGAATGAAAAAAAAAAAAAATGAGCCCATTATTTGCCACTTCAATTCTTCATAAGTCTTCTTAGTGGCTTGTGGTATTAACAAGCCACAAAGACTTTGCCGATATGAAAGAAATATTTGTTTTCACGCAAGACACTTACTTCATAGCTGCTGCAGAGCTCTTCATAGTTGAGCTTGTCCAGAATTTTGGTGTCCTTCTGGATCACCCAAAAGACAAAATCAACGTCCATCATAATGTCCTCTGCGCCTTCGGGGACCCAGTAGCCTGGCGGCAGCCAGTTTCGGAGTGGCTCAAACTGCTCCTGCGCAATCATCGAGCCGACATGCACCTTGGAGCCAAGCTTGTGCAGGTTCCGGTTGCAGATGATGCGGGAGCGCGCCTGCGTCAACAGCCCCTCCTGGGCCGATGTGGAGCCACAGAACAAGTCGATGGTCACTGCAAACTTGAGGAACGAGTCCCCGAGAACCTCGAGACGTTCGAGGTCGAAGCCATCCGCTGCCTTTGCCGACGTCACAGCTTCCAGCAGAAGTCCCGGGCTCGGACCGGGGTTGCCTTTCAGCTCCGGCTGGTACTCGAATGACCGCGATAACCTGGGCATCCGTATTTCCTCCGCGTCGCCATGTCCACGAAGGAGGTTGCCGAACTCCACCTTGTCGGGAGCAGGCGCGAAGCTGATCGTGGCGCTACCGGAAACGGCGCTCTGGAAGTCCACGCTCGGCCAGCAGCCTCGAAAAGTCTCGACTCCAATGCCTGTCGCTGCGGCGATGGAAGCACGCAGTTCCTCCATGACGAGGAGTTGGTTCAACCGGTACACAATGGTCGGAAGGCACACCGCCTTGCGCCAGATGCTTGCTGGGACGGGGTGAATGTCACAGAGCTCTGGGACACGCAACTCCACTCGGTGGTTAGTGGCCGTCTTCTTGAGGAAGACGTCACCCTTACGGTTGCGGTAACGCGGTGTCAGCAGGTTGAGCCGCATCTCGGTGAAGACCACCTCGAGGATTGGCTGTGTGGAGTCGGTGACGTGCAGGTGGTGGATGACGGTCACGTAATAGCGGAAAGTGCTCATACCGTCAATACTGTCGACGGTGAGGTCAGTGCGGATCTTCTTCACGTAGAACGTACTGTGGTGGTAATGAAGAGGAGCATAGCGGGGCACCACCACGGCACCTTCGTATTCACAGGGATTGAACTTGTAGGCAGTTCCTGTCACGCGATTCTTGTTGATCCCGTTGACAACTATGTCGACGAAGGGCCAGTCTATCATCGATGTGTCGCCGTCTGCAAGACAGATTACACCCATACCTAATCAGTATAACAGATGTGGAAGTAATTGTTTATTAACATTGTACACTAACAAATCTGTTCTCATGATAGATGCAACTTCTTATTAGCCATGTTCTACCATGATTGAGAGACCATGTGACGTGCTCATTCGCGTTGTCCCATAATGTCTCTCTGAAAAGCAACCATGGAAGCCAGCTGAACATACATCGTGAGTAGGGCTCAGTGTTTTCTGAATTTATATATGTTGAAACTCAGAGGGTGTTTCCTGGAGTTTACTTTATTGGGTGGAAATTTGGCATTTATCGGAGTCAATTTCTCATGAATACCCTATTCTCTGAAATTTGTTGTTTAATCTTGCATTATAGGTTGTCCGACGTGCTCTTAATTTATTTTCAATGAAGATGCATTACATTGTTGCTTATAATCTTGATTTTCCAACCTTCAATTTGCTTTTCACCTGCTCTTTCCTCATCCCATTAGTAAGGCTGCAATGCACCAACGTAACATTGGTAAACCACACTGCACTGCTGTGAAGTTGCCCAAGTCTACTTTTTCTGGAAGGAGGGGAGAGCTAGGCAAGCTGCTTGTCCTCTTTCATCTTGCTGAAAATTGAAGGACCTATCAATATTATTTTTCTTAATACTGTGAAATCTTAGTAGAAGTTTCATTTCAACACGAAAGCATGCAAACACACTAAATGTATTTTAGGTGTCTTGAAAGTTTGATTGCACAAACACATGCGTGAAAGGACAAACACTTGAATACAAAACACCTACGTTTGTTAGTGTTACAACGTTCAATTGTGACGCAAGCAGACTTCACGCGGTTGCTGTCACTGATGATATTCACTTCATTCAACTGATAAATCTCATCATTGAAAATGCTGTTCGGACATTGAAAATGCTCTCGTGAAATTGCAGTTTACGGATAAATCCTGATAGTCAAAAGCTTAACCGTATACGTGTTAATAAAATACTTTCGATAGTGACAACACGGCTGTCTACATAAAAGAAAAAAAAAACCTAACAATTCAAAGCTGCATGTCCTCAGGTGTTGCTCAATACGTGTGTGATAAAACTATGCGCATGGCATTGAAAACTAAGATCGAACGACGGGGACACAACCGAATATTCAGAAAAGCTTGTTCTACTTGCTGCACAACCCCACGTATGTGGGGCAAATTCAATGTGCAACAAGACGGAGCAAGGATCTTCAAGTGAAGTCATCCGGTGGCATGTTGATGAAGTGCAGTTCAGGCTTGTGCAACAACCGAAGAATGGCACTGCAATTGCAAAAACTTCCTTTCTTTCTTTTTTTTTTTTTAAGGCGCGCTTAGCGTAGTTAGCGTGTTCTTAGAACTATAGCGTGGTGGCACCCGCAAGAGGCTAGAGGAAGGGCACGCACCCGCACTGCACACCGGCTCGAGGGGGCACAGGCTCGCCTGGCCACCTTGCACACACACACAAGTTTTTCAATGTTCGATAAAACTCATTCTCGAGTCTTCAAGGTGCCTCCGCTCTTCGTGAACGATGCAAACTTGAGGTCCGAATATGACACATCCCAGCATTCTCGCGGGTGCAATGTATCGCAGTGCCGGTTTTTCCTCCGGGTAAGCATAACAAACTTCACGGTTCCAGCCTACCACTGCTCACCTTTGATAACTGGAGCCAAAACGGGACTGCTGGGCGCCGAGCTCAAGTCAAACCGAAGAAGGGGCCTCTCCTTCATTCGGAGCACGTCGTCCCAGATTGCGCGATGGAAGCACTGCAGCCGGCGGCACTCCTCGGCCGAGAGGCTCACCAGGCCCGCGCGAACCACCGTCACCTCCTCGTCACCGGACCGCGTGAAGATTGGAAACGAAGGCAACTGAAATCGCAAATTAGCGGAGCCCTTCACTATGTCATGCCTCATAGTCATATTGTGGTTTAGGAACGTGAAAACCCAAGTATTATTATTATTATTATTATTATTATTATTATTATTATTATTATTATTGAAAACACCTTGCTGAGCATAGACTTCAGCAAATGGTAAATTTTAGGTTTCAAGTGAATACGAAGTCATGCCCCAACTAACCCGCACAATATATATTTTTAATTGAAACAAGGCCTTTGCAAATGCCTTTTTTTTTTGTTCAAGGGAAGTGGAAACGATTTTCAATAGCAGATAGATTTGAGTACCAGTAGAATAGAAGTGATAGCCTGTAAAATATGTTACGTTTAAAAATTTACTAAACTTGGAGCATGTAAGCCGGTATAACAAGGTTTTGAAATTTAAAAAATGGTGAATTGATGTGAGGATGATATATCTACCCTGAATAAAAGCAAGCTTCCCGGAACATTAAATTAGGAGTTTATTTACAATAAACCACAGCCTGACTCCATGGGTTGCTGCTGCAGCGCAGATTTGAAGCCAGAACAGATCGTCGTCTTCCTCGCTGTCTCTCTTTTTCCAACACATCCAACCTTGAAGTGGGGCTTTGAGGCAGTGTGGATTTCTACTCAGTAGGTGTACTCAAAGTACAGCACTCATTCACTGCAGTGAAATATTTTTACAGCAAATTAAATGCTGACTAGTAAGCACTGAGTAGGTGCTTTCACAGCTTAGCACACTTTTAGTGCAGTGGAACCACTTTTCCAGCGGATTACATGCAGACTACTATTCACTTAATCGTTCATTTCGAATACTTCGAAATTTTTAACAACTTTACATAATCATTCAAATATTTCAAGCATTCAAATATTCACACAACTCTAGCACTTTGTTGTCACATTTGCGTGATGCTAGTGCCTGGAGTATGAAGCTTGTATACTCGAAATTGCCCAAGTTTTCCCAGGCCCCCTATTCCCATCAGCAAGATTAAACAAACTGACGTCCTAACCCTAGCGGCATTGGTATCAAACGTTGCCTTCCTCGTCAGCACTGACAATAAATGTCTTAATTTCACGGTTATGTCACGTATCATCAAAATACATTCATACATCATTGTCACTTAGCAACTTATTGCCAAAGATAATCCTTACGTCAATGGGTCACCGATGATCGAAGGACATCAGGGGTCATTCTAACATCACTGTGCCATCATGCCATGTGCCATCTAACACATCATCAGAGGATGCCGATGTGATCAATAAGTCATTGAAAATACAGTAAACTCTCAGTAAACAGACATATGCAATATGAAAATTCACCATATGCTACAAAACAGCTGCTTCTAATATGACTGATTTTATACTTGCATTCCGCGTTCCTGTTTCTCTCTCAGCAAACAAAAGTCCTCACGAACGAAACATATTTTCTTGGTCCTACAACAACAAAAAGCGTTGTTTGTACTGCACATCAATGCACTGCCGCTGCCTGGTTGCGGCCGCCAAGCCTCGTCAAACTGTATGCAGCTTACGGCTTTTTCACTAGAGTGGCCTTCAACATTGTACTTTGTGCATGTTGTAAATAAAATTTGACTTGACTCGACTTTCAGGTTTTATTTAATGAGTCCACTGTATATTCACGGACATAAAATGTCATTCCAATATTACTATGTAATTATGTCATGTGCCATCAAACGTCTTTATTTCATGAAAGCGACAACGTAAACCGCTTGAAATAACGACTTCAATATTGCCGCCCTTTCAAGCGCTTCACTATGCCGCTATGTTAAGCAAACAAAGATAAACCTCTGCATTGGTCAAGCTAACTTCATCAAATTATTATTAACATATCACCAAATAATGTGTAAAAACATGCTTATACAATTATTACTTGTCATGCAAAAATAGTAAGTTTTAGGTTTGAAGCAAATTTCGATAGTATATACCACATATTATATAAAAAAATTAACATAATTGTCATGACCCTAAAAACCTGCACTATTATTTTTTAAATTAATATAAGGCTTGCACAAATGTCATTCTTTTTGGTTTGGAGGGGAGTGTAAGAAACATTGAACCGTAGCAGGACTTGACTTAAGTTATAAGCAGTAAGGTTACGTTTTAAAATTTACTGAAAGCAACATGCCAGTATAACAAGCTTTCGAACTTAAAAAACCAATCAATGCAACGGTATTATGTGAGTCAGGCTTCATGGCAGGGCATATTGTGTACACAATGTATGGCACATCTCCACTGCAGTGAAACCACCTTTACAAAAGGTTACATGTCGTTTAAATGTTTACTCGTTCATTTCGAATGCTTTGAAATTTGGAACAAAAATTCTTCTCGAAGAGAATTTGAATACTATAGTACACTTGAACCTCGATATATCGAAACCAGATATAACGAAATATCGGGTATGACACATAAGTGAAATATAGTTTTGCAATAAGTACAGTGTTCGAAATATACTTCTATAACGAATTTTCAGATATGTTATAACAAACTTGTTCACATTATAATTATAATGAGGTCTGAGTGTATTTATTAGAATATTCACAGTGCTTGAATCTTTGCACATGCAAAATTTATAACATTGCGTCGCACGCCATAAAGGGACATTCTTACGCAGGGCATGTCCTCGCGGAGGACCAGGGCAAACCACAATGGGCAGTCCTCGGGATCAACGAGCTTCTCGTTGCGCCAGTTCTGAAGTTCGGACGCCATGTTCACAAGTCGTGTCGTCAGGATGTGCAGGCGGTAATGGCCCGCCTCCAAGACTCGTGCCTCGGCAAACAATCTGCACACCTGACAGTAGACAGAGAAAAATTTGTGGAGTTCAAATAGGCCAACGGACTCCACAAGTCGGCAACCTGATTCCCGACTCAACTCATTCGAACTCGAATCGAGCGTTGAGTACAAGTCTCAGTGAGTCTGGGCGAGTAATATTTTGGCGAGTTTGAGTTCGGGCAAGTTTGCTTGAAAATTTTTGCGAGCGTGAGTCCGAGTGAGTCTGGCTCAGGAAAATTCTGGTGAGTCTGAGTTCGAGTGAGTCTGGCTCGGGAAAATTCTGGCGAGTCCGAGTCCGAGTGAGTCTGGCTCGGGAAAATTCTGGCGAGCTCCAGAATTCTTGCCGACCAATGACTGACTGAATTGGTTTCCTCCAATGACAGCGACTTCCACAACCCTGAGAGAACATCCACAACTTTTCATACTACTTTTGAAATTAGGAACAAACCTTCCTCCTTTTTGCTCTGTGCCATGACTGTGACGCCAGTGCAAGAATGGTGAGGTGTTGCAAAGAATGCTCAAGTGTTATAAACTACTCAACCAAATGAATTTAGCCATAGCGATACAGTTACACCTTGACTCAATAAAACATTTCAGTTTTTATGGCATTATCCATAGGACAACTGAACACCACATAGCTTCAGCCTCGATATAAAGAAGGTGTTTATTTATAAATTAAAGAGACTGTCAACCACTCTGGAAATTATTAATTTTGGTTAAAATAAGGAGATTCTTTGTCACATTAGTGGTAACGAGCACGCTTTTGTCTAATAAAGAAAGAATTTTACTTTTGATTTGGCTCTGAAAGTCGTGAAAATATGATCGCTAGCGTCGTCCGACGGCAATGTGGTTCCAGATATCGGTATGAACACAAAAAAAACCTCTCACGTAGGCCTAATTAGTTTTAAAACGCATGTACAGCTCAAAATCGCATTTTTTTTACACTTTCAGTAGGTTTTTTTTTTTTGCTTCAAAAAGTAACTTTCGCTGTCTTTTTTTTTTTTTTTTTGCTCGCACATTAAAAGATGCACCTGGTGGAATTGCCAGCACTATGTTCACTTGTCTGCCTGCGGCGAAGATATGAGAGCCACGCGACCACATCGCATGACGCCGCTCAGAAGAAGCAAAAAACGTCCCAGGTGAATAAACGCACAGCTGACTTCACGAACTTTTCAAATCATGACTGTCAGGTCTCTTTCATAAAAGTACCTACCTGTGTTCACTTATGCTAAAGTCACTTTGCGACATGGCCATCCCCCTGCGGTCCTAGACATTGAAGATCTTACCATTAGGTTTGTTTCCCCAAGGCATCCGTGTTGCATATGCAACACAAAGCATATAAACACAACTGAAAAAAAAAAAAAGCGATAACCTGCTCTTCTGTGAAGCACACCTTATGTTCATTTCAGTCGTACGTTGGCACAAGCGGAACCATTACAGGTCGTTTTAACACAACGCAGGTGCACCAGTGCTGCTGGAACAATTCAAGTTTTCCACTTGATTGCAGAGGTTCTTCAGAATAACTAAACAAGGCTCAAAAGAACACTAATAATACTTCATTTGGCAATTTACAGCTCTGAAATACTATTACGGTGATAGTTTTATTCCTGAATAAAACGTAATTCAGCCTGGAAAGACTGTGGTTCTAGTTTTTTACTTTCACCGGTGCAACCATCGTAGTCAGGTGCAGTAACACATGTTGTGGGCATCTTCACACCGATAGAAGATAACAAAATGTAAAGAAAACTTTTAAATTTGTACTTCCCCTCCAGAGAAATTACTGCAGGGTAGCACACTTCAGATGGTATGCTTTCTATTTTGCAACATTTTCCTCTTTGAAAGAGGAAAAGAATACAGTACGGTAAACAGCCCTTTAAATTGAACGACATTGACCAATTTAGTTATCTAGACGGTGATTTATTGGAGTCAGCCATTAACAAAATGAGAAGCAGCACTGCGACATCCACTGCAGCCACACAACCTTCTGGCTGACCTCCGAGTAGACTTGGCAAAAGGCAAACACAGGAAACAGATCACAAATTATTAGTTAAAAACATTATAAATGAGAACAGACAATGATGCCATGAGGAGTATAAGGAATGTTATTAGAAATAATTGTAATTTAAATGTGCAGAAAGGAAAATAGATGAAAAGATAACTTCCCATAGGCAGGGAACGAACCTGCGACTTTCGAGTAACGCTTGATTTGATTGGTTGATTTGTGGGGTTTAAGGGGAGATGCAGGTCGAAAAATGAGTTTTTTTCAAAATTACCGATTTTTTTATTTGTGCCTGTTTTGATAAGATTAGTACCTCTACTGTTATGAAAAAAAAATACAGGTCAAGACTTCACTGGAAATGCTTCGAAATTGCATCTAAAGAGCACAAGGTGCCTGTTAAAAGGTTCAAAGTGTGCAGTCTTCGAGCACCTTGCCGCCGATAATGCGCCACCGCTCGTCATTGCTGATGACATTAGCCGAAGAGTCGCGCCTCACTCTTCAAGCAACAACAGTTTCTCTCGCAGATGCGGTGCAAGAAATAATAAAAATAAGCACGCTTCTACACATTTTCTGAGTGCCCTGACTGGCTTATCACGTGGTACGGATCGGGGACCATCATTGGCCACTGCGCGCCTGTATGCGCTGTGAAGTCTATTCGCGGGGTCCATGTCTTGTCGAGCAGCGTAGCTGAACAATGCTTTTCTCGTGTAATTATCTTTGTTATGAATGAAAATAGCATTGCTCGCAAGTCAAAGCCTTTGTGCGGCACGCTCTGTAGGAATAGGCTACGAGCAGATGGTCCGATTTGCGGCAGTTGTTGGCTTGCAAAAACCAATGCATCAAAAGTCATTCACTCTTCTCAGCCGGAAAGTTCGTGACCCGGCTATGGATGACATTAGCGCCAATCTTGAGAGGTCGAAATAGCTCGCAGTGAGAAAACTTAGCAGGGACGACATTGCCATTATGTACGATGGTATGTGGCACAAACATGGCCGCAAAATTGCATGACACTGGACTTAGTTTAGATTTCGCAGTCCTGTTGAACTTCTTCCTAGCTTACAGTTGGCACAAGGCACTACAAGATGGAGTGGAAGTTTGGCAAGCGTTTTATGGCCCTGTCTGTGAGCGAAATGTCTGAGGAGTCCGCTCGCAAACTCATGGGAGGGGCGTATTTTAGTCCCAGTGGCCACTACAAAAAGGATTGTTTTTTCTGGGGTACAAATTTCGTCAGATTTAATAATATCTTTAATAAATAAAAACTCAATTTTAACATAAAAACTCGTTTTTCTCAAAACACAAATTTTGCCACTTTTTTTCAATGTGCCCCTCCTTTTCCAGGCACTTCTAGTGCTCGGATCTGCATGAAATTTTGCCGAATTTTTTTCCAAAGTATGGCGAATGCAATTATCTAGTTTAAATTTCAATATTTTATTGTATAATAAAAAATTCTATGTACACCTTCACTAGGATAGGTGAAATATGGACTTTTTACATCTAGTATTTTTCATGCCAATTATATATTTTGTAGGTGCTTCCTAATTAATTATTTGCACTCTACACTTTATTTAAAACATTATTAACTATGAATGGTAAAAAATTGTGGAAGTTCAGAGATGAAAAGATGGGGGGCGGGCAAAAGGGTTAAGGTTTTCACTTTTTCATTTCACAGAGCTAAAAGTAAGCAACTTGCAAGAAAACTAATTATATATTTTAAATCAGCATAAAGAGTTCCATAAACAGCTCAAGTTTCATTGCTCTAGGGTAAGTATTCAAAAAAGTGTCTTCGAGTAGCATCTCCCCTTAACGTCCCAAAACCACCACAAGATTATGAGAGACACTGTACTGAAGGGCTCTGGAAATTTCGACCATCTGAGGTTCTTTAACGTGCACCCAAATCTGTCACACAAGTCTACAACATTTCCACCTCCATCATAAATGCAGCTGCCACAGCCGAGATTAGATACCGCGACCTGCGGGTCAGCAGCCGAGTACCTTAGCTACTAGACCACCACGGCAGGGCGACTTTCGAATGACGCGTTCGGTGTTCTACCACCGAGCTACAACGGCGACGTTTCTCAGTCCACTACATAGGATATATATGCAGATTTAGACATGGCAGTGTCAGTCAGCGCCACCTGTTGCTATTATGCCTGTGTCCCTGCCCGCAGCAAGTAATCTTTTCGTCCACTTTTCTTTACATTTACAATACGATTAGTTCTAATACCATCCCCTACACTTTCCTTGGCATCAATGTCTGTTAATTATGATTACTATTGTGTCTAACAAAAAAAAACAAGCCCTAAATTTACACTCTTTAGTTAAAAACAGTATTAGACGGCCAACGATAACCAGTCTAATCCTGAGAAAAACTCGCGTAAAGGCTTCACTTAAAAAATTTAGCTATGCCTACATTAGTCCAAGGGACGCAAAAATTCGTAAATGACAATCACCCGCTTCTGGTACTCCCTCCTGCACTTCTTTGTTCCGGGCTTGGGTGCACCCTGGGGTACCTCCTCGGTTTCTTCATTGTTCGTGTCTTCCAGCTGCTTTAGCGTGCGCCTCACGGGCAGCAAGCAGCTGTCAAACTCATCTGGTAAAAACAAAGGAGGTGTCGACTCGCTATGAAACCTTAGATGCCTCGTCGAATAAAAAAAAAAGAGTGCCAACACAAGCAATGCAAAATATCAACGTGCGGTGACATCGTCCTACGACACCATTGTGATGTCACAGGCCGCCAGGATTTCCCCTATGTCATCGCTACATGCTTGAGAAGTAAAAATGGCGCAAAAATATAGATAAGGACTGAGGAAGAGACGACAGGGCGCCGTTTTTACTTCCCAAGCATGAACCACTAGCTAACCCAACTTTAGCTTCTAGTATCATCGCTACACTTGAGCCTTAATATAACAGACAAGAATATAACTAATTATTGGTCATGATGAAGTAAATGTAAAGAAGCTCCGTCATAGATACAATGCTACAAATATAATGCTTATAATGAACAAAGTATTTCGTGGCTACTGTGACTTGTTATAATGAGGTTTTAGTGCATGACGTCCCCCTGTTATGCGACCTCACATGATGGTGTCATTACTTGACATCATCGTTGCTTGGTCGCAAAAAAGGCAGTGAGGCGGGGGGGGTCATTACAATAATTACATTTGACTGAAAAGATGTCTTTCACCTTCGAATTAACTTAAGCAAAAGCATAAGAGACAGTGGGAGTTATTTTACCGGCTGGTTTTGATTCATTACGAATCAAAAGAAAATTTTTGAAAGAAGGTTGGTCATACTGCCCAGATGGCATGAAACCTTTACAGCTCATTCATATAGGTCACACAACCATTTGCAACTGTCCACAGGCAGCGATGCTAGGCGATGTATGTTCGCACTGCGGCAAGTTTGACCAGCCTGTCTCCACATTAAAATACACTGCCGTTCAGGCACTCACACACACTCCACCACCTGTAAGCGGTTTTCAAGCTCTGATACTTCGGTTGTGCGACTGAAAAATCGAGCAGCAAGCAGCTTCGTAAGGTAGAGACCGTTTGTAAAATTATCATTATCATCGTGAACGGCCTTTAATTTGTCCATGTGGCACAGCTGGGCCTTGCATGTGCAACTCAGTAGCTCGGCCAACGCATCCTTTCTTTGTCCTCTTCATCGTGCGCTTCGCTCCCTAAACACGTGTACTCTACCGCCTTTAGTGTGGGTTCAGTAACTCAGATGGGCAAGAGAGTGGGTATGTAGAGAAGAAAGAGAGGGAGAGAAAAATACCTAAAAAGGTTGAGAAACACATTCATTATGCGCTTCTTCTTATATATGCATTACCATAATCATCATCATCTGTCTGGGTCCCTGTCCTCATCTTCAAAATCATCATCGGGTGTGTGTGCGCTCAGTCTCAGACTGCCCGTTCACTGCTGAGCCCTTGGCTCAATAAAAGCTGTCTCAACCCAGAGGTCATACATGGTGGAGGTGGATTTCTGGTCTTCGGTCCTCTCCCACTTCGCTCGACTCCCTGGAGCTGCGTTCAGGCCGCCGATTGCCCCCCCTGTCTGGCAGCATGTCACAGAACGAGCCTGCCAGCGCTGCTGCCATCACTGCTGCCATCTCTCTCCCGCCGTCTTCAGCCACGTCTCCTGTTCACGTACACAGCCACCAGCGTGATCCCCCTCACTTCGCCGGTCGTCGCGGGAAGACATGGAGGACTGGCTCTATGAGTACAGCCGCGTGAGTGTTGCTAATCGCTGGGACGATAGCGCCAAGCTCCGTTACGTCTCTTTCTACTTGACCGGTGTGGCGAAGACGTGGTAGTTTAACCACATCATCGACATACCCGTCTGGGCGACCTTCGAGCAGCAGCTCCGTCACGTTTTCGGCACACCGGCCATTCGGTCCGCAGTCGCGAAGCGAACCCTCGACACTCGCCAACAACATTCTGGTGAGTCGTACACGTCGTACATCGAGGACGTTCTTGCGCTCTGCCATCGGGCCAATTCGTCTATGCCAGAGTCCGACAAAGTACGCCACATTTTGAGGGGTATAGGCCCTGTTTCCTTCAATACCCTGGTTGCTCAGAACCCGGCTACCATAGCCGACGTCGTCATGACATGTCAGCGCCTCAATACTCTGGACTCTGTTCGTCTACAACCAGACATAGGCAAACAATCTAACAGACCTCTCCGTGACCTAATAAGAGACATAATACATGAAGAGTTGCAGAACATGGGTTTCACACCTTCTCACCATGTTCTCCACAGTCTACTGGAGTGGCATTACGCGACATTATCAGGGAGGAACTGACATCTCTGAACTCTCCGGCTCACGTCCAGTCACCCTCGTGTCGGCCCATACGAACCTACGCGCAGGTCGCTGCTATGCCTCCGAGCGAGGTAAACACGACCTGTCCACTGCCATCGTACGCGTCTGTCACTGCCGCTTCTCCCCTCAACTTTCATTCGATCCCGCCTGACACTTCCTCTGCACACCTGACGGCACTCTCTTCAGGTACTCCACATGGTTTCTACCCTCCCCCTGGCGCTCATCTCGCCCAGTTTGCTATTACTGTGGGTATCGCGGCCACATTTCTCATTTCTGCCGCAAGCGCCAGCAAGACGAGCGCTGCGGTTACGACATGCGTGAACAAGATACTTTTTACTATCAAGGTCAACGTCATTCATCACCTACACGCCAGTCTCCCTCTCCACCCGTATCGAGTGCACCTCGGAACAGCCGAAATTCCAGACGCTGTTCACCATCACCCTTTCGCCGCTACTCCTCCCCATTTCGGCCTGCCTCATTCGTCACTGCCAGTCATTCGGAAAACTAAGTGATGCAGCTTCTGGGGGAAAAACTGCATTCCGAATTAGGACTGATATTCCTACACCAAGCCCTTGCAACATGATTTGGGTGGTAGTGGAAGGAGTGTACGTAGATGCACTGGTGGACACGGGTGCGGCATTTTCTGTTATGTGCGTTGATTTAGGCCAACGTCTAAAAAAAGTGATGACCCCTTACGATGGACCCACGTTGGTTGTTGCCCAGGGGTATACCATTCGCCCTTCCGCTTTCTGTACAGCCCGCGTTTATATTGATGGTATCCGACACCACATTCAGTTCGCCATCCTGATTGACTGCTCTCACCAATTAATTTTAGGGTGGGATTTTTTTTATTCTGCCTCCGCGGATATTTGCTGTGGTCAACGCGTCGTCCACCTCACCGATACGGACTGCACGCTCAATGACGACCCCCAGAGGCCACTTCGTTTGACAGCTGCGGAAGATACCGAATTACCACCAGGTCAAGAACGAATTGTAGCTATTACCTCCAAGGACATCGAAAATGGCGACATATTGGTCTCACCATCATTTAGTTGCGTCGGTAAAGGCATCATTCTCGCTTCCGGTGTAGTTCAGTTTCTCAATGGTTCCGCACTTGTCACCGCTGTGAATACAACATATGAAAAAATTCTACTTCCCAGAACACCACGGTGGCCTGTGTGACGGATCCCGAGCCTGCGTGCGTCGTGCCACTTCATGCCGTCTCCTCCAACGACAGCCCTAGCAGTGAGCCTGCTTCTTCTTCCGCCTTTACTGCAGCCATTAGTGATGACTTGACAGCTTCACAGATGCAACAGCATCTTGCTTTGTTAAAGAAACACGCAAGTTCCTTCGATGTTTACTGCTCGACGATGGGCCGCACTACTACTATAACGCATCGAATCCACACAATCAGAACAACTGTTGTACGCCGCCGGCCCTACCGCGTGTTTCCTGCTGAAAGAAATATCATCGAAGAAAACGTAGCTGACATGCTCAAACGAGAAGTAATTCGCCCTTCATCTAGCCCTTGGTCGTCGCCTGTGGTTCTGGTTCGCAAGAAGGATGGCTCCGTGCGCTTTTGCGTCGATTACAGGGCCCTCAACAAGATCACTCGCAAGGATCTGTACCCAATGCCTCGCATTGACGACGCCCTTGATTCTTTACAAGGCGCGAAATACTTTTCCAGCCTCGACCTGCGTTCCGGATACTGGAAAATTCCTATGCACAAAGAGGCTAAAGAGAAAACGGCATTCGCAACCCCCGACGGGCTATACAAATTCAACATTATGCCTTTCGGGCTGTGCAAAGTGCCCGCTACATTTGAGCGCATGATCGATACCGTGCTGCGCAGCCTTAAATGGAAAACCTGTCTCTGCTACTTGGGCGACATCGTCATTTTTTTCGTCGTTTCCTCAGCACCTGCAATGTTTGGATGACGTTCTGACGTGCCTTGCTGCCGCTGGTCTCCAACTCAACACGAAAAAATGCCGTTTCACCACAAAAGCTATCAAAGTTTTGGGCCGCGTCATGAGCAAAGACGGGATTCGGACAGATCCGGACAATATTGCTACGGTGCTTCGCTTTCCGCGCCCCGAAAGGCCGAAGGAGTTGCGAAGTTTTCTTGGTCTCGCCTCCTATTTCCGCCGTTTTATACGAAACTTCACATCAATAGCGGCTGCACTGCACCAGCTTCTTGTTTCCGACGTGCCCTTTCTGTGGTCGGAAGGATGTCAAACAGCATTCGACCTGTTAAAGTGTGCCCTCACGTCCGAACCTGTACTCCGCCACTTCGATGAGGCCGCACCGACCATCCTACATACGGACGCTAGCGGCCGCGGTATAGGTGCCGTTCTGCTCCAACGCGACACCTCTTCACAAGAGAGAGTAGTTGCATATGCCAGTAGAGTATTAACCGCAACCGAGAAGAACTATACCATAACTGAGCAGGAGTGCTTGGCTGTGGTCTGGGCAGTGCAAAAGTTGCGTCCCTATTTTCACGGTCGTCATTTCACGATCTTTACCGACCACCATGCCCTATGGTGGCTTTCCATGTTGAAGAACTTGTCTGGACGCTTGGGTCGGTGGATTCTACGTTTACAAGAGTATGACTTCGATATCATTTACAAGTCGAATAGAAAACACCAAGACGTCGACGCCCTTTCGCGCTGCCCGCTACCAAATACCCAGCTCAGCATCGGTCAAAGTTCGGCCATCACATCTACTGCAGCGCCCGCGCTCGCCTCAATAGACCAGATATTATCGGACGACAAGCGCACACTTCACTCCTGCGAGTTGTCTGATCCGTACTGTAGGCGTATTATGGACTAGCTCTCAGGAACTTCCCATCCACCTAACGTGCGGCATCGTCGTCAACTCTTGCGATTTAAGCTGGAGAATGGAGTTCTGTACCGGCACATCTACCACCTGATGGTCAACGCTGGGTTCCCGTGTTACCACACTCTCTTCGACTTGACGTGCTTAAAGCCTTCCATGATGACTTGATTGATTGATTGATATGTGGGGTTTAACGTCCCAAAACCACTATATGATTATGTGAGACGCCGTAGTGGAGGGCTCCGGAAATTTAGACCACCTGGGGTTCTTTAACGTGCACCCAAATCTGAGCACACGGGCCTACAACATTTCCGCCTCCATCAAAAATGCAGCCGCCACAGCCGGGATTCGAACCCGCGCCCTGCGGGTCAGCAGCCGAGTACCTTAGCCACTAGACTACCGCGGCGGGGCTCCATGATGACTTGACTGCCGGACATCTTGGTATTCAAAAAACTCACGATCGCATTCGTAGTCGCTTCTACTGGCCCGGTATTTTTACTAGCATCGCGCGCTACGTCGGTTCCTGTGTCCCGTGCCAGCGTCCTAAAATCCAGACAGCTGCACCGGCCGGGCCTCCACAGCCAATTCCAAGCCCCACAACGCCATTTGAGGTTGTAGGTATCAACCTTTACGGCCCTCTTCCCATCACATCTACTGGCAAACAATGGATAATGACCGCCGTTGACCACTTGACACGTTAAGCGGAGACAACGTCTGTATCTACTGCCTCTGCTTCGGGAGTTGCCGACTTTGATCTGCACGCCATCATTCTGCGCCACGGAGCCCCTCGTGTATTGCTGAGTGACCGTGGAAGGGTGTTCCTGTCAGAAGTGCTAAATGAAGTATTGCACGCCTCTGGAATAACACACAAGACAGCTTCAAGCTACCACCCTCAGACCAACGGTCTCACTGAGAGGTTTCACCGTACTCTTGCTGATATGATAGCCGTCTACATCAGTTCAGATCACAAAAACTGGGATCACAAAAACTCTCCTACCATCCCTCACTTTTGCTTACAACACGGCCGTTCAGCGCACCACCGGTTATTTGTTGTTCTACCTCGTTTACGGGCGTTCCCCTACTTTCTTCCTCGACGTTTTTTTTTTCAACAGTGACGTCAACTCGTCTCCACCTTCCAGCGAGATACATTTGAAGACTAGCCCGGTGTCGCGATCGTGCTCGCATCAACACGGAAGCACGACAGCAAGATCGAAAAGTAATTTACGACGCATCCCATCGCCTTGTACTTTTCCGACCTGGTGACGGGTCGTTCCTGTTCACACCTATTTGTACACCTGGTCTGTGCGACAAGTTTCAGCCACATTTCATTAGGCCTTACATAGTTATCGAGCAGACTTCACCCGTTAATTATCGTGTGACCCCACTTATCCTCCCAACAGACCGCCGTCACCGCACCACAGAGATCAGGCATGTGTCTCGCATGAAACCCTTCAGGCGACGTTCTCTGCCACATTTATTTATTTATTTATTTATTTATTTATTTAAATACATACTGCGGACACTAAGTGGTCCATGCAGGAAGGGCACGTCACGCATACCACAGGCGTAATGACGTACATCATACGAAAAACACACTTTGTTTTACACGCTACAATACACTTCGTTAAGTAACAACATCACGCTTCGCTCTATACACTACAATAAACTTCAATATGCAAAGCAACAACACACCCGGTTCTACAACACTACATTATACTATGTTCCACAACACAAGTAGTAACTTACGCCAAACAACGACACTACATTGCATACCTCATACTTTACAATACATTACACATACGTTACAATGAATGAGGTTCGCATAACTTGTTCCAGTCCGACACTGTTCGCGGAAAAAAAGAATACATAAAGGCATCGGTTCTCGCAAAAAATGGGGTTAGCAAATTGGGATGATGACGTCATATGCACAATATGACTTGCTACGGCCAGGTTGGCCGCTTTGATTTGGGGGGAATTAGTGTGGGCAGTGGGCATTCATTATGCACTTCTTATATATGCATTATCATAATCTTTATCATCCGTCTGTGTCCCTGTCCTCATCTTCACAATCATCATCGGGTGTGTGCCCGCTCAGTCTCGGACTGCCCGTTCGCTGTAGGGCCCTTGGCTAAATAAAAGCTGTCTCAACCCAGATGTCATAATAGAAAGATTAGTATTGGTGGATGTAATAATTTTGTTTGTACTTATTTCGTGCAGACGTTTGCATGTTTCGAGGGCGGCAGCCATCTTGGCATACTTCTTCGTCTCCATTGGCCGTCCCTGCACAAGAGACAAGAAATCATATCTTTGGAAAAGAAGCACTCATTTTGTTGGCTCTATTAATGTAATTGTAATAATAACTAATAGAGTTCTGCGAGTCAAAAGCACAATATGATTACGAGGCATACTGTAGTGGAGGGCTCTGAAGTCTCAACCATCTCGTGTTCTTTGACGTACACAGTCATCGCACAACACACAGTCCTCTAGCACTCCACCTCCGCGGCAATGTCGCAGCTCGAGTTGAATTGATGACAGCTGAGCACCAAGACCATTGTACCATCGCATTGGACCAGTGAACACCAGCATATTTCTGTGCTGCCCACAATAAAAGGTTGGTTAAATAAGTGCCATTAACTAGACAGTAGGGGTGTGCGGATATGCTATTCGATTCTATTCACACTGGCGTTTTGACTATTCGAACTGCCAGAAGACAAATATAGCCAGCATCCAATAGACAATGGCCCTTCAGATTTTTTTTACATACTTCAGCTCACCACACTACCGCATTGCAGCGAAGATGTCTTTTAGACTGCTATGGTAGCAAATTAACTCGAGAAAACACAGATGCCAACATGGAGATGCACTGTGCCGTTACTGTGGCCCCTTCATATTTTTAGTACGCTTCATCGCATTACACTTTGGGTGTTGTGAAAAAGCTGCCTTTAAGGCTTTGCGACAGCCGTAAACGTATCGACCCACGAAAGCGCTGGTTCAGACCTATTTTGCGCATAGGTGGGGGCTTTAATTAATGCAAATTCCGACCAAAAGGTTTCTGAAAAAAAATCGAACAAAAGTTTCCAGCATCCGAAATTTCTGATTTTTTTATGCACTAATGTGTGCAGGGCAGACCAGCAACTCCAAGTTCGAAGTGAACGTGCCCTTCCTTGCCTGCCAAATCAGTTGGGTGTCAGCAGAAGTTGAAGAGGGCAGAGGTGGAGGAAAGAACGGTCTTTTCCTTTCCCGTGTAAAGTGTTGTCAAAAACACATTGGTTGCACCAAATCATGTAAATAAATACAATTCAGTGTCTGCATTGCCTTGTCCTTGATAAAACAACTAGGGACCAACATGCCTACAGCACTTCGCAAACCTAGCCCAAAGAAACACATGTTTCTATCTCAGAAGTGTGTGCTTTGGGATCTTCTGCAACCATTTATCCGTAGTTTTCCTTTCGAAAAATATTAAACAAATATTTGACAAATAATTGAAGATATTAAATTTGATTCGCACCCAAAATATTCCTTTTTTTATCCCAAAATATTCCTATCCACACAGCTCAGCAGATGCAGGCCAGCATTTCAAGCTGCTGACAGCCTGCGTGCCCAGTGCTACACCGGATGCTTAACTAGAACAGCCTACCAAGTAGTCACAGTGCAAATCCAGTATAATAGACAGCTGACGTGAAAATATTTTTATATTTAAAAGATGGAATCCAACTCCCAGCAGTTTGATTTGGTACTACAACTGAAAACAGTGCAGACCACTTATAACGCAAGTGCTTATAGTTCAGGACTGGTTACAATGTGATCTTTTTCGTCTCCCATTTATTCTCCCATAGAGCCCCCCCACGCCCACGACTTATTGCGCAGTCCTCCAAAATGAAAGACCGGTTATAATGCGGTTGACGGAAAATCTTTTTTGACAAAAGCAGTGCTGGGTGCATCTCCAGAGAGCGAGCTTCAAGGTTGTTACGGAGGAAGAGGGGATGTGGAGAAAAGGAAGAGAGGGGAAAAAAAGACTGCTGCAGGCTATGCAGTTTTGCCGAGTGAGGAGGGTAGTTGCCTAGACGACGGATAGCCTTTGCACCGGCGCCAGCGCAGCTACCACTCCAGCTTGTCGCCAGCCGTGTGTGGCTCAACATGGCATGTGCGATCCCGTCCTCATGAACTGCACTTTGAGTTTCCTGTCGGGTAAACCGCCATTATTGAGCTTGCTGCGCATATCACGTTTGCTACCTCATCCGTAAATCTAGAAGCTTTATGGCTTTACAATGCAGGCTTTCGGCTTTACTGCCAGAGCGCGATGTTGAATAATCTTGGCGGGCTCTTGTCGTCCTTGATTTCCCAGCAGCTAACGCAAACTTCGTATCACACACGATCGGTGTTTTTCAGCGTGTGAAATATCCCCTGTGATTCAGCACAGCTTTGGCGTAATGCAAAAAATCAAGGTGGTCTGAGCAGCAGTCAGCGAATTTCCGCTAAGGTGCTTTTTGTTAGACCCCCTCCCCCTATCGCTTCGTTGGCAATGTGGGCCTTTAGTTGTTACATTTTTTTTACATTTGAAAATTTATATTGTTGTAAGCCCCACACATCACATGCTTCGGTTTTCAGATACGCAACGCTGCACGCTCAATACGTCTTGCGCAACTGCGGCCCTTAAAAAAAGTTGTTTCGATTAAAGCGCGGTGCTCCTTATATAGAACCAGCACTCCAGTTTCCACGATGCAGGCAGTACCCTCCTGGCAGTCAAAGCAAGCAATTCTCAGCCGCTCCTGCAGACGAGAGTGGCGGCTGGTAGAGGTGGTGCGGGCACGCATCGCCGAAACAAAACCAAAAGGCGCTGGCGGTACTTCTCACATTCAGCTGCCACAACATGTAGAAACGAGGAAGGACATAATGTTTTTCCTTCTTAATCATATCTATAAGAAAGGAGGCGGCGTTGCATTCAAGCAGTCAGGCGAGCAAAGTGTTTTCTGCTGTTGCTCTCCTAGCTAGTGCTGTCGGGCTGGTTTCTAAATCGAATTGCGCGTGTCTACTACCTAGATTTATTTGATCGTGAAGACAGCCACCAGAGGAAACCAGTGCGAAACGGCCCAATTTGAACGGCGCTTTGCTGGAAGTTAAACGAGTGTACTATGCAGCGTACGGCATATGCAAAAATTTTGTTATCTGACCACCACCACCAAACTCCATCTAATGCCCCCAGATGAAGTGAATGGTATGACAAGTAGGTAGTCTACATTATTTGCGAACGGCTACATAAGCGGAAAGGTGCCTTGTCCACAAGATTTGTGTGGGGCCACATTCGCCTAAGCCGCTGAACTGTCATACAATATATGCTCACAATGAATACTTAATGCTGAGATGCCTCTGTTTACCATAAACTTATGCTGACGACAAGGTTCTTGTTACAAATAAAGCAGCAAACTAGTCGTAGCTCAGCTCTTTTCTGAAGTCTGCCAATGCGGTAAGCTTCTTTTTCAGTGTCTGTTGTGGCTAAGTAACACCAGGAATTATACCTTGCTAGAAAAGTATCGAATGCCTTCGATGTTTACTCGTGGTTTAGTTCGCCTAAAGCAGAGCTTTACTTCTTCCACTTGCTTCTGTTTCCTTAAATAAAGGTATCTGTCCAACATCGATAATTGCCAAGTTTTCATGCGCCAAACAATATAATGATCTCGAGGCATGCTGTAGTGTGGGTACTGGATTGATTGTGACACCTTTGGGTTCTTAAATGCACACATATATCTTGGTTCACTGGTGTTCTTTGTATTTCGCCCCCACTGAAGCGCGGTTGCCATGGTCGGAATTATATCCCGCGCCCTCAAGCATAGCAGCGGGACAACACGTGCTATGTTGCCTCAGTGCTTTGCTCGATCAACGTCAACGTGCATACATGCCGCGGACAGGGCATACATGCAACGGCAGAAAGAAAAAACTTGACGCAACTACCTCTTTTTTTTTTCTTTTACTACAGAAGTGGGCAGTGTAATATCGTCGCAGCACGGACATATCAATGGGCAAATGTCAGCCTGCACTAGCTTAACACAAAACCCATCACGCAACCAGAAAATGATGACGAGGAAGTCACCATCACCGCACAGCACTGTCCCTTCGATGCCACATGCATAGACGCAGTCCGCTTTGAAAAGATTCTCTCCGTTTTCCAGAGTAGTTTTTGGAGACGTTACTTTTTTTGTTCCTAAAACATGGTGCAGTATTACTCGTGCAATGACTTTTCGAGCAGTTCGTTGCATGGCAGCATAACAGTGGCACGCGCACATGCTCTTTTCGCAGTGCACTGCAGCCGGTCGTCTGGGCATCAGCGGCTAAGTTGTTCGCGACTTTCCACAGGGGACTTTCCGGCGCGCCACCGATCCAGTGCTGGTCTCATATAGTGCGGATATTCCCAACTCCTGTGACTTATGTTACAAGCGCTCTATACTGTAGCTGCTATTCGTAAATTCAAATATTTTTCTCTTAGCACACAAACAGTCTCAACCAAAGCAACAGAATATTAGCAATATAGTACAATAAATTTCATCGCCAAAAACAAAGTATAAGCAAAAAACATGCAAGCTTACGATAGTGCAACAAACTAACTTGCCCGAGGAAGCAGAGTTCACTAGTTATAGAATGTTGATTCACACACTCTGAAGAGTTCCCTGCAAGTGAATAATATTGCTCACTTAAACCCAATACTCTGCCTATTTGGGTATTTACCGCTAATAATGCAAATTTCAGAATGCAGACATCATTTCAAGATTACTTTGAAAAAAGGAGGTGCTTTTTGACACTTTGAAAATTACTCTAAAAGTATTTAATCATCTATTCAGTTCATTTCTAGCCTGGGCAAACTTCCAGAGCTCTCCTTTACGGAGCACCTAATAATCCTACAATGGCTTTGGCACATGAAGTTATGATTAGACCACACAACATGCTGCAGCCGTGCCTGGGAAACGAGCCTTCGCACTCGTGCTCAGCACTGCAATGGCACAGTCGCCGAGCTATCACGGCGAGTCGTATGGCTGCTCTAAATAGTGCACGCTTCTGCCCCCCCACCCCCCGCCTCCCGACACATACCCTGATGGCCTCCTTGAGCGGACTAGTCATGGGCAGGTAGATGGTGCAGACGTACATCTCCTTGTCCTCCACTGTCACGGTGCTCATCTTATAGGTGGGCTTCAGGTGCGTGAATATGTCCGACGGAAGGATCATGCAGTACCTGCGAGAGAAAGGGCGAAGCAGGCTTCCGTTTCCAAAACAGTACCCAAGGCTCTCTCAACTCTTTCAATATCGGGTGTTTCTGGCCCTGCATGCCCTCCATGTCGGCTTGGTTTCGGGAATGTCAGGGATGCATGAAACGCAGAGAAACGGCACGTTGCAAAGCCCAGAAGACAAATAGGGACAGAAAGGGGTAACAACAGCCTCGTTTACTGGTGATAACGACAAGCTAGACTGCGGCGAGCAAGCACTGATTTAGTCACTTTTCGGTCAGCTGCAGAGGCAACGATGGGAATCCCTTAACTTGATAAACTGGAGCAGACATGTCAACATAACACACACACAAAAAAAATAACCTGCAAATTTGCAGCACAGAACACCCCCTGTGCCCATAACGACATGTGCACAGCATGTTTGCTCAGCCCGAGAAAGTAGCGTGCGTGCAGCGACCCCGCAGCCCAGCAAACTAGGGTGTGCACTATTGCTTCGTACTCTTCAAAGTGATGGAAGTCCCTTTTTACTTTTTGGAGCAGAAAAAGTACTGATTTAGAGCAGAAAAATAATGTTAGTTTAAAGCAGCTATTGGTGCTTAAGGAGCAGATATTAAATTTGGCATACTTTTATTAGAGTTGAGAGCATTGTCGAAACATCTCATAAATATAAATATTTCTTATGAAATATATTTAACAGACAAGAATCGATATAAATTTCATGTAGCAAACAACAGCATGTTGTCAAAAATGTGTGCTGAAATGCGCTACAATTTAAAATATTAGTGTTTGTGGCAGAAATCAAATCAAGCCAGAAAAGCTGAGCGCCACATTTTAGAAGTAACCACAGTCTCATATAACTGTTGCAAAATCAGCAGTAGTTAATCGGTATGAAATAAAAGCAATCCAGCTCATTTTCACATTTCACCACACTAGCCTGCATGTCTGGCTGAGAAAAAAAGCAGCCAAATGAACGATACACTTGATATGCCAGTTTTTTTTTCTCTTTTTTTTTTTGCACAATTGAGATCAGAGCCAATCGTAGTTCACACTAGTAGCACACTAAGATGATAGTACACAGACTCTTTTCAGTTTTAAAACTTATAAGTTGGTCAAACAGTGAAAGTTCGTCATTCTCATTCTCTCAATTATTACAAAGCACTTTTGGAGCAGTTACTAAAGAAATTACTGTTTGGAGCAGCATGGGGCAGCAATTCTCTTTTGATGCAGTTTGGAGCAAGTGGAGCAGCACTTCCGTCACAGTCTTCAATAAGCGTATTAGTGAGGGGCAAAAATATGTGCTGCTAAAAGGATCTGACAGATGGCACAACCAGTAGAATTAGAACAAACCCCAGCAGCTTCCTGCTTCGGCGCAACATTTTTAGCATGCGACAGAGAACACACCGGTTCGTTAGTGTCAGTTAATGAATTAAAGAGGCCAATACTTTTCTGGGTAATCATTGAGCCACTTCATTAAAATAACAGCTTCACTTATGACCTCACAAATCAATTTCTGCAAAAACATTTATGATCCATCAAGTACAAGCAGAGTTGCAGGACAATTGCAGCTATGGTTTCTATGCTTTGTCTATCCTTTCGTACCAGCCAGCGAGCTGAAAGCTACACATGGAGGGAAATAACTACGTAGGTAAGAAGACGTGCCCCTTCATCAGTGTGAGACACGACCTTAAGCACTTTTTTTCTTCGAATGCGGCACTATTCGGGCGATTGCGGGCACGTAGAGGCATTCTGCAGCAACCATGGCAACTATGCAATTCACAATGCTCAAATCAGCCAATAGCCATAGACTTTGAATTTATGGCAGGGTCATTTCAGTGTATGGCATCCCTTGTCAAAGAGAAGGGGAATGATTTCAAGCCTACTTTCAGAATTGTCAATTCCAGACCTCAAACTATGTTTGGCTCACATGTTCTCGGTGACCTTGAATACAAATTGGCAGGGTTTTCAGACTACGATAAAAAAAGTGCTGTAGGGCAACTTTAAAGCTAATCAAAGCGGACAATTGGGCCAATTGGTGATACATAATCTAAGCACACTACCGGTAGAAAAAACGGACGTGAAAAAGACAGGGACAAGCCTTCAAAGCTTTGGGTGACAAGGGTTGCTATTTCAGTGTAACAAATTAAATTTCTAACTACATTCAGCTGGGGATATTTGGAGGTCTGGAGCACTCCAGAACTCTGGGAGTGCTGACAATGCACAATATATAAAATGGGTCAAAATTTAGTGCCTTGAACACAATCGGCATACTTTCCTTCAGCACAAAGCCCCTATAGGCAGCCTTATCTTTGAACATTGAGGTATCTGTTAACATATCAGGGGTGCAGCTGCAGTCTCACGGGTACCGCACCTTAGGCTATTAATGCGACGTTACCAAAGACAGAACAACCAGCAGTTTATTGGTGCCTATACGCCTTGGTCTGTTTTCACCGAAAGACCAGCACACATTTTATCCAGTTCAACAGCCAGATCCGCATTGTTGCGATCAGAGTCAGCAGTTGCAAACTCGATGCTAAAATAAAATCATTTAGTTGTGCTTTTTTGAATTATCAATAATATGCGGGATTTTACGTCTCAAAACCACGATACGATTATGAGAGACACTGTAGTAGAGGGCTATAAAAATTTTTACCATCTGGTGTGTTCTTTAACATGCACAGACATCGCACAGCCCAAGGCTTCTATGACTTAGCCTCCATTGAAATGTCACCACCGTGACGGGGACGAAATCCGCGACCTTTGGGTCAACAGCCGAGCATGCTAGCTACTGATCCACTGAGGTGAACGCTCTTTTAAAAGTTTCTTTTTTAGGAAAAAGAAAGAATGGATGGGGAAGTGAAGAAACACTGTTACTGTTTACAGTTGATAAACTTCTAACTTCGTTATTCCAAGTGCAAAAAGAACTTTTTAATTATGTGCATTGGTTGCTTCTTTTTCTCGGACCACTTGTATTTCAATGCGAGACTATGATAAAACTCAACCTCCAATTTTTATCCACGACAAATAGGCTGCACTGCGGACTGACTGACCTGTTGACGAGGCCGATGGCCGAGCTGAGTGTGATGCGAGGTGCACCGTCCTCGCGCACCGGCATGTACGGGGGCAACAGCTCGTCAATGGCAAAGCTCAGCACCACCTCAGAAGTGAGTGGCGCCTTCCTCTCGTGGCACTTGGTCATCAATATCTGTGCATGGAAAGGAACAATGAAATCTATGTTCTATTACACTTAAACAATAAATATGAGTGCTGCCCTCAGAACTGCAACACGCCTGCCATTAATCTGCACGAGAGAGTATCGCTAGGAGCTTTCTGTTGTCACACTAAGTGCTTTATCAGATAAACTGCTCGTGCTTAACGCTACACACACTAACAATTACACTCAGACCTCATTATAACGAAATTGCATCTTACGCGAAAATAGGTTTGTTACATACAGAAATTCGTTATAAAGGTATAGTACAAACACTATTGCAAGACCATTTTTCATTAACTTCCTTATAAGCGGTATTTGTTATACTTGGGTTCATTATATCGAGGTTTGAACTTTGTTGTCTCTGCCTAATATATCATGCTTGCCCAAGCTTGTCGGAATTTTTACTAAAATTTCCCAGGAAAGTTCGAGTTTTAGACCAAAAGACAGCAACACTAAAACGCATTTGTATGAAAAAATCTGCTCCCTGAAATGCGTGAAAGATGATTCCCGTTGCGAAAATGACCGCAAGTAATTGGATGGGGCGCATTCGAATTTTTTAAGCACGGGACAGCAGCAGCTATGGGCAAACCTTACATTTACTGTTACATAGTAACCGACTAGTTATAACCGGACATGGACAAGCATGCGGGCATGCCTTGTTTCTAAAATGAGCGTGTCTGCCAGATGATTTCTCATCTGCAACAGAAAGCAGGTCACGTGGTCGATATCAACATCATTCTACAAGACTTTCACAGGTCATTCAATAAAACAACAACTCCAGACCCCTTACAAAGTCGAAGACACACACTGACCGCCTCTATGGAGAGGTAATTGCGCAGGTTAGCAGCGGCCTTGTTGTAGTCATCGCGGCTGGTCATCATGACGTAGAGGGAGCGCTGCGCACGGGCACGCCCCTTGGACTGCACGTACGAACGGAAGTCGTCAGGAAAGTCGAAGCGCACCACCAGGCTGCACTTGGGAACGTCCATGCCTTCCTCTACCACCGAGGTGGCCACCAGCAGGTTGCACTCCTGACGACGAAACTGCTCCAACACCTACAACAGGACGACGAAATCACCATTAACTAAAGCCAACACAAATAAACAGTTGGCGAACCTTCACCCATCAATGGGTAGTGCCTGAGCAAATATACAGCCAGATAAGCACAAACTTCACACTACCAGAAGGTTGCACGCCTAACTATGAAACTTCACCAATACCTACAATGGGATCAGGGAAAGGCACAACGGCAGTTGCAAATACACTCATACCACATTACAGTCGAGCCCACATATGATGGCCCCACTTAAAACGAACTTTTGTTTAAAACGAATAATATCCGCGGGACCGTGAAAATATACATTGGTTCAATGGCACAAAATCGCACTTACAACAAACGTCTCCGAGCGCCGCTGATCGGTTACAGCGAACGGAGTCAGCGGTCTGCCGATTTCTCGGGAAACCAATTTCGACCACCGATCAGGCATCGGCGAAGTGCCCATACATTCTTATTGTTAAACGCCAACCCTGCCTCCGCGACCCTCTAGTTGCCGCTCTCTCCGACCACATTTGTTACGCACCCCTCCGTCCTTTGTCCCCCCTCTACTCTGAGCAATCTGTATCGCCAGACGAGGCACGTGTTTTTACACTGCCACCGATCTTTCGAAGACCAGTCAGTCATCTACCCCATTTTTGATCGCTGGTACTGTCGTTGGCGTCGCCGGCCTGGAGTGACCAGACCATTTGCCAGCATCATCGGCCACCGACTGTATGCGTCTAGTGCACGCGCGTACGCTACCCACCGACTCTGATCATTTGCGATTCGTTTCGTGTTTAGGACTTGTTCTCGCTAACTTCGCACTCAACTCAGCATGGCTGTTAAACGGCTGTTAACTTGCGCGAAAGGAATCTCGAAATATTGAAGTTCATGAGGCCACGCGAACCCGCCAGCACAACAAAAAGATTTTTTTACCACGGGCACAGATTCTTCGAACACCGCCGCGTGCACCGATTCAGGCGGCCATGCACTCTCTCCAAGTTTTTCTACGTGGGAGTTTCACGGACCTTTCAAGCAAGCTACCCAACCTGCCTCCTTCCAGTGTGTTTTGGTTTTCAAGGTCGTCCTCCCGCTGCATCCTCCCCTCTCTTTATCACAACTCCTTGCCCTTCTCTCGCAAGTCTGCTCTCCTCTCTTGATCACAGCCCCTTCGCCCGTCTGCACCGCTCCGCGATGCCCACCACACTGGCTCGAATTAGTTTCCTTTTCTCACTGGAAACGGGCCCAGAGCTCTTCCACGCGTTCTGGCATGTGTGTCGTGTGTGCGCGTCTTGCTCGCTCTTGGTGTGGGTGTGGTCATGATGGCCGACGTGAGGACTTGCATGCTTTTTTTTTTCCTGTTGCTCAACAAAATGTTTAAAGTATGACCGCTCGGCTTGAGCATAATGCGCACGTTAGGTGCCACGTTGCGGAGCGCTTGCTCATAGCTGTTGACCACCTGGCAGCCAACTTGTCGCTTCGGGCGTCCCGGTATTCAACTGTGGAGATGGTGAATATTTTGAGGGCGGCGGTGAGGGCTATATGCGCGCGAAACTGTTTTTGCGAGGCCGACTTCGTCGACATCGGGCCCGATGCCGAGCCTGAAGCTTCCGAACAGGTCCACTGCGGCGGCGATTTGTGGCAGCATGTCGTCGACTCCAACCTGGGAGAGCGGGTGGGACATCTGTTGCGATGGTTTTATTACGGGCGATGATGATGCCGACACAGCAGAACCGTGCACGGATTAGGGTATTGTGAATGAAGTACGTGACGAGAGCGATTTGGAGGAATTAGATTGCGAGAACGATGAAACTTTGGAGTCGGTGCCACATGCAGCTTATGCCACGGGCCTCGAAGAACGAGCACCCTGCCGTTTTAAATGAACTCGAGAACACCCTTACCGCTTCTGCTATACGGAACATGTGCATCGCAGACCTTTTGAGGTATAAAAAGTTTGTGTTTTCACTTGCAAAATTTTTTAAAAGCTGTGTTTAATTTATTAAGAACTTTGGGATACAGCGAACGGATGCCGCGTCACGCTCAGGTTCGTTATAAGCGGGCTCGACTGTAAAACAAAGTTGCATCTTACAGAAAAATAAGTTCATTGTATCTAAAAATTTGTCATAAATCTTTACTTCTAATACTATATCTACTGCAAGACTATATTTCTCATTTACTTCGTTATAGCCGATATTTCGTTATATCGAGGTTCGAGTGTATGGCTTCTTGTACTTAAAGGTCCCCTAAACCCCCTCTGATATTTTCCCAAACATTTCAAGTAAACAAGCACATCGCGTGCAGAATGCTGTCGTGATCAATGATGCCACACACCGCAGCGCTACAGGTAGCGGGTGCGCCACAATTTCGAAAAAACAATAGCTTCTTTTTCCGGTCCCCCCATTCCCGCCACTGACATGTGTGACATCACCAGTGAAACTTGATGACGTTGCCACTTTCGATGCTTGCGATCGGCCGAACGACAACAGACGACTTCCGGTCACTCTGCAAACAGCTGTTGGTCATGTTGCCGCTCGTGAATCGACATCTGAGGCCCGTAACGCAACATAGGGTCCATACCGGCATGATTTGTAGGGGCACGGGCCGGCACGACAGCAACAGCGGTTAGTCAACGATCAGTGCACCCAGATGACACACACAACACAGTTGACAGCGAGCTGGGTCGTCGGAGTGATGTATCGCAGCAACCGGAAGTAGACGCTGCCTCGAACAGCGCGTCAGCAGTGACGTATGCCACGCGACACGCGGACAGGCCCTCAGCTGACTCGGCGAAGAGGGGTGAAGCGGTTTTGAAAGAGGGTAGTGTAGGAAAAAGCGAAAGAAGCGCTCATTGCGTTTCGATCATCAAATGCTTGTAACTCCGCTACTACGTCACCGTTTCGAAAAATTCTCACGGCAACGCGTTCATAGGAAACTCGAGCACAACTTCCTCACCTCAACTAAATTTCAGCCTCTGGGCGATTTAGGGGCCCTTTAAGGGGAGACGCAGCACTTGAAAATCGGCCTCAGCCAAGTTTGACTTCAAAATTCCACTTATTTCTCAAGTTATATTTCGTAAACAGAGCAACTTCGCGCAAGCGGGCCTCTAATTTAAGTGTAAACTAGCTGTACTTCGACCGCTGACGGCACGCGACTACGCACTCCACCAGCGCCATTTTGGTCTTGTTGGAAAGGTCGCATCTCTAGCTTTCTTTTTTCTTTTTAAGTAGACAACTATGTGCCCCTCCCAAAAGCAAAAAAAGGGAAGTTAAAATCCCGTGCAGCACATGATTTCATTGGTTGCTTGACACATGTGACCAAAATGGCGCTTCCCGATTGGCCAGAAAAATTCACTGGCAGTGTCTGCGGCCATTTTGAAAGGGTATTGCCCTTGCGAAGGTGTCGTGACTCATATCCCCAACGTGCTTGTGCGCCTCGCTATGCCCGGCGGTGGGAAAAAGTTCTGATCACAGCATCATTCTGGACGTTCACTGAAGAAAGGCAGAGGCATTGCAGTTGTGGCGCACATCCATGTGGCGCCACAACTGCATGTGTCGCATTGCAGTTGTGGCGCATATACAGTCAAACCTCGATATATCGAACATGGAGATATCGAATTATTGCCTGTATCGAACGGTTCCTATATCACACGGGAAATCGCATGCATTATTGATTTTTTATTTCGAACAAAGTTTGACATATAATGGATATATCGAACTCAGCCACCCCAAACCGCCCGCGCTCCATTGACAGGCGGCGAGCTTTCCCCCAACTCTCGAAAGTAGCGGTAGAGCGGCGGGCGTTTGCGAACGCTGCACACATCGATGGCGCCGAGAGTGCCACTTTAACGTAGCGGCGTACGCGCGCCGCAGCCTTGCGGTAGAGGTTCTTGAATGGGGAAAGTGAAGAAAAAAGCGCGGAGCTGTTATTTTCTTTCAATACGAAGGCACCCACACGGCTTCGCACGAGGGAAGGGGGAGTGGGAGGTAAAGATTGAAAAGGAAAGTATAGGAGGGAAAGGACGCAGACGACTGTCTCGGACGCGGCCCGCGCTGCCGCCGGTAAAGGGAAAGCAGTCAGGCGAGCCGTTATGGGCGCGCCATGTGCGTGCTTTACACCTGGACTCACGCCGCAGCCTTGCAGCTTGCAGTCGTTGCAGTCTCTATGGTGTCAACGGCACACTGCGCACTTGTTGCGAGCTCCTCCCCCGTAGCATCGGCAGGCATCGGTCGTTGTGCTCGCAGTGTTCGTGCGTTCGGAGTTAGGCCTGTCGCGTGCTGCGGCGCGCGACAGGCCTAACTCCGAACGGCGGAGCTCACGGCGGAGCTCACGGCGGAGCTCACGACGGAGCTCACGACGGAGCTCACGGCGGAGCTCACGGATGTGAAGATTGCCGCCGAAGCTACTGCTGAGCAGCCAAATGAAGACTCGGCCGAGGTGGATCCCGCAAGCGCTGATGGTGCCCCGCTCCCGACATCAGCTGAGGTCGTAGCTGCCTTGGCCCTTGTGAGCCACCACTGCGGCGCGATTGAAGGCACCGGCCTATCACTTATGGATCGCCTGGACTATATTGAGGACGCAGTCGTCAAACACGCCATGGCCAACAAAAAGCAGGCTACTCTTTTTCAATATTTTAAACCAACACAACAAATGCTATGTTTGAATCTTCAAACGAGTATTTACTGCACCACGCTTGAACGGTTCGTTGGTCATTTTCAGCAAGCTGTTGACGCATTTTTTTCGTGATTTTTTTATATCGAATTCTGGATATATCGAATTCTGGATATATCGAACTATTTCCCGATCGCCACGCCGTTCGATATATCGAGGTTCGACTGTGTTTACTTGATTCTACCGCGCCCTCGATTGTAACGAGCACTCGGTTTTCACGACGAAAAAAAAAAAAAGTAAGACATCGATTGCAACGCGAACCCATTTTTCTCGTTGGCCCGCATGATCACACTATTTGGGAAAACGACTCCTTTCGGGAGCGTCTTCCGTTTAAATGTTTATATATGAGGTACGGGGGAAACTTGTGCCAATCTGACGTGCAACGGAGCATTGCCGTCACTCTTGTTTTACCGCGGCCCTATGTCGGCATGCGAACTTGCTTCACCCCCTTCTTCTCGACAGTTGTGGTGCCAGGCATGTCGAAGTAAAGAGGCGTCTGATCGGCATTCCCGATTTGCCCAAGCAGGTAGCCGTTGTTGCGCCGCAAGTTTAGGACGAACTTCCGAAAACTGTGAAGCTTTTCTTCGTACTCCTTCGGCAAGTTTTGGCGCATGCCCATTCACTTTCGGAGAGAAAAGCCTTTCCTCTTCATAAAGTTAGTTAGCCAGCACCTGCTCGCTTTGAACTGGCTCCGCGTTAGCCCTTTTTCTAAAGCTAACTGCATAGCCCGCACTTAGAGCAATTCTGTCGTCATGGGCCGCTGTGCCGCTCGCTGCTGAAGCACATACTCGGTGAGCAGCTCTTCAATTTGCAAAAACCGACCCTGCTGTGGTCCACTGAAGCCTTTGCATGAATCTTTGACAATCTTCTGCTTTTATTTCCGCCAGTCCCACACGCACGTTTCGGGAACTCCGAACGACCACAATGCGGCCCGATTTCCGTCTGTTTCAGCACATGCGATGACTTTTCTTTTAAAAGCGGCGTCGAGGTGCACTCGCAGAGTTTCTGGAGTCAGCCCTTCCATGCCGTTGATGCTAATGAACTACAAGATGACAAACTCCTCAGCACAGGTACGAAGCGCCGCACATGGGAAACACATAGGCAGAAATGGCCGATGCGCCATGCCGATGCACGTAGGGGGCGGCCATTTCGGAAATGCCGATGGCAATAGAATGACCATATTCATTTTTTTTCGCACTAGATTTTAACGTGCATGCGATTTATGAACTCCCTTAATCGGAAAAAAGGTGCACGTTAGATTCGAGTAATTACAGTAACATATACCATTTACCTTACCATAACCCCTTGAGGTAGTTAAAATCTGGAAAAAAATACTCTCATTACGTTCGGGTACACATGGTACAGTGCACCACAATTTCCCCAAATTGGGGGTCGTGGAAAATCAAAATCATGGAACAGCGAATGCCGCTGGAGCCAGCGTTTCGACAAGAGGACTTGTTGTTGCCGGGGCAGCGGACACAATCCTCAGTAGTTTCTGCAATACCCACTCGCCCTTAAAGTGAAGCCCCGATTTCCTATTTGCAAAGACAACCTCTATGTCTCCAACAGCCCCCTCTCCTTGCCTTTCTTTCCGTCTTCTTTGCAGCCAAGCTTTCCCTTCTGCTCCTCCCCAGTTGAGGCTAGGGGAGAATGATCAAGCCTACCAGTACATTTGCTACCTATTATGAAGACAAGCCTAGTCGTCGAAGCGCTGACTCCAAAACATCTCAAGTCCAACTATCGCACATCCCTTCAAGCCTCATTCTTCCCTCGAACTTGCTTTGCTTATGCGTTAGCGCGAAAAGCCCTCACTAATTACAGCCCATGTATATATATATTTTTTTGTCACACATTGTATTGCAGTTTTGGAATAAACTACCAACAAACCTCACAGCACTGCAGTCACTCGTGAGTCACTAATCTTTACTAAGCATCACTCATTAATTTAATATCTTATAGCGTTGCATTTGCACAATCCTCTTTCCCTCTCATGCCTGTTATGTTTTTATAACAACAAAACATGGAGCTGTGGCCCCTAACTCCTGCAAGAGTTAGGGGCCACAGCGTCATGCGACAACTAATGTATAACCCTTCATGTAACAACAAAAAAAAAAGAACTACTTGTCTGAGATAGACTGAAGTATCACTGCAGGTTGACAGAAGACAGGTGGTAACATACCCTGCACTGCTTTTTGAAAGACATCCCGGCTTCCTTGGAACCAACTTGAAGGTTGGCACCGTGGCCCACAATAAACTCGGCCAGGATGTAGGCATACCTGGATAGCAAGAAGGTTGCAAATAAGTGGTAAACGCAGATCGCATTAAGAGGCCTTGCGAGTGGGTAATGCAGTTGTGCAGCATGAAAAAGTTGGGCAATTTGGCAACAGTCCATTTTGGTCAAACACTGCAGTGGGATGCGACGCTAAGAAAGCAGTGAGACGAATGAGCACTTGTTTGCCTTGCTCCTTTCTTCCTGCTTCATCCCACCACACAGTTAGACCACAATGCAGTCAGGCATTGAGTGAAACCCCTTTAATAAAGTCAACAAAGTGACTCATCAATCATATGACTATAGCACACCAAAACAAGGACACAGAAAAGAGACACACACAGTGGCTTCCTTAGCCTTGTCGGTTAAAGAAAAGAGGTATCTCGAAATATCGCTTGGACGTTGCCAGGTGTAGGCTGTCGTAGTCAATCATAACACGTGCATTAGCCGCGCTGTATCTTTACACGGTGTTTTCTAGGTTTTATCGATCTGCTGTCATTGTACAAGTAGCATGTGCGATCGCAAATATAGACATTGGTTGCAAGGTAGAGCTGTGCGTATGCGCCTCTCTTTTGTCTCCTTGTCGTGGTGCGCTATCCCCGTATGAATGATGAACCCCAACCAACTAGCCCGGCGAGGTGCTTTAGCAATGAAGTGACACAAGTTCAAACTTCAGAGGAGCACAGGGCAGGTTCAGGTAAAAACTGCCATGTCAGCCTTCAGATAGGAAGTGACAAAGGAAAAGAGGAGGGGGGCGCTTCTGGTGTCCTGCAGGAGCCTGCACGATGCTGCCTTTCTGTCTGCAGGTTGCCGACCCCTGGCCGAGAGAAATTTACCAAAATACTTTCACACCGATTCCTCATAGCTCAAGTCGAAATATACTAAACTTTCCATTACTATGCTGCCAGGAGGCAACCGTTGCAGTCAGTAGATGCTATCCAGCCTTAGGTAGTATTTATCGCTTTGCATTCTCTTTGGGAGAGTTAGCAACTACTTGCGACAAAAACGCAGCGCACCCAACGCACAAGGGTGGGCACGCACTTGTACCTGCACCTTGAGGTACCTTCGAACATACCACCACACCTTCAGAAAAAAAGGTACGCGAGCACTTCAGCTATCTTTCATGGACACATGTGAGATGAACCCGTTGTTTGTGAGGGTGGCCGAGAGAGGGCGTTACGTCACGGCATGATCATCATCATCGGGACTTGGCCAAGAGAGGGCACTACATGATGGCACCATCATCATCATTGGGACTGGGAGTTGTGGGGGTTGCGTGTGTGGGGAAGAGGGGAGTTCGGCCTGGTTGGGAAGAGTGGCAAGACGAAGGGGTTGTATTGTGCGCGATTTAGGGTTAGTGCGTGACATGTGGGGGCTCGTTCGGGATGGCTTCAGGCTTGACAACAGGAGCGGACGACATGCCTAGGCTCTAAGGTGGCGTTGAAGAGCTGTTGCTGGGCACTGACGCCTCTGCCATGGAGCGCAAACGAATCGTGGCGGTCGTGCGCGATCGCGTGATGGCGACGCTGCTGCCCACAGCTTCGCACGTGGGAGCATGGACTGTGATCGCTAACACTGGCGCGGTCCCTCGTGCCACAGACGACTCTGCGCCTCAGCTCGCCACTGCACACCTCCTTCGCTACTTCGGTGTTAGAGACTTGCAGTCGCCGGAGGAGTTTCTTGAACGCCTGGAAAACTTCTGCCTCGTAACGGGGGTCGCCGCCGATAAGCAACTGACTCACGTGGTACCGGCTGCCCTCGAGGGCAGCGCGAAGTTGTGGTGGCGGTTCGTGCGCGGGTTCGACTCGTGGGAGCAATTCACTGCCGCCTTCCGCTCCAAGTTCTCGTCGATTGACGTGAAGTGTCGCCTGAAGGCGGAGCTCGAACAGCGCACGCAGCACCCGGAAGAGAATTTGAAGGAGTTTATTTATGCGATCGCTACGTTTTACGACCACATCAGGGAAGAGGTCTCAGAATCCGAGAAGCTGCAGCGTGTACTGAGGCAGATGCACCCTCAGCTGCAAGATTTGGCGGAGGGGCATGTCTACAATGACCTCGCCAAGTTGGTGAAGGCAGCCGACGGCCTAAAGGAGCGGGCTTGGCGTCGCCTCCAGTACAGACCACCGCCACTTCCGAGCAACTAAGTAGCCAGAGATCTGGCGTTCCGCCCTAGCCTGGCCCCCGACCATCGCTCACTGCCGCAGCCGAACACTATGGCGACAGCGTCGTTCGCTTCGTTTGCTGCTGCGCCGCCCGTGCCTTCGGTTTATCACTGGCCACTGCATCCAGCTGCGCTAGGCCCGTAGTACTGCCGGGACCGGCAGTACTCATGCGACACAGCGCCTCCGTTCTCACCGTACGGGCCGGGACCGACGCCGCGGCAGGAGCCCACGAGTGAAGCAATGCGTGTGCAGTGCCATCGCTCTGGTGGACTCGGCCACATTTCTCGTAAGTGTGCCACAGGTCGACGAATGGGGCCACCTATTTGCTTCCGGTGCCAGCGATCGGGTCACCTGTAAGCACAGTGCCCGGGAAACCAGTGGCGGTATGTGCTGCCCCAGCGGGCACCTACGGCAGTGCGCACTAAGTAGCGACCACAGCCGGTGGCAAAGAGCCCCTTATGGACGTTCGTATCGGGTCGTCGACGTTCAAAACCCTGCTAGACACAGGCTCAAGTGTAAGCTTCTTCGGACCACACGCTGCGGCGGCGACCCAAGCTTCTGGAGCCAAACTCAAGGCAGACGTACGCATGCTGCGTTTGGCACCAGGCTGGTCGCAGTCAACCATGTCTCGTAAGTGCCAGATTGAGTGGGCTGCCGGTTGCCGCAGACAGCAGTTTTTGTGCGTTCCTGACCTGTGCCGTGACGTTGTCCTTGGTAGAGATTTCCTGACAGTGAGTGACATCTCTCTGCACGTGTCACTTGGTGGCTGGACTGTCGGCACAGAACCACAAAGAATTGTGCCCTTTGTCAAGGCCGTTAAGGAGCAGCCAGAGGCAGTGGATGATTTTGGAGACAGTCTGCGCTGCATTTTTGCTGAGGGCGATGCCAGTGTGTGTGCCAGTGAGCCGGAGGTGAATGCAGCCTACAATGTAATCATTCCCGGCCACTCGTCAGACCTAAAACCACGCATGAAACACGTTTTAGAAGAGTTTAGTGAAATCTTCACTACCACTCCGGGCTGCACAACCCTGGCAGAGCATCGCATAGACACAGGAGACAACCCACCTGTTCGATGCAAACTGCGACCAATGAATGCCAAGAAGCAGGCCATCATGGACAACTGCATTCACGACCTGCTGGCACAGAACCTCATCCGCCCTAGCCAAAGCCAGCATGCCAGTGCTCCTGTCCTGGTTGAGAAGAAGTCTGGTGGCTACCACATGGCTGTGGATTACCACCAGCTGAATGCACGCACTAAGGTGCCAATCTACCCCATGCCTAGGACTGATTGGTTGCTGGCACAGCTGGGACGAGCCAGGTGGTTCTCAAGTTTTGATCTTTCACAGGGATTTTTTCAAATCCCTGTTCAAGAGCAGGATATTCCAAAGACAGCGTTCATTTGCCATCAGGGAACCTTCGAGTTCATGAGAATGCCCTTTGAAGTTGCCGGAGGTCCTGCCACGTTTCAGACCCTGATGGACCGACTACTGGAGGGAATCAATCACCAGTTTGCCATGGCGTTTCTCGATGATGTCCTGGTGTATTCGGAAACCCTAGAGGATCATCTCGAGCATGTTGAAGTTCATGTTCGGGAGGTGTTGAAGCGGATAAATTCGGCACAGCTAACCATTAACCCAGAGAAGGTGCACGTGTGCTGTCAATACCGGAAGTTCCTTGGCCATGAAATATCGCCCGGGCAGTGTAGGCCGGACAAAGAAAAAGTGCGTGCAGTGCTGGACTATCCTCAACCAACAACACTCAAACAGCTGCAGGCCTTCCTGGGACTAGCAGGCTATTACAGAGGGTTCATACCTCAGTTTTCTATCACTGCACATCCACTCACAAAACTCCTTAAGAAAAACCAACATTGGCAGTGGCAGCTGCAACAGACCATTCTGTTGGAAACCTCAACAGACCATTCGTGGTGGAAACAGACGCCAGTGGAGTCGGCATTGCAGCAGTGCTTCTGCAGGCAGCCGAGAGTGATGCTCAACTGCGTCCAATAAGCTTCATTAGCAGGGTCCTCACTGAGGCAGAGCAGCGCTATACAGTGCGAAAATGGGTCTGTCTGGCTGTGGTGTGGGCAGTGGACAAGTTCCGACCATACCTTGAGTTCACGGAGTTTGAGATACACTGTGATCACTCCTCACTGTCCTGGATGTTCACCACAGACCAGGCCTCACCACGTGTAAAGCGTTGGGTTTTGCGGCTGCAAGGTTTAAACCTCAGGATCTAGCACAGGCGAGGTCTTGCAAATGTGCCAGCCAACGCTTTGAGCAGAGCTCCCTTTCAGCACCAGGAAGTTCCAGGCCTGAGTATACACGAAACGCTGTTCCATATGGCTGTTCCGGAACCCAGCCCACAAATCAGCTTTGAGGCTGCTGCTGTAGCATCTGATGTGGATGACACTACTGTCTTGAATGATGCAGGGCTGCTCGCCCAGGAACAAGAGCAGGACCCCATAGTACTGTCAAAACTAGGAACTGTGATGAATAAAGGGAAGCTTCCGCCCACTGACAGTGATCAACCTTTGATCAAAGACCTGGCGGAGATGACCGAGATGGAAGAGAGTGGGTTGCTTATACAGCACCGAGGGAACAGGAAAGTACCTTGGCTACCAAACCATCTCTGCAACTTGGTCCTGTGACTGTCCCATGACCACCCGATTAGCGGCCACTCCGGCTTTTTTTAAGACCCTCAAACGCATTTCTAAGAATTTCGTGAGGCTGGGTATGCACTCAGACATATCCAGGTATGTGCGCTGCTGTCATGTTTGTCAGCGCACCAAAGCCCACCGCCAGAAGCCAGAAGGGCTGATGAGCAGCCAATGGGCAACTGCCCCCATGGAACAGCTCAGCGTGGACATAATTGGGCTCTTGCCTATGACGTCTCGCACCACAAGTACCTTCTCGTGGTGATTGACAAGTTCAAGTTCATTGAACTTTTCCCATTATGGGCAGCAAACAGCAAGAGTGTGGTGGCCTGCAAGATCCAGGTTTTTTGCAGGCATGGCACACCTGTCTCCATTTCAAATGATAATGGAAAGCCCTTTGTAAGCAGGTTGTGGAAGGGCCTCCTTGAGCACTGGGGCATACAAGACCAACACACTGTTCGGTAGTGCCCTGCCGGGCAAATGGTGGAGCGCCACAATGGCACTATCAAGCAGTGCCTTAGGGCTTATTGTTCCAACCACAAAGACTGGGACCAGCACATCCCTGAAATTGCCCTGGCCATGCGCACGGCTGAAAGCGTTGTCACGGGCTACACGCCTGCCTTCCTCTGTTATGGCCGGGAGCTGAGAACCCCATGGACACAGGCTGAAGCCAAAGACGACGCGGAGCCTCCTGCGACAGCATACCGTGCGTTTGCTACTGAGGTCTCCAAGTGTCTGCAGGAGGTGCTTGACTTCTTCAGGGCACACCAGGACCACATGTGGCGTGCCCAGAAGACTCGCTACGACCAGCACAGCCGGCCACTGACAATACAGGAGGGTGATCTCGTTCTGCTCGAAAGCCACTCCCTCAGCGATGCCACCAAGGGCTTCTCCTCGAAGCTTGCACCCCGGCGTTCCGGTCCCTTTCGGGCAGTAACACGAGTAGGACACAATGACTTTGTTCCAGTGGACCCCAAAACGGGTCGTCGCCATGGTGTAAGACACGCAGACCAGCTGACACTCTACCATGAAGTTGCAGGCGGTGTGTAGTGGTGGCTTAACATTTTTAGGGGGGGAGACCTGTGAGGGTGGCCGAGAGAGGGCGTTAAGTGATGGCATGATCATCATCATTGGGACTTGGCCGAGAGAGGGCACTACATGATGGCACCATCATCATCATTGGGACTGGGAGTTGTGGGGGTTGCGTGTGTGGGGAAGAGGGGAATTCGGCCTGGTCGGGAAGAGTGGCAAGACGAAGTGGTTGTGTTGTGCGCGATTTAGGGTTAGTGCGTGACAAGTTGAAAAAAAAAGAGAGAGAGAGATTGGTTATAAAATGGTTATTAATGAAGTAAATTATCTGTCACCGATTATAAAAGAGGACTCACTAATACACTGGTCTGCGCACTTTTTAATGCATAAGATTATGTGGTGAGTCGGTTGCAGAACTGACATTCGGGCAAGTTGCGTTTTTGTACCTGGGAATCTTGTTTGCCAGCTCACGCAGCCAGTCTCGGAGTATGCGAGCCACGATGCGCTCCTTGACGAAGATGATGCCGCACAGCGACATCCGCGGTTCTCTGGCATCAGCATCACTGCCGTCCTGTGGCCGTTTCCGTGGCCGAAAGGCCTCCAGGATCTGCAGGAGGCGTTTAAGCTTGGGAGTGGCCATTGCCAGGAGCGGTTCCTCGCTTTGTGCCGCGTTTGATTCAATGATGTGATTCTCGCACCTCTTGCGAACCTTGTCCAGCCACTCCAGATACACCTCTATCTCGCGGAGCACACAGCTGTCGTCGAGGCCATCCAACATGCGGCGGGCCTGGAATGTCATGACAGTTTTCCTAAAGTGTACGAGCACTATCATGTTCATGCATTAAGAAGAATTACAATGGTGTGTAGTGCATTCGGCAGGTATTCTCATATCATGACCAATCCCTCAAGAGAAAGGTATGTAACAGTTGCACCTGGCTGCCACTTGCCTACAGAGCAAGAACCTGGAAGCTTATAAGAAGTTTTCTATTTAAATTGAGGACAGTATAGCGAGCCATAGAAAGAAAAATGATAGCTGCCACGGACAAAAAGAGAGCAGCATGGGTTGGTGAACAAGTGGGCATTGAGGACATCTTAGTCGAAATCAAGAAATGGGCAGGACATTAGTGAGAAAAGAAGGCATCATCGGCAAGTGTAGTACGCAGTATTCCAAGAGAAGGCAAGTACACATGGGGGAGGCCGAAAGTTAAGTGGGAACGTGAGATTGAGATTTTGTGGGCATAACCTGTCGACAGCGAGCACAGGACAAATTTAATTGGATAAATATGGGAGAGGCCTTTGCTCCGCAGTAGGCGTATAAGGCTGCCGCTGCAGCTGATGACGATGATTTTCACGCGGGAGGCGGTTTTAGAGGACTCTATTGTGCTTTTGATGAGGCTACTGCATTAAAAACGCGACACACTAAAATAAAATGCTCTGCGCAAGATATAGGCCACTAGAGTGGCTTCTGCCATAAGGCAGCAATCTTGTACGCATCCTTGAGCGGAATGTTTGTCCTCGCCACACACAATTGGATAAGGTGCACGCTTATGTGATCATGATAAAGAGCCCAAATGCACAGCCTCTGTTCCATAATGAGAAAATGACGTCACACTGCTGTCAATCATTTTCAAAAGGAATATATTTGTCTGCAAAAAAATAGATGGGGAGTATATTTTCTTAATACAACAGACCTAAAACAGTCTCCAAATGACCCAGACTGCATCAAAAGCTAAGTGCTCAGAACAAAGCAGCAGATTAGCCCAACTGCTTCGATTCCTCTTACTTCTGTTTCACAAGAAATACTAAATCTTAGGGTTTAGCCACCAGTACATGAGTACAAAGCCACCAGTACATAAGTACAAGGCAAGTGGTAGTTAGGTAGATTACATTCGTTTTGATCACTTAGTATTCCTTAACTGGTGTTGTAGTGACACGTATCCCGAAGCAGTACAGCCACTAGCGTAGGTCCGGTCATAGCGAGCCGCAGGGCACGCGTTAACCGTCGCCATGGCGAGAACACGATACTGCTCAAGGTCGCAACCCATTATTGTCTGAGGCAACACCAAAGCGCAGTACAGCCCGTTGCAAAGGCACAGCGAGAAAGCAAATGGGTTTATCCACGCCACGGGCGAAAAGTACTACATAGGGTGCCGCGAGCACGTCTCCATGGTAAAAGCGATTCACGGAAACACCGGGACCAAGGCCCGGTCGCTCGAGCGAGGGCAAAGGCGCATGCGTTGGCTTCGGAGAGATAACGGGTCGGCGTAGCTTGGCCACGCACTAGGACACCATACCGCCCTTTGACCGAGCGTACTCAAAGGGGCAACAAAACATGACCATTTGCCTAGGGCGTGAGGCGCCGTCAGCGAAGCCTGACGAGCCCCGAACTACAGGAGTCGACGGACGGAAAAGAGAATGCATGCTACCTGTAATCTGTCCTGGAGAAATCTGACTCATTTCCCAACGGGCACAAAACCTCTTGGGAGACTTTGCGCGCGGCGCCATAGTCGACATCCGCTACCGGGTGAGAGGGGTTAAACGTCACTCCTTGCTCTCTCAGTGCGGCAGACAGCGGAGGAGGGGAGTCATGTCTGGACATGAGAACGGCAGAAAAGGCGACAAAGCCCGCGCAAAGGCGGTGAGCTAGCCTCAATTCCCACAGTGTTTGCCCACTGAAACCTCAAGACGTTTATATTGGTTGATTGACCTATACGCATAGAAACTCATGACCGTTTATTAGAGGTGAACGTCGTCTTTAACCAGCACTTTTCCAAGCAATCATCGAATGGCTTCATTAAAGGAGTCAATTTCCTCACGAACTGACTGCTGCAAGAATTTTTGGGATAAGTCAAGGACTACGGAGTTATAAAGATTTGTCACACGCTGAAAGCTATGAGCAGGGGAGAGGAGGTATGGCAAAGGGAAAAGAAGATGTGTCACTCTTCAGGATTAGGCAATATGTCCAATCGAATTAAAATTTTCGAACAAATATAACTGCCTACTTCCCCACTTCAAGGTTAAATGAACATATTGCCCTCACACCGATTCATCATTTTTTTTTAAGTTTAAAAGCTTGCTATATTGGCTTATATGTTTTAAAGTGACATTAAAGTCAAATAACAATTTACATTACAGTGAAAGCTCAATGTATGACAACACGTAAACCACAAAATTATGAACAACAGTGCCCTACTTACCAAGAAATTAAATGCACAATATTACAAGCCCCGCAGTAGGACATTCTCAACATGATCCCGATGACTTCAGAAGGACCGCCTACAATCAATCACTAGTAATCGATCTAACTACACTAAATAAATAACCTTCCACAAATCAAGAGACGCAATAAAATGCTGCTTGTTCGTTACTGCTCAATTCATGAAAAAAAGAACCGCCGGATGTTACTATGGGGAATGGTGCGAGTGGTTCAAAAATTCAATTTTCCCATGGTTACACGGGCCAGGCGGTGCCATCTAGCAGGGTGCGGTTGAACCAAAACACGTCTGCTATTTCGAGCCAATGGAAGGAAATTGATCAATGGCCGCTGTTGCGGCTGTGGCTCCCGCTGCTTTTGATCTGCTGCTACTAGCACAGTAAAGCCGAGCAACGTTGTGCACGACAACAGTGACGTGAATCGGTCCGGTTGGTTCGCTTCTTGAGGCGGGTAATTTGAAGTTTGTTAATGCGATGCGGACCACTAAAACATGATTTTATTTTAAAATATGCCCTTCTTTGGCACAAAGTAACACTACGAGGTTTCTGGACCGCTATTTCAACAATCAATGTCGACTTAGTGTCCCTTTAAGTACAGTAAGTTTCAAAACGTAAGATATTTTACAGATTACCACTTGCATTCTACCAAAATTAAAATCTTTCTACTATTAAAAGTTGTTTTGACTTTCCTAGAACCGAATAAATATAATTTGCAATGGCCTTGTTTCATTTTTTAAAAAATCTGCCAGTTAGTTAAGCCATGACAAATATGCCCATTTTTCTTCATAATACGTAATCGATACTATTCAAGTTAAATTCGAAATTACTAAACGAGCATCACTATTTGCTTTGAACCTAAAATTCACTATTCGTGCAAGCCTAGTCAGCATGCGTGGTGACTTTGAGAATGTTTCTGTTTTTTTTAGAATGCACGGCTTATGTTTAACGTGAATGAGAGTGCACGTTCGGGCACATGGTGGCATGCCGGTGCAACTACACAGCTACCAATTCTCAAATCGGCCAATAGCCGAAAATTTTGGGTTTATGGCATGGTCATTCAGGTTTGTGGCATCATTTGTGCAGAGAAGAGGGTGCAGTTCCTAGCCAACTTTGATGATTCATTGTAAATCCTAGGCCGCGTGCTGCATTGTAATGGTTGGCTCACGTGTTCTCAGGAGCCCCAACTGCCAATGGGCAACGATTTCCGACCATGATTTAGAAGTGTTGCCGGGCCCCTTTTAGGTATACTAATTTAGTCAACCAACTCAGCCATGAGTGATCATCTGAGTTGGTAACACCCTGCAACGCTGTCACTCGCACGACTAAATCGAGACCCCGTGTGATGTTCCGCTAGTAAAGAGTTTGATTCCAACATCACGAGAACATTTCCAGGGTGCACACGATACCATGATTCGTGCCAGGCAAGGGCTACATTTCCTCAGGCCTCTCGTTACGTTGTCGGGGTGCTCTCAAGGTTGCTCGGGCGACTTATGCCCGGAATGTTTTTTTTTTCCCCGAGGGGACACGCTCTTAAAAGGGTTCAATCGTCCCGAAGCACTCGCATTGTTTCAACCCTTATTGACACTGGGCCTCTATTTGAAAACCACCGTAGATGTCAACAACAAAAAAAAAATACTTGAAGACGTGATCTTGGGCATTCCCCCATTGTAGGGGACCAATTTTCTCATGATTTAAGGCAGGCCTTTCGAACTGACGCTGAAATTGGTCACAAAAATGCTCGAATTAATTATTACATGCATCAAACTATCTACAATTCAATTTCTGGACTACAAGACACAAAGTTACAAATTATAGCCGAAAAAAAGTCAAGAAAATTTCACTGCCAGTCTGTCTTTCAAGTCTGACTGCCTACATATTTTGTTTGGTCATTTCGAACTTTTCACAATTGCACTTTTTTTTTTCCCGATGCTCTTTTCCCAGTGCACGTGAACATGCAAGTTTTCTTGACAATGATTGGAAGTGCCAACACACACCCGATGATAGATACTGAATTTCCAGCATAACAAAGCAGGCAACACATCCAAGTTGAAAATGAACGAGCACACCTTCCGACAGCGCACAACCAAAGCTCACTGGACACGCGTGAGGCAGCAAGGGTCACCGACCTCCTCCATGATGACCTCGACGGCCAGGTGTCCACACCAGACGCCCATGTCCTGCAGCACCTTAATCAAGCTGCGGAGCCTGCGCTCCATCTCCTGGCCCTGCGAGGTCATTGGCCGGATGGACGGAAATGTCGGAACCGGGATGCCGCAGATCGACGGGCTACCCGTCGACTGGTGCTCGACCAGAACCTCCACCGGCTTGGTACCGTATCTTGTGAGCACAGAGAGATAAAGGGAGCAGGAAAAAAAAAGACAAAGTGAGCGACAAAGTTGTCTAGACATGTTGTGTGCCAAAATTATATTGCCATGAGAGCTTCTTTTGCTATTATTGCAATAGTAATTATTTTGACACTCTCAGCTGGATTTCGCCTCCGGTCTCGGCAGCGACGTGGGCGTTGCCGTCATTCATTGTATATGTACCTATATATTTATGAAAATGCACGAAAGAAAAATTATCCAGAAAAAAACTGCAGCGTATGGAAACGAACCTTTGACTTCTGAATTGCAAGTGTGAGGCGTCAACCACTGAGCCACGATAGAACACCTCCTTCGACATCCAAATGTCAAGCCACTCTACACTTATTGCTGGTGATAGGCATCTTGGGAGGGGGGAACTATTGCGTTTTCAGCATAACAGCGAGATGGTGCAATGAGCGCGCGTCGCTAGATCGTCACAATGTGGCGGCGGGCACTTTGATCTCCCACAAGTACCCCGCGGAGAGAGGGCAGGGTGGACGATCTCTGTTGTACTTACCGGGCGCACAAAGGTCACTACACTCGTTGCACAATCTCCATTTGTGAAAAGGGCGCGCTTTTTAGACACAGCGAAGTAACAACTGAGATGCTCATTCGAATTCATCTGTACCTGCGAGTACTTTTCGTGCGTCATTTGTGCGTGAGATACGCGGGGCACGTTTCGATCTGCTTGCCATTTTTCCTGTGACCTTCCAATTTGTTGCTACCGCGTTCATTGGTTCGCCTTTGCAGCAAAGCTGTTAATTTTTTTTTTTCATGTAAGTGATTCATAACACATGTAATCACCTGTAGCCTTCTTCGTACCACTCTGAAATGTCAAGCATTCCAGATTATTCTAGACTGTTCTGATAATCCCAAGTGGACGGCGCAAGGAATGCATCTTATTCTGGAACTAACGATAAGGCTGGAACTTACGATGCTACCTGTAGATTTGCCAACTCACCTTTCAGAAAGTGTGAAATTCGACGGTCGCATTAGAGAAAACTGCGGCTGCTGCTACCAATTTACAGTGTGCGTTGCCTGTACTTCGACATTTCTTGGGCCCAAGTTCGCCCAATAAGGAGTTCCGTCTAGTCTACCTGTTCCCTCCTTCACTGTCAATGTTTAGTCAAGCTTCAACCAAAGTCCACGCACTGGCTGTTTTAATGCGCTCCCGGCTGTCCACGGTGTTTGTGCGAAACGGAAAAAGAGAATCGCTGAGGCCCCCAACAACTTCTGCTAACCGAACGGGAAATGAGAGGAGGTGTGAAACCCTATCAGACGACAGAGCTTTTCCAGATACAGACAGACATTATTCTTTTAGCTACTTGCTTATAGGACAAAATTTGACACAGCCTAAACAACTTAATATGTTTTTCTTAAACTACGTATACATGTACATCATCGCGGGGAACTTTGGAATCATTCGGACCATTCTTTAGGATGCATGACGATGTGTTCACTTAAATGAAAAAAGATTACTTTCACAGAGCTCTCTTCAATGAATAGCCATTCTTCAGAGACAACCATTCGCATCTGAGAATGCTAAGCCACCTGACAGCATGCTACTGCACCCATGCTTTGTTAGGCACAAAAGTGCAGTATAGTGCCTACTTACACACTCAAACCTCATAATAACAAAACTGCAGCTTAGAAGAAAATAAGCTCGTTACAGTCGAACCCCACTACAACGAAACTCACGGGGCATAGAAAATATTTCGTCGAAGCAAGAATTTGATTGTAGTGAAATCGAAAAAATATAGCTGATCTGAGCTAGCAAAACAAAGGAACGTTTATTCTTAAAACCAAAAAAAGTGTCCGCTGCTTCCTATTCTTTCTCAGCAGCGTCACGACGCAATTCACAGTCATGCATAGTGAGGCCTTGATAAAAACCCCGCTGAAACAACGCCTACAACCGCTTTCGTAAACGTACCAAACAGTTGCATTAACATGTTAACACCAGCAGCCCTCCGCCGTAAAAGTGTATCCGACAACACAGAGATGGAGACAGGGTATTGCGGAGCGGGGATTTTTGCCTTATTATATGCCATTCTTATTATCCATCATTCGCGGCTAGCTGATTTGGTCAATAAAGCAGATGAACAGCCGCTCTGATTAGGTACTACACTGAACAAGCGCGAATAAAATGATAAGCATTGGAATCTGAAAAGGCATCGCTCCGCTGTTGCACCAAGCAGCAGCTTCGGATCGTTTGCGGCTCGAAAGCAAGCCAGTGGCAAAAGCAGAGCAGTCTCGATGCCATCGCTATCGAGCAATGGCGGCGCCCATGCTTACTGAACAGCGGCGATTTCTGGTGGTGCCAATGCATGTTTTAGATTTCGTCAACATATTTTAAGGCTCTGGAAATGCATCAAAGTGTTAAAGATTGGGGTTCCTGTATAGCAATAAATATCTGAGCCTGGAATTGCGTCGTGAAATTTCATTGAAGCGGGACAGCAGAAGAAAAGTGTTCGTTGTGGCGACAATATTTATGCATTGACTCCTATGAACTGCTGATGGGAAACCGTGAATTTTTTATTCTAGCGGAAATTTCGTTGAAACGGCATTCGTTGTAACGGGGTTCGACTGTATAACTAAAGATTCATTATAAAGGTTTATTCCTAACACGGTGCCTATTGCAAGACTACTTTACATCTAGTTTGTTGTAACCAATATTTCCTTATATCTGGGTTCGTTATATCGTGGTTTGAATAATTTTCATTGTCACTAAGCCAACGTTGGCTTTGCAAGGCACGCACATGCGAAAATAAGTTCATTATATCTGAAAATTTGTGACAAAGGCTTAGGCCTAACACTTTTTATTTCTAGACTATTTTTCATCCACTTCACTCACTATAAGCAATACTTCGTTATATCCAGTTTGTTATATCGAGGTTTGAGTTATTTTCATTTTCACTAAGCCAATGACATCTTTGTAAGGCACACACCGGGCCATGCTCTGCTGGTTGGAGACTGTGAGCACGCGTGAATGCAGTGCCATCTCGAGGTCGTGCACCTTGCGCTCCACCTGGTGCTCGGTGGCCTTGCTGTTGATGACTGAGGCGGTGAGGCCCAGCACGCGCGGTCGCTCGTGCGGCTCCAGCACGTCCATGCAGCGCATCACCTCCCGGTACGTGTGCTGCTTCACCGCGCGGTGGCACTCGTCCAGAATGAGCAGGTTAACACGTGACATCTTCAGGAAGCCGTGGTGGATGATCAGCTTGAATACGTCGGGTGTCATCACCAGCACCTGGGTTGATGCGAGCCTGTCGTTATCTCTGGACGCGCCACATTTTCTCACGTGTAACCAGCACAGGTGTGCACAGTACTCCCGAATTGAAACATGACATGGAAATTTTTAGCATGACTTGCAAGCACAAGGGCTCGAGATGATAATGTCACATTGCTATGAATGAGAATGCCAAGGGTGATGTTGGCTTCGATGGATGCGTTTTTTTTTAGTTGACATTATGCCAATGTGACATGAGCTGAAGATGATACAAATAAAAGCATGTGCATAACTCAGACCTATATTGTGATGCTTTAATCCACGATATCTGTGTAGAATATCAGAAGCTCAAGTGAGGTGCCAGTTGTATGTATTGTATGTAAATTTCTGCACACAAAGTGGCTTTATGGCAATGTTTCCTGCCAATGCAAAGATGCTGGCAGTGACAACCAAAACTGACAATTAAGCAATGACAACGAAATAATACTGCTGATTGGAGCTAAGTAAAGATAAAGTTTTCCAACGTGTGAGCAAAATTAATATGCAGTACTGCAATGCGCAGAAAATATGTTAAACTTTTCTTCTGGGTTGTAGCTGGGGGTGCAGCTTACATTCAAGGGTAAATCACTACCAAGGGGTGCTGAAAAACCTCTTTAAACAACATTGTGACGACATGACGCATGTCAGTTGCTTATAGTTTGTTTTTGTTTTCGTTAATTGAAACTGTACACCCTATAAAATTTACAAATGTACAGCTACAATCGAGAAAATTAGCACAATTGATCAGTAACTGCCATGCTGAAATCGACATATATGATTCCCTTGCCTACCACATCAATAATGAGTGACAGGCACTTCAGGCAGTGAAGAAAAAGCTTAGGCAGTGAAGAGAAAGCAACTTATCCCAAAGCCACCTTCTCAAATGTCTGCCAGTTTTGTTGCTTGCTTCGGTTCTTATCCATTTGGGCAACTCTTTCTCTGCTGCAGCTTCATTTGAAAGCCTGGAGCCCCCTTGAATGTGATTGTCATTCATCGTTTTTTTTGAAAAAACAACTTTGCTTTAAATGTCGAGGAGGACTCATTCTGACAGGATACAATCACTGAAGCAACAGGGCGAATGCTTTGTAACTTGCACATGGAATCTTCTGCTGTTTAGGTAAGCTTACTTTTTTTTTGTCCAAACTGGACTATATGAAGCCAACAGGGAAAGGCAAATCAAAATATAGTTTTAGTGACTGAATTTTAAATAAAAATACAAATGTAGCTAACCACTTGTAGTGATACCAAGGATTTCATATCCAGAGCCATTCCTGGAGCAACGAAATTTCTATTTTGGCACAATTTGACACAGCAACAAATTCCATATTGGAGCACTTCAAAGCAGTTAATCTTGCGTCCGGAAGCAGCTTGAGCTGCTGATTTGAAATTCTTGGAGTACATTGGAAGAGCAAGTTGCATTTACAGTAAAACCTCGTTAATTTGAAGTTACTGGGGCCGTGAGAAAGCTTTGCATTAAGCGCCTTTTCGAATGAATAGAACATACAAAAATTTGATGAAAGGAACTTGTACCTATTCAAAGTAATTGGTGCTCATCATTTGCTGTGCCGGCTAGCTTGTGGCCCCAAAGGTTTTGTTTTTCAGCAATACCTGGTTTTTACTTTACCGCGAACATGGAGGAACGATGGGCCTCGCTGCTGCCACACAAAAAAAAAAAAAAACACGATAGTAACTGAAATGTGTGTTTGCAGAAAACAAGACATCTTCACTGCAACACAGTAGTGACACGCGGGCAGAATGTCGCCTGCTCCTCGCTTTGTCAGCACGTCATGATGCGACCATTCGCACATTCTATTATAATTATAAATTTAATAATGGCCAGTATGACAAAGCTCACAATGTGTTTTGGCTGGAAAAAACTATCTTTGAAAATTTCGAACTTGATTTTCGAAATAGGTGTTGCTGGCAAAAACTCCGCCAGCAGTGCAAAGACACAAACTGCTGGAGCAACCGGCAATCAGAGGTTCGAATACATTGTGATTTCCGCTAAACTGTCCTTTATTCATTTCTTCACAACCCCATAAATAATGGGTAAACCATGACCTGCTGAAATTGCGAGAAACAAGAGATAAGCTGCCCGCGTATCGCCACTGTGTTGCAGTGAAGCATGGCTCATTTTCCGCGACGCACGTTTCGGTTGACCACGAGACCGTTTTTTTCTCTTTTTTTTTTGCGCTAGAAGTAGCGAGACCAAGATGCGTCAGCTGCCACTCATTAGTATAGATACATTGCACTGCCTCATGGCAATTAATGGCCGTCGTTTCCGTGAGCTCGCAGCAAGAGATCGGGAGCTAGCACATGGCACCCAAAGTTTTCGAACTAACCGGACTGGTGCCGGCCGCTGCTTCAAATTATCCACTCAAACTTATATTTAAAAATACGGGATCGTGAAAATTTTTCTAATTAAGAGGAATTCCGAAATAACCAAGTTTGAATTAACAAGGTATTACTGTACATGCAAACACTATATAATTACTATGACGCTCTTATGAAGAACCAGATAAACGTCGAAACTTGTTGCAAATCTCGCAGGAAAAAATCTTCCCAGAGCGAGCATTATTTTGCTTTATCATGCAAAAATTAGGACGTCAAGGCATTAGATGCTGCCAAACGACCTCTCCAGCACTTTCTTTGACTCGGTCAAACAAACGAAATACTATATCAATAAAGTTGTATATCATGAAACAACATTCTAAGCACAATTGTGGAGTCATCAATGTGCAAAGTTCATAGCAGAAATCATTGTAATAAAATGTTGCACTTTAAATTGCCAGAAGTGGAACGGAACTACTGTGACATACAACAGTGCGTCGATGTTAAAAAGTTGTGCGGTCACTTCATGCTATTCTCTAAAGACAGCTCAAAGACAAAAGACGACTTCTTTTCCTGCTCAGTCGTTTGCATTTATCCATTTGATTTAACTTGTCTTAATTATTGCCTTAATTAGATGCTACCAGTAGAATTTCTGGAACAGACGATGTCAGCTGATGAACTGCCGCCACCAATCGACTTAGATGTTGCGAGCCTCTGCTCAAGGTGTCGATTGATATGTGAAGTTTAATGTCCCAAAACCACCATATGATTATGAGAGACGCCTTAGCGGAGGGCTACGGAAATTTCGGCCACCCGGGGTTCTTTAACGTGCACTCAAATCTGAGCACACAGGGCTACAGCATTTTCACCTTCATCGAAAATGAAGCCGCCGCAGCCAGAATTCGATCCACCATCCTGCAGGTCAGCAGCCAAGTGCCTTAGCAACTAGACCACTGCGGCGGGGCAACACACGCAAGAGATGTATCTGTAAATGATGCGTTTTTTAAATGCCTGTATGCAGTCTAGTAATGTATTTATAAACATTGTGCAGCAGCGCTGTTACGCTTGTGGAATAACCATAGGTTCATGGATGTGGCTCTGCTGGCCTCAAGATCAAGCTTCACATATGTCGAAGCACCGGCAATGCTACTACCCATGATGGACTCTGTCAAACTTGAGATTCTGGCATTCTACATTTCTACATTCTACGGATTCTGACATTTTATCATGATCGATCTGTAAATATAATTTAGCACACTGGCTTAATTGGTGCCAGAGATGAATCACTGCACAACTACAACTAATGAAAATTGAGCCGCTTGGTTTTTCTCGTCCTTCCCCATGTGAATAATTAACATAACCTTTTGCTTCATCACTAGCAACACACCCAAAAGTATAACAACTTCTTATGTTATTCATATTGGCAGCAGTGCAACAGGCAAAATAAGATTGGGAGTAATTATTGGAGCAGCAAAATACTGCTTTCGCAACATGAAAATCCTGATTTGGAACACATTATGGAGAAAGATACCTTGCATTTTTTCAACATGAAATCTCAAATGAAAATTGAGCCGCTTGGTTTTTCTCGTCCTTCCCCATGTGAATAATTAACATAACCTTTTGCTTCATCACTAGCAACACACCCAAAAGTATAACAACTTCTTATGTTATTCATATTGGCAGCAGTGCAACAGGCAAAATAAGATTGGGAGTAATTATTGGAGCAGCAAAATACTGCTTTCGCAACATGAAAATCCTGATTTGGAACACATTATGGAGAAAGATACCTTGCATTTTTTCAACATGAAATCTCAAATTAGAAGCAGTATAACATAGAAAGCTTACTTTTAGAAAATAAAACAAAAATATGTACAAATCATTTAACATCAGCTAACTCATGCACAGTGCATGTGTACACTGCTATTTCAATAAAAGCTGTTTGTTGACCCCCTCCCATGAAGCAAACATTGACAAAGTCCACATAAGCTTTTGCAGTGCCCACGAAATCATTTGGCATTGCCGTGAAAAAGTAATGCACTCTAATCTTCTTATAATAAAGTCACACATGCCATAAAAATACTCTGTTATATCCGAAAAATCATTATAAAGATGTATTCGTAACACTGTATCTATGACAAGGCTATTCCTTCATCTACTTCATTATAACTGATGATATGTAATATCCGTGTTCGTTATATCAGGTTTTGAGTGTGCTACTACTCGTAGTTGAGTGGTGCCTGAAATCATAAATAATTTAGAAACAAAATGTGCCGTGTTTGGTGATGGCTTGCAAGACAGCCCCTTCTCAATTTTACTACACTTTTTCGCACCCCACCGGCTCACCATGATGAAAGTGGCTTAAAAAGCGTTCTGCCTGCTACAGCACAAGGATAATGTTGCCAAAACTGCAGGTGCACAATGAGGCCTCCGTTTCTTCCTAAAATTAGCACAACCGAATTTTGAGGATGGTGGGGCATTTGGCACAGTACGGCACAATTTCAAAATTTTTATTGTTCTGGCTCAGCTTGGTGCTAAAACTAGGAATTGTATCAAATTGGCACAATTGGCAATGCTGTTGCCCCTCAAATATTAGAGATTGGGCCAACTGGTTTCTGATGAGATAACCTTCATAGGTTGAAACAAAAGAGACGAGGTGAAAAGATTAGTAATTTAACGGCCGTGTCATTGTGCTTGTTCATTGTTTATATGCAGCAATGTAGCATGGCTAGCATTGGTTGGGCTTGTTTTCATTACGGAGCCCCGCTGCGACCAAGCTGACAATTAAGAGCGATGCCACAAGCAGCCATGATGTTTCCCTGCTTACCTGGGACTCGACAAACTCCTTTTCCCAGCGTTTCTTGTTCCAATTGTCAACGTTCATGTCGCCGACGTAGCCACCAACACGCAGGTCCGTCTGGCACTTGATGGCCTTCTGTTGCTGTACCACGAGAGGCACTGAAAACCAAGCAATGAAAGCAATGACCACCTTCCAGCCAGCTGCCACGAACATTGCTAGCTACTGCGGTGGCTTAGAGGAGTACAGACACGAAACTTTTTCATTGCATCGCATGAAAGGCCAAGCCCTTTAGAGCCTAGAAAATGTACTGGTACGCTTTAGTGCACCCTAGAAAATACAGCTCGTTCTTAAAATCTAGTTAGGGTTTCTAATGTACCAATGTGTCGTGACGTGGTTCAAGCTACTTTTCGTGATGCACACCAGATCACAACATATGGGACATTTCCACAGCCACTTGAAAGTGCTCCGCTGGTGACGCCTCAGGGGCTACTATTTTGAACGTTTTTGAAAATGCACATGCAGCAGCAACGAATTGGTACCTGACATCATCCCTACTAGCCATAGCGGAGTGTGAAATAAGTCACCAGACTTGACAATGTAGCCTTACATCCCAATAGTGTTGATAGCAGTAGCTGTGCAAAACAGACCTCGTGTGAACGCATCTACTGAAATAAGTCTCGCTAACTTCCATTGAGTTGCCCTTGATACATAAAATGGAGTTCGGCACACGCCTTTTCACAAACAAGCCAAATCTCGAACATACTTCCTTACACAGTCATTAGAGCGCGCCCTGCAGGCCTGGCCACGTCTATTGCTTCACTAAACTGTTCACCTTGATTTAGCCATTTTAGAGCCGTTTTGAGCTGCACTAATTACAGACTCCATGTTTTTATCAACCATGCGGGCCACTTGGCCCAACATTATGATGAAATGTTATTGAACAAAAAATATGCTGGAGCCTCAAAGAACGCTGCTGGAGCCAGTGTCTCAACATGGGAGCTTGAGTGTGTCAGTCAGCGATTGCCTTTATTAGCCACAGACTGCCCTGACAATGGAAAGCATTTTTGTTGAAGTGCTGCCTCTGTTTTGATGACTAGCCTCCAACCACACCCATCATCTTCTGTCATGTTTGACCTAACTTACTTGTCACTTGGCCCGACATTATGTCTAGTTATGAAAAAGCTTCAGCAGCTTTTGTCCTATAAGAAAAATGGGGACAAGCGAACCTTGGTGTGTGTATGCTGTAAGGAGCACTTTTTTTTTTCTATTGCATTTCCCATTCCTTCCAACTGTTTCCTTCCTCTATGCAGGGAATTGGACCTTCATCCACGTGCTAAACAGCCCAACACTTCCGTTGCGACAGGCAACAATGAAAGTCATGAGTACCATCCAAGCAACAATTAATATGTGGCAACGTGAAATGCCAAACCACCTCGGCAAAACATCAGATTTCCATATCGGAAACGGCCGATCACCGACAAGTGCACGAACGGGAGCACATCAGTTCATTGTGATCACAGCCCGACAAAAATAGACAGAAGAGAACTTCAAAGGCCAGTTTACCACCTCACTAGCCCAATTTGCAGTTCTGTCGAGCATCAGTTGTAGGAAAACAATTTACATCAATAGGCATGTTACCTGTGCAACTTCAAGGGCTACATTTCAGTAAGCTTACCAGCGCTTGTTTTCATAAGAACTTTGACCTGGAAACTTATTTGTTTAAGTGACACAAGACTAACCTGTTGGTACGAGAAAGAAGGTACGCTTCCCTCCTTCTTCGAACGGGATGCGAACGGAAGCTTCATACTCCTTGATGAGCATGACAGCGATGAATGTTTTGCCAGTTCCAGTTCCTAGGCACACAATGGTGTTCTCCTTTACGGCGGCTTCAAAGAGCTCAACCTACAAATCAAGGTAAAAACGAGGGGAAATGTGCGTTAGCCACGGGCAAAAGCTTGTCATTGAATTACTTAGGCAATGACGCCACACGCTACTCGAACTTCGACGGGCAGAAAATGCGTGTTCCACACTCACCATCATGGTACTAGCGGCACCGACAGACATTTGCAAGTTTAAATGCACATATATACTCCATAATGTAGACGGGGGGGGATGGCCGCTGTGATAGCTCAGTTGGTAGAGCATCGGACCCGTTATTCAAAGGTCGCATGTTCGGTCCCTACCATGGGCCATTTATCTTTTCCATCCACTTTCCTTTCTTCACGTTTACATTACAAATAGCATCTCCCATGGCGCCCTCGACATCATTTTCTGTTAGTTTCTATTAATACTGTGTCCAACAAAAAAAAATCAAGCTTTTAGATTTTAACTTCATTTAGAGAAAAGGTTCTCTTGAAAACTAGGCCTTTGGCAAAAACAAACGACACCTTAATGTCGTTACCATCAGTATCTAAATTCAAGGTGTTAAACGCAAAATGTTTCTCCGCTAGTTTTATACCTAGTGTTTATGTAATGAATCAAAGTCAGAGAACTGTGCCAGCGACAAACGGCCAGTTAACATCAGCCTGACTACGCCCACTGAAAGGCAAACGCCTCTCCACTTTTCATCTAATTAATATGGTACTGTGCTTGCTGCAATCCTGTTAATCCCACGAACTCAATCTTATCTTCGCACCTAACCTTCAACCTCTCTCTTGCATGCTTGCCTTCTCCTGAAATCCTGTCTGTTACTCTCATAGACCAGCTGTTACCTTGACCTCCCACTAAATTCCCTGCGCACAGCTTCCTTCTTGATTTTGACTAAGATGTCCTTAACACACGTCTGTTCCCTGGCCCAGCAGACCCCCTTCTTGTCCCTTAAGGTTACACCGATCAGGTTCCTTTCCGTGGCTCACTCCTTCGTCCTCAATTTATGTTGAAACCTCTCTGCGAGGTATCTGCCCTGTAACACGCAGCTGTCGTTTACCTTTTTCTTTAGGGGTATCCTGATTTGATTAATAGATATGCGGGTTTTAAAGTCACAAAACCACCAATGATTATGAGAGGCACTGTAGTGGAGGGCTCCGGAAATTGCGACCACCTGGGGTGCTTTAAGGTGCACCTAAATCGGAGCACACGGGCCTACAGGCATTTTCACCTCCATCGAAAATGCGGCCGCCGTAGCCAGGATTCGATACCGCGACCTGCGGGTAATTTAGGGTATCCTGGTAAACTACCACTCGTGATCCGAGAATGGCTGTCAAATGCACTCCACCCCACCTTTCTTCTTCTAATCCCTCCAGCCTCATGTGTTTTGGATCTGCGGGTGCACCACCTGCCTTTTATTGACGTTTTTCTTAACCACTTCTCGTGCCTCGCGAACTACACGCCAGTGACAGCCATTAACTTACGGCAACGGTTTTATCGCAGTGCGATAATGGAGCCTTTTATGCGTCATCTAAACTCGCAAACACGCCAAAATGCACTTAAAACAACACGACAACGCTGACTTTTCAACAACGTAAACACGGCAATAAGAATTGGCATATCTGTTCGACAAGCGAATGAAGCTACGACTGAAAATACGCACCCTTAGTCAACAACGCAGCACAGATGAGAGGCTCACCTGATATTCTCTTGGGATGAATTCATCCTTCGGAACATCTGGAACCGTGGAGGATGGAACGTCGAACGCGGCCGCTTCTGGGGAGCTCGCGTCGGCTCGAGCCATCGCGCACTTCGTACTGAAATGGACAGCGTGGGAGGCTTGTTAAATTATAGGACGTATTCTGGATGCATCTGCCAGCATTCTGCGACGAAGGAAGCCGAGTGCTCGCTTGACAACACCGGCCCAGCTTTGATGCTAGTACGCTAACGCAGGTTTCCGGAGCAGCACCATAGTTTCGCTGTTTCGTATCGAAATCAACTGACCAACGTCACCACAGAGACGTCACGTGGTGAATGAAAATATAGTCGTTTTTTTGTTTTTTTTAGTAGCAGCTAGCGCCATCTAGCCGTGAGCATAACTCCACGGCCGTGGGTAATAAAAAATAAAAAAATAACTGTGTGTGCTGAAAAACCTATGCGAAAATTTGATATGAGTTAGCAACTTTGTTTGTCTACTCAGGATTTCTATCATGGCGGAAGAATTATAGTGGGTAGAACGGGTAGTAGGGAGCCAGTGCTTCACCTCAAGGTGACAGCCAGAGTTATTCAATTATACGAGTTGCGAAACTGTGTTTCAGAATCCGGACATGCAGTTGGCCCAATTTTTCGGAAGGGTCTACAAACGAGAGTTTTCGGCCCAGAAAGTTGTCGCAAATAGCGCGGCGGCCGAGGGCAACTTGAGCAGTTCGGCGACGAGCTTCTCGGCTGATTGTCCACTTCTACCCCGTGGTGCGCATCAAGGAGGTTGTGCACGCGAAAGGTTTGAAATGCGAAGTCTAAGCCCACTTTGGCGTGCTTGCTAGCTTAACACGTGCATTATTAAGTGCGGAGCACTTTAGTGGGCCAGGCTGTCGCATCCTGTCGTCGTCGCTTGGCGTAATGCGAGCAAGCAAGCTTTGGCAAAAATGTTCCTTCCTCCGTGGTTTTCAATCAGTAAGCGTACGACGGTGAAACTATAACGACGGTGGAGCTCTCAGAGCACAGTCTATCAATATAAATTGATTAATCGTTCTACTTATAGTGTCCCTACAAGGCCTGCATTCTACGTAGTACTAACGCCTCGATTCTCAACGGCAGCCGTCGGTGCGCCTTAGTGCAAGTACAGTGGCTGTAGTGCAAATCGTGATGCGACACATGGAGAAAGGAAAAACTCCATGATGCGACACTACATGATGGGTCACGGCCGGGCAAGGCTGCACCTGTGAGCTAAAGAAGCGATGTTGCTGGTTTAGAAATGCTGCACCATGTGCCATTGACCAGGAATTAACACATGTTTACTGCTGCTTTTGTTAGGCGGCTATATGGTAGTAGCCAACTCTCGTTTTAGTCCTTGGAATGTCCGCTGGATGACAGTACTTGTATATAATGAATTTATGGTGAAAAGATGCGATGTTGCGGTACTTAGTGTGTTCACTAGATGGACGGACGAACAGATCGATGGACGGACGGACAGACGAACTGACGTACGGCCGGACAGACATACACACAGTCGCACGCACAGGCAAACAGATGGATGGACGGACAGACAGGCGGATGGACAGACAGGCGGGCAGCGGATGATTCACGGTTTGCCAATAAAACCCTTCGAAGCTTCGCCCCACTCATCATCATTCATCCCGTAGATACGTTGAATTTTTTTTTTTTCTGTTGAGTGAAAATGAGCGCTGTTATCTGTTCATCACGTGTTTAGCGTAGCTGGGTTGTTTATTGCCCCCCCTTCCCCCCCCCCCCCCATGTTTACTTAAACCCGTTTAACCTTTAGAAACAATGGTTCGAAACCCACATAACTGCGGCGCGCCTGCTAGCTGTCTTTCCCATCCACCCCTGCGAGATCGTCGGGTTGATTGTTTTCCGCTCTAACCAGCCATAAATGTATATTTCTCGGATAACGTAAATACTACGCGTTTTAGAAGTTAAAGGTTGTCACTTAAAAGATTGCGTCTGCCTGAAAAAGGATGTCAGAATTTTTAATTATATTTACCTAGACGTTAAAATATGCGACTTAAAAGTAGCGCTAGCAGCGTGGACCTGTTTAAAAAGTCAGCTGACCTGACATGTTTTACTGGTTTGTGAACGTAGTTGAAATGCAGCGTTTTGTCGGGCATTGGATAGTGCGTTCTTTGCCTATAGTATCTCGCAGGAGAAGGCTTTATGCTCTCGCATAGGAGTATTTAATAATCTATATCGTTGCCCACTTTTTCTAAACACACAACCTGATCAAGTTTTCTGATAGCTACGGTGGCTACGGTGTCCCATAGTAAAAGTATCTAGCACTCAAAATCCTGCTGAATTGTCGCCCATGTTTTCTAGAAACCCCAATCGCTTCTTTGACCTGCACTTACAGTATGCGATGTAGTGAATTAATTTTTGTCGTCACGGCCGCATGGAATGCGATGCCCTCGGGACTGCTTTTTGCTCTCCCATAGTAGACTACCAAGTGCTCTAAATCGTTAACCACTTGCGTCTCCTGTGTGTAGTAGCTACCTCTCGTTTTAGTCCTTGGAATGACCGGTGGATGGCGGTACTTGTATATGATGCACAGACGTGACATGGCGGTACTTTGAGCGTACACTAGATGGACGGACAGACAGCCGGACGCTTCGCCCGACTCATCTTCATTCACACCGTAGATATGCTGAATTTTTTTTTTCTTCGTATGTACTGTGGCACATACCCACTCTGGTGGATTGGCAAAGAAAGCTTATTGTAACCTTCCGATGCTAACTGCAATATTGCTTATTAATATATAAAAAAAGTAAAAATAATGCTTATTAATATAGAAAAAAAAGTAAAAATATTGCTTATTAATATAGAAAAAAAAATTCAAAGATTTTTGCCATTCGTAGTTTTCTACTCACCTGCGTTCTCTATGCCATGAATTCAATGAGTCCGGCCCAACTCTCAGTCGTGGAATGAGCGTTTGCTTTGAGTATTGTGGCTCATTCCTACATACTTGTTTCTGCCAACAATTCGAAAGTTCTGTCTGCATCTGAAGTGCTCAGACAGCGCCCGTATACATGCTCACGGAATGCAATGCGACAGCTCAAATATGCAGCTGACCGGGGGTCGCGAGTCTTACGCAGAAGTGAATGAAAAACTATTCTGTAGATTCAAGGTTTCAACATGTCTTTATTTGTTATCGTGAACATTCGTGTGACTGCCACATTTCAACACAACTGTGGCTTACCGAAAACATCTACAACACGTACTCGAACAGGAACAGTTTGTAATGCACAAAACAACACCAATAAATTTTTAAATCTTTTAAATTCACTTTTACACCTGATGTGTATTTGTAACCATGGCTGCTCTAGATTAAAGCACCTGGTACATATATATATATATATATATATATATATATATATATATATTCAAATGTTCCAAGCCATGGTGGAAAATTGTGAGGAAAACCATTCTGGGAAACCGTGATCAGACCTTTCAGTGGACAAGGCTTTGGCGGTTTCGGCACAATCTTCAGGCTACTGCAAAAGACCTCGAAAAATTTATTGCTACCTAAAAGATATGAATTACGCGCAACACATAACATTCCACACAAATGGTAAATAAACAATGGAAAAAAGATAAGAGGTTGAAAGACTGTAACAAGAGCTTAAATACAAACAAACGAAACTGGGGAATTTGTGTTAAAAACAGTTTCATGTGGTGGGACTTGCAGGGAGTGATAAAAAGCAGGCTTCTCTAGAAAGCAATATGGCAGACAAGAGTAAGATCACATATGGGCAGTTTAACACGCTTGCGAGACGAGAGACGACGACTCTGCACCCGCTATCCGTCGTCGAGGATGCAAAATTTTGAGAGATAACCGCGATGCGAGCGGGTCTCCTTGCATGGGCTCTGCACGGCTGGCGCACTGAAGCAAATAGACAGCTGCCCGCAAATCAACAACATTCGCTATTGCTCGACTCTTGAATAAATGCTGCAGCTCGCGACCTTTTTAAGGCATCAAAACTTCCCACTTCCGTCGCGAAGAACTCTGATAAAATGCCAGGGTAAACTACTGGGGTTGCGCAGTTTGGAGCGAATGGCCCATGCACTTTCAATATTACTTTCGTCTAATTTTGAGCTGTAAGTTGTGGAGGCTAGCTCTGACGAACTCGCAGCATCTATTTCTCGTTCTGTGCTTTACCTATCTCATTTAGAAACCAAAACAGTAATACAGCAATTAATTAGCTTTCACTTAACAGAACTGGTCTCTACAATACATCCTGCTTATTCAGATACCAGCCGCACCAGCACCTTTCAGTCCGTACTAACTCTTCGCAGTGCTCAAACTTAAGAGGAACGTCAATTTGATCAATGTGATAAGACTTGAGCTCTCGTTGCAACAGTCGCCATCACAAGCAGAACTGGCAGCTACAACGTAACAGTGCAGGCAAACTGTGCTAGAAAAAAAAAAAGAAAGTGAACAATAAAGCCTACCGTTATTCCAAGTTGTCCCATCTATGGGATTGCCCATTTTTAATATGCTCTTTATATCGTTTTTTTTTTTTTGAAAGCCTCCCAGAAAACTGCAAGTACATCTGTACGAAAGCGAAACTATACTGACAGGCACCCACAAGAACTTGCCACTATGTTAGTGATCACTTGTTCAAAGCTACGGAAAACGCAGTTTCCGAAAAGTCGAGGGGATTGAAAGCACCCAATACAAGTGCAAGACATCCAAAAACGAGGCACGAAATCACTGCAATTAACCAATAATACAAAGCTCCATTATTGGCTTTGGCCAGTTCATCGCAACAATCGAGAAGTAAAATATTCTTAACAATCGAAATTCTTTCTTGTTTGCGAATTGTGGGTTTGAGTCACTGTGGATGACGAATTGGGATGTCAGCAGCAGCACTGAGCAAACGTTTCAGAATCCCACACGCACAGTAGGCTTGGCACCGCACGTCACATGCCCCTCGACGACTCAACCAAACTTTCTATGCAACGCACCACACTTCAGTGAGGAGACCGGCAGTCAACTTGAAAGTTGTTCTCCTGTGTTTATTGTGCATTCTGCAAATGGAACATTCCCTGTATTCCTTTCACCGGTAACTATTAGTTTAATGGATTCTCTTGACTATAGCAGTCTTGATGCTACGGTCAAGCACCCTACAAGAGCTTGCATAAATGATCTTAGTTACACTATGTACTAAATACAATCAGAGATTAAAGCCACTGAATTTCAAGTGAGCCTCTTGACACCACAATTCCATTGCATGTTTAAGCAAGGCCTTGTTTTATAGTCTAAAAAACTGGACCGTTCTATCTTGAGATAGTCTGCAGACTACACTGGACTTCTCAGCCTCAAGCTGTTCTTGGGCTCTGGGCCATAATGCCGAGCTATCAAACGCTTGTGGTATGCTAAGACTAGATATCGTTTCTGAACATTTCACTTGAACCGAGAATGCCTTAAATGATCAACAAGGACAATGTATCATTGCAACTTTTGTCACTCACCTAAAAGCAATCTGAGCCCTAGCTCATTGCTTTTCCCGATATATTTCCCCAAATCCTCGTAAAAATGACTTACAAAGCGAACAGTTGCAGACAAAACAATCTTTTCATATGCACAGTTCCTTACACCCATCCGATTCAAATACTTCTCCGACTTGCACTGGCAAATCCTCACTTGCACCGACCGACTACACTTGGAAATCCCACGCTCATTGCATCCCCTTAAGAAATGTGCATTGCGTGCAGCTCTTTTAGGAGGCAGTTTTGTAATCTTTTTAACAAAAAAAAAGTTATCAATGATGTTTAGACAAGGGGCATCATTGTATTAAACATTCCAAAGCGAGGTCTTGTGAATTCAACGCTGATGAAGCCCCAACGAAGAAATGGTTCCAAAAAACATTCGTCTTTTCGTGCTTCATTGAGTCTACCTTTGAGTGAAACCATCTCATTTAAATCATGCTGGACATGTGACACTAAAGAAACGTTTGTGCCCTTTCAGGCATACGTCGTAACCCAACAATGGACCTTTACTTTTAACACTACATGACTGCTGTAATTACAGGTTGCAAATGTCACGCATATTATGAGCACATTCTCAACAGGAACATAGCAGTGGCAATGCTTTTGACGAATTTAACATAAGAGAGATGCATTGACCGTTATTCCGAGAAAAAAACACACCAAGGTTTGCAAACTTTGTTGAAAAAGTGAACGACAAAAAATTTAACGTTTGCACTGTCGCTCAAGGCTTGGCACAAATAAGCACGGGCCTGTCTGCTCTCGTGCTCCCCATCGAGAGACACGTCTTGATTCGAGAAGTGGGGCTTCCCTCTTGGGAGTACAGATTTTTGGGATGCCCCCCTGACTCTCTGGACATGATGGGACATAGCCAGGCTGTCCTGCCTTGTGAAAAATTTTTCAGCAAGAAATTTTCTCTTCATATATTTCTTTCAGTCTCTGTTACTCTTTCTTTCTTTCTCTGTACCCGTTCTCTCATTTATCAGGCATATTACAGGCTACACCATAAGGGTGCGTAGCCCAATTTGCCCGAATTCCGTGGCTTGTGCCTCTTCACGATATTATTGCGGCAGGGTCAACACCTCATGGCTGGCTTAAACAGCTTGCTGGCGTTACATTACGTTTTTTTTTCTTGGTTCTAAGAAATAGAATTCTGAAGCCTACGGACTTTGAAAACAGTTGGTTAAATGGGAAATCTAGTGCAAATGTCGGTGGGGTTGGGTTTGTCAGTTGGATTCAAGAAGAAGCAGCAGAGCATGCTTGTGGTTGGCGGGCAGCAGTCTCTCTCCGTCGCCGATGTCCCACGTCTGGCCGCCATCTTTTCTTTTTCTCTCTACTTCTTAACCTCCTCATCGCCTTTTGTCTCGTGCGGGGCGGGCAATTTCTCCCAGGTCGGCTCGACGCCCCAGATCTCGCGGGCGTACTCGCAGATGGTTCGGTCGCTTGAAAACTTGCCCGACGAGGCGATGTTGAGCAGGGCCATCTTGGTCCACTCTTCCTGGTTCGTGTACATCGCAGACACCCGCTCCTGGCACTTCATGTACGACTCGAAGTCAGCCAGCAAGTAGAACCTGACAGAGACGGGGCGCAAAAAAAAAAAATTGAAAGAGTCGTAACATTAATGACTTTCTACATTATCCGTGCGTTTCGAACATGGTCATTATCGTCCACAGCCTACTTTGTGTCTACAGGCAGATGCATGACTCTTTCAATAACGGCACAGTGTCCACATAAGGAGACTCAACTTGTCTTAGCCAGTTCTCTGGACTAGTGGGCAAGCAAAAAAAGAACAAAATAAATTGCGCATAGAAAGAATTGAACCTTCTAGATTGCCAATGTGCCTTGACTTAACCTCAATGTGCTGCATACAACTATAGCCGATCACTTTAGGTAAGATGCTATACTTAAAACCTCACAGCAAAGTAGCATACAATACAAAAATAACTTGGTTATGTTCAAAAGTTTGTTAAAAACGTGTATTCGTAACACTGTATCAAACCGCAAAAGGCCATCATATGTAATGAAAGCCGTGAGGTCTCTGCTGTCCAAGGGTAACTTCATAATATGTGGAGGCCAGGTAAAGCTTTGAGAAGTAATGTGCGTCGCTAAGAGAGTGTAGTAGTTCTTCCGTATAAGGCAGGGGGAAGCCGTCAAGTAACATTGCTTTGTTGGGCTCCCCGAGGTCAACATATAGGCGGATTCTGTAATCTTTTTTGCAGACAACAACTGTAGGAGAGATCTATTCAGAAACGATCCGTTGAAGCGGATCGCTAACTGGCTTGAGCAGAGGGAGTTGGAGGCGTCTCGGCTTTTGCACCTACGGAGGGACTGACCGCTTCATTTTGAACATACGCTCGATGCCTTCGGCCAGGCCACGGCTCATTGAAAACAAGTGAGATAGCTTAGCCTGATTGCAGTGGCGACACACGGCCGACTGAGGACAACGAACACTGTCAATCCAGGCCACACAAGACGTCCTTTATTCCAGTGACACTCGTATATATATATATATATATATATATATATATATATATATATATATATATATATATATATATATATATATATATATACACACACATAGTTGAAGGTGGTGATATCAACTGAACCAGAAGTCACCTAATGTCGACCTTCGGAACTACAGGCGTCAAAACAAAAATAAACTTTACGAAAAGCTGGAACATCATAAATTTTAACATCAATGTTGTACGCAGATTCTAATCGGTAAAATGAAATGCATTAACTTCTGAGGGGTCCATGGACTTAACAGGTTAAGTTTCAGAAAATATTGTTGAGCCAAAGCCATTTAACACAACAAATACACATGAAGACTTCAGCATGTAACTTGGAAATGAAATGTTGACACTTCTTTTCTCATCTACTAATAGTTATTCTAAGATGGTTCTGTTAATAATGTTAGAGCACTGAAAGCACATTTTATCAACCTAGACAGATTCATTGTTTTTCTTTTGTGCCCTTTAACTGCTTACGATTTCAAAATGTCTGTGATGACGTGGTTTCACTGGTTTAAATTGCTAGGACTTGTACGCTAGGTTTTTGAAAGCGCTCTGTGCTGCTTGCATGTATGATTCTGCGAAGATTGCTTGCCATATCACGTTAGCGCAAAGCAATGGTGTAGTGCGATTATCTTATTGCTTTAATCACAAATTACAGCATTGCTTTGCTCGTCAAGTTTCGTCGTGTGCACACAGGTTGCTACGTCGGCATGCAGGTGCAAGCCATGTGGTTACCTGTCGTGGTTGAGCAGCACATTGGTGAGGTCATGGAAGAGGTTAGGATTGGATGGGCTGAAGAAACCACTGTTGATCTGGTCAATGGCCTTCTTCACTTCTGGCAGCTTGTTGTAGTAGTCCCAGGCATTGTATCTGCAGAGGGAGTTCATGTAACAAGAGGCCGGTATCGGGACAGGCAAATATATAGTGTCAAAAGAGCTAGCACAAAAACAAAACTAAATGGTTAAAGTTTAGCGTTCTCAAATGCCGAGCGCCGTCCCAAAACCCGTACTTAGGAATGACCGAAATCCTAGAGACATTCGCAGCCGAAGAAAATTGACCACGTATCTGAGTGCTTCACTGCAAATGTCATCGAAAGACGAGGTTTTTTGCCAGCCAAGTGCCCATTTATGTTTTGTCTTGCCTCAAACAGCACCTCCTTTATGTTGAATTGGCCGCATCCAGCTGGCATTGATAAAATAAAAGAGGCGCTAAGTGAAATATAAATGCCATCTGGCAGTTCCTTGGGGAAGCATGAGCTGGCACAGAATCTACGGTTGCTGCCAGGTGGCAGCACCGTGTTCTCAACAGAGCAATTTATTGTGCATAGTGTCACATTTTGAGTGCAGCGTAAGAAACACCCACATTTTTGTGCATGGTGTGACACTTTCAGTGCAGCGTAAGAAACACTAGGGTCTCTAGAATTATTTTATTGTATAAAACACACCACCTAATACTTACGTATTGATATTGCACCTCATATATGTGTAATATTTGCTTTTTGATCGACGATGTTCACACGTATAAACGCAGCCACCAGTTAGAGATGGCTGGGCGTTTAGCAAATGTTAACTTTAGCCAGGTGGCTGAATAGTGACAGACAGACAGATCCAAGTGTCTGTGTTAAAGTATTCCACAAAAAAACTATTGTCTTCAAAAACATATGTGCCACATTCGTGCAAGCGTTACGATGATGCGCACATAATACGAAAGGTCACCGTGCAACATTTTAAAAATTTTTTAAAATTTTGTCACGCAAGTGTACTGCAACACAAACTCGCCATGCTCAATGCGGTTCTCCAGAGTATAATCTGCTTTCACAAGCCCCACAGAGTCACGAAAAAAAGGCAAAACTCAGAACTATCGAACTCTACTACACTGTCCAGTGGCATTGCTCCCGTTCATGAATACAGTGTTACAGTTAAGAGAGTATGGTCACCAAATTTAAAACTGCAAAAAAAAAAAAAGGAATGGTGGAGCATGGATTAAGGCAAAGTTTCACTTGAACTCTGACAAACTGAATGGCTATAAAAAAAAGGGGGGATTCATAACGTGGAAAATAGCCAGCATCATCCCCTAGGACAGTGGTCTCAAACGCATGGCTCACACATGACTGCCTTCATCCCACATTGTTTTTAAGTTCTCTTAACAGGTATGTTCATTCACAACATCTAAAGCATTGTTTTCGTGAGGCACCTTATTGGGTCACCACGTCATGAAACATAGCCGTGAAACAAAAACAGGGGTGAGACAGCCGAGACTAAATTGGGAGCAGTTTTTGGAGCAGCAAAATTTCAATATTCGAGCAGAAGAATCTTGCTTGGGTGCAGTTAGCAGCATTTAATGTGTCGTCTTGTGAGCTTGAAAATACAAATATTTAGCAACGTGGGGACACCAGTGCATATTTTAATTGGTTTATAATACACAACACAGAAATAGATCTCGAAGGAAGTTTTTGAACAGATTATCACCAGGTATGAACTGCACAACCACTTTACATACCGTACTTACTCAAGTAATCCTCGCACTCGCATATTTCTCGTACCCCTCACATCGCCCAACAAAAATACCAAATTATCGCACCCCCGAAAACTGCCGCAATGATGTCTGCTCACTACAACTGATGATGATAGCGTGCACCGTCTGGTGTCATCTCTTAAGCATCAAGCGTACTATCATTGCACAGAGCTTCAATCCAATCCACGCCAAGCCAAAGTGGCAAGTGCGGGTTGGGGTGTGTTATATACGTTGTGTCGGTAATCTTGTCATGTTATGGGGCAATACTGAAGCTACAAGGCTGCTTTTAAGTTAAAAGTGATATATCATGCACTAAACAACGGCAACAGGGCCGCCGGAAGGCCCTTCGGAGTCTAGGAGTTTTGTGTTCGCTACTGGTAACGGCAGCTGAAAGCCACTAAGACGAGTTAGGCCTGCCGTGTGCGTATAAAACTGGGATTGATGGTAAACTTTATTTCTTCTGAAGGAAACTGCGGACGATTCTGTTAAATATCCATCAGCCCAATACTGACGTCCTACGGTTACATTTTGAGTGCTTCTGTTGAGCGAGGAACGCTACCGCTATGCCCGCAATGCCCACAAGCTTTGCGTATTGTATTCGAATTCCCGACTATTTGCTCGCACTTTTTGTGTCTCAAATAAATCTTGCCTTGTGTTGAACCTGTGCTTTTTATTGTTGAGCTAAGTTTTAATTAATACTTCTCAAAGCTTGCTATTAGTTGCTGGTGTGAGAATCCCGATTTGTGGCCACTTCGTTTTCTTTTTCGCTCTGTACGTTTTGGTGGAAAGTTTTCCCCGCGCAATTCTTGCACCTTCCAACTTTGCATCAGTTTCCCGCCAAAAAAAAGTGCGAGGACTATGCGAGGACTATGCGAGTAAGTACGGTATCATGTGACTTATCTGGCCCTCGTAACAAACATGTGAAATAATATTTAATAAGAAAGAAGGTTTTGTTGAAAACTAGGTTCCCCGGAAACATTTAAAAAGAAAAACACATCACAGTCAAAAAGAAATTCAAAAATTGTGATTACACAAGAATCTTAATTATGTAACAGTGGTACTTAGCTTAAAGAAAAGCCCAACATGATAGCATTAAGAGTTTTCAACAGACAACAAAAGTGCGCTGCAGTGCCGTTCGTGGCCACCTGGTGCAGAACCACCTTCTAGGTTACAGCGCTGGATTCAAGAAGCCTCGCCGTACCGCCAATCTCGTAAAGCATGTGCATATGACACTAAGCGATAAGCCAATGATACTGATAACGCCTCTCCACGCCAGCAACCACGCATTATTACGACACACGGTGACCACTTTTTTTTTTTTTTTTTATCGTAGGTCATTGTCGTCGATGTAGAACTCTCGATAATACATCGACTTGCAATTGCCACTTCGCGACTCAGAAAAAGCGCTTGCGCAGCGCGACGAAGAAATTAGTGTTCACGCAAACGAACCGCCGAACGTACTTTATTGCATACGAAGAAAAGAAAGGAAAACAAAGCCACGCTGCCGCCGACCGCAACACCAATCGAGCTAAGCCTAAAAGCATAGGCCAGAGCTGGCCCGCATGCAGCGACGCCCCATAAAAAGCGCACGTTGAGAGTTTAGATTACAAAATGGAGCAGTGACAAATCATAAAAACTGTGCCACGTGATCGCCGACGCGTCATAAATCACAAATAAAGCAACAAGGTGCCCGCTCGTATCTTCAAAATAATTTGAATGCACGTTTTGTCACAACGGCTTTGCAAATAACCAAGTGTTTCTCGCTACATGCAGACACCGTTGCACGGGGTTCACGTGCTATAGGTTTTTTAAAGGCAAAAATGCAATGAGAACCCGCTTGTCTAAATAAGTTAGCAGCTAATGAGCACAAACCGGAAATAGGCTGCACGTGTTCTGTCGCTCGTGGAACCCATTTTGAAAACCCATGTGCACACGCCAGAGCATCCACGAGACTCTTCGCATGCAGGGAAAGGATGCCACATTTACAGTTACTCACTCACGAAAAACGCACACGCCTAGGTGACCGCATGCAGCAGCATTGACATGAAAACCACAGCGACCGAAGGAACACGCCACGCACAATGAAGGACCTGAGAGTCAACCCCGTTATGCTCGCTACTCGATTCTGTGGTTTTCACAACGCAACAGTGGCACCAGAACAAACAGCTTGGCTAGTAGAAGCAGCATACTCGATGCACAGCAGCATATTTCTGCGGGGTCACATATATTTGCAATAGTTTAGAGGAGATTATGGCGGCACCTTGGAAGCCTTCGTTACCACAAAAGAGGAAAGTAAAACAAAAAAATCCCGATTGGGAGCACCTCATTAGTGAACTCTGCCTTTTTCCCCACTGAAGCTGAGATTGGCATCGAAATTCTAAATGTCGAGACTGTTTTGGAGCAGTACGGCGCAGTTTTCGCGATTCTTATGCTTTTGGAGCAGCTTGGGGCAAGAAAACAGAAATGCACCAAAAATGCGCAAAATGCGCAGCTGTCTCACCCTTACAAAAACTATTTCAAGATTGACGTTCAGATTTTAGTCTTTTCTTTAGTCATTTTTCAAACATGTTTGTTGTAATCCTTGTACCAAATCTCCTTCAGAAATGACCTGTATAAAGGGTATTCGAAATGCTTGCTTTGAAATAGCAACGTTTCCTGACAATTTACGCCCTCCTCCGCTGCAGGGTTTGAACCTGCGATCATCGCATGAGCAGCTTGGCACATATGAGGCCATGCAAGATCACTCTCATACACAGATTTGTGGCTGCAAATCAAAGAACTTCACACCCTTTCATGCTCTGGTAGATCCGCGTGTTCAAAACTCCATCCCTTATTTCGACTTTCGGCGTTCTGAGTTTGCACTAATATATAGTGCTGTGTGAAATGTTTTCTCAAAATGCAGTAAGCAGACGAGTTTTCATGGGTAACCAGTTTGGCAACTAGCATGCAAGTGGTTCACGAGAACTGGCAAGATTAGCACAGTACTCACCCCTTCCTTTGGAGCTCTTCGACTTCCTCCACGTTCATTCCAAAGATGAAGATGTTCTCAGGTCCCATCTCCTCTCGCATCTCGACGTTGGCTCCGTCCAGGGTGCCGATGGTCAACGCGCCATTCAGCTGTGCAAACGATTTTCGAGTGCATGAAACAACTTTTAGCAAAAAAAAAAAAAAAAAAAATCTTTAAACATTAACGATCCTTACTTCAATCAATACTTGTTGATGGAGGAGGCATAAATGAAAATCGACTATCAACGTAAGGTTTTTGGCTAAACTGATGCACACAAATTCGGTTCTCGACATAGAACATATTGTGTAGCATACGGCAAACGTGAACTCACAATTATATTGCCAAGCGCATTTCTCTTGCTATATGTTCCCGGTCCATTCCACCCTATGCGTACTGCACCTGAATGTCTGGGAACCTTCCAGATTAGTTTGAAATTTTCAGATAAACTTGTGCGCGCAAATATGAACAGTGAAGTTCACATTGATCTTAAGCAGCCACGAGCGATAAGGCTCGAATGTTCGATGCCATGCGTATAAACATTAATTCGCTTTACTGCATATCAGATTATTGATGGTGGATGCTCTGCTCGCCGCCAACTGTGTACAGCTGGTAGTTTGACTATTCATTTGCTGGGCACAAGTTTGCCTAAATAAAGGGTTCAGTCTCTAATAGCCAAAGTTTTGTCTTTTTCGCTATCATGACCACGCGACAGTACTGAGAAAAAACTTTTCTACATGTATATACTGTATAGCCTGCATTCACATGCGCACGGCCTATCAAAACCACAAAAAATACACATCACTAGAATGCAGATAAAACATTCTTTTCTTTCTTTTCTAAAAATTTCTTTTCTTTGCTGAGCAACACCTCAACAGCACCACTGACACAATCACTTCCTTTCTTTTTGATATGATGCGCTTCCATAAGTTTTCACAACAGCAATAGTTGTGAGCTAGCTCTTGTCCTGCGTTGTAGAGTGAAAGCTGGTTAAGTCAATTCACATTAGTTCGAAAAAAGTGGATGATTCGGCCATGTTTTCTCGTCGAAGCCAGCATATGCCTTGTTTAATGGCATCGCGCACTGGTTAATTCGCTCACATGCGGCCACAAAGTCAATTTCGGCAATCCTCAAAGTACACCAAACAAAAACAACTGCAAATGCATGGTGCAAAAGAGCGAAAAGGGCGAATACGGCAATGCTACCGCAATAGAACAACAGGAGAGAGAGAGAGACTAACCATGAACTTCATGTTTCCGGTTCCCGAGGCCTCCGTGCCGGCTGTGGAGATCTGTTCGCTGAGGTCGGCGGCCGGGATGATCTTCTCGGCCAGGGTGACGCGGTAGTTCTCCAGGAAGACGACCTTCAGCTTGTCCCCGACCACGGGGTCGTGATTCACCACGTTGCCCACGGCAATGATCAGCTTGATGATCTGCTTCGCTATGTGATACCCTGGAGCTGCCTGCAGTTGCCAAACCAACCTATTAGGGATCTTGCTGGGCTAGTAGGAATACTGAATATACAGCATTTCCAGTGCTTAGGTGAAGTAGAAAAAAAAAACATGCAAACACTGACAGAAACAGGGACGGTAAGAATGCAAGCAGGCAGGCAGGCAGGCAAAGAACATTATTTGATCCGGAGACGATGCTCACTACCCCTTGGGGTAAGAATGCTGGACTAACTAAACTTATCGCACAGAAAAAAAAAGGGGGCTTTCGTACAGTCCATATGCACAGACAGACGCTGCAATAAGGAATCTATCGCATGCATGTCTCTGCTCAACGGCAGTTCATGTACATAAGTTTTGAAAAAAAAAAATAATTAGCCCAATGAGACAGTGGGATATTGTCAGTGCTTATAAAGCGGTCATTTTCTTTAGTAATACCAAAGGAATCATGAAAAAGATCAAACTACAACGTACACTGACGCATCCTGAAAAGACTTACTTTGACTCTTGACTTTATTGAGAGTCCTGGCTTTCCATGTATATGACTACGAACAGCACCCTATAATTTTTCTCCAAAAAGTGTACAATAATTTCGTAGGTGAGTTCACGTGTCTCTAAAGAGTCACATACGTGAAAAGGCAGGACTTAATGGAAAGAGTTACATTCGTAGTGTGCGACACCTTCTGTACCACACTGTCAACCTGAATTCTCACTCAAAACGATGACTTTCTTTTTATTATTATGAACCACTCTATGAACATGTTTAAATTTCTATGCATAAACTAACCTCTCCTGCTTTTGCTGCTCCATATCAAATCTGGCATGAAAGGTTGGTTAGTGGAGGTTTTATAATGGCAAAGTAGCCGAGTCTATACTGAGCCAGGTACATGACATGGAGAGGAAGGAACGTTTGCAAAATATGACTGATAGGTCTTGATGTTAATAGCATGACATGCTCATTATTACATCGCATTAACGATAATATCCACCGAGATATACAGCAAGAGCCACACATCAAAAGATGCAAAAGATACCGAAATCGGCATGAAAGGTAACGAACACATGACTGGCATGACTGATAGATCTTGACATCGCCAACATGACATGCCTGTCAATTACGTCACAATTAACGATAATATCGGCAATAAATCATCATCATCATCAGCCTGACTACGTCCACTGCAGTACAAAGGCCTCTCCCATGTTCCGCCAGTTAACTTGGTCCTGTGCTTGCTGCTGCCAATTTATACCCGCAAACTTCTTAATCTCATCTGCCTACCTAACTTTCTGTCTCCCCCTAACCCTCTTGCCTTCTCTGGGAATCCAGTTAGTTGCCCTTAATGACCAGCGGTTATCCTGTCTACGCGCTACATGCCCGGCCCATGTCCATTTCCTCTTCTTGATTTCAACTATGATATCTTTAACCCCCGTTTGTTCCCTAATCCACTGCTCTCTTCTTGTCTCTCAAGGTTACACCAACCATTTTTCTTTCCATTGCTCGCTGCGTCGTCCTCAATTTAAGCTGAGCCCTCTTTGTAAGTCTCCAGGTTTCTGCTCCATAGCTAAGTACCGGCAAGATACAGCTGTTATATACCTTCCTCTTGAGGGATAGTGGCAATCTACGTGTCATAATTTGAGAGTGCTTGGCAAATGTGCTCCACCCCATTCTTATTCTTCTAGTTACTTCAATCTCGTGGTTCGGCTCCACGGTTATCACCTGCCCTAAGTAGACAGTCTTTTACAACTTGAAGTGCACTATTACCTATCTCGAAGCGCTGCTTTTTTCCGAGGTTGTTGTACATTACTTTCGTTTTCTGGAGATTAATTGTAAGGCCCACCTTTTTGCTTTCCTTGTCGAACTCCGTAATCATGAGTTGCAATTCGTCCCCCGAGTTACTCAGCAATGCAATGTCATCGGTGAAGCGCAGGTTGCTAAGGTACTCTTCATTAACAATGAATAGGCAGGTATAAATGGCAGGTATAGGCAGGTATAAGCCATGAATATGAGGACATGAGCCACACATAGAAAGTAAGATGCAAAAATACTAATATTGACAGGCATAATAAATGTATGAATAACATCACGATATTGCTCGTCAGTCATGCCACCATGATAATTCCTGCAATGAATACATAGGTACAAGCTACATGTACACTCACACCTCATAACAAAGTCGCACCTGCCACGAAGATATTTTCTTATATCCAAAAATTCGTTATAAATGTATATTTGTAACACTGCATCTAGGACAAAGCTATTCTTCATTTACTTTGTTATAACCTATCATTCATTATATCCATGTTCTCTATATTGAGGTTTGAGTGTAGAAGGAAAGAGAAAAACGAAGGGATCATATATGAGCCGGCAAAATGAACACTGGCAACAAGTGCGATCAGAAATTTAAATGAAGCATCAAGGTCCCTTAATTTTCTTTTTTTCTCTTTAGCTACGCACCTTTCCACCAATCATGACAGTGCGGGGCACGAACGGTGCTGACGGGTCAGCCTTGATGCGGTTGTACAGGCAGATGATGTGCAGGCAGTTGAGCAGCTGCCGCTTATACTCGTGAATTCGCTTCACTTGCATGTCGAACATAGAGGCTGGGTTGAGCTTGATGCCTGTGAGCTTGTGCAGGTACTCGCACAGGCGCATCTTGTTTTCCTGTAACGGTGTAAACGTGAACGGGTTTGCGATTGTACGGACCTATCTTAGATGGGCACACTTATGTCATTTTCAAAAAATCACGCTGGCAACATCCAGGCATCACAATTTGATAAAACAGAGCATCAGGGTGCAGAGGTGCGATTTGTTTAATTTGCCGAGGGTGTCGTCACAACCAAATAAAAGTTTTTGGCTAATACGCCTTGGGCTGGTGCCATGAGGCAAGATGCACAGCAATCGTTTTCAGAGAGTTCACTTGGCAAGGCTGCTTGCTTAACAAAGACGACTAATTTGCAGGCTGTCACAGGGAAAGTCTAACACACGCAATATAATGCTTTGCCACATCTAGGCGTGTAGCCCCCCCCTTCCAAAGTAGTGCTTCAATAAACAGAATACTCTGTAGAGAGTTTATATACCAATACTAGAACCACATGTTTGTGATTGCAGGTTTTAGGAACATTGCGGCACTATATAAGGGCAGTACTGTTCATCCTCTGTTATTCTAATTCTTCTTACACCAGTGCTTTCTACACTTGACACGTGTAAATGCAAGGCAGGTTGCTAGGGCGAAGGATGAAGCGTTAGATTTTCGTTGCACATTACAAGTTATTTAAAAACAGATACTGCTTTTGTTAGTTACTATTCATTTTGACAGAGTAAAAGCGCATTTTTCTGGTGGCTATGCTATTCACATGTATTTTATTATGCTTATAATGTGCAAACGTGTGTTTAGAAGTACTATTTATGCCCAGAAAACCTTTTGTTTTATTAATAAAAATATCGTAACAAAATTCTTCAATTGCTGATGCTGTTGCTTGGTTGTTGCCCCCTGGCCTAGTCAGCCTGTGTGTCAACAGCTTACTTGCCATGGCGACCTTCAATATGGTAATTTTTACATGTCATTAATAAAACTTGATTTGAACAGGATAACGTTAGTTCATTTGAAAACGAATGCCACAATAGATACTGAATGGTGCTTCGGCATTGATAATGGCTCCTTTCTTTAACAGCTTCGATAGGAATACGTCTTCATGAGCTTTTCATCGTGCACTTGCGCATGTATTTAACCCTTTCAGACGCCATCTTAGAAACTGTCTGTAGATGTATCAAATCGCTACAATGTTACTTGAAGGCACTCAATATTCTATCGCAACAAGAATAATGAGACAATTGTGAATTTATGTGTGTTACAATGACTCATCCTAACTAGGTTGTAACTAAATATCTCTTCACCCTGAAGTTATAGATGCTTACTTTAGAGATGCTTACTATAGAGCATAAGGTAATTTTTGGTTACGTGCGTCTTGAGCAAAGGAAAATTCTGCATTTGACGTGGCTTCCAGGAAGCGGTATGTCGCACAACTCGCCGAGCGTAGTAGTGCCTTCAGGAAAGTGATCATATGTATCAGTACACAGCAAAACTAGGTTAAATAAAGACAAATTTATTCTGCACGAGGTTCAATTCACCAAAAGAACAGTATATCTTGCTCTTCCTTAGCCTCTACTTGATGTAAATAGCAAAAACGAGTGGTGTACACAGTTGTGTACATAGCCTCTCAAAGGGCTAAATAAAAAACTAGGAGAACACTCGAGCTTCGCAATCGAGAATAGAAAGTCACTAACGTAATCTGGCTTCATGCACATCGCCTTCTCAATCATTAGCATAGCTCTCGTTCTTCGTGCATAGCTCAACAGTGCTGTAATGAGACGAATGACTGTGTGGGTAATATTAGTCGTTTCAAGCTATTCTAGAATGCCTCTTGCAAGTGAACTTGTTGAGCGCCCCCAACACCGCGATTCCTTTTGTGCGTCAGTGAAGGGCTCGCTACGTAAGGCAACACACGACTGTCGCAGCTGCTCCTTTCGTGGATGTTTTCACAGGTGACAATGGTTAAATGTGTCTGAAAACCTTGTAATCGGTGGGCCTTTAAGATTCCCACTCGCTAAAATTCGCATGTTTTGTCCCCTGGCATGATTATACGCTTCTGCCACGCATTCTCAATGCATTAAGTCTTTCACTACATGACGTTTATAAAGAGTTTTATTCTAGAAGCAGTTTCAAGGGATACAATGGCTCTACAGTAGAACACCTCCTAGCCACGCAGATGGCCTGGGTGCGATTCTCACTAGAACCGAACATTTTCATTTTATTTGCATAATTTTTATTTCTTTAGTCACGAACAAGATAATTTTTTACCCATAAGCAACGACGCCAATATTGGAATTTCAGCAAAACTAGCTTTTACCGCTGTCCCGTTAAAAGATGAATCTGCACACAAGCCTCTCCATGTATAGTGCTAACTTGATATGAGAAACATAGCGGTAATAAACTGCCAAAACACACAATGCTGTTTTTTTTTATAATAATGTTGAAAATGTAAGTTTTTAAGGCGAAAGCCTGCAATGTTTAACGCTTACGCCCATCTGTCCATCCGTACCCCGACAAGGTGCCAGGTGGCCGCCAAAGTGCATGAACAGACGCTGGTTCCGTCGGTCGTGTGGATCGCGCCTCACGTAGGACTCTACAGTGCTCGGACATCCCTTGCGTAACATCGCTGTGCCCAGTGTGCCCATGCCTTCAAGAAGAGATATGCGCGCATCGCATTCCTTTCTGACCGACCCTGTCTCAATGGGCACAAGCGTTCGCCGAAGGCACTTTGAAATTTACAAAGTGTCATTCAATTTTTAGTGAGCTTTGCATATATAGCAAAACTATTTTCAGCTCAGTAGCAGCTTCACTATAATTGCTGACGTAAAAAAATATACGAATGAAGAATTTTCACAGAATCCAAAATGACACCTCCATGCATTCATGTAGCCAAGCTTTTGCTGCATCTTTGCAAACGCATGCTAAAAACCACATGCATCGTTTTTCCTAAAGGGCCCTTTTTTTCCCCTCCCAAAACAACACTGACCTGCTTCACTTTCTGCAGGTCACGCAGAAAAACCTTGTCGTTGACGAGCGGCTTCAGCTTCTGCAGCTGCTCCAGATGAACGATCCAGTCCTCGCCGATTTTCTGGAAATAATTGCAAAACTTACAATTCTGACCCACAGTTGATCAACACACACCAACTGCAGGTCCCATACGTTTTTGACTGTTTTGCATTCTCAAGTGATAACTTGAGCTGCATTCTCAAGTGATAACTTGGAGGAATTGCTACCCTCATTATGCTACCTTCAACAAGACTGTCAAACTTCGGAAACCCTGAACACGAATCTCGCTAAGTCATGCCATATGAAGATCCACAAGCGAAAATCTACATAAAGGTTTCTGCCTCAATTAAAGGGTGAATGTGAGAAGCACATAGGGCAGTAGGGCCTTACACTAGAAAAAGATCGGCTCTTGGGCGTATACAGGTGGTTATAGTATACAGACTGAAACATACATACAAGCACCATCATGTACTGTAACATTGTTTGCCTAGTCAGAAGTCGACATGATGTACAGCGGCGGTCAAAAATTTACTAACCACAGTTGATGATTGATTGACGATTTATTTGTGGGGTTTAACGTCCCAAAACCACCATATTATTATGAGAGACACTGTAGTGGAGGGCTCCGGAAATTTCGACCACCTGAGGTTCTTTAACGTGCACCCAAATCTGAGCACATGGGCCTCCAACATTTCCGCCTCCATCGAAAATGCAGCCGCTGCAGCCGGGATTCAATCCCGCGACCTGCGGGTCAGCAGCCGAGTACCTTAGCCACTCTACCATCGTGGCGGGGTGCCTACTAACCACAGTAGCGCATGCAACAGCACCAGGGAGCTTTCGGATGACTGCCTGCAAAGTTCGAGGTTGTGCACTGCGCATGTGCACCCTTTTTTACCTGCCAGCCTGCTCGTTTCTTTTGGCATCTTGGTGCGCACACTGTTGAAGAGAGCGAACACATGTTTGTTGAAGAAAGCAAACAAACAGGCATTTTCGCCATACTGCAGCTTTCCTTGCCTCCTCCAGTGCTGTCGTGACGGTGCGTGGTGAAAGATGGCGCCACGTGCGAGCGCAGCCTGTTGTCTATGACAGCGAGAATCAGCGAGACAAGAGCCACGTGCGCACTGGGGACGCTCTTTCTTCTCTGGCAGCGCATGGTAAGCACGTGTTTTCTCTTCGTCTGCGTCACCTTTGGGAATGGTTGGACTCTAGCCTGCCAGGGTGCCTTGGCATTCTCAGCGGGCGTGTTTACCTTTGCGTCATCTCCGGTTCTGTACAATAAGCCAAACAGCAGTGCCTAGTGCTCAAGCGTGGTCCTATTACGCTGAGCTGCACATGCCGGAGGCCTACGTGTACAAGGTTTGTCCTAGCTCTCGCGACCAGGCCCAGTGGTCATCGCTGGAGTGCGCAGCATAGCCACGAAAGACCATTTCTCGAGCGAAGTGTAAAAACTCGCCATTGCCAGCTGCGACGTGCTTCCGGTTTCACTGTTTGGTGTACGTTTGTGTGCGGGAGCCCTATGCTCCCCGCGTATTGGGAGCAGACGTCGTACTGTGTTTCGGGTGCTTCCAAAGGCAATAAAGTGTGTGCGCGTGTTGTTAGATCAAACACTGCCTGTTCTGCCGCGCGGTGCTACACGCTTGCTAGTTAAGTACGCACAGAGCAGTATGCTGCACATCAGCAGGTGACGATATACACGGCCCTCTGACTTGCTAAGCCTGAATCAGCGGTGACTTCATTACGGTAATAGTGAGGTTACTGCAAACTTCACAGGCAGCCGTCAAAAGGCGTCATGGTGCTGTTGCATGTGCTACCATGGTCCGTAAAATTTTGATTGCCACTGTAGATGTACAAGACAACAAAACACAACTAACCAACTATTCTGTTGGCATAGCGCCTTCTACAAAAGTGCCATGTACACAAAGTAAGTGCCACCTATATGTGCAGTTCATTTGGAATATAAAACCCCAGTAATGATTATTCATTGATGCATGCTGTCCATGGCCAGGAGCCAGCTCTCATTCTTACGTTTACGATATTTACTTTATATTTTGCAGCTTCGAAGGCAGAGAATTTACATTCATGATGCAGACATATAACCATTCATGTGAATTCTTCCCTGTATTTAAACAATGAGTGGAGCGAACTATTACTTTGAGTTGTTATGTGCATAAAATAAAAATTGGTTGAATATTGCACTGGGAGTTTCAATGACTAAAATAAAGAATATTCAGTATGTTCCAAGTTCCTGCATTTATACTTATAAATTGCAAGAAAATAATACTTCGGACACGATGGCCAAAAAAAAAAAAAAGGAGGCCAATGATGGCAGTTCTTAGGTGCGTACCGGCGACTGTCTGAAAAACCGGGCAGTTAGCAACCACTCTAGCTTTCACATCTGCTCATACTTTCCATACTTCTGTCGCAATGCTTCACTTCCCCCTTCTGCCACACGACTTTCAACATCGTTCATAGTAACTGTCACAATTGTGATCATGGGTCTTATAACTTCTGGGTGCCCGATTCCAGTCTTAATTTCACTTCCTTTTCCTACTTTCAATCATCTTTACTTCTGGCTTTAAACTAAACATCCCAGTTCAGGTCTGTATTTTAACCTATTTCTATGCAGCCCCACTTACGCACAGTCTGTGTACCTTGCTCAGACTGTTCGCAGGACAATCACCCAGTTTTTCTTTATAGATTTCACACTCCTAATGCTAAAACACTAAAAAGGGCCCGATGAATGAAGAGGACAAGGCTCACATCGGCAATCAGATCAGCCAGGCTCGGGTTGCAGAGCAGCAGCCATCGACGCGGGGTGATACCGTTGGTCTTGTTTAAGAAACGATCAGGGTACATCTCGTAGAAGTCCTTGAACCTGCACATTCAAGCGGCAATGCACCAAGTAATCACGAGTAGCACTTTTAATTAGGAACATATTAATGCTCTTTTGTTCCATTCCTTTCACCTTTTTTCAACAGCTACACAACACTGCCCTTTCGGTTACTACTATCAGCCACTCGATACAAAACCACCACAGGTGAATGGGCAAAAAAAAAAAGTGATCGCAAGTCTTCAAAATAAGTTTCATCAGATGCAAGCACAGCAAGGAAGTAACTTCGGTTGTTCTTTCCACACGCTGCATCCCACGCCCCATACTTCACGATCACACGATGCCACCCTTGCTGTGAAGATAGTCAGCATCACAGATGGACTCAACCAGAAGTGTTTTATCTCAAGCACGCAAGCATGAGGCACTGCATCCTGGGCCTCTCCGACGTGCATGACACTACATTCCCACAACGCTGTTATTTCTAAGTTAAGGCGGAGATGACTTATAGAATAAGAAAAGCAACTGATAACTTCCAAAAGACATCATGTGGTCACCGACGATGTCCCCATGTTGTCACAGATTGCCGAAATTTGTGATGTCGCTAAAACATGAGCACGTGACATCGTTACATGGTGAGTCAATCTCGCAGAAAGTGCATAACTGTGCAATAGTGGCGCATCTACTCACAGGTGTTTCTTGAGAATATCGGAGTGGATCTGCGCCACGCCATTGATCTTGTGCGAGCACACGATAGACAGGTGGGCCATGTTGATTCGCTTCTCGCCTTCTTCCTCGACCATCGACATGCGCCGCAGCCGGTCGTTGTCCCCGGGAAACTTCTTGGACACTTCCTGAAAGCAACCATGTTTGCGTGTTGGTCGCAGTGCTTTGCGCCCAGTTTGTAACAATGTTTATAACAGCAAGGTCACGAATTCCACAACAGCGAATGCTGGAGTGCGGGCAGTCTGGTTTGGGCAGAGCTCTATGGCGAGTTGCTGCTGCACAATGGAAGTTTGTTTAGCAGGCCCACACACTTAGAGCTCTCGGATGATGTTTCTGTTACTGCAACATTACATCACAGCATAGAGGTTACAAGCGAGATTACAGTTGCTTGGTGGGTATAAGATGCTCACTAAAACGCGCAGCACTCTGCTGAGCATTAATAAAATTTCACAGCTTGAGCAAGGTGTCATGTTACAAGTGTGCAACTATCACACTGAGGTTCGGAAGCACGACACTTACGCCAAGGAAACGGGCGTTGACATCGTAGATGATCTGCAAGTGACGCGGAAGCAAGTTCTGCAACATGGAGCAAGGCCAGCGCTCCAAGGCCTCCGGCAACACTGTGTGGTTTGTGTAGGCGCACGTCTTGGTCGTCAGGTCAACAGCCTAACAGATCAGAAAAAGAAAACGAAGCGAGGACTGCAACATCAACTACATTAGGAGTCTTTTCTGCCAAAAACTTTCATTGAGTAGAACCACGCACATCTTCAAGGGACACTAAAGTGCAATAATTAATCTGCTTAGGGTCAAATTGTAGTCAGAGAACTCTAACGTCAATATTTTCCCCGTTACATGTTTATTAACAGAAGATAAAACTGTGGTGAAAGTTTCATTTTTAAATTTCGCACTGATAATGTCATGCATGATGTACAGATTTCAAACTATATTTCGCATTTCCGAAACAGTGGCTGAACTAACATTTCCTAAAACTTTGAGCTCATGAGCCCCGACAGAATTAGTACTCACTTTATCAGCACCAATCAGAAATGACAAAGGACCTCGTAGATGCGGTCGAAATCTACGATGTCGACATGTTTGGTGCAGGAATTTCAGCATAGCGTCACCACCCACATTTTCTTTTTGCATGTTTGCTCTAATACCACGCATCTTCTCGTTGCAGGCATGACAATTTTAGAATCGTGAAAGCAATTTATGAGTTTGTAGGTCTGCGCATGTGGCGAAATTCCGGGTGCGAAGTGAATTCGTATGTTAAAGTTTGAGCACGAATCGAATTGAATATTTTTGAAACATTTTTTTGAATATAATTAAAACATTTTTGAAACCTTTTTTACATACTAAGAAGTGTAAAAAAAAGGTCCTGAGGATCCCTAAGCATATTCTTATGAGATAAGAACATGAAAGTGTTTCTGTTAGCTAGTTTGGTAAAGTACGCTCCGAAGTGATACTCCCTATATGTCTCAAAGAATGAGGCAATCAAGGGGCCGAATAAAGCTTGTTTACATAACTTGGTTGTATCGACATCACTTTACACATTAATACAAAAGACCCCATTTCCTAGATCTGCCCTCCAACTTCTGTGGAGGACCAACTGATATGGCGAAGAAGGGCACTCCCTTCGAGTCTTGATTTTCTCATCAGCCGTGTGGATTTCCTCCTCCAACTCTACAGCTGCGAGTATGCTTCCCAGGGTGCCAGCGAGAAAGCCCAAGAGTTTTCCACACACGTCTTTTACTGGCTTGGTTTTAAGCAAATGAAACTAACATTTATTTTCCGAATGTTCGAATACTCCGAATAATAAAGTTTCGTTGCAGATCAAATTGAACAGATAATGCACACAAAAAAATTTGAAAGCTTGAGTATTCGCTTCTGCTAATATGAGAAAACTCGCTTGCCACTGTCGTGTATATTCAATGTTGTTCAAATAGTTGACCCCTCCTTGCTAGATTACCTTGGCAACCAGGGACTGAAGTTTTTGTTTCACATTACACTGGGCAAGTATTTCTTGACTCAGTTTGTTTTTTGTACTGCCTGGTATATATACTTTATTTGCTACTGTGCTTTTCTTAAAATTGTACCTAACCGTGTTTGCTCCCCTATATAACACTACAATGCCACAAAAGTAAAAACTGAAAAAAAAATTGCATGTTATAAACACAAGAATTAGGGGACTGAGAGGGTCACTCACACTGACTGTGTTGGGTAAACTTCCGAGAAACTGTAAATTATCTTTTTCCACTTAGTCAATGTAGATCCTTTCTAACCACTTTCCCAATTGCTCTCAGCACCAAACGAGGTTTGGCACTGCCTCTAGGATTGGCACACCCTTTGACCATGCAAATATCTCGTGTGACGTAGTCGTCTCACAGAGGCAAAAGAGTTTTGAACACTGAAAGTCGCTGTAGCGCACGTTTTGCCACATGGACTTGTCTTCAAGGCTGAAAGTGCAGGCCTTGAAAAAGACAAGAATGCTTGTATAAACGTCCGCTAGAGGGCCCCCCACATTCACAAATTTTTTCATTCCTTCAAGCTCGAGTCTTCCCCTGAACTTCTGCCTTTTACCGGACGTTGTCTTGTGCGGCTTCATTGTGATGTCATGATGATGAGATCATAATGAAATCACAAACTTCGCCAATCTGTGACATCAGCATGCTGTAAAACCTGGTGCAGTGTCAGTTTGTCTAATTTTCATACTAATTTCTACTTATTAAACAACTCCAATTTTAATTTATGACATACCTTAAGGTGTTGGCAGAAAACTTGCGAACCTGATTTTTTTCGTTCTTAAGCAGTGGCTACCAACTCATTAATTGCAGCAACAAAACTCTTTGCCCCAGCGCGAGACTAATGTTTATTTATAGGCCCGTCTGTTACGACCGGAGACCGTTTCGATTTCGAAGAAAACTCAGGCGTCCCACGACGTAGTCAGCCTATTCGCTAAATACTATCAGGTGACCGCGAGAACCGGTAACATCACTGGCTGGCTTCAGCTATGCTGTGAACGCTGCTGTTTTATCTGTGTTGAGCAGTGGAAGTGCTCGTTTCCTTCATCATCAAACTAAATCGGTCATAAAAGCCCACAGATCTCGCCGGAAGCCGCAATTTCATTCTTGTCGTCGTCGTCCGATTGAGGCAACATTTTCTGGGAGGCTTGGAGCCGGCGTAGCATCAGGCATGTCGAAACATTTTCGCCTCATACATTTGTAAACGAGCAGGTTGAGAAGGGATGAAGGAAGCAGCAAGATCGCCACATTTGCACTCTGTAACAATGTGTATGTGTAATGTGCAAGAGACGTGATGTACGCTTTACCAACTTTTAATTGGGCAACGCTGCATTCTAAAGGCACACCAATCCCACATATGCATGCTGAAGCACCGAAGCAGCTATCTCTCTACTGCGCAGTATGATCCTGGCAGTGGAGAGCTTTAGTTTGTATATTTCCTAATGTTTACATACACCCGGCAATCGGATCTGTTGATGGCTGCAGCAGCAGTCATGAAATGGGTAGTCACACCTTGTGGCATTTTGTCGAACAATGATCTTTCTTTTAGTTTTCTTATTCACATTGCTGTTCTTGTAAAAAAAAGCAATGAGAATACTATGACTCGATAATTACCTCACTGCCAATGCTTTACACAGAGCGAGTAAGCAGGTAGGTTGGTACAATGTTATTTTTGTGGATCTCTGGTTAGGCTCTGCATCATCAGGTGTCGCTACCAGCATTGTCCATCTCATAAATGCCTCTGGCAACACTGCCAGAACTCGTGGCGTGCGTTGTTTAAAAAAGAGCGCCACTCTATAACCTCACTGCTTTCTGCTTCTATATTTCCTATTCTGCACCTTCACAAACATCAAAATTCAATCAAAATACCTTTTAGGCCATATTTGTGGATGATACTGCACAGATGGCACCTCTGTGTTCCCATCAGTTTGGTGCAAGAGGCAAATTATGTGCAAATTTTTGCGTCACTACTTTTTTAATGTCCACCTTGCCACACACAACTCTCGGCTTAACCCGTCCCACCCTTCTTATATTTTAAACCTTTATCAGGATTTTGGGGCGATTCCCACCGATAAGTACGCTTGTTGGCAATGTGGTCTGAAAACAGTGTCACTTGGCACTCTCGCCGATGAAATGAACAACAACAACAAAAAAAAACAAGGTTATACCTTATCAAAGTCGAGGCCCTCAATGTCGACGAAGATGCGGATGAGCTCGGGGATGGCCAGCGACGGGTGCGTGTCGTTAAGCTGGATGGCCACCTTCTGGGGGAACTCGTCCATGTGGGTGCGCACCACGCTGGTCTTGCCAAACTTGGATGACTTGTAGCGGCGAAGGATGTCCTGCAGTGTTGCTGCCACCATGAAGTACTCCTGCTTCAGTCGAAGCTCCTTGCCCTCGAACATCTGCAGCAAGAAGGAGGCAATGCATAAATTAGGATGCAAACTTTAAAATTCCACTTACTGCCTGTCCATCGTTGTTTTACGCAAGCCTCTTGACTACAGTAAACTCTCTGTGAACGTAAATCTCAAATGGAACTGCTGCTTAAATGAAACAACTGGCTCTTGTACAATTGGTTTCGTGACTGTATTCCACACCCATGTTCCTCTTTCAGTAAACATATGTCCCATTAAATTAAACATTTTCCTGCTCCCTCTAGGTTTCGTTTAACACCAGCCTACTGTATTGCATATGCTCAAACCTCGATACTATAATGAACCCAGATATAATGAAATATCGGTTATAACAAAGTAAATAAAGAATAGTCTTGCAATAAACAGTGTTAGAAATATACCTTTATAACGAACTCCCTTATATAACGAACCTATTTTCATGCAAGATGCTACTTTGTTATAATGAGGTTTGTGTAAATGCATGTATCGCAATGTCTGCATGCCTTTCAATCCGACTCCTGTAAAGTTTGTTTCATGAAAGATGTTATAATTTATTTTCGCGCGTTTCACAAACTTCCATTTGCAACAATAACAATTAAGATCTCAGAGCTGCATCAAAAGATGACGAGGACATCTAGGAGAAAAGTGCCATTTTCCGAAGGGGTGTTTGGTAGTGAAAACGGTCACGAAGCTAACTTAGGAGCGTAATAACAACAATACCTATTGAAACTGAAATAAAGCACATAAGTAGAAGACGTAGACAGGATCAACACAAACACTGGATTTATCGACATCATACTTCCAACAACGTTCGCGTTAAAAAGCACTCACTACAGCATCAAAGAATGTTCAGTTTCAGCGTTGTACCAACTAGCGTCCCAACACACTCTTACTCGAAAATGACTAGAATCGTCAGAACGTCCAGCAATAAATTCTCTTGGGTGTATACAATTCTAAAAAGGAAAATGTTTCAGAAAGCCTATCATTCCTTGGCAGTATTTTGGCCCAGAAGACTTTTCGCTCAGAGCAGTAAAGGACAACTGCGAAAGAGCTGCTATTTACTGCTCACTTGCTTTCATTTTCATTTTCCTTAACCCTTTAGGGCGACATATATAATGAACTATCTGCAAGTGCGTCAAACTTGCACATTATTTCAATGCACTATATGTTCTATTGTGAGAAAAATAGTGTAATAATACGTTGTTTTGTGTATTGTATAGTAATTAATCTGAACTCAATCACAATTAAATATTTTTTTCTCTGAATTCACAGATTTCCTTGCATAAATAGAACCGAATTGCACGTTAGACAAAATCGCTCTTAGTTGTGTTCCTTTCAAGCAAAAAAATAATTACACTTTTGACCTGGCTTGCGAAAAACGCTTTATCGAAAGAGCTGTCAGACAAGGCAGCGCCCTTAAAAAAGTGATTATGTGCAACAGTACACTCTGCAATAAAGATAAATGAAGACGCCCTCATTATGCTGACAGTTTAGTTCATCCAAACCTCAAGCTATCTGGCTTTTTCAGAGCTACCAGCTGGCAAAACTAGCAAAAACAAGTGATGTAAGCATGTGATGTAATAAGCAATTTTGTACAGAGCATCTCAAAAGGCGTCATTTGATGCGTCAGCCGACAAGTTTTGCTATACTCACATTGTCGTTGGGGTAGAGCACCCTGGAAATGTTCTCTGCCAGGTTCCGATCGAGGACGGCCTGAATGTAGTCTCCGTTATTGACTGCGCAGATTTAGGGGCAACAACATAAAAAGACCGGCATTGTAATGCACAAACAAAGCACAGACAACACAAAACATCATGCAGATCAAAAACCAACGCAACCCACCATTCACAAACCTTTCAGAATAACAGTGTCGACAAAAAATTTTATTTTATTTAGCATGGCACTTTATTTCACACCATAAAAATGAAGGTGATGAAAAGTAAATCGCAGCAATAACAACTACACTGCAACTGCATATGCTGGTGACTGTTGCAGATGGCTACAGATAATTAGATTTTGCCAAGTTGTACTTTTGAAATGGCCAATAATGTAGACACACTAAAGTGAAATTACATGCATGAATCTAACTTCGAGGACATAGAGCTCGATATGCTTATTTCCAGTCGAGCACTCCATACTTTACAGCAATAGTTAAGGAGGCATGTGTATTTGTAAGCAAGCATTGGTGCATGAATTTATTAAGTAAATGTACCAATAAGGAAAAGCATGAAGTAAATGATAGCATAACAGAATCCCTTCAGTTGAAAAAGATGACAATAGAGATTACTGACTAATCATCGCAGCTATAGCTCTAGTGGGCTAGGCTGTCGAGGCTAAGTTATGTTGAGGATGCAAGCTACTGAGAAATAGCTCATTTCATTGAAAGTATCCATGGCCACTCCAATTACAGTTAAACGTCTATATAACTAAGTAATTAAGATCGGTAATTTACTTTGCTATATAAAAAATTTGTTAAATTAAAATTCGACTTTTAAACATAGAATAGTTGCCAAAGGTTTTTTTTTTTTTGGATTGTCGTGCCAGAAAAATGTTCGAATAATATGGCAGTGCAGAAAAAACGAAATCCCTGGAAAAATATAAGTTTTCTCGACCTTGAAATCTGGCGACCGCAGTTTGACTCTGTGCCAGCGAAGACCTCTTTGCCGATGACCAAACGTCAAGCGAGCACCCAAAAAAAAGAAAAAGCACGACCATCGCTCTATGGCAATACAGGATACGCATTCATAAACACCACGTGCAACTCAGTCATGTGAATCTGGTTCCAGCAGAAGTTTCGATTTATTGTCTCAGTCCTCCCTTGGGGCAGCACTGATGCTTTGTTATATTGAAATCAAAGATAACACAGTTTGTTATCCTGAGGTTAAAAAAAGTATGCTGTGTTCCTAAGAATGCGAAGTTGGGAAGGGTGAACTTCGTTGTTTTAAGAGTTTCATAATGTTTCAGTTAGTTATATAGTACAGGGTTAACCATACCACTAACCGCTAAACTATAACTTATCCAGCAGGCGACACTTACAGAAGCGAAGGTTGAAGTTTATGGGAGACTTGCAAGACCAGAGCCTCATGGTGTTGACGACGTTGTTGCGGAATCCAGGAATGGGATTGTCGTAGGGCATTGCAAACACAACCTGAAAGAAGTTGGGCATACTTGTAAGTTGAAAAAAAAAAGTTAGGCACGTTTCACCATTACATTCCAGACGCCTCTTTGAACAGAACCAGACTGCACCAAATGGCACACCCCATTCAGGAAGAAATTCCAGTGACTGAAAGCTTAGTTTTGCTTGTTCTTTCCACAGCGTATGTGTATGTATAGTTAAGTTCTGGCAAATTGTGTCCACGAACAAAAGACAGGAAGTATAATTTTTGGTGAAACGATTAACTCTGTTAGTACAATGTTCCTGTATCGAGAAAATGGACGCGGTGCGATTTTGCCGACGTGGCAAAACGGTGTGAACAATTTGGCCTCGGAGACAAGAATACTTGAATAAGAGAAGGTTCATGCCACATATGTACTCTCAAATAAACGGTGCTTGTTATGTACTACTACAGGATTTAATTTTCTGCTGTTGGCCGCACTGATGATATGATACGTGTCAAGCGCAAAAGAAAGGCCTCCATAGAAACTGCTTTCCTGGCTTTCATCTACACAGTATAAAGGCTGAAGCTTTTCTGTGCTCCAAGAATTAAAAAAATGTGCCGCCACAGAACATGAAAATTTGTAGTTATTCAGCGAACTTCGTCGGGCTTCCAAAGTGCAGACAAGGTGCACAAAATACTATCGTACGAGCACTTGCATGGGAACAACCAAGATCGCATCTGAACTATACTTGAAAGTGCATAGTTAGCAGTACATCAACATACAAAATGTGAAGAAAAAAAACACAAAAAACAATTACGTGAACCTGCTAGATACATGATGAAATACTAGTACCAAGATCAAATAGGTCCATTTTAATAAAAAATGCACCAAGCATCTTCAGATTTGCAGCCTGCGTTAAATAGAGCTGTCTTAAAGGGGCCCTCCAACACTTTTGAAGCACCCATTTTTTTTTGTGTTTTGCGTAGACCGATGGCCAGGGATAACTTAAGCATAAGTCCAAGCACCGATATGAAATCATTCAGTATTTTAATCATGCAAAAAAGTCCCCTCATTGCTGCCGACCACGCCGGCGCAAAGTGGAGCTCACTAGAACTACGCGGGCGGAAATGAAGACGATGAGCGCAGCCTATCACAGGACGCGTAAAGCCTCGCTCCGAAGCGAAAGGACCTGCTCGAGTTCTGACAAGTCGGGGAGGCTCATTTCTACCAGCCTTGCCCAGCTGTTCGACCTCGTAAACAAAACGGCTTGGTCAGGCACCACGTTGGCTGTTGCTATAGCAACAGCGTCATAAACGCATTTGACTGAACAGGCAACAATGATGTACGAGCTTCCTCTACGTAAGAGCTTTCAGCCTATGTCATTGGATGCCCCCTGCAACGTCGCAGCAGAGAGTGAAATGTGGTCATGTCACCCCGCGAAATTTGAGTTGAGAGTAGGCATTTTTTTCTTGTATTTTGATTTTTTTAAATTCAATAACTTTGTACTGCGTGCCACTATCGCTGCCGTTCTTGCTGCACTAATTTGTCCGTGCATCAGTCTATGTAGTCCACGAGTAGAAAATAGGCGGTTGAAAAGTGTTAGAGGGCCCCTTTAAGATGTTTGAGACATTCTAAATATCATTAGCGCTTACTGTTTTGATGCACTACTTGAGCACACGAAATGTGTGCAATGAATAAAAAAACACATCAACGGGTCGTGAATGTGTGTGCAGAATCTTGGCCAGTAGAAGCCTTATGACAGTAAAACCCATTAGTATATCTAATTTGTGGGATCATATTCTCAGCATCAACATATTGTAATTACCTTATATTGAAGCTATATCTTATATCCGTATACATGCCACTTTTTTTTAAACATACCCACACACTTCTGTCAATTCACTATAGATTTGTTAATTAACAGCATTAAGAGCAAGATTTAATCAAGCGAAACAAATGTTTTTGATATTGAGTACACATAGTGATATGCAAAAACCAATCTATGGCAAACATTGGGCCAATTTAAAAGAAAATTGTCGCAAATGAGAAAATTTGATTACAGCTGAAACGTAGCTGAAGTGATTCTAGTAGCGACCAGTGACTAGTAGCGACTTGTGACTATTATAGAGATTTGTAAGCAAATTTATGTTGTCGGCTTAGAATTACTGAAGATGACTTCGAAAAGAAAAAATTGGAGTTTCCGACAAGCCTATGCTCAAGTTCCCAAATATGCACACCCTTTGCACCAGAAACATAACCCAGTTCCTGCCATGAACAAGTAAAGCGGTCAAATTATGTGCAATCTTATTGCAAATACAAATTGTCAAAAGGTTATCAAGGGTTTTGCAGATGTCCCAGGCATAAGTTATCTCCAGATATTTTAGCGCTGCGAGCTTACAGTAACCCCAATTTTACCACGTCCTCCAGTCTACCACGTGCTACCACTGACCTGTGAATCAACCCACTTGTAGCCCTTGTCAGTCTTCTCAACACGACCGTAGAAGTTGACGGGAATCATGTATTCCGGCCGAGCCTTCTCCCACGGGTTGCCGAAGCGAAGCCAGTCGTCTGGAACTTCAGTCTGTAATGAAAATACACACGCACATCAGCTCCGACACGACCAACGAAATGACAATGTTTCACTGCAAGTGCAAAGCGATGAATGCTATAGCAATGAATTGAAATGTCATACAAGATAAAGCTACCAGCTCATTCCTTTGTGGTATGATCTGGCAGAATACTGCTTCAGACCTTCAACTAGCCTTTGGTTATTTATAAGTCCAACAAGTGCTTGCTATCTGTAAATTGATTATGAAATAAATTTCATTGATTAATTCATTCAGACTTTGGTGTAAAGGTGTACAGCCACTCCAGTGAGCGAAGTAGTTATCGCACCGTCTGTCGCCTCAATGTGAATCGAGCAACACATACAAAGGTACGAGCTATACAAATATATGACAGTCTATAGATCTCGACAGAGACAACTGCATCCTTCTGACCAAAGTGTGAGGGTGCTGCTCAAGCAACATATTGTGCCCAAGTGGTCACAATACGTCATATTAGGGATATATTCAGCCTGCTTGAGCGTGCATGCGCCCAACTCTTATGTGAGGCGAGCTTGTGCCCGAGTGGGTTCATGAAAAACACGAAGAGCGCAGTCACAGATTGGCAAGTCGACTTTGTTTTCTCACACGTGCATATTGTCGTGTGGTCATGACGTTGGCTAAGACTAGAGTCCACCTGTGAGCGGGCACAAGTTTGCCGAATAAAAATTTTAGTGTTGAGCAAACCGACTGCCGCTTTCGTCTATGTCACGACCACGTGACAATATGAGCATGTGAAAAAACAATAACAAAGCAATGTTGCCAGTCAGAGACTGCTCTGCCCCGAATTTTTTCGTCGGTGTTTTTCATGGTACTTTCACATATCTACATTATACACCCACCAGTGGCACGGGTACCATCAAAAGTATGCATGAGTAGATATACACAAGAATATTATAGTATTTAAATTCATTTTGACAAGTCGAAAATTCCTAAAAGCATTCAAAATCAACTAATAAGTGTGTTTTAACCCATTTGATCCACCTAACAAAATCACTGCCATGCTACTTGTGACCATTATGCTCTTAAACTAATTCAGGAAAAATCTACAATGCAGTGAAGCCACACTTTAAAGTTCAGTCAGTGCTCACATTATCAGCAACCCGATTAATTCTTTTTCCAAAGTTCAAATGCATGTCATGAGGATAATACGGGCAAAATATGGCAAAGTTTCAAAACGTGGCATATTTTACTAATACCCTGCATACTACTGCTATCGAAAAACTGCTACAATTCAAATTTGGTTCAAAATTATTTGGTACTAATTACCACTAACCAGTACTTTAATGTCACTTCAAACCAAGAAAGTGGCATGAGCGTAAGCCTAATCGAAAGCACATACGAAATGCTCCAGCTCTGTATACTGCCAATGCGAGCGTAAACCAAATTTTTGCACCTGCTCTGTTGTCAACAGCCAATGAATAGGTGAGAATAACTGTTGGTTGAGCTAAGAGAATCGCCAAAGCAGGCAGTGCTTTAGTATGGCATCTGTTTCATTATCACTAAAAGGCTATAGTTTACCTAAATAAACACTTACCTAAATAAAAAAAGCCGAGCACAAACGAAGGTTGAGGTCTATCTGATGAGCTCAATTTGTAGCGCAACTCCCTGAGAAAGGCACTATTCCCAGGTTGAACCCAAAACCAGGGTGAACCATTATCACTAAAAGAAGTTGTGCTTGAACGAGACTGATTGATCTGTCAGTGGTGTGTGTATGCTGCGTTCTTTTCTAAATAAACAATACTAGAAGTGGTGCTTTGTGTGCTACACGAATCTCTGTCCAGTGACATCATTACGCCCAAGTTTGAAAGCGCACTGAACCGATTTCATGAATCATGAGGGGAGAGTCGGTATGAGAGGGACGTGGCATGCAGGTGCCGAAGTTTATCTTTCAAATATTTTTCTTGAATCGCTAGACAGTTAAGTATATCACATTCAACTTTTTTTAATGCCCATTAACTTTAGTCGTTGGGTACCCCTTCCTCTTCATGCCAGCTTTGTACGACCCTCTTAGATTTTCCACTGCCATTCAACCAGTCTCTGAAAAGTCTCAGTTGAACACACGAGCAGGGCAGCAGTGCTCATTTTTTAATTTTGTTTCAAGGTATTATAATTTTTATAAAATAAAATCTGCTTCTATAAAGACAAAATGACCGCCACGGAAGGACATGTCCGCCCATTGCAATTTTCCCATATCTACACCACCAACCAACGCGCCCGGTAAACCATTCCTACACAAGCCTCAACTAAGCTCTGCTCACTGGGGTCACAGGGCACCTACCTGTTCTCCATTGGTGATCTTTTGGGTGAAGATACCGTACTCGTAGCGGATGCCGTATCCATAGGCCGCCATGCCCAGGGTGGCCATGGAGTCGAGGAAACAAGCCGCCAGACGACCAAGGCCGCCGTTGCCCAGACCAGCGTCCTCCTCGAGCTCCTCCAGTTCTTCAATGTCCAAACCCATCTGTAAGGTCGACAGGGAATTCCTAAACTTGTGGTCTAATCTTTACCCCAAGGTGTTCACCAATCCTACTACCACACTTACCTAAATAAAAAAAGCCGAGCACAAACGAACGTTGAGGTCTATCTGATGAGCTCAATTTGTAGCGCAACTCCCTGAGAAAGGCACTATTCCCAGGTTCAACCCAAAACCAGGGTGAATTATAGGGCAAGTAAAAATTTTTGTTTTCTATGAAGTCTGTATGAGTTTCCTCGTGGCTTTGTGCGAAAAACGAGTGGTTGCCTCTTTCCATTTCCAAGATCTATACATTGAGCTCCAACAGAAATGAAAATTATTCTGATGCAGTTCAACACACATTTTTTTTTGAGGAACTGAAAAATTAAAACATTACACACTTTTATTTACAACAAGCGCACACAAAAGTAATAAAGTGAAGAACTCTTGCTAGTAAAAGCATAACCTTCGAGATCTCTACTTCAAGGGTTGGCATCAAAATGACAAAGAACATCACAATCATGGGAATGATGCCATTTTCATGCACCCAACTGTATCTGCCGACCGTGTATCTTGGTCGAGGGCATCATTCTGTGCAGCTATGATGGCCACATTGCAACTGTAGTTGGCAGCATTCGCAATGATCTACCAAAACTTATTATAATGCAGTTTTTTAGATTTTCAGCCAAATAAATTAGATGCCTATATAGATACGTAACGCAACAGTGTGGTCGGCACTGCTTGAAGAACGATGGGCACGATAGGAACTATAAGCTCGCCAGATTTGATAGATTTGATCACGAGGATAGATCAAGTTTCATTAATCACAAATGTGGGCTAACAGCCCATCATAGAAGACTTTTATGAAAAAAAAAAAAAGGCTGACCTATGCTATATACTAATAAAGTGATAGTAGTATTGCAATGAGCGACTGTCGATATGGCACCATAGAATACTACTGCAGACCGTACAAGGACAGAAAATATAAACACACAGTGCAGCGTCTCTTCACGAGATTTTCTTGCGTCTTGTATCTCTTGTAAATAAGCAAGATCGGCACTGCGGCATTGGCGTGAGCTCAGCTAGTGAAAATAAGAGGAGAAGAGGCAGAGAATAATTGATTTGTAGGGTTTAACGTCCCAAAACCACCATATGATTATGAGACGCCGTAGTGGAGGGGTCCGGAAATTTCGACCACCTGGGGTTCTTTAACGTGCACCCAAATCTGAGCACACAGGCCTACAACATTTCCGCCTCCATCGGAAATGCAGCCGCCGCAGCCGGGATTTGAACCCGCGACCTGCGGGTCAGCAGCCGAGTACCTTAGCCACTAGACCATCGCGGCGGGGCGAGGCAGAGAATAGAACCACCGGCCTTGCACACAGGCATTGTAGCTGTGTGTCTGTGTAGTTCCTCTACACTGTTTATATTCTTGCTGCACTTCATGAAACCAGGCATTCAATTTCTGCTGCTATGGCTATCGTGAAGTCTACTAAGCGGGCAGCGAAAATTTGCAGCCGAGCAAAGCATGTTCACGAGTGTCTGCACATATTTGTTCATTTACCGACACCTATTACCCAAAAGACCATAAAACACTGAACAGGAAGGTTGGGCCATAGATTAAACTAAAGGATCGCACGGGCATCAGTATTTGTTGAAATGCAAGATGTGTAATAGAAAGAAAAGCTATTACTTTTGTGTAGTCTGGAAGACAGGCGCATGAATTCGTACTTTCACAATACATAAAGCAACTCTCTCATGCTTGGCAAGCCTGAAAACACTGGGTACAGAGACAAAGCAATTTTTTTTCTCCAATACAAATAGAATGTTTCGTATTGTATTGTTCTTGGGGCATAGTTGCCAACACAATCCCAATGTAGTCTAAATAAGAGCAAGTATAAACATTGCACAATAATTTAGTCTGCGTGGTTCTTAAATGAGCCAAAACTACACCACCATTATTAGGCATGTAAAGTGTATCTACCATAAAAACTAGCCTTGACCTCCAGACCTGTCATCGAAAAAGAAAGCTTTCATAAAATTTATTTTAATGCCCCGAATATAAGGGGAGACACTGCTCTTGAAAAAAAGCTTTTTTTTATCTCTTAATTGAGTTTGATGCAAGTAAGCGAGGTTATGTATATATTTGCATGCTGATTTGAAATATGCAATTATTTCTCTTTTATACAGCGTAATTTTTAAAATACAAAATATTTCAAGTGTCTTTTTGAAGAGCAAGTTTTTTTTCTAAACTAAAAGAGCTACAGAGTAAATTTGCATATCACAATATCTAGAATCAAAGTGCGTTTTCGTTGCAGTACTACAAAAATGGATGTTTAATATCTATATATTTGAGCAAAAGTTAAAAACTACATTTTATACAAGAAAATTAATTGCATATATGAAATCTGCATGCAAATATGCTTTCACCAGGTTTCGTCGACATTGATCAAGAAACTGAAACAGAAATTTCAAGTGCCACGTCCACCCTAAAATATTACTGTTTCACGCCCTTATTTCATGCACCACTGAAAATCGATTGATATGTGAGGTTTAACGTCCCAAAACCACCATATGATTATGAGAGACGCCATAGTACAGGACTCCGGAAATTTCGACCACCTGGGGTTCTTTAACGTGCACCCAAATCTGAGCACACTGGCCTACAACATTTCCACCTCCATCGTAAATGAAGCCACCACAGCCGGGATTCGATCCCGCAACCTGCGGGTCAGCAGCCGAGTACATAAGCCACTAGACCATTCGGCGGGGCACCACTGCAATTCGATCTCAACTCCAGCTGCAAGAATAAAGTTGCCATGCCAAATTTTTTGTACATTTATTCCTGTCCAGGACAGCATTTGAATGAGATTACATTTGGAATCAGTCACCATCTACCCAGATAATTCATCATTGAACTGGTTGACATAACATTGTACAGAAAACTTGTTAACTACTCCTATCTGTAACACCATTGGGCATGGAGAGTAGTTTAAACAAGCTATAACATCATGTGATGTCACTGTAACATCACTACGACATCACAAATTTTGGCAATCTGATGTTTTCACGCAATAGTGATCTTTTGCATCACTCATGATGACACCGACGGTCACTTTTCAAGTCTGATGAGGCATCTAAGGCTTTTGTTTTAATAAATACTGGTCAACTATTAACTGCTACCTCGAAGAGAAGTTTAATATGCATCTTATTTTAAGTATTACCTACCAAGCAGAAACGTGGTGGCTTACAAAGAGGGTTCAGCCCTAATTGAGGACAACACAGTGAGCGATGCAAAGAAAAGTGATAGGTGCAACCTTAATTGATATGTAGGGTTTAACGTCCCAAAACCACCATATGATTATGAGAGACGCTAGGTGCAACCTTAAGAGACAAGAAGAGAGTATAAGTGGGTCAGGGAACGAACCGGTGTTAAGGATGTCGTAGTTGAAATCAAGAAGAAAAAATGGACATGGGCTGGGCACGTAGGCATGATAACCGCTGGTTATTAAGGGTAACTGACTGGATCCACAGAGAGCGCAGATGCACGAGGAGACAAAGTTCGGTGGGCTGATGAGATGAAAAAGTTCGCAAGTATAATGTGGCAGCAGACAGCACAAGACCGGGTTCATTGGTGGATCATGGCCCGGGAGAGGCCTTTGCCCTGCATTGGGCGTTGTCAGGCCGATGATTCTGATGACGACGTAGGCACTTAAGCGTCTCATTCCCATCAACCTCGCACACTCAAGAACTTTTTTAAATGCATGCGTAATGAAATTCCTCGAAACATTCACCTAGTCAAACTGCTTCATCTTAATGACACCGTGGTGTCTGCTAAGTCAGTGCGCACGCTGATAAACAAGATTACGTTAACTGCCGTCGCCTCTCTAGCAGCAGGAGGTCATCAATCTTAGCCCCACTTTGCATATGGAGCGACACGTAGCGTGCCCTTGCGGAAATTCCCTTTCCAGAAAGCTTATCTGGAAGCCCCTGAATGTTGTCAGCCCGATTTCCAAAGTGTGCCACGCTGTCAAGCCAAAAGAAAACCAGCATAAGGGCCTGTTTATGCCTTCAGAGTGTACAAGGTCTTGGCTGTTATCCGTTTTTTCTAGGAGAGGCTCTCCTGTGCATCCCTTATCAACAAGGCCAATGAGCAGCAACCTTGAAGGTAAGAAGCGTGCAAACAAAAACAAAAGAAAAGCACCCGGCACGCGCTGATGTACACGAATGACTTGACTTGTCTCACTGAGGCTAAAGCGTGTTCTGGATTACTGGACATTAAAGGAGAATTCAAAGAGATGCTGAAGCCGAGCACAAAACACATATACTGATACGTTAGTCTTTGAGAAATAGATTTTTATTTATGAATATTCCATTAATTACTTCTCAGGCGACGTTGAAAATTCTGTGCATATGCTGTGCACGCAGAAGTGCCGCTTTGCTCTTGTTGCCCCGAATCGATCCAATACAGAAAGAGTTTTTACATTGCAACTACAGCGTTTCGATTCCCTCACTATACGATCATATGTCATTAACGAGACAACCCAGACACGCAAATGCACAGTGATGTTTGTGATGTGCTCGTTATAAACTGTGCCAGTGCGTAAAGATTAATGTGTTGAAGAGGCAAACTACAGCTTTAATCAATTATTAATTCTTAACTTTTCACAAGGCCAGTTTGTTCGATGCCATGGAAAAAAGCTGTAGGCAAGTTTTTTCACCTACCTGATAGAGAGCCTCATCGCAGGCATTCTGGAGGCCCAGGTTTACCATAGTGTTGGTGAGAGAACGGCCCATGTAGTATTCCAGGGAGAGGTAGTACACCCTCTGAAAAGCAGTGCAAACACCACATCAATCATTAAGAGTTATGCACAAAGACAAATCAGACTAATGAATGTTGCATGCTAAAACGAACTATGTGTGTGTGTGTGTGTGTGTGTGTGTGTGTGTGTGTGTGTGTGTGTGTGTGTGTGTGTGTGTGTGTTGTGTGTGTGTGTGTGTGTGTGTGTGTGTGTGTGTGTGTGTGTGTGTGTGTGTGTGTGTGTGTGTGTGTGTGTGTGTGTGTGTGTGTGTGTGTGTGTGTGTGTGTGTGTGTGTGTGTGTGTGTGTGTGTGTGTGTGTGTGTGTGTGTGTGTGTGTGTGTGTGTGTGTGTGTGTGTGTGTGTGTGTGTGTGTGTGTGTGTGTGTGTGTGTGTGTGTGTGTGTGTGTGTGTGTGTGTGTGTGTGTGTGTGTGGTGTGTGTGTGTGTGTGTGTGTGTGTGTGTGTGTGTGTGTGTGTGTGTGTGTGTGTGTGTGTGTGTGTGTGTGTGTGTGTGTGTTGTGTGTGTGTGTGTGTGTGTGTGTGTGTGTGTGTGTGTGTGTGTGCGCGCGCGAACGTGTGTGCACGTGCATGCGAGTTGGACTAACAAGTGTTGATTGAGTAAATTAAATGAATGTATCCAGCTGTCAATGACGCCTCATGATCGACTGTCAGCTTATAACCACCAAGTTTTAATAAGTAATTTCTGGGTATAACTTATTAAAACTTCACAGAAATGAGCCAAATGTTTACCAAGTACTGAACAAGGGTATTGAAATCCTGTGCTATACTCAGTATAGTCACAACTTTTGATGCAGTATATCTCCATTTCATCCTTAACAAATTTCAACTGCATTTTGTCCACAACAATACCAGAACAAAGCAAGTAGTCTCTGTAAAAGGAGTGGTGGTGCGATATCTGTTCATTTCAGAAAGACCAGATTTAATGTGACCCAGTAGGACTCTCTCTTGAGCATTCTCGAAAAATTAGAGAATGCGGTCTTGCAAGCAAGTATACTGGCCTGTGGTCTAGGCTGATGCAACGCTATCTCAAGGTTGTCTATTAAAGCAAGAAATACTGCAGTTTGGGGTACGTTGAGGCAGTGATGAATGCTTTGCACAGTTTTTGACAAGTAATTGAGCGTAATCAGCATGACATGGCTGATGGCTAGTGGGGTACTTAATTTAAGGACTAGGACGAGAGGAATCTTCAACGTTCAAAGTTTTTTAATCTATCTATCTATTTACACTATGCCATTTTGTGCAGCATCGTTTCGAGTAAACATTTGTAGGTGTGCACAGCGATGCACAATCAAGATTAAAAAAAAACATTCTGGCAATGGTGCTTTCTGGTAGCGGCAAATGGGAGAGAAATACTGGGATTTCTTCGTCTACTTTCCCATCCCTCCTTTGGCATTCTGCCACTGTCCTCATTTATGTCCCTTCACCGTGATGTGTGTTCATGGGTAAGCTGCAGATCACGACTTCAGCTAACACCGACAATTTACATTCCTTATTCAAGCATGATGATTTGTCACTCTTATTTATATTTTGTCTGCAGCTGGAGTCTTGCGAACTTCACTGGGTTTGTGGAACCCAAGTCCGAATAAAACACCTTGAAAAGTTTTTCTGCTCCCAAGTTATAGTTACTATAAATGCCTAATGCTTAATGTTGCCAACTGTAAAATGTGCGAGACCTTCTCGTAACCGTTTCTTGTTTTTATTCAAACTCATAAGGTAAATCCCTGCATTAGAGGATTATTATTATCATCATCATCATCATCATCATCATCATCATCATCAACAAAGTTACTACTACTACTACTACTACTACATATAACCCAGGTACTTCTCTCTACCGTAGTCAAGTAAAAGCCATCAGCTGCTATTAATGAAAAGCCAATGTCTAACCCCTTCAGCTGCAAAATTATGGACTATGGATGAATGCATTAAATCCACCATTATTTACAAGGAGCTAGACACTTCAATTCAAGATGGTTTAGGGAACAGGATGTTTCCTATACATTTTAGCAAGCCATCATAAATTGAAAATAGATATATGTATTTTTATTACAGTCTTTCAATGTTGAAATTTCACCAAGAATTGCAATTTTCGATGCAACATTGTCCACGTGGATTCAAGTTGCGAGTTGGGTACAAGCCTTAAGACAAACTTGAAAGGTTATTTCGCCGCTCCTGTAATCGGCGGCCCGACGAACGTACGGTCAGGCATGGCAATCTACGTTAAGTCTACGATGTTTTTAACAATGCGAGTGACAGGACAAGTTAAACAAGTATAATACAGTATGATGCAGGCTGAATTTGGATGAAACTTAATGTCTGTTCTTGTTTCAGCATCCCTTAGTCACAGCTAGCAAAACGAAGTCCGAAGAATAGGGTTACAGTTTATGCGTAACTAACAACCTGCTAGCGGCTGTTGCAATGCACTCTTAGAGGTTATTGTACCCGCCCTTTTATAAATTTTATGTTAAACTAGCACTGGATCTCTCATCATATTTGCCCCCACGTCATCAAGTCTCTTGCGGCCATTTTCCCAAGTGCCAAACCTTTTCTTCACCCTTTGCTTCCCCTTTGGAAACAGCAGCAGATTAGAAACAGCTGTCAAGTATTTCTCCAGTGCCTGTGACAGTTTTTTTCTTCTTATTTCCTAGCTTCTGTTGCAAGTTTTTTGTAAAATATTCCGATTCTGTGAATTGATCACTCTGTTTGAACTTCACGCCTGCAGATTTTATAGGCCCAACAACATATACGAATGCGTACACTGCTTATGAAGTGGCTGAAGCAAGTCCAAATACACAGCATGTCTTTAATTGAAGCTTTCATAACTACAAATTTTAGTGGAGGCATTAAATCATTGTGTGTATGTCTATATTGTGTTTGTCTGCAATCGCTCGTTTCTGATACGGCAATCTGACTTTTTATCAAGGTCGCTTGTCATTTTGTGTGGCCGAATTTCGTTGTTGCCTAGACATGAAAGTAGTGCTGCTAATGATATGGATGAAGGTTCGATTCCCAATACGAAAGAACGAAACAGTAAGGAGTGAGCACAGAACAATGAGATAGAAAGAAAAAGAAAAGAAGTAAGTCGGGCACATCAAACTTCACTTGCCCCCATTTTCCCAAGAAGGGAAGAGCTGAATTTTTTTTATACACTTCTATCAAGGCATTTGATATTGTTGAAGCGCTGGAGTAAGCAGAAGGAGCGATCTCAGAGCAGCTACTGTTACAAAAAAATAAGGTGCATCCCAACTCTCTTCCGCACTGCGGCCAGGAAGTAAAGGGTGCTCAAGCCAACGGACTCGCAAAACTCAGTTAGCTGTCATTTTCCTGGCATAGTTCCTAACACCGTCGCTTCTCTCTCCAGGCAGCTCGGCCAAAAACGGTTCTAGTTTACACACATGAAAGCTCTCGGCAAGCACCTACACAGGATAGAAAACAAAAGTTTGAAACGACACTCTGAAAAGCAAAGTCATGAGTCTTTTACAAGGCTCGAAGAGGGGTTTTTTTGCGTCCTTCAGGCATGAAATGTCATCTAAAAACGAGCTATCTTTGGTGTGTCAGAAATAGGAGAAGACTGAAGAACCTGTGCACTATTCGTTGTTAGAAGGGCACTCTAGAAATGAGTCGAACATACTTTGAACTGGACTACTGAGCTTGCGGTTCTTCCAGTGCAGTTAATTGAGACAGTCTAAACTGAGAAACGAATTTCAAAAGAACGGATAGTTGGGCTTGTTGCATGGCTTCACATTCTTCAAGAAACAACAAAGGAAATTACAAGACACGCAAGACACTGTGCTGTTAGTCTTGTCTTTTGCATGTCCTGTCGTTTCTTGTGCTTTTCTTGAAGGTATAAATCGAAAAGCTACAGTTGAAATGACAAAACGAAGAAATAAATTACATATCTTAATTGTGTGTTAAAAGATCGCAGAACAAGTAATATATTATATGTTATTGTTTTCCATATACAGTCACCGCTCTCCCCTTTAGATACATCTGGTTGGGAATCGAAGCCAGCAACAAGTCTTCCATTTCATACAGCATCAAATGATATTTGAAAGCTGGATGTGTTCAAACTTCGCAGTGGTTTCCTTTCAAGCACAGGCTAGTTCACAGAAAAAGCACCACTCCCCCCCCCCTCCCCCATACATTCATCGTAAAAAAACAGTGCAGGTATATGAGAGAAGAAAGAAAACAGGAACCCATGCCAACAAGCTCAAGTTTTAGCAGTTTGCTTGGCAAGCTTCTTATCCTCGTGCATTGTCAGGCGGCCGCCGGCATGTACATTAGTGCAGCCAGTGTACACTTCTCTGGTTGCCACTCAAGGCCGCCACTCTAGTCGCCTCTCCGGCGATTCCAACAATGCTCACTAGATGGCGCGCGGCCACCCAAGGCCGTCAGTTTTCGATGCCCTGCGCGCTCTCCTCCTCGCAACTACGTCCACTTCGTTCTCATCACTTCGTAGGCACGGCAGCATATGACGAATTTCTACGATGAGTGTTACGCACAAGTACCGATATTTTCCCAAGCCCCCTCACCTGCATGCTTCAATTCCGTTGTAGAGCACCTGATAGCTCCACATCTGCCATTTATGAGTGTATAGCACCCGACTCACGGCAGCAGCCAGTATGGCATAGAGAAGCAGGTGGTTAACATGCAGATCGACGTGGCCAACACTGTGCAGTGCCGGCCGCGAAACGTGCCCGACAACGCTGCCCTCCACGTATACATCATATGTGCTGGCTCGTTAACAAGCCTTCTTACATAAATGGTCTCAAGTGCCCCGTGCACCTCCTAGCAAGCTCCTCTCACATAATTCCCTTTGTGGATATGGCTATGATATTTTTACCCCAATACCTCGCCTTTGCACTTAACTATAACCATTTTGGGTCTCAGTGAAAGGAGGGGGGAAGGGGCGATGTTGATTGAATGCCTTGTATGATGCAGATTTCCACCCCTGTCTTAGGTGACTGTAAAGAGCAGTCTGCCCTTCGGTATGTTTCCGAGGTCAGCGAGCACACAGCGCGTGTTCTTTGCATCTATGATGCGCAGGAAGTGTGTCGTGTACTCGAACAAGTTGAAGCATTTTTTTGTTAACGTGAATGACAAGCTGGCAAAGAAAAAAAAATCCAGGCGTTTTGTTAAAGGGCCACTCACGAGGTTTGACAATTTTGAGCCGACAAGTGCAATGTGTAGACGAGGCGTTCATGATCACGTCTGCCGAAATTTGGAACACTACGCGCAGCGGAAATTGGTCGAATTTCAAGATGAACACTGATCCCCCTTCCTTTTGCGGGCGCGCGCCAGAGAATGAGGGCATGACGTGCATGTGTGAATGGACCCACGTACACGACAATGCAGTGACGTTAGTCCTCTACGTAGAAAAATGTGCTCTGACGTTGCGCACAGTCGCACGTGACATGGGGAAAATTATTTAACACGACATGCGTAGTTTATATATTTGTTGCTTGAAGAGATTAATAAATATCTAGATAAATAATGCGAACGTGAGCGTTTTTTTTTTCCGTGAATTGCAACGAGATGCGGGGCCTGTGCTGGCGTTTCACATGCGTTTGTGTCCCTGCAGTCAGCGCATCGAGCAGACGACAGCCGTAGAACACTCCTATGCGTTTGCGCACTCATTGTGCTCATCTATTCTACCGCGTCTAAGCCAGTGTTTGCAAACCATCCTGCAAAAACAGGTAGTAGACCAAAAATAATGCTGGTCAACAATAATGCTGGTTCTCTTGGTTGGATGCCGGAGAAGGTAGGGAAGAGATTTGGCTTGCGAAGACTACGTACGCAGAGGAGCGGCAAGGGTTTTGAGCTCGCCTCCTCTCATCCTTGTTTCGCGCCACTTCAAAAAAAAAAAAAAAAAAAAACTTTCCTCTGCTTACCGATTCAAAAAAATGTTTGTGGCAAAATGTTCCTCATCGGAGGACACCCAACAACTTCCACTGTCCAACTAAAATTTGGTATGGGGCCTGGTGAGTGGCCCTTTAACGTGAATGACAAACTGGGAAAGAAAAAAATCCAAGCGTTGTCTACAGTGTGCCGTGCGCAGACTGGTGAAAGTTACGCTGGCGAAATAGGCAGCTTTCAGCTAAGACTCGAGCAGAACATGCAGCCAGGAAGTGGCACACCAAGCTCGTGCCCCCCCCCCCCTCCCCCGAAAAAACTTTTGCCTACGCCCCTTAGTAGGATGTACAAAACGCGGTTTCATCGAACGGAACTGCGATGCCAAGCAGCTCTTGGACTAGCCTGTGTAACGCTGTCCCTCTGTCTGCACCACTACCCTCGCCGCAGGTGTTGGAGCGGTGCCCAGTAGCTCACGCCCTCCTAGCAGTGCGCGGTGGCGCAACGCCGACTAAATTTCAAGGCCAAAAAGCTGCCGCAGTGACGTCAGAGGTTGGGGGCCCAGTTGCCCAACTGAGCATGCTCAGTAAGACTTTTTTTTCCACATCTTTTATTCGGCCCTATCTAGCCGCAGCAGCTGCGAGAGCGGGAGCTTCCGCCGCGTGTCAGCACTATCTCTTCACCCTCTCCACCGCTCGCAATGCTCCAGCCCACTCCCCATGTGGCCATTATCTCACCCGCGCCACCTCTCTCCATCTGTCGGCGAGAAGAAGCCGCGGGCCGCAGGAGCGCACGCCTCGAGAATCTCGCGGCAACCCAGACAACACTCGACGACCTGAGGTCGTCCTCATATGGTACAAACGTCCTCGGCAGTTTCAGGACGTCCTCATTTGGTCCTCTAGTCGACACTTGCAGGATTATCCCCAAAATGCCCCTTTGAGACCTTTTTAAGGACGAAGAATTGTCCTGATATCGTCTGCTCGAGGACGTTTTGAGGATATGCATGTTTCGTAGGTGCATGCAGCTTTCGCAATTCGTGTTTGGTTAATTTTCTGGCTGTTAACGAATAAGTCCACGGGATTTCGTATGCCTACTTTCGAGTCATAATAGTAAAGTACTTCTCGATCATTAAAATGAGATAGTTACACGAGGAAGCACTTCAAGCCAACACGAGAAAGACGTGTTCTTTTATTTATTATTTATTTATTTACTTTGTAAGTGATCGTAGGCCAAACTTTCTGCCTGCACGTTTTCGTTGGTCGTGATCTACCGCCGACGTGCATACGGAATTATATCGCACTGACTGTGGTCTGACCCGTTTCCCCAATGAACGCACGTGCGGCAGACCAAGTTTGGTGCGAGTATAAACGGTGTCGGCTCCAAAATGAATGCAGGCGTGAAAACTGTGAATAGCGAGCACGTTATTCTCGAGTGTCCAGTGTTGCAATGCCGCACGGTCCCATCGAGCAGACGACAACTGACCATGCTGACGACTGGGCTGGCCTAGGTTATCGTGAATAGAGCAGCATTGGAACTAGAACGCTGTGGGAAAACGAATGGGCGACTGAAGTTGTGGTGGTGCTAACAAAAAAAAAGCAGTACCTTAATGCGGTCACCATGCGCAGTCAAGGTGCTTTTAAATCTGGATGTCTACGACACTGTTTACCCATTTTAAAGTGACGCAACTATCATCATCATCATTATGGGCCTGCAGTAAGTCAAGTCGAGTCATTGGTCGAGTCAACATTCCAATACAACACTTCTCGCCATAGAGGAAGCTTCTCGCAGAAGCCCTCAAAGAATCGTAAGCATGCCAGGTGAGTGTCTTCTGTTAAATTTTCATATTGAAGTTGTAAGCCGCAAAGGTAAATAAATAAAAAAAGAGAGGACAGTTGATTTTCAGCCTCGCGCTGTATATCTTTACTGCTTATTCATGTATGTATGTACAAACCAACTGACTAGCCTAACAACGTGTTCTGGTGGTGGGTGTTCTTTGGTCTAGCCACCATTCTACTGTGCTCTGTGCTGTTCAAGATGGCTGAGAGCGCGGATCGCAAATTTCGGCGTGAAATTAATCGGCGCGTCAATGCTAGTTTTCAGCTTATTGACAGTGAGGCCGATGTCATAAATGACACGCGGTACGTTGACCGAGATTCCCGCAACGCCGAAAGAGAGAGCGACTTGCCCTCCGAGGCTTGTGCGGTCGACCTCGAAGACGGCCATCGTCGCCTTTGTGTTCATGACAGAGAACGGCCTTCGGCACACTCCTCGATCGTTCCAGAAACGGATGTGCCCCAAGGACACGTTTTGATTTCTGGCGACGCGTGCTACCCCAGCGGCTGCAGTGTTTCTGTGCCTCACGATCACACAGACTTCGAACGGCGTGCCTTCCATGACAGCAGCGCTGCGGCTTCGACTTCGGCGACCTCGCAGGTGAGGCAGAGGGATTCTTTCGAATTGGCACCGACTGGGAGTAACGAAGAGCAAGTTTGTGAACGCGGCAGTGTGGACAGCTTGCTGGCCTTTCGTGAGAGACTGCAAGCGTGGGCCTTACAATCTCGCGCATCGCACACTTCAGTTACATCGCTCTTGAGAGTACTACAGTCCCACGAATGCTTCAGCGCGCTCCCTTCAACTGCAAGGGCATTGTTACAGACGCCCAAGAAGTGCCTGGAAGTGTTGCAGCTGGCCGGCGGGAAATACCATCATTTCGGCCTCAGTGCAGGCCTACAGCGAGTGCTGCAAGATTGTGCAGAACTACCAAGAATTTTGAAGCTTAGCTTCAACATTGACGGTCTGCCGGTTTCAAAAAGTTCACGGGGCCAATTTTGGTGCATACTGGGACGCATAAGTAATTTGGAGGACAAAGCACCATTTATAGTGGGTGTTTTTTTCGGAAGCAGCAAGCCCAACAACGCGAATGATTTTTTGCGACCATTTGTTTGTGACATAAATGCTGCTATCACAACAGGGATTACCATTGGAGAAACTGCAATTCCTGTTAGCTTGTATGCCCTCATATGTGATGCACCAGCAAAGGCATTTGTATTATATGTCAGAAGCCACACAGGCTATTACAGCTGCACCAAATGTGACGTAAAAGGTGTCTACTGTGAGGGCAGGGTGTGCTTCCCAAACGTCAATGCTCGCAAGCGAACAGATGACAGCTTTCGCTTAAAAGTCCAGGAGGAGCATCACACAGGCGAAAGTATTCTTGAGGAACTTCCTTTTGACCTAGTGAAAGATATACCATTAGATTACATGCACCTTGTGTGCTTGGGTGTCATGAACAAGCTCTTGACACTGTGGGTACGTGGCCCAAAAGTGACCAGACTTGGAAGCAAAGTGCGTCTTGAGATGTCGGAAAAAAATTCTCAAATTGCACGGTGTGTTCCATGTGATTTTAGCCGAAAGCCGAGGAGCATTGCTGAACTTGATCGGTGGAAAGCGACTGAGTTTCGCTTTTTTCTTTTATATGGAGGACCCGTTGTTTTGTCATCACTGATTCCTGCACACATGTACAAGAACTTCTTAGCTTTACATGTGGGGATCTCTGTTCTTTCCACACCAGCTGCACCTGCAAGTGAGATAGAGTATGCCGGAAACATGCTCAAGTTTTTTATCCGGACATTCATAAGCATTTATGGCAAAGAGCATGTTTCACACAATGTGCATGGCCTGTGTCATTTGGCAGATGATGTTACACACCTTGGCCCCTTGGACTCATGGAGTGCCTTCCCATTTGAAAACCATATGTCCTCGTTAAAGAGAATGCTGAGAAAGCCAGACCTTCCCTTGGAGCAACTTTGCAACAGGCTTGCTGAGCAGGCACACCGTCCTCTGAGGCATAAGAAAACTGAAAGCCATGTCGTATTTGCTGCAGAGCATGCTGACGGGCCACTTGTTGCTCCATGCCGAGGCCCCGAGTTTAAAAAAGTAACATTGCCTGGCAATGTCATTCTTAGAGCTGAAAAGAGAAATGGGTGCTGTAGGCTAAGTGATGGGTCAATCGTCGTTATTGACAATTTTGCTCATCTCCCGTGCGGTGAGCCATGCATAATTGGAAGGAAGTTCCTCAAGTGTGAAGATTTTTATTCTCTGCCATGCCCTTCCTCCATACTGGGAATTTACTCAGTGTCTCAGCCTTCTAGTCTGCGGTATTGGCCTCTGAAGAACATCTCACAGAAATGCCTGAAAGTGTATTTGAAAAGGAAAAGCATTGTTTTCCCTCTTTTGCATGCTACAGTGCACATGTAATAAACTTTCACAACTGTGTCAGAATGTATACAGAATTTGAATTTGGCTTCTCTTTCTTTTGCAAGGTCAATACGTTGTCGTTCTCTTCCCAGAAGAGGATGATACATCTGGGATCATCCTCAAAAGTTGGCTGAAAGGCGACGGCTGCCTGTGGCCTCGACAAACTAAATATGTACATAGTTTGTTGAAGGCGAAAGCGACTCCAGGGGCTGACTGGATAGAAGTGCCTTGCACTGTTGTCCGAGAATTTGGTAAATTATTCCTTATTTATGCTGTTTTACTGCACGTTTTTCAGCGATTTGGTCAGCAATGAAGTAAAAGGTATGTAATAAACTGCAATTTCAGCATTGTAACTCTAATTGCCACTTTAGATCAAAGTAACTTCTTAAAAGTTTAGATGGGTTCGAGAATATCAGGAAAAGATATCAGAAGATGGCTTCGAAGAATATCAGAAGATAGCTTCGAGAATATCAGGAAAAAAAGAACAATTATGCGAAATCAAGTATCTCATATTTTGTGAATACTTGCATGTCAGCTGTCATTGCAGCAAAATTTAAATGATCCATTTTAATATCATGGGTGACTCTTAGTACCTGCTTGGTAATGACTTATGCAAAGGAATTGGAGTTCTACTTGTTATGTGTGACAGATCTGAGAAATGATCATGCTTATCATTTAATTAGTAGTTGTTGCCCTTCTTTCTGCAGATACATATGCCGAAGCACGGGCAAATCTGCCAAGGGTAGAAAATGGATCCAACTTGGACGGCGAGGCAGAACTTGGGAAAGGCAGAAGAAAAAAAAATAAGAGATCCTATGAGTCTGAAGATGATGAAGGGGCACCATCACCTCCAGCTTCAATGATAAGACGTATAACACCATTTTTGAACTTTACGTAAAGTGAACTGCTTGTACTTATGTTTTTTAATAGTATTGAATCTTTTTACATCCTGCAATGCCTATTTTACAATGATAGCCCCACGGAATTGCTCACACTGTTTTCTGTTATCTACCGCCAAAAGTAACACTGGGTTATCTGGCTTTAGGGCTGTGAAATGCTGATTCTGGCTTGCTTTCTTAGGGAGAAAACACAAGCGACCAAGAAATTTAGAGAATCGGCCACTGCCCACCCAGCCACGGTCATTGGAACATGAAGGTGATATGCTTCTGGGATAAAATCCTGTTTTTTTTTCTTGCTATTTTATTTATCTCTCCTCTTTACAACCCCTTTTTCTACACCCCTATGCAGGGTGGCAAACTGGTTAATAACTCCATGTTAACCTCTATTTACTTTTCATTTTCCTTTCCAAAATGTCATGTCAAATAGCATATGACATGCTTCTGACCTGCGATAACTGAGAATGTCAGCACGCATTTAAGTACTCGCTTCCAACCAAGAGTTTTTGCCAAAGGGGATATTGTACGTAAACCATGCACATCAGTTTTAGAGCAGCTCTTGAACACCCGTTCTTGCATTGAGTGGGGTCGCCATGGCCATCAGTGGCCTGATGGACATGAAAAAGTAACTGATAGACACAAAAAATTAAAACTGAGAAGAGAAATACCCAGGGTCGTATCGAATTTGGACACTTGCCCTTTGCTTGGTGTTGAGTATTCCACGACAGAGTGACGCTAGCGCTTGAAATTCATTTTTTATATCATTCTCACTGCACAGATTTGTAACTTTGATTATGTTGTAGACGGAGCTGATTTCATGCAAGGTTTGCAGGTTTTCAGGAGCCATGAAGAAACAATGGAAAATTTGTCTAATCTTCACATGACTATTCTACTGTCCCATTACCCGCTGATTTTTTCTTGCCTCTGTTTTCTAACAGGGTATGCAGACAAGGCAGGGCGGCAACCACTGCAGCAGCATCGCACCACAGGCCAGGAAGGGGCTTTATGTAAGACTATGTTTGATGAACAGCTCAAAGTGCATGTGTAGAATTACATTTCAAAGCTTCACTTATGTTTCTGCAGTGACTAGATCCAATATCAGTGAAGTGCCTGCGTTCGACTCCAGTTCACCAGCAGGCATTAGGCCATCACAAAGAGCCCCTTCACCGAGAATGGCATCACCTGAGGGTCAAAATGTTTACAGAGGTTCATACAGCAACAACTGCAGACCTCTGGGTAAGTGATACAAAAGCTGCCTTCCATGGGTGTCACTTTACGTGTGAAGTCTACCTTCATATTTATTGTGTGTTATGTATGCAAGTTGTTATTTTACTTTAGGCACCAAGTTTTCCATATGCTAAGCAATATGTTTAGTCTAAAGCTATGGTAGAGCTAAATGGCATGGATGCTTCTTTTCAGTTTTGGAGCAACTTACTAACTGTAGTTGGTGTGTCAAGTGTAAATGTAGTTCCAGCCTTCTAAACTCTGGAACAACTAAAGCTTTGCATCACTTTGCAACTAAAGCTTTGCAGCAAGTGTTGATGGAAAGATGGTGGGAGCTTCGCGTAACTGGCCAAAATAACTGTCCCATCACTCTGATTCTTGTCCCTTTTCTTTTTTATGCAGACAATCTTGAAGGGCCACCATTTCAGCAGCATTACAGCAGTCAGCAAGGGGCTTCATGTAAGACGGTATTTTTGATAAAATGCTCAGGGGCTGTTTTTAGAATTGTGCAGCTTAAAAGGCTCATCTATGCTTCTGCAGGGACTGCACCCAATAATTGCCACGAGCCTGGCTTAGGCTTTCCCTCAACATCATCTATGCCTGCTCAGAGAGCAGGATATAATGAGGGGCAAAATGTCATCAGGAATTCTCCTACCAGTAGACACACACCTTCCAATTCCCCTAGCACTAGAAGCATACCTTTTGGTAAGTAACATTAGAGCTTCCTTAGATCGGCACCTATTGTGATGCAGACTACCTTTATATTCATTGTTTGGGGAATACAAAGTGTTTTTGCCTGTACGTTATAAAGGTTTGCAAGTGCTAAGCAACACGTTTCGTCTGATAGCTGCACCAGTGGTAAACAACATAGGGTGCTTATTTGCAATTTCGGAACAATGTACCAAATGTAGTTGCTTTATCAAGTGTAAATGCCTGTTGTCTCAGAAAAATTGAAGCTAAGGTGCCAGTAATTAAAGCTTTAATACATAAACAACTGTTATCACCTTTTTGGTGTACAGAACATGCCTCTTGATCGCAGTGGAAATGAGAAAACTGCGTGTCACTTCGATGGCAATGAGCACGCTTTTACCCCATAATCAAAAAAAAAATATTTTTTTTTCAGTAGACAGAAATGACAGTGGCATCACTTTGTAGCAAAAACAATGGCAACTGTCACTTGTAGGAACTGTCACTTACAGAGCATGCAGACAACCTTGAAAGGCAAGTGTTGCAGCAACATAACAGTAGTCAGCAAGGCCCTTCATGTAAGAATACTTTCGATGAAATGTTCAGAGCTAGTTTTTAGAAGTGCATCTTAAAACCTTCATCTATGCTTCTGTAGGGACTGCACACAATAATACCCATGGGTCTTCATTAGGCTTCCCCTCTAGCAATAGAAGCTCACCTCCTGGTAAGTAACATTAAAGCTTTCTTACCCGGGTGCCACTTCAGAGGTGAAGACAATCTTTGTATTTATTGTCTAGGGAATACAGTTTTTTTTCTCTTTAGATTAAAATCTTTGCAAGTGCTAAGCAAAACGTTTTGTCTTATAGCTGTGCCAGTCGTAAGCAGCATAATTGCTTATTTGCAATTTCGGAACAATGTACTAACTGTAGTTGCTTTATCAAGTGTAAATACCTGATGTCTCAGAAAAATTGAAGCGAAGGTGCCACAATTAATACTTTTAATTCATAAACAACTGTTGTCGCCTATTTAGTGTAGAGAACATGCCTCTTGATCACAGTGGAAATGAGGACTGTGTGTCACTTTGATGGCGATGAGCACGCTTTTACCCCATAAATGAAGAGTTATATTTTAAACATTTTTTTTTTGCTTTCGTTGGGAAAGTGATAGTGGCATCACTTTGCTGCAAAAACTATGGCAACTGTTATATGTATGGTCTGGTCACACATTGTTTCAGTGCTTAAAACATTAAAGTATCTGTTTCTGCTTATTCTATTTTTCACAAATTCACTTAATAACCTAACTTTCAACAATTTTTCTGAACTTATTCCAAGTTTTTGTTGAAAACTAGGTTGTAAATATATGGGTACACTGAATCACAGCACGCAATGAAGGTGCTTCATCTCAGTGTCAACTCTGCATGCGTATTCAGGTCCTAAAAAGGCATCACTGAGCATGCTAACAAAATAACTGAAGCCATGTAGGCACAAATTTCTAAAACCGACAATAATGTGCAGAGAAGCCATAAACAACTGTGTGCTTGTTTTGCTGTGTTTAGTAGCACTTCTCATTTTCAATGTTATCTCAGCTTTTGCCATTTTATATGTTGCAATTCAGCGCTATTACTTCATGAACACGTCTTTACAGAACACGTCTTTACAGAATGCGAATGCGAATTTCGCAAACTATCCTGATGAGGCTAGAGCAGCTGGGACGACAGGTTGATGCCATGCAGCAGCACCTTTTCAACACAACAGTGAGGCTTCAAGATGAGACAAATGATGATGTGGTTTTGACACCGGTCAAGGATATTGACCAATTTCTAAGTCTTGAGGGGAGACTTGCTGCTGATGGCAACATTAAGCTAAAGCTTGTACGTCATTCATTATATTTTTCTATAATTTTTTTTTCTAGTCACTGCATTAAGCTACTCTTCTAAAAAAAATAATGACCTCAAAACTTTACAGATACAGCAGCTTGCTGGCCTTGGTGGCTCAACTTTTGGGGCAGCAGCCAGGAGGATGCTGGAGCTTCTGCTAAGCCTTGAGGTTGCTGTGCAGTTCAGCTGGGCAGGCCAAAAAGGCAAAAGGAAGTTTGTGGATCTAGGTGTCACAGATGTCATTTGCAGTGAGTAATTTGTTTCACAACACCATGTGCTGCAAGAGCCGTGTTTGAGTACAGACATTTCTAAGTCTGTTATCCACATTATCTTTCATTTGAAGTCAATAGCAAAAGAACAATCTTTTCATGAAAGCATTAAATTTTTTAGGATGCTTGCTAATTAAAATTATGTGCTTAAACGTGGAAAATTTTTAGCATGAAATATCTGTTGTCAGTAAGAAACCCTGCAGCTTCTTCAAGCACACTAGTATACTTGCATGGCACACATACGCAAGCATTCACTACTTGCAGAAGTTATTATCAGGTAGCACTACTAGGCATTCTTAACTGTAGTGGAAATCTTATGTACAGATGAAAACTAACAGATGGAAGCTCATAGTGATCACTGAGGATCTCTAAACAGGAATAAGTACCTAAGACAAGCTGGTCAACATTTTCATACATGGACGTATTTTCGTCAAAGGCGCCTCATCATTCTTTGCATGCTAGGTTTCAAAAAAGTTACAATGATGTCTTCTTCGTGGTGTTCTTCTTGTAATGCAACACATAGTGTCAATGTCAGTACTCTTGAAATTAACATGGGGAAGGATGGCAAGGACCTTTAATGATGATGTGCCCACCTATCAAAATGTCGATCATGCTGACTAGAGGTACTTCTTCAAACAACCTATGTAGCATTATATTAATGTATTATGTTTGTGTAATTCCTGTTTTATGAACTTTGTACTTTTTCAGAGGCCGTGAGGCGAAATTTTCCGGAAACAAAAAAAAATGACATCGAGTGTGTGATTAAAGTGTGGCTTCGGCATGCTGGGGAAAAGCTCCAGAAGCAGCGCTTAAGAACTTCTCGCACTCACCATGAGGGTGAGTTTTATTATCTGTGCTGTTGAAGCTATCATAACATATGATACTTTTGCTGTTATAGTTTAAATAATTTTCTTGCCTTACTCGAATTTTGATGTGTATGCAAGCATGAACTATATAAATCATTTTCACCATTATATAATGGCTAGTTCGTACCTGCACATTATGGTAATATAATTTTCATTTTATGCTTTCAAATCTGGCATGCTGTTATTGTCTTAATATTCTTATTGATACTCTAAATTCACTTGTGCTTCAAGATATGCTGCTTTCTATTACTACAGAATGTCTTCAAAGTGTCGCGTTGTCAAGCCCATCGGATGAAGACCTCTGAAGGCACAGGGCAAGAAGTCTCATCTAGTGAAAACTGCCAAGTTTCATTCCTGAAAATAAACATGTTTTCTGTGCATTGCTGTTTTTATTGCTATACTTGAAGAAATTGTTACTGAAACCTCACAGGCAGTGCTTTAAAGAGTGTGCATGTTCAGGCACTTTTGATTGATCAGTTGTCATTTCAGCGCTCCAAAAGAAGAATTAGAGCAACTTTTCGTAAGGTCTGATGAGTGCCTAGGTCTTGTATGCTTCGTCCTCAAAAAGTACTAGACTCATCATAATGTGCTCTTTTCTGGATGCCCTGAGGACGATCTGAGGCCGGACAAACGGACTGGTTTAGGACCACTTGAGGTTCATTTGAGGGCTTCCTCAGGTCATACTTTCGTACGGTGTAGGTCATCCTCAGGACAACCTCAGGTTGTCGGAGCGTTGTCTGGGAATGCTCGCGGCACCGACAATGTGGACAGCGCGTCGACACTGCTTGCCGCACGATCACGCCGATGAGCGGGTCGCCGTCGCGGCATGCTTCCCACTAGTGTGCGCGTACCTTTCCCGGGTGTTGCCGGCGTTGCGAGGGTTAGCGAACCCGATCGCGTTCGCGAATGGCGACGTCAACACCGACGAGGCGCGAGAGAGGGAAGCCGAACGCAAGCATAGGCAGTGGAAGACCAGCAACACTGACGAGGTGCGAGTCAAGAACATCTATCGCGTTTGCGAATACAGACGGCGCGCGGGTAACACCGACGAGACGCGAGCCAAGGAAGCCGAGAAGCGTCTTCAACGCGTACCGCCTCCCGTGTCCTTGCGTTTCAAACAAACGTTTACTCGAGTAAACGCTACACCGAGTTTCGCTTCAAACCGTGCTTCCAGCACACGCGTCGACGCTCGTTTCAACTGGGTCAACGCCGTGCGCGCCGCTGCTGCTTCGCATTCCATGAAGGTGCCCTTGGGGGTAGATAGTGCATAGCTTTTTTTTTTCTTTTCGCCTTCTCTACCCTCCCTACAAGCACTATCGCATTCTCGCAATTTATTTCTTTATAAAAGCACGCGCTGGCATTGAACCAGTAATGATCGATTTCGCGCTTTTCGACTGCACGCTGCTATCTCAGCTTACGCAATCGCAAACGCACAAAACGAAGCGAAATTCGTTTATCGCGCACGATAGTCGTGCGAAACAATGCAGAACGGGCAAGCGACAGCATGGCAAAGAAGGGTACGTACGACCAATCAGGAGCTTATTTCCTTCTGACGTCTCGTGAACAAACTGATGGCGTCACGAATTGTGCCGCAAAGACTGGGAACGCCGGGAGAGAATAACGTGCTTTTTAAGAGGTTGTTTAGGGGTCACGAAGACAGCTCGTAAAAGATATGTAACCTGGTTGCTTGCGCCTTGATTTTTTTCCACCACGAACGAGGCTAGCTCCTGTGCTGGCGGCGAAATGCCTCGCTTTAGTGTGAACAGTCGTTGTCCCAATGCGGCGGGTCTTCTTGCGAACGAGTTTCAAGCACCAGGTTGGCTTTGCGGTGTAACAACACTCCACTGTCCAACAGAGGGAATGGGCTCAAGTCGCGCTCGAGACTGAGGTGGCGGCGGACAACTATGCCGCTAAAATCGGCCATTGTGACCTCATAACAGCTTTCACTGTGAAGAACTTTCTCGCCACTTTACTGACAAGCTACTACGAAACTGTCATAGACCGACCAATGCAGCAGCTGCATAAAATGGCTGTTATCGCCACCGCACTTCCTGCAGCGGCCTTGAGTGGCACCCTACTGACAAAAGCCCATTCAGGCTTTCGCTTTTTTTTTTCGCTTTGAACATTCCGCTCATGGCTGGCCCTCACCCCACGACTTCATCAACAGACCGACCTCGAGAAAGTGCTCTTGTCAGTGCCAAGTGTTAGTCCCAAATAGACACCGCACGGAGCCGTCGACCGGTGGCAAAGGAATCGGGTGTACGCTTGTCTGGGACCGCACACCCTGCTCCTCGTCCGAACTAAGCTCAAGGTTCAGAAATATCCATTCTTGCCACCTCAAAGGGACACCAAAGTGTAAATCACTTTATAGCGGACAATACATTATCTCAGGCAGCTAACGTATGAAACAATCTTTTTCTAGGGGGCGGATGGGCTCCACCTTGATCTGAAGTCGACGGATGCGGTCGAGTGTCAAGTCGTGCTCTGTATGCTTAAAAAAACACACACACACACACACTTGGACCGTATCTGCATGTTTCACTGCAAATGTCTCGCCTGGAGAGAGTGAATAAAACAATTTTTTAGTTTGCGCGAGATAATCAGTGAATGGGATTCTTGAGGCGCTGCGTACACATGAGCGCCATACGGCGGTAATCTCAGAAAACGAAAGGATGGCCTCCGTTATAGCGACTTAATAGTGTACGCTGCGTGCGCACACAATTGTGGAAGCCGCATTTTGAAATTTTATCTTCAAAAATAGTTGGCAGGCACCGTATCTTAGCAAAGCTTAGGAAACGCCTTTTCATGCATATATTGTGAGCGCAGAGTAAAAAAACGCTACAGTTCTTAGAATTATTTATGTATACCTTTTCTAGTGAAACACCACAAACCATTGATGTTTTGATATAGTGCCTCAGACAAGCGCAATATTTGCTTTTTAATGTGGTGGTACTTGAGCCGTTTCACGTGACAAACAGACGAACAGAAAGAGAGCCAGACAAATTTTTGCATTCAAGTATCCAATGTCTTTAAAAAATCGGGGGGGATACATGGCGCACGGGTCCGTTGTGCTACCCCCTGGCTACGCCACTGATCTGAGAACACTATCGTCGTTGATTGCGTTACTATAATGATTTCGTTATATACGAAGATAACTGGGAGTTCTGAATTTTAATTTCTGGAATTTCGCGCCAAAACTGCTGCACCTCTTGTCAGTGTCACTCCTGCGGAATCGTCGGTTAGTTCTAAGCACGTGCGGATATTAGCCTCGCACGCGACTTCCTTTTTTTTTTTTTTTTCGCGGCACATTGCTCAATCGGCGAGGTGTTCTCTGGCTCAAGCATACGTAGCAGTCCCCATAGTCGCTGTTGTCAAGCCGGTATGGCGATCAATAAATAAAATCAAACTGTCAGTGCAAGGAACAATAACCAAGGTGGAACAATTATTCGCTTCATCAAACAGACCACAACAGAATCGAACAGTCAGGCGAGAGGGGTCGGAAAAAGTTCAGCAACACCGCGTGCAAGCTATAGTGCTGTAAGTGGGCACGAGGCCAGATACTAAAGAAAGACCACACCAAGGCGGAGACGCGCCTGTCACGACACCACTATGGAGTGGTCCGATGTTAGAGCGACAAACACACATCCCAGCTACGGCCAGATAAAAAGCTGGCCGCCAAAAAGAATACCCTCGGAGGCAGGCAGGAAGTTGGCTTCGTGACAAATGTTGAGGCCGATAAACAAAAAAAAAAAAAAAGCTAGTAAGCTACGACAGTGGCGTATATGGTAGAAGCCTTCGGAGCAGCTGGAGTTCTTTTTCGTCGTTGTTGTTGGCATGGACGCATCCAGCGATGGAAGTGAACAACGGGGGCAAACAACACGAAACGAGGGCTTGATGTACAAGGCCAATCTTTCGGAAATTAAAAACGAATAAGCACACTTTTGATACACTTACGGGAACTCTTCAATATAATGGAAACTAAACCATTTGAAAGCTTTCCCACTCGCCAATGATATCACAAATTTGTATAACAAGTGTATGAATTGAAGAAAAACAACAACAGAAGCTTATATGCAAGTTAATTGTCAGTTATGCCGACAAACCGATGAGCATTACGATACTGCACGGGGTATTTCAATTACGTATAATGTATCATACCCAACTGAGTGTAATGTATTGGATACTGCACGGGGCATTTAAATTACGTATAATGTATCATACCCAACTGAGTGTAATGTATTGGATGGGTGAATGTAATTAATAGATTATATTGCTGACGGTTAAAAATGAACAGCTGCTGCCACCAAATTGAGATTATGTACACTTCAGGAAGGATGTTAGCACCTATTTGTACATTTGGGAACTGAAAGTTCAAACGTAAATAACTATGCTGTTATCGTCACAGAACGCCTTAACCACGGAAACAAACCAAAGTGCATTACGCTGAGCGTGTGTGTGTATGCGTGTGCTTTATCTGCCGCGCCGTTCTAATAACTTACTCTCAGCGAACGCACTTTGGCGTTACGCCGTCTTCCGTGCGCAGCAAGCAAGCACGGAGGGAAAAGCGACTTTACGCAACCCGTAGCGCAATCTGTCGGCCTTGGCCACGGTGTAAGAATAGGTTACCTTGGTCGACGATATAGAAAGTAGCATTGATTCGAATCAGGGTGATGCCAGCGAAGAAAAACTATGTTTACGTGTCACGCAATCATCTTCGGCACGACGTAGTGCGATTTGCAGAACACGTCCGTAATCCGGCCGATAAAAGTTTCGTACACCGCACTAGGGGAGACTTTTCGTGTTCGAAAACGGCGTTTACAAATCACGTCTCCTCACGGAAACGTCGAGATCTTTCGAGTTACCCTCCGGAGCAACGCGCGCGCCAGAATTAGTCTAGGTCATGCAGAGGTCAAAAGCGACACGCCGCTAATCCATGCGCATTCAAGTCGTCTCGATGCCTAGCTACTATATACCGCGTCCACCACAGTTTCACGACATTACAAGGCGCGCTTAGCAGCAGCAACGAACATCGTCTGTCAAAATCAAAACAGCGCCCACTGATAACGAGATGTTGGCTTCATTAAACCGGCGTGGAAAGGGAAAAGTAGGGCACACGCGAAATACACCAACGTCAGAGCCCACGTAATCTTATCGACACGCCTCGTCTTGGCGCGTTAAATACGAAATTTCTCCTGTACGCACAGGCGGGGGCGTCACCCGCAGCAGCATGGGTGAAAACTCAAAAGCCGCGCTGCGTTTCTCTTTGCATTCTCTTAACACGTTCGCACGTACGAAGCTCACAACATCGACCGGGCGGCATTTAAACACGGCTACCGCTGCAGAGTGCTGAAAGACGCCATTGAATTGCACAGCTTTGCTAGGCTACCGAGCGCATTGCGGAGCAGCAATGATTTCCTCCGGAACGGAAAAACACAGCGTGCATCCTGCGTCGGGAGCGGCTTGTTTTGCTTCGATTCGGCGACCGACACGAAACACCCTTATTACGTTCCCTCCAAGCGTTTCTTTTTTTTTTTTTTTTTCTCTGTCTAATGCAGCTCAGAAAACAACGCTAACAGAAAAAACGTGGAGCACGAGAGAGCGGGCTGGTACGCCAATCAAATGCAGACGACGCATTAATCATTGCGTGCAGCGAACCTAGTTTTCTTGCGCACTGCGGCGCGCTAGCTTTTGAGTGCCCAGCTGGTCGGGTAAAGTAGATGTATTTACGCGCGCGGCCTATCCGGTTTGTGCCGTAGCGAGCAAGCCGACGTATCGACCACTTTAGCGAAAATATTCATGGCATAGGAACGGGAGCCGCTCGTACGTGCACCGCGCCGTACAGAGAAAACAAAACGACCCGAATACCGGACACAGAAACCCGCTCCAAGCTCGTGGCCACTCCTTTTCTTCCGAGCACCGCAGCGCGCTGACAACTTGAGGCATTAATTGCGTGCAGTTCAGTTTATACCGACTCAGTCTTGCAAAACACGCTACAGTGCAAGGTAGAAAAGAAATATATGGTTGCTACCAATAGGGGTTATGAAAAGAAGCGACGGAATGCGGAAAACGAGAGAACTTGACTGGAAGAGGCGGTGTTTACGTACCTTCGGGTCCTTTTCGTAGTAGTGTTGCTGAGTACGGATCCATCGACCGACCAGATGGTCTTTGACGGTGTAGGCCAAAGCAAAGAAGTAGTCCCTCGGCGTAGCCACATTACGATCCTTGACCAAGGTGTAGTGGACGTGCCGGTTGAACGCCTTCTTCAGGTTGACAACGTTTTCGACCTGAGCGATGCCTCGGACACTGATCTGCTTTCGCCGATCATGGTCACTCATAGGGCACGACATTGGGTTTGTCGCTAGCTTCGCCTCGCTGAACACTTCAATAGAGTTCTCTTTTTTTGACTGGACGGGACAGCGCTGCGGTGTTTTTCGCGACGGCGCTGATCAGCTGATCGCAGTGCTACGAGCGCGAACGAAAAGCGGCAGCTTTTCGCGACCCTTCCCTACGCCCGAAGGTCGCGCAGTCGCAGACTGACGAGAGCGACGACAGGACCCGCCGCTGTTTTTCCGACGCGCCGCGCGGGTTTTCTGTGGCGCTCCGGCTTGTGTGTTTTCGCGTTGGCTGGCTCCTCCCATTTGTTTCGGTTTTCATAAAATTACAGCTCGACTCGGCTGTGATGTTTTACAATAGGGTAGTGTCCAGTCATCGAAGCAAGCCGTACAACACCTACAATTATCATAGGAAACTCCTTACAGTTTGAAATTTTATGGGGGGTCACTTTTGTGATGACGGCTTCATAAGGCGCTACTATCGAACGGTGTGCCCAACGCGCGAAACTCAAATTTGCAATGCCACACTCTCTGCAGTTCTTCAGTAAAGTGGTCATATCACAAAATTGAAACAGCACACATTTGCAACATTTAAACACTTCAACGCATTTCGATGCATTATTTTAATAAATAAAGCTGCTTCTACCTTGTATGAGCTTGCCCAATTCCTATATATCACGAACATAAATGAATGCGTGATTCTTGAAGGAAAGAGAGAGAGAGAAAAAAAAGAAGGAAATTTCTGTCTGCCTATGCTGGCGACACAGCTGACCTCCTTGTAGCGGAGGGGAGAAGGTTTCTCTCTGAAGCATCTTCGTGAGGCATCTCCGTGAAGCTTCGAGCGTCACGTAATTAAATACACTAAAAAGCCAGGACACACTTACTAACGTTGACACGCATGGCGTGAAACGCGCTTCGCCTACATGACAAAAATTAAGACAACCACAACGCACGCAGGCGAAAAGTGGTCGCCTTTTATACCTCAGCCAGCAGTATATAGCTGAGCAAATTAGCGCTATCTGCAAGGCTCAATAGCATAGAACGATCAAATGTACAAAACAGCTTCCTGTAGATACTGTTCTGGACATTGTAAAAGTTCGCCATTGGTCAGCTCTGAGCAGTGGCGTAGTCAGGGGGTGGCACGTACACCGGGTCTGTACCCCCCCCCCCCTTTTTTTTTTCCCTGAAAAAAAAAATGTATGCCTATGCCCTTGACTCTGAGGGCTGCTCCGGTCTACCATGCATTAGCTATAGTCCACCGTGGTGGTGTATAGGTTACACTGCTTTGCTGTTGAGCCGAAAGTTCGATCCGTGCCGTAAAGTTCACATTTGGATGGAGGCGAAATTCTGTAAACCGTTGTGCTGTGTGATGTCAATGCACGTTAAATCCCACCAGATCGTCAAAATTTTCGAAGCCATCCAAGTTCTACGGCGTGCTCATAATCACATCGCGGTTTTGGGACGTGAAACGCCAGATATAATAAATATTATTATTACTAAACCTCAGGAAATTATGATTTCAGTATTGCTTCTTTAATAAAGCGCACTCCAGGCCGCCTGTCACTAGCTTCTTCTACGCATTGACATTCGATAACCGAGTCAATGACCAACCAACGTGTCAAGAAAAGTGCCACGTTCCTATACAGCTGGCTGTAATAGGGAAGTGGGCGGACGTGCGAAATACTATCTGTGGATTTAGGTGACAAAAACGAGGCTCGCCGTAGCTTCGGAAATTTCAATTATCTGGTATTCTTTACCATGCATTGTCATCGTACATCTCGTCACGTGGGGTCGATAGAACGCCGTAGCTGGGATTGAATCCGCGGACGGTCGTAAGAAATTTATCGGCGAATAAATGCAGGACACGTACTATCGGCATCAAATGAAACGCGAACAGCGGAGCGCGCGGCACAAGCCTTATCAATGGCACAGTGCGCGCCGTCCACCAGTCACTGACACAGTCAGGCCCACACATCCGGTGTGGCAGCACAGCGCGATCCCTATCATCATCATCATCATCATCATCATCATCATCATCATCATAATCAGCCTGGCTACGTCCATTGCAGGACAAAGGCCTCTCCCATGTTCCGCCAGATCCCTCTATAGTGCAATATTTCTGCTTGTGTTCCAGGTATGGTATTTGAAAGGAACAAAATTTAAAAAAAAAAACAGAGGTTAAACTACTGCAGCCGAAGGCGAGTATTGTAGCACGGTTTGTCATCACGGAGTCATTCATCACGGAATGCCTGGCAAATTCTCTTTAGAGTAGACAAAGGTCAGTTCATAATGCTGGAAATTGCACGCTGTTTTACTTCGCGCCGGTAAAGCGAAACAATTTTGCGCGCTCTCTTCCGAAGAAACACTCGTCATTTCCAGTTAAAATGAAGCCTTTTCGGGCCGTTTTCTGAAAGAAGGGTGTAGGTGAAGCAGCGCTGGCGAACTAGATACGACAGTCATTTGAAAATAAACCGCAAACCGATCATATTTCTCTTTGTTTTATCGTGCCAAGACACCGATTGCACAGCGACGCTGAAGTAAAAGCGAGGAATTGCGAGTGATACAACCAAATACGCCCACGATGGCCACCATTATCACCATACAAAAACTGGGGCAAAAACGGAGATAGCGCACTCTGTAGGGGGATCGCGCAGTGCTGCCAAACCGGATGTGCACGCCTGTAAATGGTGATGACTGGACGGCCAACACTATACTGTTTCTAATGCTTGAAACACGCGCTCCGCTGTTCGGGTTTCATTTGACGCCAATAGTACATCTGCGGCGTCCAACCACGTCGGTCTGCAGACACGGTTAAGCGGGCGCTCTCTGAACTGAGGTTCAAGCACCGTCGCTCGTTCCCGTCAAAGCAAGCCGCGCTGAAATGGCGAAGTAGTGACATAGGAGACGGTTCCGCTGCCCCCTTCTTGGAATTCCGGTGACTAAAAACGACATCGCTATAGTCTCCTGAAAATGGCCTCTCGAACGAAACTCGCCAGCCTTGTGTTTGCTTGCTTGCTTGGACCCTTGAATTCTGGCTCTTACCGACTATACGGGGAATGGGGTAACTAGAATTCTAGCCACCTTAACAGCGCATCTGTCACGAGACTGGCGGTAAATATAAAGGGGGAAATTCATAATTTAGAAATTTAGAACTAATCGGCTGTCTGGAAAATTCAAGAATTATTACTTTATTTTCACGATTAGTTTATGATTAGTTTAATAAAAAAAACACCCGTCCTACGCGGAACGCGCAGCAATCACATCTATCTGGAAGAGTGGCCTAGAGGCTTTTGTAAACACTGCTGCGGGTAACTACTACAGGTACACTTGCATGCACTCACTACGCCATTATTCGTTCTTCGGAGAAGCGTGGTACCCGCTGCGCACCTGTAAAGCCCATAGACTACATATATAAATGTTCTATTTTTGAGATAGCTGTTTCATTTACGAACGTTGCATGGCGATGCTAAGCTGATGCGAAATATTAACGCAGGTGCAAAGAAAACATCGTTTAGTCACTTAACTAATTTGCATAGGACATGACATATAATTTGTCAGAAAATACAAAGTGAAGTAATTCAAATTCTGGGAAGGGAGCACCAAGAAAAAAAGGAGTGAAAAAAAAAAGGGGGGGGGGGGGCGGCAAAGGAAGATACAGGTATGGGTTTCAGACGTCCTTGACTGGTCTGCACAAGATAAGAAGCAGGGGTGGCGTAATCACCTAACGTGTAGCATCAGAAGTCCGTTCAGCAAGATTGTCGGCCCCGCCCCCATTCCCTTTCCTGGATTTCTCTTTCCTTCATGTTTTTTTAAAGACGATAGTCTTTCTTGGAGACCTTGGACGCAAAAATTTTGGTCTGTCTGTCTGTACATTTGTCTGTTTTTCCACCATTAACGGTACCCTAAGTGGTACCAAAGTGACCAACCGATACTCCAAATGGCCGACCCCATCTGCAGCACCCACCAATATTGCTCAAGGTTCATTGTTCATGCATGTGCGATTGTCAATTAAAAAGCAATTATTTCGCATATCTGAAGCACCATAACAACACATCAACAATATGTATGTGTGTTTTACTGGAAAAGGCATACATAAGTAATTTTAACGATCGCAGCCTTTATAACGCTTCGCTGGCCATGCAACGCTTGCACGAAATGGCAAGCGTTTCCAACGTTTTGCTAAGACGACACGGTGCTGGCACCTACCCGTCGCCTTGCGTTCTACACCTTATCACCTCAGAGACGGGCGCGCATGGCGCGCGCCCCCTTTTCCAGAATAACTGCCAGATAGCGCTCATGTCTCACGTGTGAGGTGACTTGATGCGCTCATTCGCCTCCGCTGCACGCTCGAGGCACTCTAACGCGGCACCTCCAGAATACCATTCACCGTTTTTATGGCGCAGAACATCAAATAAACGTTTTGTTCACTCTCTTCAGACGCAAGACTACCGTCTTTCTGCGACATTTGCGGTGTAACATGCAGATACGGGGCCATGTTTTTCTTCGATAAACTCAGTTGATAGTCTGCGTTTGTCGTGTCCACTTCGTAACGTGTGTCATCTCTAACTTTTTCTTGTCCCAGTGAAGCGCCGTCTTTCAATCACGCAATACCAACTAGCCCGACACTCCACTTTGCATGATGTAGAGTGTTAAAGCGATCCCTAACTTTTCCCGCCCTTTTGCACCAAATATCGTACTCTTCTCGTGTTCGCCAATAGGTATTCCGTGTATGCGGGGTCCCACGGATAGCCTTATAGACGAACGCTGCACGTACAAGAAATAATGCGCCTGTACATTTCACAACCAAGTATGACATAGACAAGTGTTATTGTCGTTAAACTTGACATGCATGAATATCTGTCACATTATCATTTAATAAATAGTATTAACCACCATATGATTATGAGAGACGCCGTAGTGGAGGACTCTGGAAATTTGGACCACCTGGTGTTCTTTAACGTGCACCCAAATCTGAGCACACGGGCCTACAGCATTTTCGCCTCCATCGGAAATGCAGACGCCGCAGCCGGGATTCTATCGCGCGACCTGCGGCTCAGCAGCCGATTACCTTATCCACTAGACCTTCACTGTGGGGCAATACATAGTATTAGAATGGTTGGGTATTCAATAAAGCTTGGTATTTGCACGTATTCCTTGCTTTGAGCGATTAAAAAATGTTATAATAAACTATCATTGTAAACTGAGTCTTGCAGACAGGTATCGAAGTATGAATGTTCTTCTAACGATTTCCTTTGAGCTGTTTTAACAACAACAACAAAAGATGTGTTACTGTGGCTGCTTCTTCGTTTATATAACTAGTCCCGGCACTTTGACAGGGATTGTACATTGCCTTTTCGCCTAACCTGCTTCTTACATGTGTGATCAATATGCAGTAACACTGTGCTCCGTAATCGATTGATTACCTAAATATTGAAATTGGCGAAGCTGTGAAACGCGCACGTGCGAGTGTAATTTGTATAATGATGATACGATCATTGCATTGTGGCTTACACATATGTTAATACTAATTAGGTGTCAGCACCCGCTGGGAAAGGAAAAGGAAGCAGCCGATCGGGCATGAGCTAGCCGCCTCGCGCGCCTCTTTCTCGTCGCAGCTGCCTGTCCAGCGAGCTGCGTTCGAGAAGACATTTTCCCGGGACAAGCCGAGGGGTTTTTCGTCGCCGGAATTCCAACAAGGAGGCAGTCGCTGCTTCGCCATTTCAGCGCGGCGTTCTTCGGCGGGATCGGGTCACGGTAACTCGAGCTTCTGTTTCAAAGACCACTGCGCCTCCGTTCAGCGGCCATGATTGCGGAGTCAACTGGACCCCGGAGATGTACGTGACTACGTGAATCTTTGATTTATATCTTATATGACCGTCCGCAGCGGTGGCGCCGCGCTCTGCCGCCGTACGGTACTCAGCAGCGGCAGAGAAACCGGTGCGCACTTTTTCGGTGCAAGCAATTAAACTGCGCAGATAAGCGCACTGAAGAAAACTGCGTAGGCGCGAGCGCGTCCAGAAAGCAAGAACAAGACGGAAACCTATAAGAATCATTTGTCTAAATTTAACGCGAACGAGACAGAAGCGGTTTTCGCGATGTTCCCGAAATGACAAACGCGCACGACGGCATCGTGAGTGTCAGTTAGCGCCGGCATGGAAACAGGCGTTATATTGTACAGGGGAGGTATAACCGAGAGAGTAACGAATTAGTAAACTTCTGAAATATGTTGAACCAGAAAACCATCTGTATTGTGGGCGCACCAAGAGAGAGAGAGAATCGGCTGTACGGCGAAAACAAAACTATGTGGCGCACCGTTGTAGTAAAGCATAAAAAAAAAGAACGTAAGCGTAAGACAAATATTTCGTGTTGTCCCGCTATGTGGTAGCACACGCCAAAGAAAAGAAATTATCGAAAAGGTTGTGTTTTGTAAACATACACGCGATGATGTATGTACTACATAGCGGGTAGAGAAAGCTAAATCGATGCAAATTGCGTCTTTTACACTCCTGCACACTCTCTTGAGGGTGTTAGTTGATATGTACGTCACTTCAGTGACACTAAGATGAAGGCAAACTGTAGGGTTATTTCGCGATCAGCTGTACTCTGCGTCGGGCACGTCGAAAAACGCGGTGGCACTATCGTCCACATAATCGACTTGATTGCAGCGTCAAGCAAGGAGAAGCTAGCAGCAAATTCGATGTCGTGCCCCGCGAACGACCATGAGCGGCGAAAGCAGATCAGTGTCCGAGGCATCGCCCAGGTCGAAAACGTCACCAACGTGAAGAAGACGTTCATCCGGCACGTCCACTACACCTTGGTCAAGGATCGCAATGTGGCTACCCCGAGGGACTACTTCTTTGCCCTGGCTTACACCGTCAAAGACCACCTGGTCGGCCGATGGATCCGCACCCAGCAACACTATTACGAGAAGGACCCGAAGGTACATGTAAACACCGGTTCTTCATCTTCGGTTATTTTAGTAAACCAAATTGGCACAAATGGCATGGTTCCTTCCTGTCGAACGTTGCACGTACATGTAGCGTGTCTTCTGCAATAACTTCAAGCTGTCAGCGCGCGCCGTATGTATGGATCGCCACACACGCTGAAAGCGGATACCTGCGTATTTTTGTGTTCACAGTGGAGCGCGGCGCGTGATCGCCTCCTGTTCCGATGCCTCAAACTAAAAGGATACTCAACAAAAATTCAGACAAAAAAAAGTGTCCAAAACATCGAAATTCTACTCGGAAGACGCGAATGTTCTGGTAAACAGAGTTCCACGTATTTTTGAACAGTTGGCTGTATTTTTGAGGGATTGTCAGCACGTGCGCGGCGGTTGCACGCGTGCTGTGACGTCACAATCACTGCGGCGTGCACTGTGTTCCTGCCCTCCTCCATCTTTCTACCTCTCTTATCATCCCACTCCCATTTCCACAAAGGCGCTGATGCCTAGGGTAAAGACCTAGGGTAACTGCATATGCTATAGTTACTCTACTTCACCCGGGAGCACTGCTTGCTACCGGCTGCTGTCCGTTGTCCTTCTGAGAACCGTAGGAAGAGCTCAGCAGGTCAAGACATAGAGTTTCTCACAATTTTGTGAGAAACCTCCATGGGTCGAGATATGCGGGCAATGGCTGGCAGCTTTGTCCATTTCGGGCGTATGAAGTGTCACCCTTTCGAGCTCACGGCGCCGCCGCTAAGCGCGGCAGTTTGTAGAAAACGCATTAAATTCATCATTTTTTTTTTTGTAGTTCCTGCCTGAAACGAAGGTTGTGTCTCTCGATTTCAGGCCCCGATCATTGTTTGCCTGAAAGTCATAGCAGCAGAAGTTTCTTTTCATTATCCCGTTAATATATGTTTCAGCAAAGTAGTTCATACATCAGCTAGCTCAATACGGTACAAACTGGACGAGCCACGAACCGGATAGGCCGCTCCAAAGCCAGGGCGCCGCGCCGCACATGCTGTGCAACACACGACGTTACAATAAAAACAAAAACAAAAAGGCCACTGTTAAGGATGAGCACTGACACATAACTGAGCGACACTTCGGAGTACCTCTCTTCCTCTTTACGAAAACCGAAACCCCTTTGTCAGTAAAGTCACATAAAGCAGGGAAGAGGAAGTGCAGTAATTAAAGAAAGCATTTGCAGGCGCATAGGTCTTCATTAGGGGGGAAGGCGAAGTTTTACCTCAGTGCCTCCTTCAAACAGAGGCTCTACAATCGAAATGCACTGTAAAATGTATTTGAAGGGGAGGGGGGAGGGAGAAGGAGGCCTGCCCCATCCTCCTTTGTAGGCAGAAACATCCCATCAAAGCTTATATCTCCTTGTAAATATTAGTAGTAAATATGATGCATCCATCCATGGCCCAAAAACATTGGTCCCCCAGTGTAACAGTAATAATAATAATAATAATAATAATAATAATAATAATAATAATAATAATAATAATAATAATAATAATAATAATAATAATAATAATACCTCTAAAACAGGGATTTATCGAAGGTGTAAGGATAAAAGTGAGAAACGCCTCACAAAAGGTCTCGTACCTTTTTGCAGTCAGCAGTATGGTCAATAGCATATGCATTTAGACCCCGTATTACTTATATTAAAAACAACAACTTATCAGCAGAAACAGTTTCTAAGAGAGTTGACAAGGTGGTCCATTTAGCCTCGGTATTCTACAAATTCAGTTACGTTTGCAAGACTCAAGCCACAGGTGAGGTAGAAAAAAGACTGAGTGAGGTAAAAAAAAAAAACTATCACGTATGAGTAAAGAACATAAACTGTTACATTTATTGGCTAATGTTATGCTGTGCAGCCTACTTGCAAACACAAATTAAGGTGACAGAAAGAGAAGTGAAATGGGGCCACTGGCAAAATGCCAAAGGAGGGACAGAAAACTGGTGGAGAAAATAGTGGTCTTTTCGTTCACTCATTGCTATAAAAAAAGCGCCACCGCCACAGTGTTTTTTCTATTTTTTTCTCGTGCATTGCTGAGCATATCCATGAAATTTCACTCAAATCTATACTGGACAAGAACATTGTAGGAGAGACAGATGAATAAAATCGTAAAATGATCCTTCGGTGTCATGTTCCTGGCCCTGCAGTTCGGGACTCCACCGGCATCTGTGCCATCTGAAATTGGCCATTCGGGTTTAACATGCTGTTACTTGTCCAAAAACTGTGCAAGACCCTCATCAATGCATCGCACCATTGTGGAAGCACAATTTTTCTTCCTTTAATAGACCCCGGGTAACCTTGACCTAAAATACAGGTCGGCACACTTGCTGCCAAGTTTGCATTCTCTGAGCTTTTGAGGACGTTCAACAAAGAACCATTCTGGGCCACATTAAATAAAATTTGCCTGAAAGGGATGGCACACCACCACTCCTTTTAGAGGGACTATTTGCTGTGTTCCTGTTCCGTTGTCGAGGAACATTGTTAAAGTTTGTCCAAGGAGAAATGGAACAGATGTGCTACACTGAAAGTTGTTATTAAACTAAGTACACCAGAGAGTGATAATCATTTGTTATATACTTGACAAATTATAGGATCAGTGCCAAAAAGCTTCGTTATACCTCTGAAATTATTAGAACTTGAGGCTGTCGGTAACAGCTTGTCAAGAGGTGACATTTACAGCTGGTTGCATCCATTTAAATTTCTCACCAAACACTTGTTAGTTAGTCCCTCATGATAAGTTTCCACATTAGTAGAGAAACACTCGCATTCATGCAGTTGTTTCAAGGATGCAACATTAATTAGTGTAATTTGATTTTTGTATCCTAAGTGGCATACCTAATTTTGTGGAGCTCTAATGTGCGGCTAATTTGCACTGATTTTCAGAGGGTGTACTATCTTTCCCTGGAATTCTACATGGGTCGTTCGCTCACCAACACCATGGTGAACTTGGGCATCCAGAATGCCTGCGACGAGGCCCTGTATCAGGTGCGTAGAGAAACATTTATACAGCTTTCTATAAGCCTTGGCTGTTTTAGCTCGAGTAGTTCATGTTCTATCGTATTGCATCATTGGATATATAATGTCTCTTATGTGCAGACGCCAACAGAGCAACTGCGGTCACAAGAGCAGTTATAACCTTTTTGGAAACAACTGGACTATATGCGCGGCTATAAAATGTGTCTCAACTAGAAAGAACACTACATACTCACCTCTCTATCTCACCATCGTCATCCATTAATCTTTCTTTTCTCCTTTCCCTTCCACCAGTGTAGAGTAGCAGGCTAGAGCAAGCTATCGCTCAGGCCGACCTCTCTGCCTTTCTGTAAATAAACTTATCTCTCTCTCTCTGCTCTAGTTTGTACAGTTAAACCTCGATATAACAAACCCGGATATAACGAAATATCGGTTACAACGAAGTGAATAAAGACTAGTGTTGCAATGAATATAATGTTAGGAATATACTTTTATAACAAAGTTTTGGATATAACGAACTTATTTTCATGTAAGATGCAACTTTGTTATGGGGAGGGTTGAGCGTATTGCTTTGCTGGCAGCATCATGATCAGCCAGCGAAAGAACTGGGCTGTAGTTGCAATGTACAAACACGTTCTGTACAAAGTATGCAAAGCGATACTTGCGTGCGCAGCTTTTTCAACATTGCCTGCGAAGAGAGAAATGGAGTCTTTGTGACAACTGAGATTCATTGATCAGCATTAACAGGTTTAACGCTCAACCTTAGCATTCCTATAAGATCAAATTTTCTTCCGGCGAGTGAACATTGCTTTAACCTCAGTGAGACAACGAAGGTAGCTCATGTGCGAGAATGAGTGCTGGGCGCTTTCCTTTTTTTTTTTTGCTTGCGTGCTTCACACCTCCAAGGTTGATTCTCTCCGGCCCCGGTGATAAGGGATGCGCAGATAGAGCCTCTTGTACAAAAACTGATAACTGAGCTCCTGGTAGGTAAACAGCCCCTTACGCCTGATCTCCTTGAGCTCTAGAGCATGGCACACTTTAGGAACCAGGCTGATAACATTCAGGGGATTCCAGATAAGCTTTCCGAAAAGGGAGATACTCCTTGAGTATGTGTTATGTGTCGCTTGGCATGCAAATTGGCACCAAGATAGCCGATCTCCTGTGCTGCCAGGGAGGCAACAGCAGTTAACATCATCTCAGTTACTGGTAGGCGCTGACAAGGCGAGCACCGTGATGTCGTTAAGATAAAGAGGCAGTTTGAGTAGGTGAATGTTCCAGAGGTTAAAACGTGAGAATTGCGCGGGGGATTTCACTATGCAAGCATTTCAATGAATGTGCATTGAATGAATGTGTCAAGAGAGATGGTAAGGCATGACAACTTCTCTAGAGCACGAAGCTTTAGAAACAAGGGACGAAAAGACAGTGACAAGCACATGCGCTAATTTCTGATGTTCGGACACACAATTATAACGGTAATCATGAGCTTGCGCCCCTCAGTGTCCACAAATAGGCACATGCGGCCGAAATAGCCACGGTTGATCAACAGTGTACCGGTGTGCCATCTATCGCCTGCCCTAGGTAAGCGACTGTGTTATCTAGGTGTTGCATGTGAGGGCGATGAGTGAGGTACTCTGTGTTTTAAGCATTGAACGTAACTGATATGCCTTCATCTTGTTATAAATATGTGTCCGAACAGTGGAAATTTTATTGGAAGTTAGCGCTTGTGCGTGTCGCATTCTTTTTGTTCCTAGTTTTGAAATTTTTTTTTTGCGCAAAAGAAATCAAGCATTTCAATGAGGTCTTTAATGTTCTCGGTTGATTGAAATTAAATACTCGAAGGCCTATGCGCCTAGATTTAGTGGGTGCACATTAAATCTCTCCGGTGGGTTCCAATAAATACAGAATGCACCACCATTTATTTCAACTACTCTCAATTCTTGATAGCATTGCTGAGATGAGTGGGTACACGTACATTGTACAGGGTTATATAAAGCAGCCTAAAGATAAGTGATCAGAGCCGCTGGTAACAGAGCTGGACGGCAGTCCCATTTGGATGCTCTGTTGAGCAGGAATGTATGAAAAAGTCTGCCTGGCAATTCGGTACTTGTGTCCCATAAAGAGGGCCCTGTAGCGAAAAGGTCATCTTTAAATCTGGTTTAGTAAAATAAATTTCGTGAAATAACTGGCTGAACTTCCTTTTCGTTCACAAGTCTGGCTAGTCTTTGATGGTGGATACTCTTGAGATGTCTCATAGTTGTATTGTGATTTCCGCATATAAAACTCCATAATTCACCTTTCAATATTATGTGCAAAGTTCTCCCTTTCACTCATTTAGACTACATTGCAATTGTGCTGTTACATAGCCCCTAGAAGCGATACGATGCGAAGAGTTATAGTGGTTTTAAAGAAAAAGGAGGCTTTTTCTGGTCTCATCCCACATTTGCCGACTTTCCTAGTGTTTTGTGACAAGAGCAGTGTTTTTAATGTTTTGAAAGAATGCATTTTTGCTGCCAGTTTCATACTGCACAAAAATGACAGCTTCAGTTTCATATCTTGAAAACCGACACATACTGCTTTTTGCGCTATGTTATGGTTTAAGCTATGGCGTCATCGTCTTACGCAGTGCTTTGTTGCCTATTAGATAACGAATGTTGTTAAATAAGCAAGCTTGTATAGTAAATTGAAATGTGGCACTTTTCCCAGCTGCAAGTTTTTGCTGCCTGCTTGGTGTGCTTTGCAGTAGCCACAGTAACAGAGAATAAATAGCTGCAGTAAGGTAAAGAGAAGGTGGTAAAGCTGGAATCGATGCATACCTAAGATAATGCTTGTGGGAAACCGACTGAGACTCATAGAAAAGGTACAAGTGCTGTCTGACAGACAACATTTAGCTGTTAGACAGCACTCATCCAGTGTCCGTTTTCTTTTTTTTCTGTGTGCACCTCTATCATTTTTGCTCTGGATTGATAAGTGTGACTGTGTGATTTCATGACGCACTGCAGCTGCAAATGCAAATTCAAGATGCAAACGGCACTTAGTGTTCACATGCCTTTCTTGGCGTTTGTGCATGATGCAGCAGTAATACAACTCCAAAAACGGCAACAAGGAGATAGATGGAGGTTCGTGATGAAAAAAATTCGCAAATAGAAGTTACGCACTCGAGGTGATGTTTGGACTCATATACTTTCTTCTTCAAGGCTGAAACTGATTTTGTTTCCGGCCTTGGAAGAAGACAAGTCTAGTTGTGAAAACGTCTGCTTGGTCAAACACGACCTGTTTACGGATTTTTTTTTCATAGCACTATTCCTGGATGCCTTGGCATGCATTGCTACTTCTGTCTGGAACACGCATTACAACAGTGTAATTGTTCAGTCCGCGAGATCTTGCGCTGAACACTTGACCGAAGTCTCAAGAACTCTCTGTTCACCTGCGCAGATGGGTTTGGACATAGAAGAACTGGAGGAGCTCGAGGAGGATGCCGGTCTAGGCAATGGGGGCCTCGGTCGTCTGGCGGCCTGTTTCCTCGACTCCATGGCCACCCTGGGCCTGGCAGCCTACGGATACGGCATCCGTTACGAGTACGGTATCTTCAAGCAGAGGATCATGAATGGGGAGCAGGTGGGTGTCCCGGTGACTTCAGCGAACTGAGCTCAGTAATGCTGCATTGGCTTTAGAACGAGTTATCGGGCATGTATATTTTGAGGCGCAAGGTGCGATGATGACGGACATAGGGCATGCTCACTGGATGCCATTTCCGACAATGCTCATTCAGAAGAGACCACTGTGCATGTCCCCTTCAGCTGAGGTGGCTATGTTTTTGCACGTAACTTGTTTATGCTAGTTGCGTCAGCTTTGGAACCAAGACGGGAAAACAAGATACATTTCTCATCGGATGATTTGAACCCTATGAATGGTCGGTACTATGCATGGTCTTGAACTAAATGTGGTGTGAGGTATTTTTTCTCTTACTGAAATGAATGCATCTGAAAACTATTTCTGCACACATTTTGAGCCTACAATTTCGTTCTTTTTACGTAAAGAATGAAACATGCCTGAAATGCAGAATAATAAAATATTTAATTGCATACTAATTGCAGTTAATTATTCAGATGCTCACAAACATATGCTTTTGTTTTTTTTTTCATAGAATGTAATACTGAGCGCCTTGAAATAATGCTATGCGCATTGGACACATTTGCAGACATAATTTATGCCCGAAAGGGATATACACCACACGCTGTCACAGATCATGTACTCAATTAGAAGAACTGTCTTGGCAATAATAAAATATGCCGATCAAGCACACCTTTAGCCTGCTTCGACGATTCTCTTCAATGATTAATCTGGCCAATATATTTTGCCCTCTTCCATAAAAATTAGAAGAGGTGCAAAAATTTGAATTACACTGGCATGGCAGTCTGCAATGGTGGAGAATTAGGTATATGCTTAAAATTAAGCTGCTATGGATGTTACTTCTTTGATTTGAAGTTATGTCTAAGTGAATGGTAATTAGCATCAGAAAATTTTGAAGCATATACGAATTCTAGCAGGATGTTATTAGTAGTGGAATGCAAGGCATTAGCAGTATGGTATGCCGAGCTTTTGAAATTTTGCCATACTTAGATAAGCCTGTATATTATGCATTTAATCATTTCAAACTCGTAGGTTGATCAGCTTGTAGATAATATGTGCACTTAACTAAAAGCATGGCTTCACAGCTGCATAGATTTTTTCCGTTTCGTGGCATAGCGGTATTAGGCTGCAGTGAAGGTGCCGTTTCAGGTGGGCTACGTTGGTTAAAATGCATCTATTATTTCATTTAGAGTATTTCAGGAACCAAATTAGAGTTGAAGTGAATTTGAACACTGTAATATTCATTCTAATATCAGCACAGGACTACATTTATTAATACGCATGCCATGCATAAAATAACATGGTGACATGAAAAATGAACAAATATTCAAAGCAGAGTGCTTCTCTGTCTGCTCATATGTGCAGAGAACTATGCAAAATTTAAATTCGCACGGCAAAAGTAGAGATGATTAAATTCTCTCCCCTTTTCTTTCCAAGCGTGAATCAAAAGAATGGGGTTGTGCATCGTAATGCATACACAGTCTCCGCATAGATTATTGATTAATTGATTGATATGTAGGGTTTAACATCCCAAAACCACCATATGATTATGAGAGACGCCGTAGTGGAGGGTTCGGAAATTTCGACCACCTGGGGTTCTTTAACGTGCACCCAAATCTGAGCAAACAAGCCTACAACATTTCCGCCTCCATCAGAAATGCAGCCGCCGCAGCTGGGATTCGATCCCGCGACCTGTGGGTCAGCAGCCGAGTACCTTAGCCACTAGACCACCGCGGTGGGGCTCCGCATAGAGTAGTAGACAGCCTGTACTTCTAGCACGAAAGCGTTAAACAGCTCATTCCGCAGAAATTATGGTGTTGGCGTCTGTGTCAGCGTTGGTATTGTTGGTTGTGAGCGGAAAACCATGATCTTGTGCGTGACTGGAAAATCGAGAAAGATGCAAATAAAACAAACAATAAAAAAATTTCATGTGTGACTTAGGATCGCACCCGGGTCATTGGTGTGGCAAGCAAGCATTCTACCACAGAGCCACGTGCCTGCTTGGAAATACAGTGAAAATAATTTCCTCAGCTCGGAAATGCAGTGAAAGTAACTTGCGTGCTTTACAAACACACATGTCCTGTATGCATGCTTCACTGTGCAACATGTAATATTGAAGTAATAATGCGCGGTACAAGCATATATTGTGATTGAGCATTATTGCGCCTTTTCTCTTAAAGCCACGCAGTGGGTGTACAGCAAGATTTCACAGTGCGCAACTGCCCGTGGTTTAAGGCATGCTGCTCATTACACAGAATGCAGCCCTATGCGAAAGCTTCACTGACACAAGTTACTTTGGACTCGTTACACACTAGGGACAGTACATTACTATTGCATTCAACTCATAAAGGCAAATCTTAAGGGTCCCCCAATTTTTTTTTATTAGTGCTGTGATATCACCACTTCATACTTTACATTGAAGCGATGGAATAAAAACTGCTTCGCTCACTGGAGCCATAATGCTGGATCTGATCCAAAAGGGTTAGCTGCTAGCCCTACCTCATATAACATCCCAACTTGTTGCTCTCGCATTTATTACCTCACCCTTGTGGCAAAATTGTTATACCTTTTTGGGTCTTGTCGTAGTTCAAGTGTATGTGTATGGACGCATTACAGACCGAAGTTCCAGATGACTGGCTTCGCTTCGGCAACCCGTGGGAGAAGGCTCGACCGGAGTACATGATACCCGTCAACTTCTACGGTCGTGTGGAAAAGACTGACAAGGGCTACAAGTGGGTCGATACACAGGTCAGTGGCCGCGAACGGCTCAGTTAATGATGTCGAAAAATTTGTGTTGGGATACTGGCTACTTTTAAATATCCCGCTATATAGATAAGCGAAGCCTCTGTAAAACCCTTCATAGTAATTAAGCAATTCAAGTCCATATATAGTTCAACCACCAATGGTTATAGGCAAAAATGTGTTTTTGATGCAGAAGTAATACGAATTTCTAAGCGTAAGACATAGGCTAGTTGGAAACAATTGTATATTGTGAATTCTAGGCTTTCAGCATAAATATGCTTACAATATTGTCACTATAATTGAATCACCAAAGTTGCCATAGTTGTTCGTAGAATTGCATTAGCTGCACTTTGGCTATAATTGATCTTCCTCTCAAGTGCCACAATTTTTGTTAAATTGGCCCGCTGCTGGTGATTAAAAGCATTTGTGCTTTGATTGCATCTGTGTGAATTGGGAAGTATTTGCCTGGCCTTGGCAAAAGCTTTCTCAAGTGGTTGTGCGACAAGACCATTGTAAGTTTACGAACACATAATAGAAGTATGTTGAAAAGTTTTTCGTAAAAGTGGCAAATAAATGCATTGCATGAGACATGTCTTGAATATGGACTAATTGCCTTGCGTTCAGTCTGTGCGTATAAATCTAGTGGATCAAACTCAGTGGTTTTACTTCGAGGAGCCTTCTAATGGCAGCAATTCTGCATATCCCCCTCACTACCCCTCGCCATGCTTTTCTGTCATTTACTGCGCGCACAAATTTGCATGCTGAAATAATGCATCGAAACCGTAAGTACTAATGATGTTATGTTTCACATGTTTAAAGATCTTTAAAAATCTCTTTATTGCATACTGCAAGCTTCTGTGTACTTAATGCATTTTTATAAATGAAGCCGTTTGATCTTGATAATTAGTAGAGCGTTTGCCTCTGTCACTTTTTTATTTTTTTCATCTTCAGCATACTTTGACGTACTACTAGATTGATACTTTCAAACTGTTCAAATGCGATTATTTTTGTTCTCTTGCTAGCACCTGTGCAAAAGCATTTCACACAGTTCGTCTACATTTTGTAAGTCGAACAATGCTCCCGGAAAAAATCGAGGCATTTTCTTCTGTTTGTAGCAGAAAAAATAAAATACATTCAAGTAAATTTTCAGTGGCCAGAATTTTTACCCAAATGGGTGGCATTTTTGCCCTCTGCTCCTGTTCACAGACGTTGGTGTGAAATGATAAAATGAGCCTCTCTTTTCTATAGTCGGTAACAACCTAAGACAAATATAAAGCTCAGCCCACAGAACTACAGTGTGCCTGCCCTTCACCTATGAAAGAGCTGGGTTAGCTGGTTACGGCCTGAACCGCAAGTATACTTTTTGCCAGCTGATGTTAAACACACATGTTTAGAGGTGGAAGGTTTGTCGTTACAACCTAAACTATTAAATTTGGCTGACCAGCAGTGCCAGGAACCCAAACATAATTTGCCAGGACGTCTAAATTTCCGAACCAAAAACAGCGACACAAACCTGTGTCGGTGGGGAAGGTAGGCAAACTGTTTGAAACACCGGACAATTGTCTGATCTTGCAAAAAACGAGTGATCACTATTGATAAGAACATTTATGCGAATTCTCTGTGAGAGGAACAGCGATAGCTGCGGATGGAGCTAGCATTTTTTCTTAGGTCGTCGCCGATTGCAGCCTTTCTTTAGTTTCGGTTAGAATTTTGCCCAACTCTTTTCAGCTCGTGTTCGCCATGCCGTACGACAACCCCATTCCTGGATTCCGCAACAACATCGTCAACACCATGAGGCTCTGGTCTTGCAAGTCACCTGTAACCTTCAACTTTCGCTTCTGTAAGTGTGGCCTACAGGATGATGAGATTAGATTGTTTTGTGGTTAGGTATATGCTATGTAGTAAAGTCTTGATGTAACAAAACTTCAACATAACAGAATTCTTCGCATAACAGAACAGTTCACTTTTCCCAACTTCATGTTCACATTTCAACCCTCACTATAATGAATTGTGTTATCCTTGATGTCAGTATAACTAAGCTTAAGTGCTGCTCCTGTGGAAAACTAAGACAATAAACTGAAACTTCTGCCGGGGCCACTTTTATGTGATTGAGTTTCAAGGGGTGTTTATGAGTACTTATATTACCACTGCTGTGGACCTGCTTTTTTTTTTCGGGTGCATACTTAACATTTGGCAGATGCAAAGAAGACCTTGCTGGTGCAGCATCAAGCTGCAGTCACTAGATCTGCGACTAGTGACACTAAATGCAACCCAGTGTCTGCTATAACAATGCAAGCAAAATTAAAGTTGCTGGGAACGGTCATAGGGGGCCACTTCCACACTTTAAACATGCGGCAAATCTTGGCAAATATTTTTTGTAGAACAAATTTTTCCTGACTCCTTGAAACAGCTCTCTATTGAGTATCTGGCATATTATTATGGCAATTATTACTGTTTAACATTGTCAAATTGCAAAGCTGACACTTTAATTTGATATTCGGCTTTCAAAGATTCTTTTCATTACATAACTTCAATGTAACTGTACCGTAATTACAAAGGGCATGCACTTCTTTCAAGTTTATCAGCCTAGTGCACTTTTTGAACAATACATGCACATTGGTTCGCGCAAAGGTCTGTCAAAAATCACTGTTTCCAAAACGGGCAAATTCAAATTGATTCTTAAAGTTAAGTGCCTGAACTAACTACTAGAAAGTGCTGGATGCACAAGAAATAAATTTAACATACCAAAATTGACAATCCAAAAGTGTCGATTACCGGTGATCGATTTGAATAGGCTGTGGTAACGAAAGAGTTAAGCACCACCATACTAGTACTATGTCCGCATAATTGGACTACAGTTTCAAGTTAATGTGTCAGTGTTAATAGGTCAATGCAAAGATATGATTTGGCATGATGTAGTGATTTATAGCCATTTGCAACTGCCACGAGTATATGCAGTTGCAGCGTAAGTTTAGTTGCTGTGACTTAGTTATCGCGCTTTTCTTTTTTCTGGTTTGAGAGAAAAAGGGAGAAAGTATCACTCTTTCGAAAAATATAGCATTTGTTGCTGAACTTAACAATGTTATTTTAAAAGGTTTGTGAGTGGAGGGTTGGATTGGTCTTTACTCTGCTTGATGTTTTGTATTTGTTTATTTATGTGTTGTGCTATCTTTTTTATTTCTGTACAACTGGTGTTGCACCTGAATCTGCGCAGTCAATGACGGAGAGTACATTCAGGCCGTCCTCGACCGGAACCTGGCAGAGAACATTTCCAGGGTGCTGTATCCAAACGACAATGTGAGTCTAGCAAACTTGTTGGCTGATGCAGGCACGTTAACCTTTTGATACACTTTGTACACCACTATGAACATCGTTCTTGCTATTCATGTCGACCAGTAGCCCAGAGAGAACGAGATGCTGGTCTGAATGAATTGAAACTTTCTGCGCAACACAGGTGTCATCATTTATCTTCATTTCGTATTGTACCATTACGCATGATCATTTTTCCAAAGGCGCTAACTTGTTCGATAACTCTGTCGATGTGCCGCTCTTTGTGCGTCGCATCAGAAGTGCAATTTTTCTTTGCTCAAAATGAATGCAAATGAAAATGAGTTTCCTCTATACTTGTAGCCTGTGATTTGCTTCTATTTAAGAAAAACACGGACATCAGGGGCTTCAGTAAAGAAGATACTTAATTATAATTGAATTAAAACTTACTGCTGTAAGATGCACGAAACAACGTATCATGACATTGTTTTTGTTGCATACAACACCAAGTGCCTTGAAATGATGTTGTGTAAATGATGTTGTGGGTGGGTGTGTGTGTGTGTGTGCGTGTGTGCTTGCGCGTGTGTGCGTGTGCGCGCGTGCGTGTGTGTGTGTGTGGTGAGAGAGAGAGAGAGAGAGAAATTGTCATTCACAGGACTGGGATTGAAGCATCTGTAGCCATTGTGGTGCATGCATTCATAAAAGTATACTATACAGTTGGCTTGATAAATGGAACCTCAAGAGGACAGAAAAATATGTTTATTTAATAGGAAACCTACAGAGCAGAAATCTGGAGGCTTACAAAGAGGGTTCATCTTGAATTGAAAACGATGCAGCGAGCAATGGAAAGGGAAATCATAAGTGTAACCTTAAGAGACAAGAAGAGAGCAGAATGGATCGGGGAACAAACCGGGGTTCAGGATACTATAGTTCAAATCAAGAAGAAAAAATGGAGATGGGCCAGGCACATAGCGCGTAGGCAGGATAGCCGCGGGTCATTAATGGCGACTGACTGGATTCCCAGAGAAGAAAAATTCACGAAAGGGACACAGAAAGTTAGGTGGACTGATGAGATTAAAAGCTCGCATGTGGCAGCAGAGAGCACAAAACTGGGGGGATTGGCAGATCATGGGGAAGGCCTTTGTCCTGCAGAGCGTGTATTCAGGCTGATGATGATGATAACTGTGTTTGCTGAGAAAGAAACAGGGGTACTCAATACAGGCACAAAACCAATCTGGTTAGAGGCACTTGTACCATTGAGGCAGCAGTTCTAATTTAGCGATTTCCATTACTGCGAGTGGTTTGAAAGGGTTGCTCAAAATAACTCATTCAGTTTCTCATCCGAGTTTGCATCCCAATCTATGCGTCCCCTCCTTCCTGCTGCAGATGTTTGAGGGCAAGGAGCTTCGGCTGAAGCAGGAGTACTTCATGGTGGCAGCGACACTGCACGACATACTCCGCCGCTACAAGTCGTCCAAGTTTGGCACGACCACCCCGGTGCGCATCTACATGGATGAGTTCCCCCAGAAGGTGGCCATCCAGCTCAACGACACGCACCCATCGCTGGCCATCCCCGAGCTCATCCGCATATTCGTCGACGAAGAGGGCCTCGACTTCGAGAAGGTGAATCCTTTATTCTTTTTTTAGTGGCAGGAGTACCGAATGACTGTTTCCTGACCACCCTGTCAAGAATCAAAGCGAATTGTTTGAAAAACCGCGATAAAAATTTTAATGTAAAAGGGACGGAGTGGTTTAAGCTAAAGGCTGTAAATGTAGAGCTGGCATTAGTGTGAATCATGAATTTGGATAGGAATCGTATAATTATTATATATTAGTACGAAAATTCAACAAATGTACGAAACTGATGGTTGTGGTTCAAGTGAAGTTGTATTTTAAGGCAAGAGCTTCCAATGCCTCATCAAACAAAAGTACACCATTGGCATCAACAACACACAACAATTGCAAAAAGAAAGTTGCATGTCACATATTCCAGCTGACTCACAATGTCAGAACATCACTGTAATATTGTGATGTCGTGATCATAATTTCACAATGAAGCCACATAAGATTTCGAATAAAAGGCAGTTCAGGGTAAGGCGCAAGCTGAAGAGGTGATAAATTCATGATCACAAGGTGTCGCTGGAGAGGATGTTTCAGCAAGCTGACTGTTCTTGAGAGCTTGTGGTTGCAGCATTGAAAATGAGTCCTTTTGTTGAAACTCCCGCAACACAAAGTGATCACTCATTTTTCACCTCCAAGAGATGACGTTGTCACACGAAATCGTCGTTTGGTCAAAGGAGTGCTAATCTTAAAGGCACTCCAAAGCCTCATTAGGTGCAGAAACTCTCACGGAGATGGGAAGCGAGGGTCAATACATTGATTGAGTGGAAAAAAGTAGTTCGTAGTTGATTAGAGGTTTATCAATCAGAGTGCTTTAGGGTCGCTTTTTTCTTATATGCAGTTTTTTTTCACTATCCTTTTTTATTCCTTTCTGTTCGGGCATCGCAGTAATGTAGAGGAGAGTAGGCACGGGAAAGTACAATGTGAAATGCACAGTAAAAAAGAAAGTTGATAATATACCGTAAAATCCCAAGCAAGATCACCCCCCCCCCCCTTCGGGAGATTTAAGATATGCAGACTCTTCACCCCTTCCACCATTTTCTCTGTTCTACTTGCTGTTTTTATGTGCCCAACAAAATAAAAACAGTGAATGCATGCATATTCAATAAAGCGTATTCAATAAAGCGATATGCATGTAGCAATATCATTAAAAGCACGAGCGTGCATTGTTTAGTCTTAGCAGCTCTTGCGCCACCATATTGTATTTTGATCCACAACTAAGCAAAGCCCCCCCCCCCCCCCCCCCTCCGAATGTAGTCAAATTATCTTTCACCGCAGGGGGGCATTTGCCTGGGATTCTATGGATTCTAGGTAGTATATATAAAATCTATCTTTGCCAAGAAATATGTGCGCCATGTGATGTGAAACGTGAACATCAGTAAATGGTTACTAAGGCAACGTAGTAGAGTAATGTGAAAATGTGAGGGATCAGCTACTTGTGCAACATTAAAAAGACACTAAATTGAAGAACGATTTTTCTCATATTCATAGGTTGCTCTCTCACTACTTGAAAATGATTACGCTTTTCATGCCAAGTCGCTTGGTATGTGAGAAAACACACGAAAAGAAAATTGTGGGCAGTAATGCTATCTTGAAATTTGCCACAACAAATGTCGTGATGTCGTAGATTTTGATGGCGCCCACTAGGTTCCTTGTAAAGTATAATCGGTAAAAATTAGGTATACCATCCTTCTGGGGGGCCATAGACTTAACATGAACCTATCATAAAGTGCTTCTTTCTGCCGAGACTGTTGCACACTACATTAGTTTTGTGCATATTAATTGTCAGAACTACACTTCTGCTTTCTGTGTCCAGTTCCGTAATCATAGCCGTAATTCGTCCCCTCCCTGAGTTACCCATCAAGGCAGTATCATAACTTTCTGGAAATTTTGTTGACCCACTGTTGTCAAAATACGAAAAATAGTTTGAAATCGATGACATCACGTGTGGCAATGCATGCATGAAAGTTGAGAGTGGCCCTTTGATCTTGATTTTCTCCTCTGTTGATAAACATGTGATAGTGAAATAAGTTACATATAAGCTCGCAGAGTATCATTTATGAAACTAATTCATTTCGTTGTAGCACTTTATTGTCCCTTTAAAGTGTCGATGGTTGCAATCAATAAAACCTTTTGGCAGACAAGACTCTAAATGTAGTTCATGCTGCGGGATTCACTTTGTCGTCTCCTTTTTTGAATCCGTTAGGCTATGGAGCTGACGATCAAGACATGTGGCTACACAAACCACACTGTGTTGCCGGAGGCCCTGGAGCGCTGGACATGCTCCATGTTGAACAACATGCTTCCGCGTCACCTGCAGATCATCTACGAGATCAACTCCCGTTTCCTCGGCGTGAGTGTCATGTCGCTGAACTTCAATGTGCCAAAGTTGTGTACTTCTAATAGACTTGTGTGCCACAACTGCCTGTATTACTCTCACCACTCTGTGCCACCTATGCAGCCTTGAGATGGATCACGCCACCGCCGATGTCATGCTGTAATCTTGTAACGCACCGTCGTTTGTCTCTTCTTTTAATCTGATTATAAAATATATCACCTCACCAGAAGTTATCGCATAATCTACACCAGAAGTCTCACGATGTTTTGCATGACTACAATACTAGGGCACCCTCCAACATCAAAGGGCTATGCACAACTGTCTAGGTGGAGTATACTTGGACATTGGACCTCTAAACTATGCATAGATAAAAAAATTATATCAATGCATGTATGCACCTTGTTCCTTTCAATTTTACTCATGTCAATAAATAATGAAATATGGAAGTAAAGACAGTGAACAAGGCTCCAAGTTATTCCATTCTTGCAATGAACGAACTTTTCACAGTGGGGACGATGCAGCCCTCCAGAAAGAAAAGTTCAGCAGATCCCACGCATTGTAGAAATGAGTTTGACGCTAAGCACTGAGCAAGTAACTGTATATACCGTCTTTTTTTTGCTTCGAAATGAGTGTTACGAGGTACATAAACACGTTTTTGTAAATGTGTGCACTTGAGGGCCTGCCAGGCTTGTAGACTACACTGGCATATAAACTGTAACTTATGGTCTGGCCTAATGTCAGCTCTCGCGTTAGAGCACAAACATCCATTTTATCGAAACTATAGGTGAACGTAGGTTACAGTGCAATGACGTGAATATCATTCATTAGCGTATTCCGTGGTCGAGTAATGCTCAGAATAGCTTGCCAAGTCACACACTGCCCCTGAAGGTGTAAACGTCAGTGCGCAGCCGCGGATTTCTCACTGGTGCTTGGGTATACTTGAAGAAAACGAAACTTTCTTAGAGTTCTGAAAGTTAAGTTGTGCTCAGAAGACAGTGAATTTTTTAGGAGCCTAGTATACCAGTCAAGCAACAGTAATCCTAGTTGTAATCTCTATGCTGTGACATAGCAGTTGCAGTTGCAGACACCTAAAGTGAGTGTGCCCGCTAAACGCACATACTTTCCTTGCACTTCAGCCACTGCCCAGAGGGCTCTGCTCGTACCAGATGATACGCATTGCATCGTTCAACATCATAAACTTTATGACTTTACTGTTCTAAACATTGTTACCAACTGGTGCGAAGCACGCCGACCAACTTGCAAGTATGGCTGTTTCCAGGAAGTTTCCAAGAAGTTCCCAGGGGACAATGACCGGCTGCGGCGGATGTCTTTGGTTGAGGAAGAAGGTGAGAAGCGTATCAACATGGCCCACCTGGCCATCGTGGGCTCCCACAAGGTCAATGGCGTGGCGCGGCTCCACTCCGAGATTCTCAAGAAGCACCTGTGAGTAGATGCACCACTGTACTCGAATGCAACCTATTACGTAATGTCGGCTCCACCCACAGCCATTGCACTCCCTCCCACATAAAATTGGCACAAGTGCTTCAACCAACAGCACTAATTCATTTTCGTGACATTGAGTGCTTTTCCGGTGTGTCGTGTAGCTGACTTTCTCGTACAAACATCTTTATATTGACGATTTTAGGTCGGAAACTTTAATGTCATGGTAAATTCCTTCTGGGTTTCTGGTGTCTCCGCAAACAATGCTTTAGGTAGCAACAACGAGCCTAAACTCTTGGTACGCATAGTATTTACATTAGTCAAAAAGCACTAGAAGTTCAAATCAGATAGATACAACTGTCTTTCACAAGTAAAGGGCAGGTGAGTCACGTCTATGTGGGCGAAACTTATTTTTTTTGGCCATAACAAAATATCATTGTTGCTCGGCAGCTGCTGAGGTTCGCACGTGCGCATGCACTGCTGGCACGTGCACTGCAACTGCCTTTGCTGGTCAGTATGGGGCTACTAATGTTTCCCTTGGTTCGTGATGTGTGCAGTGCACAGAGTGATGTACGTAGCATTTGAGCGCTAGCAAATAGCCGAAAATTCAAACGCAGTTGGTGTTGCCCCAACACGAAGCTGCACTGAGAATTCACATTAGGCAGAATGGCGATATTCAGTGAAATTTTTGTCCGCGATCGACCCACCCTTCACCTACTGACAATGTCGTGTGGTGGTGTAGTGAAGTCACAGGTTTCAGGCTGTCTGCAACGTTATGATGTCGTCTGTGACTCATATATCTTATGATGCCTACGGTCACTTTGTGTTTTAAGAGGCATTTCTGCTTGGCGACCAAGCAATAAAAGCGTTTTGAGGAATGTCGTGTAAATGCATGTCGCAGAGGCCCAGGCTGCATGGCTTGATGCTTTCATGTTTGCGATAAAGCACTTTTGGCAGAGTCTATCTGAGATGCTCACCATCTTTACAGCAAGGGTTATATCGTGTAAGTGCGAAGTGTGAGGTGCGCGAGGCAGCAGGTGCAGCAAAAGGTAACCTCTGTGGCATACGTGGTTCTTGCTGCGACTGTATTCGATAATACTCATCTTGGAAACATGCGGTTATGTTTGTTTCTTACAGCCCATGCACCTCGTGCGATCTCGCATCAAGTGGCTGATAGCAGCAGCATTGAAGGCTTGTTGTTTGTGTAGCTGTCGAAGAAGATTGAAAGGGAAGAAACTTAGCTATTGATAGATTTGTAATGAAAAGTGCTACTATTGATTAGTTTGTGCATTGCCACTTTAATGTGCAGGTTCAAGGACTTCTACGAGATGTACCCTGAGCGTTTCTCAAACAAGACCAATGGCATCACGCCGCGCCGATGGCTGCTTCTCTGCAACCCAAGCTTGGCTGATCTGATCGCCGATGTGAGCACAGCCCTTCGGTGGCAGTCCTTTTCAGTGTGTTAGCTTTAGGAGCGTGAAAGCGGAAAAGGGCTGGACGATTGCGCTGTAAACAGATCAAGTTAAGTACACAAGTAGTGTATAATTAGGGCTACTTTATCGCCCCCAGTTGAATATTCATTCAAGAAAGAAGAGAACGAAGCATGGGCACGAGAGGTGACCTCGTACATAGTGTGCTGAAACAAAAGTTTGCCCGTCATAGACACTTTTTTTTATCTCTGAGTTATTTAAAATTCGTTTTGCACCACTTTGCCAGCGAACACACTTTTATTCTACAACCCCACCCGTCTGACTATGCCCACTGTCGAGCAAAAGCCCCTCCAACGTTCTGCCAATCAACCCGGTCTTGTGCTTACTGTGGCTGTGTCAGCCCCGCAAACTTCTCAATCTGCCCCCCTAACTTTGTCCCCACTTTGCACGTTTACCTTCCTTTCAAATCCAGTCTGTTACTTTTACAGACCAGCAGTTATCTTGCCTATGCCCTACATACCCCACTCACACCTATTTCTTCTTGATTTCGACTAAGATGTCCTTACTCACACCTATTTCTTCTTGATTTCGTCTAAGATGTCCTTAACACGAGTTTGTTTCCCAACCAACTTTCTCGTCTTGTCCCTTACGGCTAGACATATAATATTCTTTTGCATTGCTCGCTGCATTGTCCTCAGTTTAAGTTGAACCCTTTTTGTAAGCCTTTATATTTTTGCTTCATGGCAAGTACCGGTCTTAAATATCTTAAATTTTCGTAACTAAGTTTTTGTACGCTTCACATCTGTTATAAAGGCACAAGAACGGTAACAGGGTAAAAGACTACAATACTTATTTAGAAATACTGACCAATTTCATTTATCAAACATATGAAAAGCAGAAAACGGGAAAGAAAATCTTGAAAAGATACGGTTGATTTGTGAATACAGACTGTAAAAGACTAAAATACTTATTTAGAAATACTGACCAATTTCGTTTATGAAACATATGAAAAGCAGAAAACGGGAAAGAAAATCTTGAAAAAATAAGGTTGATTTGTGAATACAGACCTAATACTGGACGTAAAGTTGAAATGGAATATAGAAATGTGAAGTGAAATTGAGACCGGAATGAGGCACCCAAATGCTGTGTGACTGATGATGAGTGATTGTCATCACAGATGTTAAAAATGACATTGAAATAATGTAACAAAAGGGGAAAGTGAAGTTAGGAATAAGAGGATGTTTGAAGCAGTGCAACTGAAATATCGGAAGTAAAAGTAACTGTTAAAGCTGAATGGGTGCGATGTGACGTTTGGGTGTTCTCGGACTTATCGCTAAATTACAACGAAATTCTCGCTGATTGCCTGTCTAGTGTGATACATCGTATCGCATAACAGAAGAACAACAATGTGTAGAGTTTATGAAGCTTGAGAGTAGTGGTGTAGTGACAGTACACCAGTGAGCAGAAGTATACGAACCACGAAAGCGTAAGCCAATATCGCTGTATACACTGTCTCATTCCGAGCTGTCGAGAGCATTGCTTTCACAGAGCAGTAGCTGAGAGCTTTACTGTGACGGAATTGGTCAGAGAAGTGCTCTCGACAGCAAATGTCTGACGATGCAGATGGTATAGATATATGTACGGCAAGGGGCCGTTTGTTTCTCATGGGTCCACAAACTCCTCCAAGACATAGACTGAGAATGCGGTGTGCGATAACTAAAGAGTCTAAACATCTGCGACCTACAGTTGTGTGCCGATTAGCAGGGTTCATATTCGTCATTTTCAATTACTTCCAGAAAATTGGTGAGGACTGGATAGTCCACCTGGAACAGCTGCAGAAGCTGAAGCCGCTGACCAATGACAAGACATTCCTGCGTGACCTGCAAAAAGTGAAGCAGGTCAGTGCCATTTGAAAGAAAAACAAGACATTCTCTAGAAAATATTGTGCACATAACTTTTAGCATGCGTTTGAAAAGATGCTATAAAAGCTTGGTTTTGTAAGCACATTCACGTTATGGCTGTCAGGACATCAAAGGCCGCCTTTGAATAAATTTAATTCCGTGAAAATTCTTGTTTCATATGTTGTGTGCAGGCAAACTCAGTTGTTTTGAAACTGCATCTCACCCGAAAATAGTTTTGCTACTTATAAGTAAAACCTCATTAATTCGCTGGAGCCACGAGAAATTTTAGAGTTAAGCGAGTTTTCGAATTCACAAATAAAAAAAAATGGGATGCAAGAAACTTGTAATTATTTGAAGTAATCAGGGCAGGTCATTTGCTGTGCTGACTAGTTTGCGGCTCCAAGCGTAATGCTTTTGAACAGTCTTAATTATGGCCCAAACATGGTAGAATGGTGAACCTCGCTGCTGCAACAACAACAAAAAAAAGGTGTCACGATCAACTGAAATGTGCACCTACTAAAAACAAGACATTTTCACTGCAATGCATTAGTGGCATGTGTGTAGCATGTTGCCTGCTCCTCACTGCGCTAGCACGTCGACGCAGTGCCCATTTTTTGGAGTAAAATAAAGAATTTAATGATGGCCAGTGTGACAAAATTTGCGATGTGTTTTGGCTAGAAAACATAATCATTGAAACTTGCAAACTTAGTTTTCGAAGTAGGCATTGCAGGCAAGAACTCCTTAAGCAGTGCAAGTGTGCAAATTTCTGGAGCAACCGGCAATCGTAAGTTCGCATGCATCGCGAATTCTGCCAAACTATCCTTTGTTAATTTCTTTGCAATCTCAGAAAGACTGGGCGAATGATGACCCACTGACGTTGCGAGAAACATGCAATGTGCTCCCCATGCGTCACTGCTGAGCACGTCTTGTTTTCCCCTGGCGCACACTTCGGTTGACCACGCGACTTCAGCTCTTAGGGGTGGATTAGTGGCGAAATTGGGATTGGGCATTGGCACGTAGCACTCATATTTTTCGAATTGACTGGACTGGTCTGACCGGCGCTTCAAATTGTCCGCTCAGACTTACATTGCAAAATACGGGACTGCGGAAATATTTTGAGTTATGCGGGATTTCCAAATAACAGAGTACAATTTAATGAAGTTTTGCTGTATGTGAATTCACAAGAGAAAGTCTATTACCGATGGGACAATACTATGTGTCTTGGCAATTTGTTATCACAGCGTCAGTAATGCCGTACTACTGTACTACTGTACCACGAGCAGCCCGTGTACAAAAATACTCTTACTTAAATGCACATGTATGAGCGCTCTACGAAAAGTTTCTACAGACATACTCTTAGCAAAGCTGTTAAAAAAAACAGCTGTGATCAGTGACAAAGCATCATTTGGAATCCAGTGTGGCATCTATTGGCAAGGTGAACCCATAATATGATCCAGTATAATCAAGCCATGTTTTATTTTTTATGTTGTACAAGGTTGAAAATCACCTGGGCAAGAAAACTGTAGATACACAGCCTGGCAACGCCAGGGGGCCACAACCAAGCAAATGCAGTGGACACATGCACAATAAAAGTGAAGCTTTTTGTTATAATTTCATTCATGCAACACGAGGCTCTCTGGGCATAAATGCATATAAATGCATGTTTGCACACTACGAGCACAATAAAATACATGTAAATTACATGCCTGCCTGGAAAATATGTACTGTTGCTCAGTTAAAATGAATAGTAATCAACCCAGCACCTGTTTTAAATAATACTTCGTGAGCTCAGAAAAAACATCGCACTCCATCGTACACCCTAGTGACGTACCTTGCACTTCCACGCGCTGAGTGTCGAAGCACAGGTGCAAGAATGAGAACTTTCATGAGCGGAACAACGATGATACCTGCCGTGCGCCAGATCACTTGTAACATCTGAAACTGCACATACGGTTGTAGTGTTAACATTTATTTTCCCTACCGAGTATTTTCTTTATTGAAGCAACATTGGAAGTGGTTACACGCTTGGACATGAAAAGCATTGTACTGCAATGATTTACATTCAATGTGACAACTCGTAAATGACTCACCTTTATGTTGTGCAATCAGCCTTAGCAAGTGAAATCTGTTGAAAACTTTTCTGTGCATCTTGCCCCTTGGTACCAGCCCAACTTTGTTTAAGCCAATATTTTTAATTCTGTGGTTAGGACACCCATGAAAAATTAAAACTCCTCACCTTTGCACCCTGGCACACTGTTTCATTGAATAATTGCAGCGCCTGGATGCCCCAATGTGATTTTCCAAAAGTGCCGTAAGTATGGCTACCTAATAGAGGTTTGCACATTCACCAACTTCTCATTTATGTGGTTGCAGGAGAACAAGCTGCGCCTGTGCGAGTACCTGCACAAGTTGACGGGCATCAAGCTCAACCCGGCCTCCATGTTCGACATGCAAGTGAAGCGGAATTCACGAGTACAAGCGGCAGCTGCTCAACTGCCTGCACGTCATCTGCCTGTACAACCGCATCAAGGCCGATCCGTCCGCACCGTTCGTGCCCCGCACTGTCATGATTGGTGGAAAGGTGCGTAGCCAAAGAAAGAGAACTAAAAATTACACTATCTCACACTAAAGAAAACCGTGTGGGGATGCGAAGCAGTGCTGGTGTTCATTTGCGTTTCCATTTGAATGTTTCAGTGTATGTTTTGCTTGTGTGTGGAGTTGTGTATATTTCGTGTACCGCTCATGTACCCCCACCCTCCACGTCCACACGCGGTAATACATCTGAAAAGGTTAGGCGACCCTAATGTTCAATTTAAATTTCTGATGGCACTTGTTCCGACCGTTTGATTCGCTTCACTGGCTCGAACGCGATTTCTTTTTCTACATGTAGCTCAAACTCACACATTCAATCTGGATATTATCAATGTGATATAACCGATGAGCATATCAGGTTATTCAAGAGTTAGAGGACACTCTTAGAGTGCAGGTAGTAAAATGCAATTCTTTACAAGATGTTGTAGCGCACAGCTTTTTTTTATAGATATTTTCTTGATGCATTTTGTATTACAGAAAATTACAACTGTGTAAGCGCTGCCTCTATCGGGCTGTTGCAAGATGCTGATTACCTTTTGAATAGCTGTTAAGTGGCAACATGAAAGCCCCATGTTACTTATTGCGACATTTGTATGTGCATACTGATGGCATGAAAACCCATTCTTTCTATGCAGGAATCGTAATTGAAAATTGATTATTTTCACTGTTCCTATCTTTGTGAGTGTTGGCATATATATTTTTTTCCTGTTTTGCTTAAACACTGAAAATGCATCCGTATTCCAACTATTTTGCAACTGCAGGCAGCTCCGGGCTACCACATAGCGAAGCAGATCATTAAGCTGATCATTGCAGTGAGCAATGTGGTGAACAACGATCCCGTAGTCGGGGACAAGCTGAAGCTCGTCTTTCTGGAGAACTACCGCATCACCCTGGCCGAGAAGATCATCCCGGCTGCCGACCTCAGCCAGCAGATCTCCACGGCCGGCACGGAGGCCTCGGGAACTGGAAACATGAAGTTTATGGTTGGTCTCTCTCTCCTGTTATTCTAATGTGGTAGCATTGTCGTATTTTTTCACACACCATAACTGTTGCAAACGATACAGAAAACTTGAGCTAAAGTTGGTGTACAATCTGTTAGATAACTTCGGTGTGCAAAGAAAAAAATTTTTAAGGTCCCATGAACTCATATTTAGGTGCACGTGAAAGAATCCCTGGTGGTAAATATTAATCAACTGTTGCCCACTATGGTGTACCTCACAGTCAAATCATAGCTTTGGTGCGTAAAATCCTAGCAAGCTCAATCTTGGCTGTGACTGTCACGTTTCAGTGGAATGCGAGAGGCCCGCATACTGTGTTGTGTCACCTCGCATTACAGTTCCCTAGGTGGTTGAAACTGTTCAGAGCCCTATGGTCACTTGGTTGTTTAACTGACCAATTACATCTAAACCTTGATATACAAACCTGGATATAATACAATTTTCGTTATAACGAAGTAAATGAAAAATAGTCTTGCAATAAATATAGTATTCGGAATAAACCTTTGTAATAAACTCATTTTCATGTAAGATGCAACTTTTATAATGAGGTTTCAGTGTATTCAACAGTAAGTGTTTAGTCTTTGTATTCCACTGCCTTATCGCAGAAGGGCCAAGAACATAAAAAAATGTGCTGCTAAGCTAGTCGGTTTATAATGCTAAACTGCTGAGCACAATTTCGATCAGGCTTACGAGAGCGCACACAGCACAGGACAAGCGCTATCCCGCAGATATCTTCATTGTGAAAATTGTGGAAGCGTGCCATATCAGAATGAAGGAAAGTGATTTTGTCAGTGATATTTCTGAGGTGTTCTATAACAAATAAAATAAATTGATAAAGCTAATGGTCCAATCTTCAATCTCGCGTTATCTTTTTTTAAAATTTTGATAGGCTGCACAGTATGTACAGCACACTATCACTCAATGGAAATTGAACGAAACTGCTGCTTAAAGGGACACTAGAGTCAAATAGCAATTTGCATCAAGGTGGAAGCTCAATGTATGACGTCGTCTAAATGACAATATTATCAACAGCAGTACCCTACTTACTGAGAAATTAATGTAAATGCATGAGAACACATTCGCTATGATAGGACATTTGCGAATTGATCCTGATTACAACAGAAGTACGGCCTACAATTAATCACTAGTAATCGAGCTGGAAGCACTAAATAAGCAACCTTCCATGCATTAAGAGACATAATAAAATGCTGCTTGCTTGTTTGTTTGATTTATAGAAAAAAGAACCATCGGACGTTAGTATGGGGAATGGCACGAGTTCTTCCAAAATTCAATTTTTACATGGTTAAACTGGACAGGTCGTGCCATTTAGCGGGGCCCAGTTGAGCCAAGAATGTCTCCCATCTCAAAGGCCATGGCAGGAAATTGTTCAGTGGTCGTTGTTGCTACCGTGGCTCCCACTACTTTCGTTCTGCTGCAACTAGAGTCAGTTGCCGCACAATAAAGCAGGGCAACATTGTGTATGGCAACAGTGACACGACACATTCCGCTTGCGGCGGGTAAATTGAAGTGCGTTAACCTGATTCAGACCACTAAAACGTAATTTTATTTCAAAATAAGCATTTCTTTGACATAAAAGTAACACTATGACGTTTTTGGACCGCTATTTCAAGAATAGTCAACCAACTTAACAGTTGCCTTTAGTGCCCCTTTAAATGAAACTGCCTTTGATATAGTTGACTTACTCTTGAAATCTGTACCTCTGTTTAGTAAATAGAACTCCTTTAGAATGGAACATATTTTCCTGACCCCTTTGGGGTCCATTCAGTTGAAGTCCACTGTGAGTAGGAAAGTTTTTTTCACAATATTGTCACGTGGTCTGGTCGCGACAGTGGCAAAAATAGAACTCTGGCTATCTAAAACCTTACACTTTATTTGGGCGTACTTGTACTCGGGAAATGAAAAGTCAGACTATAAGCTACACACTGTTAGCGGCAGTGATACTGTCAGCTGATACTGTTGAAAATCTGATCTGCGGTAAAGCACACCTGTACTCATTCGTGTGGCATCGAACATTCAAGCCTTATCACTGATGGCTGCATTAGTTACAGAATTAACTCCACTGTTCGCATTTATGCATTCAAGCATATCGGAAGATTATGGACAGCTCTTAGACACTCCAGCGAGATTTGCACAGGGAAGTCGTTATAGTTGTAATGGACGGGATACATGAAAAAATCGCAAAAGAAGCATGCGTGCCAATGCAGTTGTGCTTGTCTAATGCTAGTTAGTGCTTGTCCTACGCTGGTTAGTGCTTGTCCTACGCTACATGTTCTCTTCTATGTCCCGTACCAAACTTTTGCCTTATCCAGGTTGATTGTTGCTTTTGTTCTTGCCCCTTCCATCGACAAGTATTGATTTAAGTGAGAATTGTCATTCTTTAAAACTTTCTCTTTTTCTTGTGAACGGGCTTTCATGCACTCAAAATTGTTTACACAGCTGAATGGGGCCCTGACCATTGGCACCCTGGACGGAGCCAACATCGAGATGCGAGAGGAGATGGAACCCGAGAACATGTTTGTCTTTGGAATGAACGTGGAGCAAGTTGAAGAACTCCAGAGGAAGGGGTGAGGACCGTCCAAATCTCATTGATTCTCGTGGGTCACTCTCTCGCTGGTTGTAACTGGTTACCAACGAAAAATCCTCTGTTCACCGATAATGCGAAAGTGTATCGAGATGTGCTTCTCAAGAATACCTATCACATTTTACTGTATATTCAGAAACTCCGAATGCCAATTGTCAAAATAAGGAATAAAGGTTTTGAACAGATGTTGCGCCTACCTAAGCTACTGCAATGTTTGCGATTGCACTCTGTGGATGGCTACATAGGTAGGGAAATGTGGATCTACCAGGGTGTGTAACAATATGAAAGGTTCTGAAGTGGCATGATTTGCTACTGTAAATGTGCGTGTGAGAGCGGTCTTGCGCGAGAATTATCTGCTCAGCTGCTGATCCAACGGTTGCTGGTTCGAACCCTGTCACGGTGGTTGCATATCGATGCAAGAAAAATGCTAGAGTTTTGTGTACTTATATTTAGATACCCATTAATGAACCCCAGGGGTTCAACATTACACTACATGCGTCCACTACAGCAGGCCTCTTAATCATATTGGGGTTTTGTGATGTAATAACTCTGATTTCATTATTTTAATGTTTTATTATTACAATGCTATACTACATGCTTTATACATTGCAATGACTTGTTGGAGAGGGAATGACACCGGAGCGAATGTTTCATAGGGAAAATCTCCTTGTCAGAACATTAGCTGAAGTGTCATTCCATGAACTACCAAAGTTTCTCTCTTCAAGCCTCTTTATTTAAACATACTTTATAAATTGCATGTGGCATTGTGCATAAACTTGTAAGTCATACTACACATCCTGCCTCAAGGTGATGAGAGAGTTTTCTACTTTAAAAACTTGCATTTTTTTGTGGTTGTGCAGTTATTCACAATATAGATGGAAGTTTGCCTTGAACCACGCTTCATCATAATCTTTCGCAGTCCTTTTAATGTTGTTGTCTTAGATTTAGCAATAGCGAGCCTACTTTATTCCCCGCAACACTGCCTCTTGTGAATGGGAGCAATGGAGGTCGAAACTATAGTGGTGTTCAATAGCTCCAAGCTGTGCCTTTTTGGTGACGCGATCGCCCTGAAAGAGCAGATCCTACTCCCGAGTCTCGTGAGCCTGGGCAAATACTCGTCTCAAGAAGGTTCAAGTGGGCCTGTACTTTCTAAATACTAAAATTTTTTGGCACTCTCATATAACCGGGCACTTGGAAATTACCTATACTAGGGGTCTTGAGCTTATCTCGGCCAGCTTGCTGCAGTCTCGAATTTCAGTTGCCCCGCCGCGGTGGTCTAGTGGCTAAGGTACTCGGCAGCTGACCCGCAGGTCGCGGGTTGGAATCCCAGCTGCGGCGGCTGAATTTTCGATGGAGGCGGAAATGTTGTAGGCCCGTGTGCCCAGATTTGGGTGCACGTTGAAGAACCCCAGGTGGTCGAAATTTCCGGAGCCCTTCACTACAACGTTTCTCATAATCATATGGTGGTTTTGGGACGTTAAACCTCACATATAAATAATAATAATAAATCGAATTTCTGTTCCCGCAAGTGCCAGTAGAGTGATGCAGATTTGAAGAAGGGGGCAAGTGTCTCTCATCTAACATTCGAAAGCACGCATTTCACAGATATGTTGCTCTTTTCAGAAGAAATTTGACATCAGTTTTCGAGAAACGTATCGATACTGGTTTCCAAATTTACTGAAATCTGTATGCAGATCTTGAAATGTAGTTATTGTTCCAGTTGTTCTAATGTATGGTGGTCACATTGAATGCCTCGTAAAAGAAGATGTTTGAGACCGGTTGCGTCTGTGTAACTCTCAAACATACTTGTTTAGAAACATTTATATAATAGGACAGTTGTTACATGTTAACTGGGCCTCTAGAGAGGTCTTTGATCCCCATACGGCCTGCAGGCCGTGTGTTTGTGACCCCTGTCATATTACTTCACGCACTTCAAGTTCCCATTGTCATATATGTATATGCGTCATACAATCGTTTTTGAATTTTGCGAGTAGCAGGGTTTCTCTTCACGTGATGTTCACACCACCGTAACATTTGTGCAAATGTAGTACACATTTATTTTACTGCAAATGTTATGGTATTTTGGTTGTCCATAAAGACACGTGCACATGCGTTTTTTTTTTCTCTTTTTATGTCTCTCTCTATATCCTCTTTCTTGGCCCCATTTCCCCACGACCAGTGCTAAATGACAAACTGGATGCCAATATCTGGTTAACCTCCCAATCTTCCTCTTCTTTCACTACATTTTAAGCATTTGGTCTTGCACTAACATTGTCTACACTCCATTTTTGCCTTTCTTGATACCCACCTCACGTTACGTGAACTCTCTTCTGCAGATACAATGCTTGGGACTACTACAACAAGCTGCCTGAAGCAAAGAAAGCCATTGATCAGATCAACAGTGGTTTCTTCAGCCCAAACAACCCTAATCTCTTTCACGACCTCATGGATGTGGTGCTCAAACACGACAGGTAAACCACATGGCTCACACCCGCGGTGCAATCTCGAATTAATGCTTTTTCTAATGTCGATGCTTGTCATGCTATAAACATTCTGCCCCTGGTCAAAGCGATGGTTTGTCTGCATTGTCAACAGGATGAACCAGTTACAAGTGGTGGATAGAATACTAGCGTTGAATACATAGAAGACAAGACAAAGGAGGCCAGAGTACAAGCGCATCACATTGAACAGAGCCCAAGAAACTAGTCATGTAACATTGAATAGTCTGTTCAGTAAGTTCTTGGTTCATGACGATTGAGATTAGCAGGAAGTAATTCAGTACAAGGTGAAGATGCGCTTGTCTAGTGGCAGTCGTGACTCACATTATTTGTGCTCATTTTAATCATTACGGTTGTAGTGTGACAAATGTGGGCAGAAGAGTAGAGAACCATGCAGGACAGATGCTACACTACTTCCACTGGTTTGTTTTTTTAATCACAGTAAACACATGCTTGGTAACTAACATATGAAGCAACCACGGCAGTCATCTAGCCTGATAACATAAGAAACTATTATGCATTCTACTAACTAGTTGAAATAGCACACACACCAACAAGATGTGTCATTTTCCGATCACTCTTGCAACACTGCGCATGCCTACTTTTTTTCCAACAACTGACACGTTACCTTGTTGGTGTGTGTTCTTTTCCGATCAGTTAGTAGAACATCTAGTAGCTTATTTTGTTATCAGGCTGAGTGTCGGCTTGGTTGCTTTGTATGCTAGCTTTCAAGCATGTGCTTTCTGTGATTAAAAATATAGTTGAAGTTTAGCACCCGTACTGTGTGGTTCTGTTCCTTTATTTGTCGTGCTACAATCACAATAAATACTCAACAACTGCAGTTCTGTTGCACATTTTAATCGTTCGACTGAACAACCTGCTGAAAAATCTACCTTCTAAGGGTATAAAATAGGCTGAGAATGAGGATCATCATGTTGCGAAAGCACATACATCATAGTCCACGTTACAACTTTTGTCTCTCTCTCTCTTGCTATTTCTCTTCACCCCCTGTCTCCAGTCAGGTTCTACTTGCTGGCTGACTTCGAGTCGTACATGAAGTGCCAGGAGCGGGTGTCTGCCATGTACATGAACCAGGAGGAGTGGCTCAAGATGGCGCTGCTCAACATCGCCTCGTCGGGCAAGTTCTCGAGCGACCGAACCATCTGCGAGTACGCTCGTGAGATCTGGGGCGTCGAGCCCACCTGGGAGAAGTTGCCCGCCCCGCACGAGACCAAAGGCGACGAGGACGAGAAAAAGTAGAGAGGAAATAAAAAACATGGTGGCCAGACGTGGGACGTCTGGCCACCATGTTTGTCACCATCACCATGTTGGTGACAAAGGAGAGAGGCGACTGCCCGCCAGTCACAAGCCTACATCGCTGTTGCTTCTTTGTGAAACCGACTGACAAACCTAACCCCATTGATGTTCGTGCTAGCTGTCCAGCCTAACTTTCACGGATTTTTTAATCTGTATGCTTTGCTATCTTGCTCTGTAGAATCGAGAAGAGACAAACAGTGGAACTAAATTCTGGCCTCTTAAAGCTGCAGCCTACACCAAAATATTTTTTGTCACTCGTTTAACGAAAGTTCGTGCCCTTTCATGTGTACCTTGTCCCCAAGTAACGACTCTCGTCTCTCTCTTGCATTTCTCAGAAGCTCTGCAACCACTAAGCTTTTGTCGAGAACGTGCTGGTAGCATGCACAGCGTTTGCAATAGAAAATTACTGTTCAGGCAGTGCTAAAGGAAAAGTGTACTGTTTGATAAAGATGTGTGGCTCGAAGGGCATAAAACTATTTTTTATTCAAGTGTGCTATTTGCAGCAAGATTTGAAGGAGATGGTTTCATTGGAAGGTAAATACTCGGTATCATTGAAGCATAAAACAATCGATATTTTTAAGAAGTTTGCCAGGACTTCATCAATGTTGAATACACAAGGCCCCATATTGAAATGGCCCCATATTGACTCACTTGTACACGGGGTACAAGTGAGTCAAGCCAAGTTGCCACTCGAGAGCCTGAAAGGGTCCGCCTTGTGCACAACTGGTACAGAAGCCTCGCTCCAGTTCCAGCCGCACACAGTCGCATTGCGCATGATCAACGTTCCCTTCCCGCAGCATGAGTCGTCACAGAATAAGGTAACGGGCTAGGTCAACAAAATAATACTTTGCTGCTACTTCGCAGAGTGGGATGGTCTGCTCTATGTAGAGAACTAAGGATAGGGCTTACTCCTTTTTTCCTTTCTATTGAAGAGATGAAAAGTGACGCGCCAAGTTGACAGCTACGACAGGTAACAGGCTAGATCAACAAAACAACACTTTGCTGCTATGCTAGCAATAACGCTGAGATAGTCTGCTATATGTAGAGACCAAAGGGTAGGGCTTACTTCTTTTGTCGATGGCTGGCTCGCGGGTTCCCGAGGCAAGTCAGTGGCCGCTGGTACAAGATAGACCGCCTTCCTGTATAGTCTTCTGTTTTTTTCACCTCCGGTTTTGCTCTCCCTAGCGAGGGCTGTTTCCCTCGCTAATGGGAAGCACCCTTTTCCATGAGCAGGGAATAGAGCGAGCTAGCTGTGGGGTTAAAAGGGGCTACAGAAAAGATGCTTTGGCAACTCATTCGAGGCACCGTTTGTCCCTATTGCAAGACCGTGGTTGCGCAACAATAAAGGAAAGGAGAACGAGTGCCCATGCTCTCTCACAAATTGCAAAAAGGGCGACATGACCTGTGTACGAAAAACGACAAAGGCAAAGTTACGTCGGCTGAATGAGCAATGCATTTATGTGGGTACGAGATATTTGGGAATTTAGAGAAAGTGTGGAGCTCTATTTAATTCACGCTATAATGGCGTCTTTGTCCTTGCATTGGGCTGTCACAAATACTTCAATTAAAAAAGAGTGATGATTTATTAGGTAGCATAAATATCAATGGTTATTGATTCTTTTAAGAGATGACCATTGAACACTCGCTGTAGGATGCTTGATGAAAAATGTTAGCTATAGTCTTTTATTGAGTTTATGATTGTACATTAGGAATTACTAAAATGACCATATGAGAAATGATGCGTAGGCCTTTTATGGTTGGAGGAGTTGGTCAAGTCAGCCGATCTTTATAGCGACAGCAGTTATATGGACACTCTAGGCTGGATTTCGCCACTGGCGTCGATGTCATGCACAATATATGTATTGTGAGGAACCGGTTTATTCGGCCAGGCTCGAGCTCAATCACGCTGGTGATGATATTCTTAGATGAAGAAGATGTACAGGTGATGATGATTACAAAGAGAATAAAGAGTCATTCGCTTGTTGCGCTCACACTAATTCCCCCGCGCGGTGAAAGCGGCCGCCTGGTCGCTTGACAGTATTATGAAATGCGTCGCGCATAAGGCTTTAAACGAGATACGTGCACTATCTCTGTTCCTCGGCAACGATGATCAGGACTAGCGCTAAGGGGAGAAATGCGGTAATTGACAGGAGATGTCTGTTCGACCACCGTGTATGGCCCAATGAAGCGACTGATGAATTTGTCACATAGGCCGGGGACGCGTAGTGGAGTCCATAGAAGAACTTCGTCACCAGGGGAAAAACTCATAACACGGCGAGACGAGTCGTAGCGAGATTTTCGAGTGTCTTGAGAGAGGCCGGTGGTTAACACGGGCCTGGTGACGGCAGTGTGCGAGACGAGATAGGAATTCTTCAGAGAAAGGAGCCGTCGAGGGTGCAGGGGCCGAAAGGAAAGAGACATCCAGAGCGAAACTCCGCGAGCGACCATGGACGAGAAAAAATGGAGAAAAGCCGGTAGTGCGTTGAGCAGCCGTATTATAGGCGAATGTCACGAAGGGTAGAATTGCATCCCAGTTCGTGTGGTTGGGGTGAATGTACATGGCGATCATGTCCGATAGGGTCCGATGAAACCGTTCAGTCAATCCGTTGGTCTGCGGGTGGTAGCTAGAAGTGGTCTTGTGAACAGTGTTCGAGGCACGCAAAACTTGCTCGCCAATGGAAGATAGGAAGAGTTTGCCACGATCACTGAGGAGAATGCGTGGAGCTCCATGACGCAAAAAGATGTGGCGAAGAAAGAAATCGGCGATCTCAGTGGCAGTCCCAGATGGTATAGAAGCTGTTTCTGCGTAGCGGGTAAGGTGGTCGACTGCCGTGACAATCCAGCGATTCCCATTGGATGATATAGGAAGAGGGCCATACAAGTCGATTCCAACGACTTCAAAAGGTGAGGCGGGACAAGGAAGAGGTTGCATTAAGCCAGCCAGAGCAGTTGTCGGTCGTTTTCGCCGTTGGCAATGGACACAGGAGGCGACGTACTTAGCGACGGCTGAAGAGAGGCCAGGTCAAAAACAACGACTTCGTATTTTGTCGTAAGTCTTGTGGTAGCCTAGATGAGCAGCGGTTGGATCATCATGAAAGGCTTCCAGAACTTCACGTTGCAGAGAACGTGGGATGACGGGTACCCACTTGTTGCCATCGATGTGGTAAATGTAGCGACATAAAGCATCACCGACAAGCTTAAATTGTTTAAGTTGTCGACGGAGTCTGGCGTTTGGAGGAGTAGTAGAGTCGGTCAAGCGGTCAACAATGGTGCGGCAGTATGGGTCGACACGTTGTTGTGAAACTAGGACGGATAGGGTGGCAGGTGATGAACTTAGCGCTGCGATTGGAGAGGTGCTGTTGTTTTGGAGTATCGATGGGGAATTGCTTCCGCTGGGCAAAGGACAGCGCGATAGAGCATCAGCATCTTGATGCTTCTTCCCAGATCTGTAGGCGACATCGAAATAATACTCCTGTAAGCGAAGCGCCTAGCGACCAAGGCGACCCGATAAGTTTTTCAGCGATGAAAGCCAGCATAGGGCGTTATGGTCGGTCACGACGGTAAAGTGACGGCCGTGAAGATATGGTCGGAATCTTTGCACTGCCCAAACAACAGCAAGGCACTCCTGCTTGGTGATAGTGTACTTCTTTTCTGGAGCGGTAAGAGCACGACTTGCGTAAGCAACGACGCGTTCGCGTGAGTTTTTGTCACGCTGCAAGAGTACCGCACCGAGACCATGACTACTTGCGTCGGTGTGAAGGATGGTGGGTGCGGTGGAATCGAAGTGGCACAGTACCGGATCCGACGTGAGGGCTTGCTTCAATGCTGTGAAAGCGCTTTCGCAGTCTTTGGACCAAATGAAGGGGACGTTCTTTGCGAGGAGTTGATGGAGCGGAGACGCAAGTTCCGCGAAACCACGTATGAAGCGCCGGAAGTAAGAAGATAACCCAAGAAAGCTGCACAGTTCCTTCTGACGTAGTGGACGAGGAAAATCGAGGACAGCGGCAAGCTTCTCGGGGTCGGGACGAATTCCTTCTTTGCTGACAAGGTGGCCGAGAACCTTGATTGTCTTGCTAGCAAAGGTACATTTCTTGGTGTTAAGCTGTAGACCGGCTTTTGCAAGGCATGTGAGGACTTCGTCAAGACGTTGTAGATGCTGCGAGAACGTGGATGAAAACACTACTATGTCATCGAGATAGCACAGACATGTTTTCCAATTCAAACCACGCAATACGCCGTCTATCATGCGTTCGAAGGTGGCGGGCGCATTACAGAGTCCAAAAGGCATCACATTGAACTCGTACAACCCATCTGGCGTTGAAAAGGCGGTCTTCTCTTTATCAGACTCCGACATTGGTATCTGCCAGTAGCCTGACCTAAGGTCGAGGCTGGAAAAATACTCTGCGCCCTGTAATGAATCCAGTGCATCGTCTATCCGAGGGAGGGGATAAACATCCTTGTGCGTTATTTTGTTTAGCGCACGGTAATCGACGCAGAAACGCATTGTCCCATCTTTCTTTTGAACGAGAACAACTGGGGATGACCAAGGACTCGAGGAAGGGCGTATGATGTTGCGTCGTAGCATGTCTGAGACGTTTTCCTCGATGATCTTGCGTTCTGCCTGAGACACGCGATATGGACGCCGATGTACAATACGAGAGCCGTCAGTCTGGATGCTGTGAGTAGCGGTGGTAGTCATGCTTAGGGCGGGCGAGTTGACGTCAAATAGAGAACGGTGTCTATTTAACAGGGCGAGCAAATCTTCAGTTTGATCAGGTGTTAAGTCATTGCTTATTGTCGCCGACACAGGTGTGGCAGAGACATTGAATGGCAATGATTGCGACTTCGGAACATCGTTGTGGTTGTTGTTCGGAAGAGTAACAATGGTAACAGGCTCACTGTCGACCGCGCAAGATACTGTTGAGCCACAGGGGAGCAGTACACTCTCGGGCGTTTGATTTATGGTGGTTAAGTACGTACACCCATCGAAGAAGCGAATAAGCCCCGGTGTGATCACAATGCCCCTACGTAGGGTATGACCGTAAGGGAGAATTAGTACGTCGCCATCCACAATGTCGGTGCAATTAACACTTATAATTTCTTCGATGTATGGCCGAAGTACATAATCTGACTTGGTGACAAGGCGGATGCGTCCATCTTGTTCTAGCGGAGAAGAGTCAGTGGCGTTTAGATGCAGGAGGCGCTGATGACATGATATGAAAGCGGACGCAGAAGACAAGAAATCCCACCCAAGAATGAGAGCGTGGGTGCACTCACGAAATACCGCGAAAACAATGTGATGACGAATGCCTTCTATGCAGACACGAACGGTACACTGTGCAAGTGGACGAATGAGAGCGTTGGTCGCCACACGTAGAGGTGGGCCGCCATAAGGTGTGGTTACTTTTCGAAGGCGGGAACAAAAATCAGCACGAATAATCGAAACGGCAGCGCCAGCGTCTACAAGAGCCTCAACACGTACACCTTCTACAAACACTACTATCAAATTCGATGGTCGCTCTGGAGGCATTGTTAGCTGTCCAAGGGATGCAGTTTCCCCTCCTAAAACTGCATTGGGGAGTTTTCCGCGTGGGCGTTCGTGGAATGGGAGGCGGGCCGTAGAGGCGACACTGAACGGCGACCTGGCGAAGGCGACCTGCGGCGAGACGTGCGGGAATTCTCAGGCATGTCCGTGTGGTAAGTAGGTGACGGTGAACGGTAATAGGACGTTCGGGAGGGTGGCCGTAAGTAGTTCATGGTCGGACGGAAGCTTCGATGTTCTTCGGGAGCGTAGCCGCGTTGCTCGTCTTGTTGGCGCCTTCGACAAAACCGAGTGATATGTCCTCGATAGCCGCAGTAGTAACAGATTGGTCGAGGTGGGCGCTGAGGTGCGTAGTAAGGTGGTGCACGCACTGGCGGTGATAACGAAGCCACAGGCGTATGGTCTGCTGTTGTAGGCACAGAAACGGTGGGTGTGGCAGAGAGCGCGGCAACTTCGGCGTACGTGCGCATCTGGCGCACTCAGGGACTGTTAGAACACGTCGCACGCGGTGCGGAGGCGATCTCTTGTTTAATCAGGTCTCGCAAGCTATCTTTTTCAGGAGGCAAAGTAACTTCTGCAGCACAGGAAGAGCAGCGCCCGTGCAGCTCTTCACGAACGATGTCGCGAATAAGCGCACGCAAGTCGAGGGGTGCAGGCAAACGAACGTCGGTGGCATCGTAGCAAAGGCGAAGAGACTGAAGCTCGTCAAGTCGCTGACAGATGGTTATCACGTCCTGGGTGGTGGCAGGATTTTGCGTGGCGAGGGCGTTAAAGGCGACGGTGTTAATGCCTTTAATAATGTGACGTATTTGGTCGTTTTGAGACATGCCGGTGTTAACGCGCTTGCACAGTGCAAGGACATCTTCAATATAAGAGGTGTAAGATTCACCCGGCAGCTGCGTGCGTTGAGCGAGTTTCTTCTTTGCTGCCTCAGTGCGAACTGCAGGGGCACCAAATACCTGACGAATTTGCTGCTCGAAAGTGTCCCAGTCGGGAAGATCCGGGTGGTGGTTCCAGAACCAAGTTTTCGCAACATCGGACAAGTAAAACGGGACGCTGCGCAACTTGTGTGGATTGTCCCACCTGTTCAAATCGCTGACGAGGTCGTAGTTCTTGATCCAGTCTTCGACATCATCGCCTCGGAGACCGGAAAACACAGGTGGATCACGCAGGCGAGTGTTGTTGGGCGGAGCGGGTGGCGGTGGCTGCAGTAAGATGGCGACGTTGGATGGGCCAGGGTTTTCTTGGGCCGCCATGGCAGGGGGTTGCATGCGACGAACCGAGCGGAGCTCCAGCGAGAACGGGCGAGAGGACTTGAGGGAACGAAAAGCACAGTCCACCACTTGTGAGGAACCGGTTTATTCGGCCAGGCTCGAGCTCAATCACGCTGGTGATGATATTCTTAGATGAAGAAGATGTACAGGTGATGATGATTACAAAGAGAATAAAGAGTCATTCGCTTGTCGCGCTGACAGTATATGTATCTATATATATATGAAAACACAAGAAAGAAAAAAAATCCAGCACAAAGACTCCGACACGCGGAATCGAACGTGGGACCTTTGCTTCGTGAATGCGAGGCAATACAACTGAGCCACAGAGGGGTGCCTCCTTGAACATTCAAATGCCAAGCTATTTATATCTACCACTTACCGCTGTTGGCGGGCTTCTCGGGGGGGGGAAAATATTGTGATTTTAGCATTATCAGCAAGATGGCCCAATGAGCACACAGCGGCTCTCATCTCTCACGTGTACTTTAGCCTATGGAGAGGAGGGGAGTGGACGATCTCTCGCGTGCCCTTATCTCTCGGTGGGGAGGATCATACATTTTGGCTGGCGTTGGGCTTGCACAGGAGCGATTCTGTTGTTACGAGGTGCACAAAGGTCATTGCAATCGTTGCACAGCCTCAGTTTGTGAAAAAGGGCGTGCTTTTCAGGCACAGCAAAGTAACAACTGAGACATTTATTCGCGTTCATCTGTACCTGTGAGTACGTTTTGTGTGTCATTTGTGCATGAGAAACATGGGGAAAGTTTCGATGTGCTGGCCATTCTGTGCGTGATATTCCAATTAGTTGCTATCGCGTTCATTGCTTCGCCTTTGTGGCAAGGCTGTGACTTTTTTTAATGAGCACAGTAGTTGAAAATTGTGAAACAACACGACATGGGACATTTTATGAGAAATCTGACTTGAAATCTCTATTTTTCAAATTATCACTTTCAACCTTCACTTTTCTCTGTGCTGCTGTCTTGTTGGGGTATAGACCACAAGAGATATTTTAACATTAATGTACCTTCCAGATAACTTTCAATCATCTAAAGTTTGTTGAACCTGCATTTGGATCTAACTACACATGAATCAAATTACACAAGAGCTTTGGTTTTCACCTCTGTTGTAACATGGCCACCACAACCTGGGATTAAAGCTATGACGTCATGGTCACCAGTGGAATGCCATAGTTGGCACACTGCGACTGCTGACACTCACTCGTATAACAAACCTATGGCTTTTATTACTTAAACAATGCAACGCTGGTGATGAAACCTTAGAAGCCGTCATCCTCTTTGCGATTGCACTCGTCGACTCCTTCCGGATTGACGAAGCTGCAGAGCTTGCCGTAGCGGTGAATCAAATTCAGGCGCACGTTGTAAGCGTTTCGGAATGGGTCAACCTTCTTCAGGTGGTTCTCCCATCCCCTCGGTTCAAACCTAACGTACCATGGCTCGATTTCTCTCCGCTCCTGGAAAACACGGAAGAATTGGCCCGTTGCATTTGACAAGCTGCGTCCTCATGGCAAACTGGTCTTTACCAGGACAGAAATTGGGGACAACATTTACAAGAATCATTTTCATTCCTCTTCAGTCCCAAGTTCAATCAAATGCATTATTTGCTGCATACATTACCATAATACACTCGAACTTCATTATAAAAAAGTTGCATTTTACACAAAATCAAGTTTCTTATATCCGAAAATTCATTATAAAGGTATATTCCTAACACTATCTATTGCAAGGCTATTTTTAATTAACTTTGCTATAACCAATAATTTGTTATATCAAGGTTTGAGTGTAGTACATTAGAGGGATGTCCGGCCCTAGGGTCTATGGGAGCTGCAACGCACGACACTTCAGCCAGCATGAAAGTCATAGGCAGAACATGGATTTGCCTCAGCTTCATTCTTCTAGCTTCGTGTGGCCTGCAGCAGCTTTTTCGCGAGACAAAGTTCAAGTAGTTCAGCAAATATGCAGCAAGCCTCACTTACCACCTTGACCTTTTAGACTCGCCAATTCTCAAGTCGACTAGCAAGGTTCACAATGAGCCACAATGAGTTCACAATCCAAAACATGAGACAGAACACTACAATAAACGATGCAACGAATGCGTTTGAAGCTGCATTGATATGTGGGGTTTAACGTCCCAAAACCACTATATGATTATGAGAGACGCGTGTTTGAAGCTGCAAGAGCAAATACTAAGCAAATCCATGCGCTGCCCATCATTCCCATAATATGCAGTCCCCTTAATCAAATATTGCACGAAACTCTAAGCCTGCTGCTACGTGGAGTTCAGTGTTTCTAGTTAGTTGTGCATAGTGCTTTTTCTTCTAAACTTGTGCCATCGTTGCTGGGACACTTGCAGTAATGTATGCGCAAATCTACAACGGTTACGTCTGTACGGCAAGTTCACTCTGCATTAGCTCCGCTCCTGATCGTGTACATAGGCAAGTGACGCGTCGAGACGACACTTCAATGACGGGCTGCTTCTTTAGCTTCAAGCAATAATGCGCACTCTATGTCACCAATTTTTGCCAAAAGCGGACACTGCGTGAACGTACGTGCACCACGAAAAGTCGCACCAGTTGTCCGCTGCTCTATTGCGGTTTTGTAGTTATCGGTGGCATCATTCCAGTCATTCCAGCTAGCCAGAAAAAGGCTCGTTTCCTTTTAACTCTGTTGACAGTTTGCTGATACAAAAAATTTCCTTCAGTACAACACTCTTGAGCTGGCATCTAACGACTACGAGTTCGTAACCAAAATTTGCAATGGGGCCTGGCAAAGGGCTGTTAAGAACCAAGCAATGTGTAGGAGTTCGACTTATTCAGACTGAGACGTGCCACCAGCAGCCATCCCACTGAGACATTTTAACGAAGCACTTGCAACTTTTTCAGCCAGAAAGAACAGCCGAAACATGAGCTCCTTTATTTCACTCTTCCTTCCTCTGTCCGTGCTGTGTAAAGTATCCGATTTGGCAAGTTAGCGATTAAAGTTATACTTGTAAATGGAAGCACATAACTAAATAAAGACAATAATACGAGACAAGCGTATAAGCCATGACTTTGCCCTCAACAGCAAAATGTCATAGTCAGCACTTGTGCTTTGTAACACACTTAAAGTTCAGAGTAATATGTGCTGCGCACTTAGTGACAGAATATCAGCCAGCGCGGTCTTGCACCGCGACCGACTGGTGCCTTCACCTTCAGCAAGATTCCGTTCGAAGTGACCAGGTCAAAGTCGAGCTCCTCGTCCCGGCCAATCTCAGCAGCGGTGCGGCATCCGTCCCGCGGAGAGGCCACGACGCGCGGGTAGTTGTCTGTCTCATCCTTGTACTCCACCAGGTGCAGTCTCTTCTCGTCAGCAAGTTGCTGATGCGTCTTCTGCGTTGGCAGCATCGCAGGAATCGTGTTCAATAGAGTATGTACTCGGGTGCAGTAATTGCGAAATTAAATGCATAAAATTTTGAATGCAACAACTGGTATGTGCAGTTGCTCGAGATAATGGCGTTTTGTCGCTACAAATTTCACCCCAATGTGGTAGAGGTTTTACGTGCCATTACCGCGATAAGATTATGAGGAAGATCGAAGTAGAGGGTTACAAGAATTTAGAAAACCTGGCGTTCTTTAACGTGAGCCTAAATTTAATTACAAGAACCTCTAGTGTTTTGCCTCCATTGAAATGCAATGGTCACAGTTGAGATTCCATCCCATGGCCTTCACTTGACCTCCCCGGCTGGTTTCGCCACAAGGTGTCTTGTTGGCTTTAATGTAAGCGTATGAGCCCATATTACGCTGATGTGACAAGTGATAACGGTGGCCAGATAGCACATGCATTACTTAGCTTTACATTGATATGTTCCGTCTGTGAGTGCAGCAAACTTTAATACCAAAGCAGGAGACAACCAAGACTACTAGCAATGGGAATACTCCAATTAGGAATACCTGATCTAGAAGGTGTGGCACACATACAATAGTGAAAGGACAGTTGACTGTAATAATACTGAGGGCTGAGCTTGCACTTAATTTTCAACCTCTTGTCGAGTACAAGTTTGTTACAATCAAACAATATTACAATGAAGTCTTTTGAGACAGGAAAACAGTTTTGCGATACACTGTACTCATTTATACTCTGTATTTATTCAGGCAACCCCAAATTAAAAAGAAAGTGGCTTGTGACAATAATATTGGTGCCCTTGAGCTAGCCTATTCTCATTGGCAGACATTAATCAAATGAGTGCTCCAGACAGATAGTTTGGTTATCAGAATCGTTGATTAGGTTAATTACATCATCAACCTGAATTCTTCTTACCTGGTCCTCTGGAAAATTTAACAATAAAGCTTATATTTATTGCTTCTTTCTTTCCGACATGTAATATGAGAAGAGAGTACATGCTCCTTGTGACGCTGGCTATGCACGTCATAGCGAATTTCACATTTGGGCCAGTTTGTACTGCTCCGTGAAAAAATAACAGTATCATGAAACAGCAGAATTTTCATTTGAGTTGACTTGTAACACTTAAGTTTACAGTGCTTTCACACCAACACATTCAAAGCATCCACTTCTGCAGGGCTTAGTCAGCACAACATAGCTGCTCGTTTACAGCTAAGCCAGCGCAGATGTGTAGCCAAAGAAGCGACAAACATTTCAGTGGGACAGCTCTGCTCTTTCTGTGCAAACAAGAAAGTGACTTTGTGGAAGCATTTGACCTTAAGAGTTTTAACAATTTCAATTCTTCCCCCTTGCATATTCGTCATAACAACAGGCATGCCCAATGTGGGTTCGTTCTCTCCCATACAACCCTCTCTGTCAGTCGGCGAAGGTGCCTAAAACCTCAACTTTCGTCACGTGACTCCAGCGCTGTCCGTACCAAGAGAAATTTGAACGTCATGAAGGGGCTAGCCGCGCAGCTGCGCTGATGCGTGGGACACCACTACACACGCTCTCTGCGGTAGTCCCTCCTCCTGCTTGACAAGCTTGATTTGGTTAAATGCATTCAAGCGCGGTATTTTTCACCTGATTGTGGAGACCAAGAATGAACGCCCGAACGAGGTTGGAGGCTGAGCGGGCCCGACACTTGACCAGCTGCGCTTGGAGGTCCGTGATGCCGACCAGCTTGCAGATCTCGCGGAAGACTCGTTGACACTTTAAGCCGTAGCCTGCGACAAAATGAGCGAAAGAGAGAGAAAGACCAAAGTTGTCAGTGGCCCATGCATTCGTGTTACGTGCAGAATGAAAAAAATTTTTTTTTGTTACGCACTAACCTTTCGGCTTCTTTCGCACCCACACTTTCATGGGGCCGTACTGCGTGAAGTAGTCGTGGAATACTGCAACGCACGAGATTGGGGAGTCGTCAGAGAAGGTGGGTCAGAACATCACATATACAAGGTAATGAAACCAACACACAATGAAGCCAAGGAAAGTACAGGTGATATAACTTGAAGTCTTTTAACTGCCGTACAGTAATTTTGATAGATGTGTACACTATTTCTGTTCTGGCTTTCACTGTCGGTTGGTTTTATTGGATTGCGTCTAACAAAAAAAAAAGAGCTTCTGATTAGCAGCCCTTCTTCCGTTTATCCTCACAAATAAGGAACAAAAAGGCAACAGGGTTAAGCAAACCATTGAAAATTTCATTCACATTTCACTAAGCGATTGCCAGCCCACAAATCAGCATGAAAAATGTACATTAAATTTTACCTTGTTCATGAAAACGACCACTTATGCATAACTCCTAAGTGTAAGTCTTTAAGCTTCAAATCCACATAGTACTCCCACGGTGGCCACACTTCCGATAGAGACAAAGGTGCTTGAGACTTCTGTACTTAAGATTTACGTGCACGAGAACCACGGGTGGTTGAAACTTTCAGAACCCTCCACTTTGGCGTTTCCCATAATTATATTATTGTTTTGGGATCTTAAACCTTGAAAATTATCGTTCAAGCCTCATGACGAAAACAGAAGTGTCCACAGATGTGTTAGCGCGAAGTCAGTGGACTGCATCAGGAGGTACTTTTCCAGCTCTGCAGACAATTTGCGTTCTCTGCCGTAAGCTGCCCTTTGCACATTTGGTATACCTCACCGTGTTGTTAATCACGTCACATTTGCACCAGTACAGTTCATCCTGCACGCTCATTAGGAGGGACAAAAAAGCCACTTCTGCATCGCCTCTGCCCATTTCCTCCACAGCATTTTGGGTGCACTACATCGTTGCAGAAGGTGTTTACGGATTTGAAAATCCTGTTGCCGATGCATTGATAATAAAGAAAGCTTTGACAAGAGTCGTTCCACTCACCAGTGTGTTCCTCGAACCTGTCTATGTATCTCAGTCGCTGTATTGCCTTGTTCTTGGCCTGCGGCATGAGCACCACATTATTTATTTGTTAGATTATTTATTGTTTTGACATACCATGAATACTCTCGTATTGAATGCATTTTCCCCCCCTAAATATTGAAGCAATGTTCGGAGACTGCGTTTATTATGCGGGGTGATTTTTATAAAAACTTTTTCGGGATAAACAAAAAATGCGGCAACAATGCAAAAAAAAAGTTAGGTAGCAAACATTTTGATTTTGACGTACAGCATCTGGAAACAGCTTTTTTTGTTGCATTTCACTCATCTTTGGAGGTTGATGGCACTGTCTTCAGAACACTGTCCTCCCGTGCGCAATCTATAGAAGCATTTTGTGGCTATCTGTATTTCAACCATGACAGTGGTGGTATCTGTGATGATCTTGAGGAGGGGCGCCTGAAGCATGTGCTACTGACCCTAAGACGTACTTCGCAAACTCTGAGGCAACCTTGCACAACGACATTGACATTGCAGCAAGTAACCAACATTGCAGCAAGGTACCACTGAAGCATCAGAACAAACCTCCGATAACAAGATTAACGATAAAATAAGGCCACTGCCTCGCTCTTCATGTGAGAAGTGACTGTAGAAAAGGTAACCTATATCTTGCGTTCCTTGCTGTAGGCACCGATAACAAGCACGAAGAGCAAATTGCAATAGAAGCGAGGAATCAGAGCTGCTACCATGTTATGGAAATCATCACACTCTTTCTGGGTGACAAGAGATTTCTTCTAGTTTTCCAGAAACCTGCGATGCGATGGATAGCTCTTCGGGACAGCCATGGCGACAGCGAATCCTGTCATCGTCGCTCGGAAATCGCACGTGTGTAGGTCGAGCCTTAAAATTTCGTATTTACAGGAAGAGACCGCGGCGCGTGCAGTTCCGCGCTTTTTGCTCGCTGTGTGCGAGTCAGGTGCGATGTCTCTGCACTCACACCATTTGTGAACCTCGCTATGGTGCACTGATGATTAGTAAAGACCGAGATGTGCCGTGCACCTGTAGAAAGACAAAACGGTGAGCAGCAAGCGAGCGAAGAGGGGGGTGGGGGTGATACCGAGAGGGGATGGCATAATAGAAAACTGGGAAAGATCCAATGGACAAGGAGGTGCCGGTTGGTTCGCGATACTGCAGTAGATGAATGTAGGAGGTGCATTTACTATGCGAGAGAAAAAAATTCTAATTTTGACAACTGAAGTTAAGGGCATGTGTATTATGTGAGTGTGCTCATTTACGCGAGTGAATACGGTAGTTTTGCTCTCCACTTGGTGCAAAACCGAACTTCACTAACACTCGTTATCAGTCTAGTAGGTGATGTATAGTTTATTTCTTATCACAGCACAAACGTAACAGGAAACCAAGAAGGCACAAGATGAAGTGCTGACTGGTACAAAAGTCTACCTTTGGGTCATCTTGAATATTTGTGGAAAGCCATCATTATTAGACAAGATATCAGGCCAATAAAAAAAAAAGAGAATAAGAAAACACTAAAAAACTGCTTTCATAAACATGTGCACTATTGCAGCATCTATTGCAGAATATTACATTCACTTAGAAGTGTGGCAGCTTGGGCTAATTGGTATGGCATGACGATAGCTATAGCGCGAGAACAAAACGACGACACAGAGGCAAGAACGACACGGACAAGATCGATACTTAGCACTCGTGTCCATCTTGTCTCTGTGTCGTCAATTTGTTCTCGCACTATAACTATCATCATTACATTCACCTTTTATTTATCCCCAAAAAAACTCACGTTCTTCTTTACGTTAACACGATTGAAGTAGCCGTAATGCACAATGAACCAGCCATGTCAAGTTTGCATGCTTTAATTATTTCACGTGCTGTCTTGTCCCGGCATCTGCGCATCACAAATGCCTGATTTAGACAACAGATTATGTTTACTGCAAGGTCGAAGAGAACAAGCCTATAACTTCGTAGACGAAAACCTGCGAGAGTGGCAAATGAACCCCTGAATTGCACTTACCACACGCAATGCTGATCTGGCGTCGTTTGCCTTGCCACTTGCAAAACCTGGAAAAAAGAAAAATGCACAATTCATATCAACTTCTGGTGAAAAAAGAAATCAAGAAATCGTAACATATTGAAGGTCCTGCAAGGCATTCCTAACAAATAAGGCACTTCTATGCCTAGGTACTGTCTTATGCCATGATGTTGCTGAGGATAGTGTGATAAACCATCAAAAAACGCATTTCTTCACGGCTGAAGAAACCAAAAAGTACCCCTTCTGTGGTTTGCCATCCACATGAAGTTGACGCAGCTTCTGAAATGCCGAAGATATAAAATCCACTTTGCTTAGCTGCGAAAAAAATTTGTGGGTTTTTCAGCTATAACAAACCCTGCGGGCCATCCACACACTTAAAAATTGTATTTTTATGGTCGATATGTTTCAAGGTACTCCATCAACTCTGGAAATGTGGCAGTAATAGCGGTACTAAGGTAGTTAAATGCACGAAGTACTTGAAATAAAGGGTGGGAGAACTCACCGATAAGGCCGTTCTTGTTCCCGACAACCACCAGGGCCTTGTGACGTCGCATTCGCCCAAGGTTGCCAGTCATTCGGGTGACTAATCGAAGCTGTTGAAAAAAGATAAAAAAAAAAAAGACAGATGGAACAGTCGAAACGGTGATGCGGATAGTTGGTTCTGATCACTGGCATTCATTTTGATAGCTCAAAAAAAAAAAAAAAAAGGGAAGGAAGTAAAGGTGCAGAGAGTAGCGCCCATCCTGTTTACGTGCGTTCCACTGAGTCTGTGCTTTTAATTTTTTTGCGCAACCAAAATGAATGCCACAGACAGTTGGGACACTAGGCAACCCACATCGTTTGTTGCAGTAAAATATTGTAATGCAAACGCCCGCGTACAACACAAGATGAAGAGCGATTTCGATGTTTAAAAATGAGGGGTAAATGATAATAAAGTTACCATTTCATTTGCTACTTAAAAAAACAAAAACAAAGCTAGGCCTGTGTGGAATGTGCAGTACGATCACAGTGAAAGCTGGAAGAGCAGCCCTTCTAGAGTCTTATCTAATCACTCTTGGGGGCTATACTACAAGTCCACTTGCATGGTACACATTACACCATAAAGCTTCATAATTTTTGTGTAGTGTGAAGCATCCACTATGTCATTGTTTGTCGTACCTCGGAGAAGTGTGGTACCCGCTTCACACTTGTAGGGTATCATGTGCACTTTGCTGATGCTGTGGCTGACCTATGAGGAAGAATCATGCCCGAGGCTATCGTGAGGGGTTGGGGCATTCACCGAATCGACTTTCGTATTCGATGAACGTGGTGACATACTATGCCAATTCGCTTCGACGAATTCGCATTAGTATGACACCACGTTCTTACTTTACTGTATCTAAAATGCTTTATTACACACGTTAACGCTATTTTTTACCCGAAATGAAGCCTGCATAGGGTCAGCTTGCAATGAAGTTTCAAGCACCGATGTAGCTCAGTGGTAAAATACTGGGCTGCCACGCAGAGGACCCGAGTTTGAAATCTCATTGTACACTCGGTATTTTTTATTTAGTAAGTTTTTTTTTAATTTCGCAAGACAGTAGTTACGAAAACCGTGAACAACTACAGCACCAAAACTGGCCCTTCTTGTGATCCCATAACAGCCCTCGTTGTAAACGTTTTTAGGCTCAGTGCATACCCTTTTAACCGGCATCCTGCTAGTAGAACTTGATTTTATAACAGTATGAAGATCATGAGAGAGGTCTACAAAATGAACAACTGCAAATTCATCTGTGCAAATTCGCAGGTTCTTGCATACCAAAGCGCGGGCAGCAAGAAGACGTGAACAATAATGTTCCTTCAGATAGCGAATTGCATTCAGGAAAATGACAGGTTATTTTGAAAATAATTGTGGTGCGATAGAGACAGCAGGCTGGACTAAAATCAACTATTTATTACAAAGTGTCTATTAAAATAATTTAACGGAGAGTTCTCACCTCAAGGACGATGGTGTCGAATGTGTGAAATGTAACTGAAAAGAAAACGTGGAATCTTTAAGCCATAATGTGGAATGCAGGAAACACCACAATATAAGCTAAAGGAATCTTAAAGTGCAGCTTTAAAGAAAGATGGGTTGGGGCTTGTGACAACATAGCACATGCCTTTAAACTTCAATATATAACGAGCATGTATAATGAGGCACTGCAATTTGTAATCACCTATTGACAGAATAAGTGCATAACAGCTTGTTTCACTTTATTAGAGCGATTTTATTGCATGTGAATATATATTACCATAAACTTTATTTTTATGTTACAATCTTCAACAATGTTTTTTTTTTTCACATTTTGTACAGCACTGTGACTTTTTAGAATTCTTATTTGCCTTTGTTTTGCCTGTTTATAATATCATCACTATCGTGCATGCTTGAAATTCTATATCTTGTTGTTCAGTGCATAATTATTAGGTTTTCTCGTCATTTGTACAGAATCTGTCTAAAATAATATAGCTTGTTTTTACGCTGCCCTATTTCAATGCGTTCAATGGGCCGGTAAGATATTGTGAATAAATAAACTATACATGCTAATTATGAATATTGAATCTAATGACAATATTTGACACAGTTCAGTTAAACTTTGCTCAAATATGGCTTAGACAATGCCTTATTTGTCCTCAGCACGCACATTTAAACCCTAACAACAGACTAAGTTGTCCAAGAACAAATATTTATGCACTAAACAACTGCAGAGTATTTTCAAAATGAGAAAGCTGCTTCTGACCGCAAACTTATCACAGTCTACACATGCAGAGTTGAACACAGAGTAGCTTAACTGGGAGCGCGCATCTTTCATAAAATACACTCGCGCCAACCATTTTAGTAAAGTTAATCCGCACGTCGTAAAACTTGATGCATAATTTGTAAAATAGTATAAAAAGTGTAATGTTGAGTAACCTGTGAAGAGTTAGTGAGACTGGCAGGTCCATAATTATAACACCATTTAAATAATGGGTCAATGATTGCGTTCTTCCTCAGTGCCTCACACACAAAAATGAAACAGCTTCTGTTCTAACAAATTGTTCACGCTTCCCACTAGCATCACAGTGTGCAATGTATAAACAGCAACAATACTGGGAACACGGTCGAAGGCTAATTGAATTCAAAGTGCCTTCATTTTGAATACCATACTAACCGACATGAAAACAGCACACAATTTTTCTATGGCCAAGCAGTGTATGTTGTACAGTGCGTAGGTGTTACAACTGGACAAATGGTCACTCCATTAGCCGTTAACCTTTGTATAATTGAATCGTGATTTCCAACATATTTATTTACTTTCATTGTCCCGTCACTGTTGGCACTGCTTTTTGAGACATGTAAGTATGTTGTAAAAAAATATATCCCGTTAGTAGCCAGTCAGGCTTTGGGACCAAGCAAGTTTTGTGAAGTTTCATCAAAGTGAGAATTAAACAGAATACGCTTACCATCTCCGACGGGGTCTGGCGGACCAATGCTGCGCCCGGGCATGCGGTAACCGCTCCAGCCACGCTCGAGCGCCGTCAGCTTTGGTGGCGCGAAACTGTGCATGGCATTGCGCAGCTGGATGAGCCGCTCCTCGCGTTCCTTGTCCGGCGGCAGCTCCACCCGCTCCACGACTTCGCGGCCGCGCACGATTGGCGCATTAAGACCCGGCCAGACCATGTTAATCTTGCCTGCACAGCACAACACCAGCTGTACTCAGAACCGTCTTTGAAGAAGCCGCTGCCAAACAGTTGTCAGCTGAGCTTTTTAGTATCTTGCTCGACTCGGCTTGAGCAAATATTTGAGCACTTGAAATATTCGAGAAAATAATGTAGTATTCGCATCAATTTGAAGAAAAATTGCCCGAAATTTCGAAGCATTCAGTATGTAGGAATAAATGTGTATCAGTCTGCATGTATCCTCCTTTAACGGGCCAGTAAACAACCTCATGTCCAAAAATTGTTGTAAAGAGAAATATGTGCACTTTTACTTCGTGAACATGCTGCCGCAAGAATTTCGCGAATATGTGCTATGTTAAAGAACTTACAGGGTCTAGAACATCGCGTTCAGCTGGTTTCAAATTTTCGAGCGGTCTTGCCACCCTTCTCCGAAGGGGAAGGCGAGGCCTGTCGTCATGACTCCGCCCACTTCAGCAATGAGGGTAAATAAATAAATAAATGTGATAAGAGGCCAGCAATTGACGTCAGTGGCGAACTCGATCAGTCCCAACGCAGTTCCGCTTGCTTTGATGCCTGTTTGTTTTCCGTTTACCCGGTGCAGATGCTTCTTTGCAGCCCAGTCGCTCGATTTGCAGCGAAACTGCATTCCAAAACCCGGACATGAATTTGGCCCGATTTTTCTGGAGTTAGTTTTTTTGGGGAACAGACAGCTGCGCCATCTGTGAGCAACAACACAAAACAAAAATAAAGCGCTTTATAGTGTGGGTGCCTATCAACAGATGGTGCAACAATCCGCTCACTCCCAATGACTGGGTCAGTGAAGTGTCCCGCTTTGGATGCATAGAGCCTATGGGGAGTTTCGCAACTCGTATGATTGAATAGCTCTGTCATTGCGGTGGATGGAAGCAGGAACTGTCGTTGACTTCAAAGTCTACTGTTTGTTGAGACCTGGTTTAGACCAATGGACGAGTTGAGTGCTGCATCACGTCGCCGAGTTGTCGTCACTGCGCATGCAAGGAGATTGGTCAAGCATAGGAAAAGAGCGCGCGAATTGTTTTTCGAAATGGAGGCTGTGCGCGGCGCGCAGTTCTGTAATATTCAGAAAACGTAATCGCTGTGGTCTACTTTACGAATTACCGAGCTTGTTTGGAGGGTGTAAAAAAAAATTTGGAGCCTGTTGACTGGCCCTTTAAAGGTGGTTTTATGCCGCAATGGACAGGTGCTATATCGTGAATACAACTACCCAAGGGAAAATCCACACTGCTGCGAAGTTCCGCTTCAAGGTTGAATGAACATATTTATATCAAATAGGTGTTTAAGTTTAAAGGCTTGTTATATTGGTTTACATGCTATAAGAACAGTAAATTTTAAAATGTCACATAATTTACAGGTTATCACTCACATTCTACTGGAAGTCAAATCCTGGTACTATACCAAGTTGGTTTCACTTCCTTTTGAACAAAAAAAAAGGGGGGGGGGGCATTTGCACATGCTTTGTTTCAATTTAAAATTTGTATATATTGTGCAGGTTAGCTGGGTCATGATAAATATGCTCTTTTTTATTTATGATATGTAATATATACTATTCGAATTTGTATTCCTCTGTTAACTCCAGTCTTATGGTACAAATCTGTGGTCATTACCTACCCTAAGTAGTATTCCTTTACCACTTCCAGTGCTTCACTACATATTAAACAGAGATAGATGCAAGGAAAGGCAGAGAGGTTAATCAGACGCATGTTCGGTTTGCTACCCTGCACTGGGGGAAGGGATTAAATAGTGAATACGTTAAAGGGACACGACACCAATGTAAATAATTTTGTACAGCACACTGTGAGCATAAAAGCAAAGAAAAAAATGATACAATGTGAGTGAGCTGGATCTGCAGCAATTCTTCTTAATATAATGAAACCAATTTTGATGTTAAGGGCCTATCCATGTGCTGTCAGCACAGCCACATTCCATGCGCCGGGAAATTAGATCCCATTTGCGTGTGGTTGGTGTCCCGGCACATGGGATGCGGCCGTATGGGAAGTGCGTGGATAGGCCCTCACAACAGAACAGGTGAAAAAGAAAAGAAAAGGCAGCCTAAAGAATTACTCGAGGCTTACCAACGCCAACAACTTGGCCCTTGTTCAAGTCCTTCGCTATCTTCCGCGAAGAACCGGCAGCTCGGCCTCTCTTACGGCCCGCATTGCTCACACTTGTCACACCCTTCCACAGCTGCTCGGCGGTGACTGCGACGGACAATCACAACAATCAATCAATAAATGGTGCAAGTGAGCCCAGCCTCTATGACAACCATCCCCGGAAGACAGTCACAGAGTCAGGGTGAAGCAATGCACCGACTTCAAAGCAAGTGGGACCAGTTGTGGTCGAAGTGGTGCCGCGTCTTAATGACCACTTGAAAGTAAGTGTAAGTGGGATCACTTCGAAAACCACTGGGCAGCAAGTGGGACCAGCTGTTGTCCAAATGATACCGATTCACTGGTCACTTTAATGCAAGCGGTACCACTTCAGACCCCTTGAAATTACACTTCAAATTTTCGCCTGGGTGGGTTTAAGCGGAAAGACGACAAAGACAACCGACTTTCGACTTCACTGAACCACACAAGTGATCAAAGAAAGAAGTACGCTCGGGTCATGAAACCACGGAGTAGTGTTTTCCATAGCAATCGCGCAAGTTGTGTCCTTGGTTGTATCGAGAAAAAACTTACGTTTCACGAAGAAACTCATGCCTCGCACCACGTCGAAAGGAACTGTGGCTGGGATGGAGGGCCTGAGTAGGCATTCTGATGCTTTCGCTTGAGTTAAGCAACCTGTAAAAAAATAAATGAAAGAAAACGAGCTATTTCGAAGCATGCGAAACGAAAGCCGGCTGCTGATGCCATGTGACTACGTTTCTCGCGTATATGAGCGATCAGCTACAAGGAAGCTCTTCCGTACTTGGCATGTGCGTTCCATAAACTATGATGTGTAAGCTGCAAAATGCACGGAGAGCTCACGCTCAAGGAAAAATTGTCACCTGTGCTTGGATGAAGCGTGAGCCTCCCAAACAAGCGTGCGAGGCCGGCCATCTTTGTTTGAGGGCACCTTCTCGCAGTGCATGCTGAGTGAAAATTTTACTTTCGGTTTCGGTTGTGCAGTATTAAAAGTAATCTTTTAAATAATATAAAATACTTATTAATATAATAAACTTATTATTTTATATGATTAAAAAACAAAAATATGATAAAAATGTTTGAGAAACGAAACTAATGCGTAGACACTTAACGCTAAATCAACTTACACTTGGTACCGTCGAAATAATTTTACCGCTGTTTTGCTGACTTCTGCGGTAGCGGCATATTAAGCGTTTAGTTCATGCGTACTGCGTATCACGCGTGTTTTCTTCGCATGCACGCGAAGAGCTATGTTTGTGTAAATCAACATGCGCTAGTTTCTTTCTCATAGACGCAGCACCGTTTAATATCGTCGCCGATTTTATCATTCTACGAGATGGCTGCGTTTTACCTAAAGTCCGTTTTCCAATCCTTCTACAGGCGCAAGTTTATCCGTCTCGGAGTACCGTTCATGGTAAGCTTCTTTGCGATCAGCTTTGATAGAGCGTGCATGTGAAGTATTCATGCCGAGCCCACCATTGAGGGCTTACGTTAAGTTGATTCGACGGGCCCGATCTTCATGGATCATTGAAGGTTCTGAGTAAAGCACGTTCTTAAATGACTCGCCGATCGTCTGCTACAACCGGTGTGACTTACGCGTACGGGCTGGTGCGCGTGATCACCAGCGTGAATTAATTAGGTACTCTTGACCCAGGTCTTTCTCTCTCAAAGGCAGTTGCAATTTCGCATTAATTGCGCATCGCTGTATTAACTGCAGCCGTAATTATATGGAATCGTTACATATTTACTGCTGGTTTCGTGGTTGCGAACTCTTGACAGCCTCGTGTGCAGTCAATTTCTTTGGTAGCAATGAAAAGCGTCCTCTTAGCGAAGCGAAGATTGCTGTAGACTTCACATCATTGCTTAATTTGTCATGATGAAGAGAAAGAAAAAGTTTATTCAATAATAAGGAATTGCAGCAGTTGCTGTACAAAACGGGACTTCAAATTTTCAATTTCTTTCTTTTTAACAGTTCGTGTTATCTAAAACAAAATCCTGCCTTGATTTTAAATAGTGTGTTTTACACGGTAGACTACAAAAAAGCTCTGGTTGCCTAGAACGAAAAAAGTAGAAGGGAAGCACTGATTTTCAAACTCTTTATTGACTTTCGTTATGTATGTTGTAACAGAGAGCATATGAACAGTCGAGGGTTGGCACTGCCCTTGATGCGTTCCCCAATTTCTTATTTGTACTACGCGACCACACTTTTTCATGATCTGCTCCGTATATGAACTGACTAAACCAGCAACCTGGTTCTTCGTAAAAGCAAAAAGTGGGGCGCAGTGTGTTGTCCCTCTCTTCTCCAGTCCCTGTTACGTACTGCACCCTACTTCTTGCACTCTCAATGAACAGTTACCGACGAGCCCAAATGGCAGTTTCGCTACAGCAACATGGTCTTTTTTAGTGTGTTCGCCAAATAGAAATGGTGTGGTTACGGGCTGGAATGTTGCCTGCCTGTACTGTGGCGTCACACTCATCCAATAGTTACAAACCTCCTTCCCAGGTCTTTATGGTCGGCGGATCCATAGGCCTCAAGCAGTTTACTTCAATACGCTACGAGTTCAGGAAACAGGAGGTCTGTACTCTCAGTTCTTCCAACTTTTTTACAATCTTTGTCATCGCATTCACTAATTTGACGAATGCGATTCGCGACTATGTTGAAATCCTTCATTCAAAAAGCTTGTTAATATTTGTCATGGTAGAAAACACATGAACTCTTTATGACTGCCAGAAGGGAGCAAGTAATTCTATCACCGCCAGGTATATTAGAAATGGCAAAAACATTGGCGGGCTTCGTCCCCGACCATTTGGTAGGGTCAGCCCTGTTCGAAAGCTTTGCTATGCTATCCTGCTGGTGGCAGTATTGGTGGTGTTCTTGCATGCGTCTTTGCTACCTCGGATTGCTAATATTGCAAGTCCTCTCGTTTGTATGTTTTGGTAATTTCAGTTCATACGTCATGTTTTGTTTCACGTTTAGTTCACAAGAGAGGTTGCGGAAAAAGAGGGCATTAAAATGAAGGATCCCGAGGAGTCCTCCATAGAAGCTGTCTACAAGGCAAGTGCTAAGACTGTTTCGTTTCTTTCATGGCTCTGGAATTTTCTATTGAAAAATGCACGAAAATTTGAGCAAACAACATACATGTTATAGACACTTACTTCATCAGGTACTAGAAGGATCTGTTGGTGGGTTAGTCTGTGTAAATCCTGATATATACTAAGTATGTGCAGTGAAAAAAAAAATGAATACAAAAAGAGACATGTAAACAATAGGTTATGTCATTTACAGCACCAATCTATGTTGTTTCTGTGTCTTCTCTTGTCTACGCTTCTTTGTGCTGTACGTATTTACTGTATATACAAAAAAAAAATTATCAAGCCATATTGAATCAGCAGAATTGCAAATTGGGCAAGTTGGTTTTAATTTGTTACAACAGGTAGTGTGAACAATGAATATGAAGAAGGAATGTTGGTGGAATATGCAAGAACCACCTGTAAGCATAGTATAATATATGACCTGATACACTACACGTCGAAGCGCCAGTTGTGAAATTATCGTCCACAAACAAGCCAGCAGCTTAACCCAGAGTTCCTCGTGTGACTGTCTTATTAGTCGCGCCAACACAGCGTACTGAAACTGCGCACTTGCTCACAACTTGAACAATGAACTAGGAGTCTGGGACTGCAAGTTGCTTTAGGTGTATCTGAATTGCATTATAGTAGATAAAAAGCAGCAGTAACACAAGAAAAAACTGAGGAAACTAATGACACAAATGCTCATGTTCTCTTTTTTATAAGTTTCAAGTGACAGTGCACAAAACATGTGGGGAACAGAGATGCAGACAGGGCACTGATATCATTGCAGCTAAAGATGCAAGTGTTGGTGTGGCATCTATCCTTCTCTCTGATAAAGCGTGAGTGATTTTGTCGAAACGTCATTGGTCTGTAGACTGTTTTGTGCATAGCTGATGCACTCACACAATCTCACATGCCGAGGTTGTGAACACAAATCGTCGTGAAGTTTTCCAAAATGAAATTGTTCAAAGTGCTGCACTTTATGTGACTCTCTGTCCCCTCCATGTTTTTTTACTCTGTCAGTTGAATCTTAAAAATTAAGTGTGCTTCACTGACTAATCATTCAATGTGTTTGAGCTACCGTCCTCAGTTCTTTTTTTTGTTTCGTTTTATTGACTGCATTGAAGAATGTAGTACCTGACATTTCTGTTTCTTTGCCCGCTTGACTATTGAACATTCGCAGGAGATACAGTCCGTCGACATTGACAATTGGAAGAACATTCGTGGCCCTCGCCCATGGGAGGAGGGAAACGAGTATTACAAGCTTCTCAAAGAGCGTCAAAAAGCAAAGGAGCAACAGTCCAGCAACTCCTAGCATCTAGTCTTATCGAATTGTAGGATTTAACATTACGCTGTACAGTATAGCCTCTGTTTCCGTTGTTAGCCCTGCATAAAGCACGTGCTTGTGCCTCTGTGCTCCCTTTGTACTGTTTGTACGTTTTTGAATATTTTTAACGAATTTGTTACATACCTTGAGGGCCCAGTGGGCATTATGGAGGAGGTTGGCTAATATACAGAGAAATGAAACTAGAAACAGAATTTGACATCATCATCAAAATTTGTTAAAGTGTTACAAGCTAGTGCACTTGAATACATCAGTTAAAAAGAATGCAATTAAATAAAAAAAAAAAAGTTCAACGTATGATTGCTAACTGCTCCCTGCTGCCTCGGCCAATCCCCCTTTGTGGGTGTGTGCCAGTGTTCAAGGTTCTTTTCTACTCTACCCTGTCAGAAGCAGCAATTTTTATAATGTTCTATTTTCATCTAAATGATGTTTTCAACTCGGACGTTGTTAAATCTTAGAAAATTCTATCATTTTTCGACAAAAGAATCGGGAAGGATGCAGATAGAAAGTGGAGGAAAATTAATAAAACCTTCAGTGTAACACTTATTCCCGGACTGAAGCAAGTTTAGCTGTGTTACCACAGCTGACTAGGGAATTGGTGAACAATATTTCAGATTTGGAAGTGTGAAAACGATAGAATGCAAACAATGTGTACTTTCGTGAAAAGTATAGATGTTTTTCAGTGTATTTTGCAAATCGGATCACGCTCAGATTTTCAGAGACTGACGCGGCCACAGAGCAGTAGTGCAAGATCCATCCCCCCTTGGAGGCGGGGAGGGATCTGCAGGTACCACCCACAGGTACCACCCGTGCAATATACAAATTCGCGATAAAGCCCTGATAAACTGGATTACTCAAGGGAATTCCTACTGCTTTCGGAGCAAATAACCCAGACGCGTCATTCGAAGGTCGCAGGTTTGGTTCCTATCCACGGCAAGTTATCTTTTCACCCACTTTTTTTTCTTGATTGATTGATATGTGGGGTTTAACGTCCCAAAACCACCATATGATTATGAGAGACGCCGTAGTGCAGGGCTGCGGAAATTTCGGCCACCTGGGGTTCTTTAACGTTATTTAATTTTTTATTATGAATGCGCGTTATTTTACTTATTTATTTATTTATGGCGACTGGGCACCCCCGTTTTATCCCTGGGAAGCCATTTTGCGCAGAGTACTGGGACGCTGCCGCTCCAGCGCACCGGTACCTGTGCTGGGAGGCGCTGGTACCAGAGCCATACTGGGCCCCCATAATCAGGCATGGCGCTGGACGCTGGTACCCAGTGGCGCTGGTTTTTGCAATAGGGTTCTTTTCTTCATAACCTGGACTAAGTCACCGTATTCAAAACTGGCGCCATGATTATCAGTAACACACGTATCGCGATGTTGCGAAACTCGATGACAGATGACGCCGCTATCAGGGCAGCCCGCTTGATGTCTAAAGGGCGGGCTTTGTGAAAGCCATTTTCTGTGCATCAGGCGTCATTGAACGCTTCGTTCTGCCATCCCGTTATATTTTGAACGCTTGAGAACCTCTTGACAACAAGCACGCAAAGGGAGTATGCACCGACGTTAGGGTGGCTACTTTTCTGACGTAACTGGATTCGCCATTTTATTGAATAGCCAACACAGCAAACGGTCTCCTGAACTGCGAAACACTGAATTGCACAACAAAATGGCGCATATTGACGTCACGTGAATACCACGTATATATATAAAAAATCAGGATTGTTTTACAACTGCATGCTCTACGAGCGCCAATGCACAATTCAGTCCCCAAAATTTTAAGCAGATGATATTGTTACGGGGTCAGTGAACGCAATTACAGAGGAACAACCTCAGGCGAGAATCACAATGGTTGATTGGCACCCTCGTGCGCCTGTCAGCTGATTCTGTCCTTCATCTTCCTTAACTTCGTAAGAGGACCCCCGGGCGTCGGAGCGCCGTCTCGGCGCGAGTACGAAGAAGTGCGACAGAAGTAGGGTTTCATGAGCGAAACATGAACAATGTCAACAAGTGACGAACTTGGTGACGTGTTGGAGTGCAATGGTGCTATCTCGTAGTTGACGTCGCTATCTTGACGTAAGACTAAGTAGGGTCCTGCGTATCGAGACAAAAGTGTTTCGGAGAGACCGACACGGTGACCAGAGGAGCAGGCGGTCACCTGGGGCAAACGTTATATTATGATGCCGGTGGTCGTAGCGGGCTTTTTGCATATCGTGTGACCTGGTGAGACGAGACTGGGCAACTTGACGAGCCATGTGAGCCCGATCAATGGCTTCGCGAGCGTACTCGCAAGCAGATGGCTTGATAGGTAAGGTAGTTTCAAATGGCAATATGGGGTCGCCACCATACAAAAGATAAAAAGGTGAGAATACCGTGGTGTCATGTCGAGATGAGTTATATGCGAAAGTCACATAGGCCAACGTGGTGTCCCAGTCACGATGATCTTCGGAAACGTACATCGAAAGCATCTCTGTGAGCGTGCGGTTGAGACGTTCAGTTAGGCCATTAGTTTGTGGGTGGTAGGTGGTAGATAGCTTATGCGCTGTGGCACACGATCGAAGGAGGTCGTCCACAACTTTGGACAAGAGCGAGCGGCCGCGGTCTGTAAGCAGCTGTCGGGGTGCACCGTAGTGTAAGATGACGTCATGAAGAAGAAAATATGCGATGTCAGTGGTGGAACTGGTTGGCATGGCCTTTGTTATCGTGTAACGGGTCGCATAATCTGTGGCGACGGTGATCCATTTATTTCCCAGTGTCGTCGTCGGAAAAGGGCCAAGAAGGTCGAGTCCCACGCGATGAAATGGTTCAGAGGGGACTTCGATTGGGTGAAGCTGTCCAGCTGGCAGCAAAGAAGGTCCTTTCCGGCGCTGGCAGAGTTCTCAAGTGGCGACATATCGACGCACGGTGCGGTGCAGTCCTGGCCAGAAGAACCGACGTCGCACGCGGTCGTATGAGCGGGAAACACCGAGGTGTCCCGCTGTTGGTGCGTCGTGAAGTTGATTAAGTATATGGCAGGCCGTAGATGACGGGGAATGACAATCAGAAGCTCAGGGCCTTCAGTGCTGACGTTGCAGCGGTAGAGGATGCCGTCATTCAGCACGAAGATACGGGATTCGGCGTCATGGCTGTCAGACTGGATGGCGTCGATGATAGTGCGCACTGACTCATCCCGTCGTTGTTCAATGCGCATATCGCTGACATCAGTAAACGCCATCACGCTGCTCTCCAAGTCAGTCGCAATGGGATCAGGAGGGTCCACCGGATGACGAGAAAGACAGTTTGCGTCCTTGTGCAAACGGCCAGACTTGAAGCTGACGCTAAACAAAAATTCCTGAAGCCTCAAAGCCCAGCGACGCATACGTCCAGTCGGGTCCTTCAGAGAAGTCAGCCAGCAGAGGGCGTGGTGATCCGTAACGACGGAAAACACGCGACCATATAAATATGGCCGGAACTTGGCGATGGCCCAAACTAAAGCTAAACACTCTCTCCCGGTGATGGAATAATTCCTCTCAGAGGGAGAAAGCAGGCGACTGGCGTAAGCTATCACGCACTGTCTGCCGTGGGGCCGCCGAGCGAGAACTGCGCCTATACCGTGGCCACTGGCGTTGGTGCGAACTTCTGTGGCAGCAGAAGGATTAAAGTGGGCAAGTATGGGAGCGCCGATGAGGGCAGCCGATGAGAGCGGTGAACGCTTGAGCCTGCTCAGGGCCCCATGAGAATGTGGTATCCTTCTTCAGCAAATTTGAGAGTGGCCTGGCAACGTCGGCGAAGTTTTTCGCAAAACGACGAAAGTAGGAACATAAGCCGATGAAGCTCCGGACGTCGGATGTAGAACAGGGCATCGGAAAGCTACGGATGGCGCGGATTTTTTCAGGATATGGTTGGACGCCATCGGCGTTTACAAGATGGCCCAGAATGGTAATTTGACGGTGACCAAATTCACATTTCTTGGAGTTTAGTTGTAGCCCAGCTGTTCTGAAGACTGCGAGAATTGCACCGAGACGGGTCAGGTGGCTATCGAAAGTAGATGAAAAGACTATCACATCGTCTAGGTAACAGGGACAAGTAGACCACTTATAACCACGCAAGAGAGAGTCCATCATTCGTTCGAATGTGGCAGGGGCGTCATATAGTCCACAGGGCATCACCTTAAACTGGTATAAACCATCCGGTGTAATGAAGGCCGTCTTCTCGCGGTCCATCTCATCGACAGAAATCTGCCAGTAGCCGGACCGAAGATCAATAGACGAGAAGTGCGTAGCGCCGTGCAGGCAGTCCAACGCGTCGTCGATGCGTGGTGGCGGGTATACGTCCTTTCGCGTGATCTTGTTAAGGTGGCGATAGTCAACGCAGAAGCGCCAGGTACCGTCCTTTTTCTTCACAAGGACGACAGGGGAAGCCCAAGGACTACTTGATGGTTCTATGACACCTTTGGTGAGCATTTTGTCAACTTCCGCTTGAATAACTCTGCGCTCAGTGTAGGAGACACGATAGGGGCGTCGGCGAATGGGACTGGCGTCGCCAGTGTTTATACGGGGCTGAACGGTGAATGTTTGCCCTAGAGGTCTGTCGTCAAAATAAAAAATGTCGGTATACGACGCGAGAAGGTGATGGATGTCGTTGGCTTGTGCAGGATTGAGGTCGGGTGCAATCATCTTCGAGAAACGACTCGGCATAGAACAGATGCTGCTAGCTACAGGAGACAGAAGTAAGTCAATCTCGGTGGTGAGAGCCGCTATTTTGAATTCGTCAGCATTGGATACGCTGGCCAAGAACATGCCACGAGGAAGCACTTGAGGGCAAAAGCTGAAATTGAGAAGTGGGAGCGAGGTACAGTTATCAGTGACAGTCACAAGCGTATGGGGAATGGCGATGTTGCGCTCCAAGAGGACGTCGGCGAGAAGAAGGAGAACATATTGACCATCGGGAACCTGTGGCTGTGTGGTCAAAATGACGTAGGTGGCTGCCTGAGGTGACAGTCGCACATCCTGAAGAGAGCGCAGGCGCGGTGGGGCAGTGTGGTGTTCAGCGACTATATGAGGCAGTTCTAGCTGAAGGACGCCGGTAGCACAATAAAAAAGAGAAGAGTGATTCGACAAGAAGTCCAGGCCCAGGATAACGTCATAAGGGCAGTGGTCAATCACGGCTAAAATGACAGAAGCAGTATCGTCCTTTATACTTTAGTGGGCAGTGCACAGACCGAGAACCATCGGCGTGCCGCCATCGGCCACACGGAGCATTTGTGCAGCCGCTGGTGTCAGAACTTTCTTTAAACGTGTGCGTAGGCT